AAAAACACGTGTAATCAGTGTTGTTTTGAAGCCTATAAGGTCAAAATCAGTCAAAAACACGTGTAATCAGTGTTATTTTAAAGCCTATAAGGTCAAAATCAGTCAAAAACACGTATAATAGAGAGAGGGGGAGGGAGGAAGAGAGGGGGAGGGAGGAAGAGAGGGAGAGAGAGGGAGAGAGAGAGAGAAGAAGAAGAAGAGGCGGATAGAAGGGTAGCGGATATTACTTCGGCTAAACTACTGACTACATGATTACTCAGTAACTCTTTGTTTTGAACGTTTAGAACACTAAAATACACTGGACGCTTGAGAAACCCTCCCCGAACGCGCCTACTGACCTTGTGTCCACGCGACGCGCCGTTCGTGAGGTCATCATGAATGACGCTTGGACAAAATTGAAGTTACCTCCCCTGGGACTTCATTCTCAACCCTATACTCAATATACATCTTGCTCCAGTTGTGCGAACGCCTGAATATTCCCCCTCGCATACAGAACTTAGATTCCGCCTCTCTGGAACCTCCTCGACTCTACCCTGCTTCTGGCTGAGCAGTCGTGCCTATATACAGTATTAGTACGCTAATCGACAAATCCGCAAGACGTTTCAAGAGCTTCCATCGAGTTCACGCAAAATGGCCCGTCGGTCTACTAAACGCCCAAATTCATTTGTGGCGAGCTCACCTAAAAGATCGCCAGGCGAGAACCTCACCACAACACGCCTTTCCAAACGGACTAAGCGCTCGGATGGCCGAAGTACCACACCACAGAGGAGCAAGTACTTCAAAGACATGATCAGTGACGGGGAAGATCCGGAAGTGGGGGAAAATGATGGCGAAGAAGCCTCCGATTTTGAAGACGATGAATATGAAGAACCTCCCATAGAATCCGAATCCGAGCTGGGGATTTCAAGCGACGAAAATACCACAAAAGGAAACAGAGCGACAGCTGTCAATATCAACAAGCCAGGTGAAAAGAGATTCACAAAAGAAAGAAAACCTGCAGGAACTGGTTCTGAAATACGATTGACCCCGGGGACGCAATTGATCACTAAGAAACCGAAAGCGCGCGAAGCAGGCAGTATTCCTTATAGGGATAGAACCATACATCCCAACACGTTTATGTTTCTTGTGGACTTAACAAAGAACAATGATCGTCATTGGCTAAAAAGTAGGCAGCGCCACTTCTGTTTGCTGCTGCCAAGGTGTTCGCTAATTGTTTTGGTCTGTACAGTGAATGATTTAGATTATAGGCAATCCTTGCATGACTTTAATTCATTTCTAGAATGTTTGACACAGAAAATTATAAAAGCAGATGAGACCATTCCAGAGCTGCCGGTAAAAGACATTGTAAGGCTGCATCGACGTAGCTGAGTATCGACTGAACTTTGTTTAGATATTTCGGATATACCGAGATGTCCGGTTTAGTAAAGATCCAACTCCCTACAAAGTATGTTCATGATGAACTGGGCGACCTGAAGAGACATTGATATAACATAGACCCACTTCTCTGCGGCCTGGTTAGTACTATGTCTGAAGTGACCTTGATAAGAGCATGCAACTATAACGTAGGCCTAGGTCAAGAACGGGACGAAAAGGACCATATGCTGGGTACTATTTACATGTTCAACCTGGGAAGTGTTTTGTCGGTGAGTTCCTTATCGTACTACACCATATCTTTTCTTCATGGCTGTCGCTTCTTACCATGTAGGCAGACGGCGAAGACTGGCTTACGTCGTACTGTCACCCCTTTGATGGCTCCATATTGCAAATGAACCGTGTTTCGCGCCGGACCTGACGTGTTTTCTAGGCTCAGGAGTATGGCTACCAGAAGCCGATAAGTTGGCAGCGTTGCGACGAGACGTGGATCGGAAGCCACATCGACTGAAGAACGTTTTACTACAGGAACGCATTCGATCGGAGATTCTCACTGTGAATAGCGCCGACGAGAAAAAGGTGGTTCGGACGTTCGTAAGTCAAGGCATGAACAAAGAGTCTGCGCTCAGGACGAAGCCGAAGGTGAGTCTATTGTCGTAGCCTTGGACATCATGCACAACCCTCTCGAAGGTTCTTCCTCTAGCGTCCGTCGCAAGTGACGTTGAAGGCTTATCACACCAAGCATGTCTGAGTGAGGAGAAACTTTGGCCTCATCTCAATAGTGCACATAATTCCGTTTCTTTGGGTGCGCGGGACTATTGAAGTCGAGGATGCCGCCTATGCGGTGACCTTTTCTGTTTGTGAGATGAGAGGGAGGGTCTCGGATTGACCAGTTTTGGCTCAGGGCGACGTTTGGCCGACCACTGGGCACTAATCAGCAACCCAACCGCCACAAATTTCTGTTATACCATTCCGGCCGTGGCAAACAGAGCAGCACAATCTCTCTACAATCCTCCATTTATTTCCTTTGACTTCGCTTTTCAGCACATTGTCTGGAGTGATCAATCATTTCACATTTATGCCGAGGCTGACTTTGCATCGGTGATTCGCAGGGGTACGAGAACGACCATGAAAATATCGAGCTCTTACGGCTTCGAAATTTCACTATCAGCAAAAAACTAGCTGATAAGGAGGTACTTGGTGACAAGGCATTGGAGAGAATCAGCTTTCTCATCTCGTGTATGGTTCCGTTTGTAAGTATACTCTCTCTCCTGATCATGAGCTTAGGATCAGTTGTGCATGTCCCATGACCAGCTATCCATTGACAACGACCCTCGTACCACATTGGTTTCATCACAGCCGGTTGGTGCGTCCGCCACCTCCGAACTATTCTGAGCCGTAGAACGAGGGCAGTACGGCACAGAAGTATGGTTGAAGCGATTTTAGGCTGATTCTGCTGACTGGCACTTGCTCCAGACAGGGGTTGTTGCGGTTGCTCCTCGTAGAATAGAGCACTATTAGTGACGTGAGACCAGAAGATGAAGCTGACAAGACATGTTTGTTTGCAGGTCACATATCTCAACAGTATAATAATGCCCGACGACCCAGAAGAATCGAGCAGCGAAGATGAAGATGAAGTCGAGGATGAAGGGACGTAAGACGGCATTAGCGACAGATAATCTTGGATGGGTAAAAAGTGATAGTCGCCCGTGCAGCGCAGGCATGCGGCGCAGACAGCGCGCGGAACCATTCAATCTCTCCACGTATCTAGACGCAGCCGCAGACACTCACCGCATCCATCCAACCTTTTGCGCGTGTGACATGCAATGGATATGCTTTCGCCCTCACACCGCGAGGGGGGTGTCATCGTGGCCACATTGAATCATGGGCTTTGATGGATGGGCCGCGCCAGCTGGCAGAGCGGCACATTCCAATCAATATTTGATGACCAGAGCCCTTCCTCCTTTGCTCCCCAGGCGCGACACGGGCGCCTGGATGGGTGAGGCAAGGGATGCCAGGGTGTACGAGTGGACTCCAATCATCGGCCTTCCATCGGGAGCGGCGCGCTGACCTGCAGGAAATTCCAGTCATGTGATCTACTAGTACCGTACAGGGCATGGTTCGTCTCCTTTCTGCGGGAAGCTCCCAAACGGGCCGGCGAAAGAGCGTGCCCATAATGCTTGGCACTGTATGACTGCGGAGTCAGTGAGCAGATGGGGAGTCAGGGGGGGGGAGGGGGGAGGAGTGTGTGTGAGAGAGGCACAAGAGGAGGGGGAGGGGGATGCATATTGCAGCGACCAGGGTGCTGCAGGCTTCTGTGCGCTAACTGGCATTTCTCAGCCCGCCGACACTTTTTGCCTTCGGCTCTTTCGCATGCTGGCTGGCATGCTTCCAAGTGCTCGCTCGCTAGGATTTTATGGCTCGGATCGAATGAACGGCGCGGCCCCGTGGTTGATATGTTGTTCTGTGCAGCTGCAGCTGCCCATTTCTTACCGCCACCAGCCCCGGTCACACTTTGGATCGTCACTGCGCCTTGCCGTTGCAATTACCGTCTATCCATCCTAAATCGAGATGACGGTCATGATGGCAACGTTGGAGAAAGGTTTGCATTCACACCGTCGGGGTTCTGGCGGGATACACAGGTCACTTTGCATCATTCCAGGGCACATGGCATGTCTCCTGGGCACCATCAGGATGGGATAGCTGGACAGCTGGGCATCAGGTTGCCTTGATGGCGAGTCGTGTAGTAGTGCACATTTGCGAAGTGCAGCGGATTTGCTTCGTAATCTTCTGTCGCGGTTGTGTCCGCCTGACCTTAGTTTTGAACGCTAGGACGGTTTCCGGAGGGGTATCTCGGCCGATCTCAAGATTTTGACCTCGATAGGGCTCGGGCTCGGGCCGCTCAGTGACTGGCCTTGGGTTCCCCGTTCATGGATGGGTATCGTGGCATGCCTTGACAATTCCGGACTGAACAGTCTTTGTTCGTGGAAGAGCGACTGGTGCAAAGATTCAAATGCATAGTAGGACCTGATAATTATGTGGCAGACGAGTGCACTCGGATTGAGGACGCGCTGCGGGCTGCTCGCTCTTAGTGTTGCCTAGTCGTCTTACATGGTTCAGACAAGCCGCCATCCTTCGTGCAGCAAAGCAACAATGCATCATTTGTCTACGATGCAGACAGACATGGTTGAAATCATGGTCGTCACTATGCTAAGCAGCGGTGAAGGCTGTGAATTTACGATGCAGCAATGTTCTCCACTCATCTCAATACATACACTCATAGATGGATGCATGAAGGCCAGCAGCAAGCTCGTCACATCTATACTAACCAGCTCGAGTAATCCGGCAAGTCTGAAGCATCTAGGATGTAGGATGTTTGGACCCGGCTTACTTTAATCTGACTTTCGGCTACCAGCCAAGCTTCCATAACAAGGCTTTGTAGTCAACTGTAGCTGTGAGGACGATGAGAGTGAGCAATTACCTGATGAGCGATATCAGCAGCACCGACTCGGGAAGAGAGAGCTTCGGACGAATTGAAAACTAATTTTGGACTAACTAATATTGTATGCAAATCAGATGGGACGCTGGCAGTACGTACCTAGTTGCAGCTGCTGACGGGAGCTGTGGGTTGCATTCAATGCTCTTTGAACACACACACACTGGGCGTGTCGAACTTTTGGTAATTTCTAGGCAAAGTACTGTAGTTGTTGCAAAAAGTTTTCGGGCCGTCAGCTGTTGACGGCGGCGGCTTAATTACCAACTTCATCGAGAATGATGGCGTGTGTGAAGAGAGCAGCCACACGTCAACAAGGATGCGACGGACCGTTTCGCTGGCGCATTGCATGGCCGGCCACCTAAAAATACCCCCCGCGCTACAGTCAGTCCGTTTGGAGATTGCTGTATTGATTGAAGTGTTTGTTGAAGCTCGGTGGTTTCGAAGCAGTCGGTCCATGGGATTGTTGAGGCATTGAGTGAGTGTCCACAAAGTAATTAACTAAGAGGAGAGGAGTCGGCAGTTTCAAGAATAGGTTTGCCAGATCTGAGTTCAGTCGAGTGTTCCTGCCCCCGCTTTGCTGCTGTTAGTTAGTAAGAGGTAGACCGACGGGCTTCGTATGAATGGATGATCGACATGTATGTCTGTATGTACATGTATATGTATGGATAGAGCGACCGGCAACAAATTTTTAATTTTTTTTTCGCGGGGGTGTGGTGGTGGTGGTGGTGGTGGTGTATGTGCGCGCGAGATGCCGTGGTGCTTTGCCGTCAAAAGGACGAAACGAGTGTGCGAGTCTGCAGCTAATTATGAAACCAGCAAAGAGGAAGTTTGTGTCCTTCAGCTTGGCTGGCACCCCGGAGATGACTTTTAACTGGTCATTTTGGAAGACAGGAATTGATACACATGGCCAGGCAGCAAACCTAATTGATTAGCGATCAGATTTGGGATTTCCACACCCCTTCGATCCGCCTACCCTCCCCCCCTCCTGTTCTTCTTCTTCTGCTGCTTCCTGGTATGTACGTATCGATGGGTTGACCGCTTCTGCGACCTGCTCTTCCGCGATCAGTGTTTGCCTGCGGTGCAAGCAAGCTATGCGGGGGAAGCTGGGGAGAGAGAGAGAGGGGGGGGGGGGAAACACGACATGTAGTAGTGAATTAGATGGATGAGCTCCGATATGAAGGAAAGTAGCGTGGGCGTGGGCCGTGGAATCACGCACACCGTATGATTATATCCACGACTTATTCCATAGCGACCGGACGGGATGTTTGCTTGTATTGTATTTGTGTGTATGCATGCATGCAGAGTCAAATATTCCTTGCTTCCTTCTGGTTGAGAAACAAAGCGCACTGTGCGTAGCTTTCTGTTCCGCCAGGCATTCGGTGTGTGTGTGTGTGTGTGTTATGTGTGTTATGTGTGTGTATGAGTGTGGCGTAAATGTGGGTGTGGCACAGAGCAAAGGAGGGTGAGGACAAATATGATTGATATACAAAGTGTGTATGTATGTATGATGCAAAGTGAAAGAAAAGCGCCGCCGCCGCCGACGCCGCCGCTCACACACACACATGGTTGTCAGTCATTGCCTAGACCAAGGCTGATATGAGACTTCTTTTTTTTTTGTCTGGGAAAGCTCCGACAAGGAATACATGATGGTAGGATTGCAGTCGGCCTCGTCTCAAAGAAGTGAGCGTTGTAGGAGGCAAAGTGGAACAAGGCATGTGTGTACGTGTGTGTGTCTGTGTGTATATACATATTTGTGTGTGTCTGTGTGTCTGTGTATGTTTCATCTGGGGAATGGAGGAAGATGGAACAACAACAAAAAAAAGAGGGCAGGCAGATCAAAAGAACAGGAAAAACCACCCGCTGGGCCGCTGCCTGCCACGAGGGAAAGAAAAGCGGGAGCGGCAAGATGCAGATCACTTGGGAATGGATGGGAATGGATTGGAGCTTTGCTGCTGGCTGGCTGGCTGGTCGCTTAGCCGCTCCTCACAAGCCCCAGCAAAATGTTTTTATTTTATTTTTTCGAATCTTTCCCAGGGCCGCCGGGCGGCTATCTCAGACCGCGCCTCCCCCCGCCGCCCGCGGACAAGTGGCGGGCGCGCGTGCACGCGCGCCTTTTTGCCAAACATGTAACATGTATTTATTACTCATGTCGGGAACCCCCCCTGCACATCTATGGTATGGTTTGTGATGCTGATGATGGTAGTCGTGGTGGTATTAGTGTAGTGATAGTCGAGACGTTCTTAGAGAGAGAGAGAGAAGGGGGGGGTACGACTCACTACGCGCGGTACGTATGTGCCGTGTAGCGCGCAATGGGAACAGACGGCACGAGTTTGATGGCACAAGACCGCCAGGGCAGGGGAATGTGGCGAGGCTGACTGGAAGAAAGGAGGAGGATGATGGATGGATCATGATCATATTGCAAGACGAGAAGGAGTGTGTTTTCCCTCGTCACAGCCTTCAGCTCAGGAAACATTTTGATTGATTAATTACTCACCTACTTGTGTGGAGCGTAGCGTAATAGTAGCCATGGCCGTGGTCGCGTTCGGGGAAGCGTGAGAGTACATAGATAGTATTATAGTAAGACGGAAAGCGACGTTTGATTCACTGCAAAGTCCTGCAGAGTCCTGCAAGTCCTACGTAGCTACGGCGGCGGCGGCGGCGTGACGCAGGCTGGCAGCGGCAAGGCTCGCTCTGCCCGCGCCCGCCTTACACTAATCCATACACTACGTGACAGTCCATATACACACACAAGTCATCAACTAATTATCCCTGGGCGGGACGGCTGTACGGCTATTCCATCTCCAGTGTCGGCGCGGCACTTCCCCTCCTCCTAGCTGGCCAGGCGGTGTTAATGCCTGCATGGTCGAGATGTAATACTAGCATCTACTATAGGCAGTAGGCATGCCCGTATGCCCGTATGCCCGTATGCCCGTATGCCCGTATATGTAGGGGCAAAGTAGTGCTAGGTTCGTAGGTAGGTAGGTAGCTAGGTAGCTAGGTAGGTCGGTCGCTGTCAGTGTAATGGCGGCGGGCATCGTTGACGAGGCCTGCTTTCGGACCAGCATGTATCATATTCCTTGGTGAGATGTGATTGCATGGACATTAGGGCGACAGGAGGGACGAAGAGGGGATGCATAATAGACTGCATAACACTTTGACCGGTGAAACATCAGGTAGGTAGTAATTAAGGTATGGAGTATGTATGTATGTATGTAGGTAGGTAGGTAGGCAGCATGTTTCTACGCCCAGCCTGCCGAGGACGAAGGGGAAATATGCCTCAAGGGGGTCGGTTGTGGCTCGCATCGTGACTAGCAGAGAGTGTGTACGTATACGTAGCCCATCATACAGTACAAACATACAGGGCGGCAGTCAACGAGGATACGATGTGCCGGTTGCTCGCTCGCTACATTGGACATTATCATTATCATGGTAATTAACGGATGGTGGTGAAAGGAGTCAGGACGCGACGCGACAGGCCCGTGCCGCAAGACTGCCTCCTCCATGCTGCCACTCTTTAGCCCGCCGACCAACTAATACTTTTACTATTACTATACAGTATATAGTAATAGATAGGTAGTCAGAGTAGACGGTCCATGGTTCATCCTCTCTTCCTGTGCTGATGAATCATCAAAATCTTCGTTCTGCAGTGCCTTTTGGCCTCCACTCCCCTCCCCTCCTCGACAGAATGGTCGCGCGATGGCGTTTCTGTAGGCTCTCTGGATGCCAACACGCAGAAATTAGCTGTCTAGTTCACCGTTCACAGCAGCAAGACAACGACAAGCTAACTAACAATATGGAATGGAACCATGGATGATGGCTTTTTTTCCTTTTTTGCACCTTGGAGTCTTGGGGCCAGCCCCTGCCAGTGCCATCGTCCTCTTCCCAGCAGCCGGTGCGCCGGGCCTCGCGTTTCGCGCCTGTTTCCCGTCCGTTGAATTGCCTTGACTACTACACACTAGACGCCATGGCCTGTCTCTCTATTCTTCCACTCAGGAGACCCCCTCCCCCCCTACTCCCCTACTCCCCTTCTTATCCTTTATCCTTTTTGACCAACAAGGACATGCACTCACTCACACTCACACACATACAAACATACACACACACTCGCACTCACACACTCTGTCTCTCTCTCTCTTTCTCCAAGCCAAGCACAATGCCCAGCTCCGCCTGGTCTCATCTAATAAGGTATGGTATTAGTGGTGAGCCTGCCAATAACACACCACTGTATCTCCTCGTTGACATTCTTCAAACCTTTCCTTTGCTGCCTCTAACAGCTCAATCCTCGTCATTCCTCGCTGGTGCCCAAACACCCCATACGACAGGTTTGAGCCCGACTCTCATTTACCATTCAAGTCGCAGCCCCCTAGCTCCCGAGAAGCTCTGTTACCGTCGTCATCGCTACCTCGACCGACAGGTAGAACCATTTGGTGCGCCTTTCTCGTGTCGAAGACTCGTGCAGACTCCGGCACGGTGACATACTCTCTTCTTGACCTTGACACCACCACTGCAATCTCAGATTGGCTCGCTCGTTTGTTCTCTGCGCAAAACGCACACGGCAGGCCAGCTGAAGAAGGGGGGGGTGGTTCAGCAGCAGCAGCAGTAGTAGTAGTAGTAGTAGTAGTAGTAGTAGTAGTAGTAGTAGCAGTAGTAGTAGCAGCAGCCAGGCCCACCAGCTACTACTAGTAAGCTAGCAACAGCTCCCACCTATCCTCCTCCATCCTCCATCATCCATCATTCATCATCATCATCACCATCATCATCATAAGGTCCGCCACGACGACCGGGGCACGTATGCACCAGACTTTCACCCTGGCCCAGCCCTAGCTAGCTCTTTGTCCCCCCCCTCTCCCCTCCCTCCCCCTTCTATTCCCCCGTTTTTAGGCAGTCCGCCACCCCCTAAAGCCGCCTCCCCCCTCATCCTACTACTACCTCGAAGGTGTCAGCCCGCTAATACCCCCCCCCCCCCCCCCCCCCCTCCCAAGTCCGACTCCCAGTTCCACACAAAGTCCCCAGTGTTCACTCACACTCACCCATACACACATACACATACCCGGTGTACACACAACCACAACATCCACTCCACTACCACCTCCTCTACCTCTACCTCTACCACTAACCACCATCACTACCACCACCACCACTACTACTACTACCACCGCCTGGCCACCATTCTTCCATTTCCACTTCCACTTCCACTCCCGTTCCCGCGCTCTGCAGGTGTTCGTTGCTGCTTTGCGCACCCCGGCCGCGCTTCGCTCCGCTGCCCTATTCCAGCCAACTAGCTCTAAATACTTCCGTCTTAACAACGCCGCTATCCTCTTCGTGCCTCTTCACCGTCGCACTGCCTCACATCTCACTCACTCTCTTCTCTCACTCTCTTCTCACCTTCACCTCGTGTCCGCCACGCCTGACCGCGCCTGCTCATCACAGCTTCACTCTCCTCTGTTCCTGTCACGCCAGATCGCTCCCCGCTTGTGTCAGCGCATGCAACCTCGACCTCGCTTTCTCGGCCACGCCATCTCTCTCTCTCTCCCTCTCACCTATCTCTTCAACTCCACATCCATCATCAATCCTTAGCTTTGCACTCTCGCACAGATGAACGGGCTCAACGGTCAGAACGGTGCTCCTCCTTCGCAATGGACTCCCAACGGTCCTAATGGCCAGGGCCAGTGGAATCAGCAATGGAACGCCTCTCCGAATCCGCAACATCCTCACGGCGTCTATCCACCTCCTACTTCGCAGTCCGCACAGCCCTATCCAGCAGCTCCCACAAATGGCCCATATCCACCAGCTCATGCGTATCCACCGCCCGCGAATGGATCTTATCCTCCACCGACGTCGCAGCCTCCAAGTGTTCCATATGCTCACCAGCCTCATGTACGTTGAACTTCTGCCTTTGCACCTTGCCTGTCTCCTCGACACATCACTCTTCAGACTTTAGCTGACCATCATTCTTCTTCTAGCTTCCGCATCTCCCTCCAGTTGAGCCTCGCGCAGAGTATGGAAGATATCCCTATGCAAACGACATGTATCGAGGCCCACCTCCGCCTCACATGCAACAATATCAGCAAGCTCAGCCTGCTCCTCGTCAGAGAACTGCCATAGCTTGCCGTTACTGCAGAAGGCGCAAGGTGTGTTGGCCAGACTACTTGTCTCGCAGGACAAGCGCTAATCACAATCTAGATTCGCTGCTCTGGTTTCGAGTCTTCCGAGGACGGCCGTTGCACCAATTGCGTTAGATTCTCACAAGAATGCATCTTCACCCCCGTGTCTGCACAGGCTCAGGCCTTCGTACCCGCTCATACCGTTGGTCGATGGGCAAGTGGCCATCCACAGCCTGCTTTGTACGGAGCTTACGGGCAGCCTTTGCCTCAGAGCCATGTACCTCAACCACCTGGCCCAGGTCAGCATGGTCAACCTGGCTATCCACTGCCCAGCCCAACAGGTCCGTATCCCACCCCCGGTGCGTCTTATAATCCTGTCGGTGGTGTCTACGATGAGAGGGCTTCCCAAGATGCCAACAGCAGGAAGAGGCCGCATCAGGAGCCTCACACTCCTACGCTGCCTCCGCCCAATCCTTCTGTTGCTGCGTCTCGGGGCTATGCTGATCATCGGGCGGCGCAACCGTCGAAGAGTAATGATCATCATACCTATCCTGAACCAACGAATCTAACTGCAAGCGCTGTGTCTCCAGCCTCCTCGCAAAGTTCGTACCAGCCTGGTGGACCACCGTCTCAGCAGCCCTATTACGCCAATAACCCGTCTGGGCAACAGCCACCACCACCACCACCCCCACAGCGGCGCCTCTCCCCACAGAGTAATTACTCGTACGATGCGAATCGCACCTCGTCGAGCCCGCACGCGAGTGCCGCCCCCAGTACTCCCAGCACCACTTCTTACCCATACTCAAACGGCACCGCGCCTCCTCAAGCTGGTCGCACCCCGCCACCAACTTCGCAATCCGGTGGAAGCCGCATGCGGATCGACGACCTAGTCAGCAGCGATAGCAAGGACGGTGAAACGCGTAGCACCGCGGACAGAAGCATGCTGGACGCTCTCAATCGCCGTCCCATGTAAACCTTACCACCTTTGTCAAATCAATCGTCGCAGATGACGGTCAGATGACCCGACGCCTGTCTGAAGCTGGTCTAAAGGCATGGCACCATGACATTATTTGTCATTTTCTTCTGCACGGGGGTCTTACAAACTACAAGTCTAGAATGAATACGAGGAAAATCACATCAACAAAAACTATAAAAAAACAACAACATATCTTCAGCATGAGCTGGTAGGGTCGAACAGGCATATCAGCCTAGAAACACCTGGACCAGCTCATGAATATTGCGAACATTCTCCTTAATTCTCGGCAGCCATTCTACCCACACATATCCTTGTCTCGTCAAGGGACGGGAAAAGTGGGTGGCACTGTCCATAGAGCTCGTCAAGAGCCGCCTTACGGCACATGGGGTAACGAAGGGGGTGTCAATAGCGCTCAAAGCATATTTGGGGGGCTGTCTGAGCGTCTGCTACTTACTGTATTGCTTTGAAATTTCCGAACCGTTTGTTCAAATCTTCCCTTTGGAGTGGTCGCATTTGCAAGTATGCACACGTGCATCGTCTGTCTTTTCCGCATCGGGAACGGGATACATGTTGGGAGGCTCTTTGAAATTTTCCGCACTTTGTCTATTACGTTGTAATTCTCCTTTATCCTTTTCACTGTTACCCATTTTGGCTCTCTTCGTCTGGCGCCGCCCCGCCGTCAATATTGCGCTCGGAGCGGTTGATGGGCCACGGCACGTTCCAGTGTGCCAACTGTTGCATATTGGTGGAACAGGGAGGGAACATGACGTTATCCGTAGCCTTTGCGCAACCAAAAAGCCAGCGTTCACGCGGAAGAAGAAGCTGTTGTAGTTGGTTTGCAAACCGCATGCTCACACATTCACACACACACCTCACAAAATCGATTTGACTTGACGACTTTTGTTTCTCTAGTGTCTAGTGCATTGTGTCCAGTCACTAAACTCCGTCAGCGGACCTCCTGGCGGGCACCTGCATCTTGTATCACTTGGCGATGACGAGACTCTTACACACACTAAGGTAGGTAGCGATGCGATCCATCTCAGACACGGCACGGCGCACGTGGTCGATGCAAGACAGCGGGCAGTGTCCTAAAAGAAGAAATAATCAAGCTCTTTTTCTTCTACCCTACAGGAGGAGAAATGAAACAGCCCGTGATTTGACGACGGGCCAGGCCTGCTGAGAGAGTGCTGCTAGACTGATTAGTAAGACTTGGGGGGGGCATCCATGCATCATCATATAAGGTAAAAAAACGGTCCTGTATGTATGATGATGATGATGCGACCGACACACAGGAACATGTGACTTGAGCCGTCTGCGTGTCACCCGCCTCTAGTATTACGCGCAACTGTTTTTTCAACCGGGGGGGGACCGCCCAAACAAGGGGGGAGAAGAAAAGGTAAGGGGAAAGACTGGCTGGGTAAGGGGTTTAATTGTTCGACTGTTCCACTTGCCCAGACGGCCAAAACCGACGCAGCGGTTGAAGCGTCCAGCGGCAAGACGGACGGCTAAGGGATTGATGGGTGAGTGGGGCGGCCATCTGCCATGCCCATGCTCCATGCTACATGCAGACATGCTACAGGCTACAAGCTACATGTGTGCTACATACAGTACACATGCCCCATGCTTCATGCCCGCCCGCTGCCTGTGCCCGCCGCCTGTGCCCATCCATCCATCCATCCATCCATCCCATCCCATCGTACCTAATGAATGCCCACCTTTCTATCTACAGTCTCCTCTCCTCCAACAACCCCAGCCAGCCCCATCCATCCACACCTATCCCTACATCACCCATACCTCCATCCATTCCATCCATCCATCCACCCATCGCCAGCAGACCACCTCTCCCTCATCCCATCGTTTCCCTCCCATCCGCCAGAAGCGACTGTCGTACCTGTGGGCGCGCGCGCGGGAGAGGAGAAGGGGGGTATTGATGCGCCACACAACTGATCCCGAGCCCGCCCTCCCCTCGCACGTTTTGAACGAATAAAAAAGCACAAGAGTTTTTTTTTTGGTGGACGCAACACGGATCTTGCCGTCTTGCTTGGGGTCGTGGCAGCCCTACGGATGCGAGCTTGCGAGCGGGGCCCTTCCCCTCCCCCCCTAGCTGCCTTGCTCTCCCTGGCCAATTGTATCGCTTGCGCTGCTCCTGTCTTCCATTACGCTTCTATGGCTCCGTCGTGCGCTCCGGGGGTTGGGACGAGGTGGTGGGGCTGGGCAGGCTGTATGTATGTACATTGGGACTTGGTATTGGCACTGGTATTGGCACTGGCACTGGCACTGGCACTGGCGGCGGCGGCGGCGGCGGCGGAGGAGGAAGTTACGAGCAAAAGAAGGACGACAGGCGGAGAGTGCTGGTGGTGCTTGCTGGTGGTGGCTTAGATGGTGATTGAAATGATTACTGAATGACAACTTTTCTACTCTGGGTCACAGAACCCGCAAATTTTTTGATCTTATTTGGTCCTCCTGTGTATGTGTAATTGATTAATTAGTTCCTGGACTTCTGGACCTCGACCTCGACCTGGACCTGGACCTACCTCTCTGTGATTGAATGCTGCCATATCTTGGATACCTTGGTAGAACTAACTAACAAAATACTAACTAATTACGCCTACGCTGGATCGCGCCGTGCGCTCCGTGACAACGGAGATGGCCAGCCAGCTTCTGGTCGCCGTCATCGTCGTTGCCGTCGTCGTCGCCGTCGTCGTCTGTGCCACGCCTCGTTTACTAACTGCGCTTGCGCTCTATACGAGGGAAGAAAAGGATGCCTTTCGTGCGGCGGCGGCGGCGGCGGCACCCGCCACTCCCTCCATTCATCCCATCTCCACAGAACACACCAAACTCAGGTACCGGGGGGGTTCTAGACAACTCGCCATCCGATCCGAAGAGATCGTTTATGTGGGTGAGAGATGATGGATTTGATGGCGAGACTGCGTGGTGCTCGGGATGCTCGGGCCATTGCTCGCTTGCTTGCTTGCTTGCTTGCTGGCTGGCGTGCTGCTAATTGCTAATTATTGAATGAAGGGGGGAAAAGGGTAAAAAGGGCAGAAGAAGAAGAAGAAGACGAAGAAGAATCTTGTGATTGAGATGTTGTTGTTTGTTACTCATGGATCACTGGTCTTCTCTGTTGGGCCTTTTCGAAAGAGGGAGAGAGAGGGGGAGGGAAGGGGGGGTGTTGGCCAGCATAATATCATCATGATGCTGTGCAGCAACTCTCTCTGATCACGTATCGTGGCCGCCTAGTCCATTATCCACACCAACCTTTTCTCTCGTCCGAGGGGACCTTGTTAACGGGATGTTGTTGTTGTTGCTGCATCGTCATCGCAGCAAAAGGTTTGAAACACACGTGTGCCTCCGCCGTGGCCGCCGCCAGGGCCCGGCACGCATCATCCGCAGTTTGCATCAGTATGTATCACCTCGTCCGTCGTGCATCGTGCATCGTCGTCGTCGTCGTCGTCGTCGTCGTCGATGAATGAAATGGATCCAAGCCCTCTCCCTTCTACCCCTCTCTCCCTGCGTCGGTCTCTCTCTCTCCTTACAGTAGTACCTCAATCAGTACCTACCTATCTCCACCATCTCCCCTCCCTCCCTTCCTTCCTTCCTTCCTTCCCTTCCTTCCCTCCCATCCCTCCCATCCAGCCCAGCAATCCGCGTCTTCCGCACCAAGCCGTCCCTCCCTCATCTCCCGCCGCAGCCAATGACATTACCCATCAAACGTCGGTATATATATATATTCAAAGCGGATTCTGGTCCTACTAGCTAATAGCTAGCTACAATTACCCACCCGTCCGCCCGTGCGCCCACGACGTACCGTGGTTCATAGTCCATAGTTCATTCATCCAGGACGGACCTCCAGTAAGTAAATTATTACCCCGATTCTGCATTCTAAACGCAATGCACGCATGCAATGCATGCAAAATGACATGCGACGGCGCGCCCGGCTCGCACCTCCCGGGGGCTGCTGCTGCTGCTGCTGATGGATGCATGCATGCATGTGGTTCAGCTAGTTTCGGTTTTGGTTCAGTCTAGAAGGATTATAATATCCGTCGTGCGGTATATTGACCGTACCTTGTTTTTTTGCTACCTATGTATGTATGTATGCTATGGATGCTATGTATGCTGGATGTACGGGACATGCTACCGGCCACATCCACGCACGGCTGGCTGGCACCGTCCGGCCGTCTCCTTTCTTCTGAGTCTCTCGTTCTCTCGCTCGCTCTTTCCCCCTTTCTCCGCTCCTCCCTCCCTCCCTCCTCCTCTTTATTAGGTGGAAGGGAAGGGAAGGGAAGGGAAGAAAAGGGAAAGAAAGAGCGAACGTGACGTGTGAAAAGTCTGGTACCCGATTTCGGGCTGCTAAGGGGGGGTTGTATATCAATCAGGGTTGACCGGAGAGAGTGAGAGAGTGGGAGAAAGTGCGAGCATGTCATATCATGGGATGTTTTGCTGACAAGCAAGCAAAGTAACCTTACGCCAGCCCGCAAGCCATCCCCGGCCAACGGCAATTGACGGCTCTGTTGGTATATACTACTACTAAGATACCTATGGTTTGTGGTGGTGTGGTATGTGTGTCAAGACATACATCCATCAGCAGTCAACAGAAGTCTCAGCCTACGTAATCCCAATCCAACAAGCAAGGGGCAGGCAGGCAGGGGAGCGGAGGGAAGGGGGGGTATCGGCCAAAGAAAACAAGCATTTTCCAATCCCATTAGGTTTGCGGAGAAGTCTTCTTTTTTTTTCCTCTCTTAAACAGAAAAACAGGGGGGGCAGTACCAAAATAAAATAAAAAGATAAAAAAATTTAGAGTTTGAGACGTTGAGCCGTTTAGTGTGTCGTGTGACCCCCGCCGGCCGCCGCCGGCCGTAACCGTTCCTGAGAAAAGAATGAAGCTGAGACAACGGGACAGAATTGAAGTGATGATCCTGATTGCCTGCATGAATTAGACGAGATCGGCGGGGTTTCGTTTTGGGTTTTGGTGGTGGTGGTGGTGGTACCACTGGATCGGATGAGGGCCGTCCAGGTTGATGATGGAATATGGTTACTGCTGGCTAGGTACTTGTTAGTTTGTTATTATTGGAGGAGGCAGGGAGTGAGGGAGGGAGGGGGGACTGTTGCCTGTGTGTGTGTGTGTGTATGTGTACCGTTCGTATACTTAGGTACCTAGGTACAGTATGAATGGATGAATGAATGAATGATAGAAAAAAGCACGAGCCTGTTCTCGCATATACCTGAATCCCAGGTAAACCTCAGCATGTCTGTCCCCCGTCTCTCCATGAATCCCTTCTAAGAGGTAGCGCAATCGATACTGCGGTTTCCTCTTCGGGTATCCCGGCTCCTTCTTTGCTACTAGTGCATCCATCGTATGATTATTCTCCGCCGGTCAGCCAGCCAGCCAGCCCGCGCTTTAGTCAGTCAGCCTTCAACCGTGGTTATTGTTATTGAGGTCCACCGTGTGTGTGTGTGTGTGTGTGTGTGTGTGTGTGTGTGTGTGTGTGTGTCTGTTCTCTTGTTCTGGGTCGGTGAGGTCCATCCCATCCCATGCCATCCGCATCCGCGTTTCCCTCGCTCCCTCTTGTCAACCCAGCCTTTTTGTTTGTGACTATCGATAGTTGGCTGGGTCAGCATATATGCATGTCCGTTAATGTCCTGACTAGCTCGGCTCGGCCGGTCCCATGATGGAGGGTCTGGGCGTTGGGTGAGGTATGTATGACTTGCCTGACCGGCTAGTTGTTGCAAGCAACTTTAAACCTCCTTGACTGACTGGACGAGTGACGAGTGACGACTAACGAGTGGCGATCTTGTTCGTTCGCTCTTTAGGGTTCTTGCTTCGATGTTAGTTGTTCATTGTCGTCATCGTTGTTGGTCTCCTTGCGTGCCTGATCTTGTTCTGCTCTGTCTATACTCAATTTCGATTCGTAATCTGTATAATCTCCTCGATTGTGGTCAATTCTTGAACTTTACATCAATGTCTCCGAGTAGACATCAGAGAGGTAGTAGCCTGATAATACAAGGCCACGTAGACGTCAGCCCACAAACACATACACACACATGGCAACTCTGTCAAGTTTAACGTGGCAAGTCCATCTGAATTCTCTGAAATTAACTCATCGTTCTCGTTCCTTGCTTCTCTGTTTGCTTCTCTTGGGAGAGCTATACCCATTCGACTCGTGATTCTATATTCTTCATGTTTGTTTTGGCTCTTTTGGAGAACGAAGAGCTTTTCTGTCAAGTCGTTTAGACGTATTGAATGACATGTACTTCGTTCGTCTTAGCTCGAATCTTATGGAATGATGAGTAACATGTCGTTTATCACGACTTTTGTTGGCGATTGTGGATTGATATTAGTACTTTGTAGAGATCAAGTAGTGTAGTGGTTGAATCGTTTAAGGACCTCGCCCATCTACAGACACGGTCTTTGGTATGACGGTTGATGATATGCATCTGCAGCTCACACATTATCCTCTATGTATGGCCATACGTGTACGTTGATGACCAGTAAGTAGTACATGCATATACTCTCTGATGGGTATCATTTACTACATGCACTTCGAACTCTGTCGGTTTTGACTTTTGCCTGTCCTGTAGCAGCCAGCGTCTACAATCGCGCATATACAAGTCATGACGTTACTATCCCCGGAAACTACTACCTCTGCCAGCCGTTGGCGCAATCGATCGAATGCATGAGCAGCAAGTCGGAGTGCGGCACACGTGGGCCGCGCGTGAAGTACAATGTCGTCGCGTCAAAGAGGGTCGGTCAGACCAACGCCGCAAATTCTTCATAGGTCCATCCATGCGGCACGATGAGATGTGTGTGTATGTGGCCGAGTGGCGTAAATGCTTCGTGGTACACACACCCAAGAACTTCTATGAGACGCCGCATCGCAGATCGAGAGGGATCAAGCCAGACATAAACAAACTCTATTCTCCTGCGCGTAAGCCGTGTCTAGCCAGCTGGTTGGATCCGTTTCCAATGTTAACAAGGATGATGCGTCGAATGACAAAAAGTCGGCGTGGCAAAGGAGATGGAGGGGGGGGAAGGGGGTGTTGATGGGCTGTATCTGACTGTTTGACTGTGCCGTTATGTGCCGGCTATGTTCTATGTCAGAATGGTGATCAGGTGAGTAGGTAGGTTCAAGCCCGATAGGCAGCAGTACCAAGTTTTAATGAGGCATCACCCGTAAGAGCATTCCTTGATATATTTTCATGGCAAGCAAGCAACACCCTACTTGTATCTCGTTCTGTTTTGTAGCCGCGGTAAGCGCGCACTTCCGAGACAACCAACGCCCTTTCGCGGACTAACAACAGATTCTTAACATGACTCAGTCCAACCACTACTGGTTCAGCTTAAGCTTCTCCGGGCCAAACTTCATCAGCAATCGCTCGTACCAATAGCAACTTCTTCCGCATGTCCTCATGGCCCAACGCATTCCCTTCAGCATGGCTCGCAAACCCACACTGCGGGCTGACTGACAGTCTCTGCAGCGACTCCTTCCTGCTCTCACCTGATCCCTCAGCTACATAGTCAGCGGCCTTGTAGATGCGGTCTACCATGTTCTGCTTGTTCTCAAGCTCCGGGAACTTCGAAGTGATGACGCCCAGGACAACGTTCTTGTTCTTGGGCAGGTGCTTCAGGGGCTCAAAGCCGCCGGCACGCGGTGTGTCATACTCGAGGTAGTATGTAGAGACGTTTAGGTCATTAAACAGCTTAGTTGCGATACGATCATAAGCTCCTTCGCTAAAGTGCTTGGAGCCGAGATAGTTGCCTCTGCACAGATGAATACCAAGGTGGAAGTCTGCAGGTCGCTACGTGTGCGTGTTAATGACTGTAAACGAGGGCTTCTCTTGAAGTACGCACCTCGAAACACTTATTATAAAAGCGGATATAGGCGTCTAGCTGCTCGTCTGCGGTCTGGAAGTTCTGTGTATCCGCAGCCCATCCTTCAAGCATGGGCTCAGAGCAGAAATACTGTGCAATGATTAGCTCTCATCTCACTATCACAATGATAACACCCACGGCCAAGTTCGGATCGTCGACTTGAGCATTCCTGAGTCCGGCGTCATAGAGAATCTTGAGTTCTTGTTGGTAAGCTTTGGCCAGGTCGTCGAAATACTCGTCGTCGTTGTTGTATACCCCCTGTACGTACGCCTTGTTAGGCCCGTATCTGAAGTGATACCAAGACGGACTTGTCAGGGTCAGCTTGATGCTGCTCCATTTCTCCTTGGGTAAGATCGACTTCAGATACTCCAACTCCGGTAGGAAGCTACTCCGTCCCGGGTGTGAGAGTTTGCCTACGGCCACAGTGACTTGGTTTGGGATTGTCTTTGCATGCATGAAGCTCTTGACGTCAGGCGCGTATGCCCGGAAAATAGACTGGTCGTAACCGCCTTCGCGAAGATTGACTTCTTCCATACCATTCAACGTCTCCATGAACGCTTAATAGCTGTCAGTCCATCGTGGATTATTGACGCTGGGCCGATGACGTCACTTACTTCCCCAGAACTGATGGCGACTGTATTCTCCATTCGTGATGCTGTGAATACCGCATTCTTGCTGAAGCGTTACGACATCCTTGATTGCCTTCTGCTCGATCGGCACCAGAGATTCTGCCGTGTCTGAGCCTCCTGCTACGGCATATCTCTTGTCGACCAACTCCTTTGGCCGGAGGAGGGAGCCGATGTGCTCTGGAGCTACGGGTTAGCGCAGGCACTTGATCGATTGACTCTGTGTACCTACCAGCTCGGAACGGAGGATTGCGCGGCGAGGACACCATAGCGATGAGTACGATGTTGGACACTGTCTTTGCTGCATTCCAAAGATTCGAAATGCTCCTCTACCCCTCTCCATGCATCGTGACTCGCGAGGTGGGTGATTGTGGCACGTTGTGCCGCCCTCAACTGCCGAGAGCATGCTTACCTAGGATGAATTTGCCATCATAAAACTGGAGTATTAAGAATGTGTAGTCGGACTTTGCTTCTAGAGTCACTTTATGAGGTCGCTGTATAGCATGTGCACAGGAAACCTACCAGTCCTCTCCTCTAGTTACCATCATTCTACGAACCAAAACCTCCAGGAAGCCGGAGCTTTTTTGTACTGGTTTTCAGGTTTATGAAGCAGTGAAGGGAATGGCTTCCGATGATGACACAGGGGCTATATCAGGATGCACAGGCATACAAAGGGATACATACAGTCACAAGCATCGAGCTGACAGGACTTAGCTTCAATACACACCATAATGCCCATCAAAACAACATCCCATAAGCCTCATCATCCTCCTCTCCGTGCAATATGTACACGTAGTCTTTACTTTTACCCGGTCGCGCCAGGCCTAGAACAGGGTCCTTTACCGAGCTATACTTGTGGATCTTCAGCCCCGAGCACGTAATCGATCGAGGGTGTTCGTTAACAACTACAATTCTATGTCAAGGGCACGCTTTTGAGTCTCGTAACCACATTATGACTCTCCTAGGCAGGTCCCACCCTCTCCTGTGCTGAATAAAGACGCGCACTAGGCTCGGCCGGCTGACACCAGGATTCATGGATGGACGGGAGTGCCGTCGCCATTGCAAAGTGCTTACCGTCTAGGGAACAGGTTTTCATTCCATATTTTGATAGGTAGCGCGACCTTATTCGTTAGTCAAGACTAAATCGAAGCCTTTTTCTGACAGGCTTGCCAGGATTTCTGCCCTCCAACACCAAAGAAGTGACAATGCAACAACGGCGTGCGTCACTACACCCTCCTGTCCCGTTGGGATGCAAGGGTAGGTACCATGACTCTATCGATGCTTGTTGGTTGGTCTGTATGTGCGCGGTTGGCTGTCTGTGTGTAACATCTTGAGACATGACACTCGCAGACTTGGGAGGGAGGAGGGGGGTGCGTGGGAGGTCCACTTCCGAGTATTGTCTGCTGCGGTAATCATGAAGCTGGAACATGCAGAGATAAACACGGTCTAATGCTCCAAGACACTGGAATACAGTCACAGACCCAGGTCTTCGTGGTGCCATAAGACAAGCCGCGCTCTGCTTACTGCCATGCTTCCGATCCTTGCTTCTCCCTGGCTGTTCCAACATGGCAAAAGCGACTAGCAGACAGTTTTAACAACAACCTGTGCGTCGCCTTGCTGTAAGGCTGAAGACTAAATTGTGGGAACGGGAAGCTCGTAACGTGGAAGGCAATATCAACATATCCAATAGAATTGTGTCCATTGTTCTCCTTTCTGAAATTGAAGGCCAGGGCTAGGATGCAAGCACATCTCGCAACCCCTTACATGTCCTCAATATCCTCAGTGGACTTCACCACCAATAGATAAATCTGCAGTCAGCATCAGCAGCCCGGTCCCATCCACGCTCAGCGAGTATGACTGGCATCAATCAGGACCCTGCCTTGACATCTGAGAGCGTCAGGGGCCACAAAACAAATACTCCGAGGTCAGCCTGCATATATGTGGTCGCTTGCTCCAGACAACAAGAATCCTGTTGGTTCGCTGTCTGATTTGATCAAGCATGTGGGCTTACGCGCGCTTTGCGCCGTCTGAGCCGACCCGTGCCGCCTCCGTGCATGGCCATGGGTAGTGTTTGCTGAACTTGGGAGGATGGTGGCTATTATCTGAATGTCAAGGATAAACTTATACCTCACCTGGCGTGCACCAAAATGTCGAGACAACCCACGAGGATCAAGCTTTGCCCTGCTGATTCGTGCCGCGTATCGGTGCAGCTTCCGTTCCTGGAATCGGGCCTTGTGTGCACACGAAGGGGCAATGTAGCATGTGGACAGAGCGACGTTGCGAGTGAGCATTATGGCTCGTGATCCGTAGAACATGTGGCCTTGCTCGTTCAGGTATTCATGGCCCTGAATATTGTCTTAGTTGCTGGCAGTTCATGAACCCAATGACATGCAAGGCGGACTCCGTGACATCTCCGATGACATGGGAGTTGTTGGTAACAAATAACGGAGATCGAGATGAGCACTTTAATAAGGAATGATGGCTTGCGAGGACCTGTATCTACCACTAGGTCACCAGTGCCACAAAGGCTTGAATGGTGGCATTCAAAATCAGGGGAAACTTCAGGTCAATCGACAGGGACCTAATCTGTATGATTATCAGCTCGATGTCATTGTATTTACTTATTGGTATGAGCCTTAGTCCAAAAGACACAGTGGTGGCTGTGACAAGTCACCGAGCGACTGGTGAAAATCACCATACAACTTTGAGCTGATGAGGAGGGTAGATGCGACATAATTAATAGTATAACCACACTTTTGTAGCAGTATATATGACGTTCTGAACTAACAACATCGCCTTAATCATAGCCTATGATTATAGCATCAGATAGCTTAGCCCCTGTCCTCTTTGTTCTTGTGCGATCCAGGGGTGCAGACTCAGGTCTGTGTGGAGGAGAAATGTGGAAATGATCCTGATCATGCCCACGCATCAACTGGCTGGAAGAAGCATTTCCCCTATGCGGAGTGACTGGCAGACAGCGTTTCTTCTTGGGCGAAGTATTTTCGTCATCGGAGGTCAAGTCAATGACATTTCGTCCGCCTAAGCACGCGGCCGGCTCCTCGTCCGGACGGCTCTTCAATACCCCTATACATGCGAGGAACAGAGCCTTTGCAGCAACTGGCGGGAACGCATTACCTATTTGTACTCGAATTTCCGTCTTAGAGCCAGCGAACTGATGTCTCATTGGGAAACCTTGGAGGCACGCTGCTTCCCGGATAGTGAACTGTCTGTGCTGGTCGTAGTTTGCGTCTGGCCCACTAGTCGTCATACATGAACGGAGCCCTCGCGATCTATCAGCAACTGGCATATTCCTGGCTGGTTCGTGGGTCGAGAGTGAATCTCCGCGGGGGATGCCCCGTATTGCTTGATCGATAGAAACGAGCGTCCGAAGGCCACTGCCTGCTTCTCCGTGTGTCGGTGCTGGCCACGATGGCATCGTGGCGCCATGCCTTCTCATCTATTAGTTTGGTTTGATGATTTTAACTTATACACTTACTTAACAGCCACCATCAATAATCTAGGTCGCGATTGCTGAGGAAGTCCAAATTCTGCCAGGTTTTCCCTTCTCCACTGCACATCGTACCCACTGTCATGTATCTGCGCCACAAGGCTTTTGAAATAGTCAAGGTGCCGATTCATCAGCCCAGCTGTTTCCTCGAGGGTCACGATACGAGGTTCAATCGCTTTGATAAGCATACCGACGGAGAATATTGCTGCGGTATTTTTGTCATCATGACGTCCCTCTCTAGTGTGCGCCGGGCTAAAGTACTGGCATGGCGGGCTCATGTGGACGTGGTCGATTTGCCCTTTGTGTTGTTCGGCGAACCGTTGAATGAACTCAGAAACGTCCATACAGTAGTGCTGACTACTTGGGAAGTTTGCTTTGAAGCTCTCAATCTTCGTTGCATCAATGTCAACGCCACCCATGATAGTGTACCCGGCTGCTCTTGCTCCGGCTGATGCACCTCCAGCACCACAAAAGACGTCGAGAAAGATGTAGCTTGATCTTTGGGAGACGATTGTACGTGCTATTTCTAGAATGGATCGAAAGGATCCACCTAAAGGCCTTACGGACTGGACTTGACGCTGTGAAGCGTTCTTGTAAAGATTTATTCTGGTAAATCGCGCAGTAAGTCTGGCGAAATGCGTTATGTAATGGCGATCGTCATTGTTATTCTTTCTGTAATATACGGCATCGTCACCATGCCTCCACGACTCCAAGGGATATGGTCGTGTTGTGATGACCAAATCTCTCTTCTTCATTACGGTCCGGGCGTCCACCTCAATTTGGCCCTGGACCTCCTCAGGCCTTGGATCATTAATATCAATGTCCATATCACAAAACACCTCATTCAGCCATGCTGTGGTCACGATTCCACGATAGTGCTTCGACCTACGGAATCTTAAACCACGGAAGAAGACAATCGGCGGTGCCCCTCCATCAGATTCTGTGGTATCAAATACGATGTCATGAATCTTGAGGAAGTCTGACTCGTTAACTGAATCGGAACTATCCATTCTCTGAAATTCAACGCAATCATTGACTACCACAATTTCCCCGTTGTCTAACCGGAAATTTGTAATGCTGATCTTGGGATATTGGATTGGTCCATTGCGTTGGACCGTTTGTGGTACGTTCGCGCTGAAGTGGGTGTCTTCAAGTTCGTCTCCCAGGTCGTCACAAAGTTCGAGGCCTGTAAATGCCTGTGCTGTTGCTGCGCTTGAGTCAGCTAACCAATGCACTAACGTAGCAAACTCAAGGGATTTACTCACCAGTGACGTCGTCAAGGTCTATCGGACGATCCGCAGACCCATTTTGTACACTCATGTGCCTAAATCCAGGCATCTTGGATTTGAACGATCGATGTAGGCGCTATAAAGGGAAGGCAGAGAAGTAGGTAGACAAGAGAAAAAAATAAAGTAGGTTTTAAGACGGTTTCACGTTGACGGTGAGAGTGAATAGATTTGACTGAGCGGATGGTCAACGGCGATAGCCATGAAGTGAATTGCGTCAATCCAAGTGATTGACCTCGAAAAAGCCAGGCTTTGAAAATGGAAACATAATAGACACATGAAATTGTGAGAACAAATGAGATTGGCAGTGTAATTCCAACATTACCTTGCACTTCACTGTGTAAGTTTTTATCACAGCAATACGTCAAAGGCCATGTAGCGCTGTACAGCACATACTTTATGATAGACTCAAAGTTACATCACCAGGCAACCATGTGGTCTCGTTGCCAGTACGCGATTAGTGCTCATTTGAGACCGGGTGCAGCTTCGAGTTCACGTTCGATTTGTCGAATTGAGATGTCAGTCCTGAATCATAGTTATTGCATGTGTATGGAGACAGAGCCGATGTGATTAGATATATTCCTCGGTTACGGAGTGATATGTGTAAATGAGTGAGGATCACGAGGTCTCTAGAGAATGACTGCAAGGCCGAAGTAGGCGCGAGAGCAGACGCCATACCGCAGTCCGTTAGTAGGTGCAACCAATCAAGCAACGGCAAATTTTGATCGCAACACTGGAACCATTCTATATCTTCCCGGGCGAACTTCAACGTCCTAGAAATCCTAAACAATGGGCTTCCTGCACTTTTTGAATCTTGTCTCTCGCCTTGCTCAAGGGGACTTCTCTGCCTTTGCGCAGGACCGTCTGCACCGTTTTCCACAGCTTCAGGTTCCACATTGACGTTATTGCGCCCCTCCGCAGCATCCCACTTCGCGACGGTCACCAGAGATTTTTTTGCACATCGCCTGTGGCTCTACATATTCACACCAGGCCCGGAGCACTATCTAGCAGGATACATGTAAGTGTCCTTTGTCTGGGTTCTAGATTTTCATATGATGTTTTCAAATATTATAGATGTTAGACTTCCAACGCCAAAAGCGTATGCGGAGAAATTCCTTTCTGATATATAATGTTTGCTCATTGGATCACGCCTCAGCACTATCGTAGCCAAAGCTGACTTCTGTATCTCATACAGATCCAAACATACTTTAGTTACAGTGTTACAGCCTTGACTACACCATGTGTGGCATCATTGCCGTAATCCACGGCGACCCGGCATCCACTTCAGCTGCCGTTGAAATCCATGATGCCCTATACCTCCTACAACACCGTGGACAAGATGCATGTGGCATCGCGACATGTGGATCTGGAGGGCGATTCTACCAATGCAAAGGCAATGGTATGGCCTCAAGAGTCTTCCATGACGGTGCGCGTGTCGCCGATCTTCCGGGATGGATGGGCTTGGGACATCTCCGATATCCCACTGCTGGTAGCAGCGCAAACTCGGAAGCCCAGCCGTTCTATGTGAACAGTCCCTATGGTATCTGTTTCACACACAACGGGAATCTGATCAACGCTCCTGAGCTTACCCGATTCTTGGATCAAGAGGCCCATCGACATATTAATACAGAGAGCGATAGTGAGCTCATGCTCAACGTTTTTGCAAGCGAACTGAATGAGACCGGAAAGGCTCGTATCAACGCCAATGATTGTTTTGCAGCTCTTGAGAGGATGTATCAAAAATGCGTCGGTGGCTGGGCTTGCACAGCAATGCTTGCAGGTATGCAGAGTAGACGCACAATCAAGCCAATGCTGATGTGTTCACAGGTTTTGGCTTGATTGGTTTCCGGGATCCATACGGCATTCGTCCTATGGTACTTGGCTCTAAACCCTCCGATACTGGTCACGGGAAAGATTACATGATGGCCTCTGAGTCTGTGGCATTGGTCCAGTGTGGGTATAAAGACTTTTTCGACATTAAGCCCGGACAAGCTGTTATCATCGAAAAAGGAAAAGAGCCCGTCTTTCATCAGGTTCACAAGCAGCTTGGATACGCTCCCGACATCTTTGAATATGTCTATTTCGCGCGACCTGATACGATTATCGATGGTATTGATGTAGATGAAAGCAGACGCAATATGGGCTTCAAGCTCGCAGAAACCATCAAGAAGCAACTTGGCTCTAAGACGTTGGAAGAGATCGACGTGGTTATGCCAATACCCGAAACATCGATCACATCTGCGTTGTGTGTTGCTGAAGCTTTGAATAAACCATACTGTCAAGGTTTCGTGAAGAATAGATACATCTTTAGAACCTTCATTATGCCTAGTCAGAAGCTGAGGCAGAAGGGTGTTAGAGCTAAGCTCAACCCTATGAAGAAGAAATTCGACGGCAAGAACGTGCTCCTGGTAGATGACAGCATCGTCCGTGGGACTACAAGTCGGGAGATCGTGCTGATGGCTCGTGAAGCCGGCGCCAGAAAGGTCTACTTTTCTAGCTGCGCGCCTCCTATCACGTAAGTCCTTCCTATACCTCCACTGGTATACAAGGGTAACATTGTCTAGCAATGCGCACATATACGGCATCGATCTCGCATCTAGCTCTGAGCTGATCGCTCATCATCGATCATCCTCGGATATATCGCGCATCATTGGCGCTGACGATGTCATCTACCAGTCCCTCCCTGACCTGGTATCCGCATGTGCGGCACTATCTCCTCGCGACCCTGCAACCCAGAATTTCGAAGTCGGTGTGTTCTGTGGCAAGTACGTGACTCCAGTAGATGATGAGTACTTTGAGCACCTCGAACGCGTCCGAGGCGAGAGTAAGAAGATGAAAATCAGAGAGCAGGCGAAGGATGCTGTTCTTCATGGAACTGCAGGTGAGAAAGAACTTCGCATGGCCGCAAAAGGTGTGGAGGTAGACAAACATGGTAATGTTGTACCTTTGCACGGTACTGATGAGTCCTGGGTCCAAGGTCAAACAGACCAGGTCGCAGTCGGACCCACTACGACGAAAAGGTCAAATGAGTTCCACGCTGAACGCAAGCGGAAAAACAGCGATGAGTCAGCGAAGGTCAAGAACACGCAGGATTTAAGCCTCCATAACTTCAATGACCATCCGTGAGAGGTTCTACAGGTTTACACAGCGGACGTATGGAGGCGATACGGAGTTTCGGCTGCGATACAGGTCGTTAGGATGTTCTGTTTCGTTGTCCTTATTGCGTATGTGTGATACTGCTTGGGAGGATACTTTGCATGAAAAGTTGTATACTGCTTAGAGGTCCCAACATACAGCGGACTTCACAGCCGCGCTTTATATATACCCCTACCATACTCTCATTCTCTTGACAGACTTGGAGCTATGTCAGCAGCTCCTCTACACGAAATGTGCATTACGTATCGGGACTCCGCTGCCAAACATGCAAAGTTGACAGAGTCTACGTGGTACATCGATACAATTCTCGCTCCTCGTTATGTATGTACACTTCTGACACTATAGGAACCATGAAAACGCTCGCCATCAGAACACCGCATATGAAACCCTACATATACCTGATTTCCTCGCAATCTTGCGAATCTCAATCCTGCCCACATCACTTGTCCGCGGTAAATGCGTCCCTCCACACGGATAACTTCCCACGCCCTCGATCTCTACCGCCCTCAACAACCCACTCGTATCCCCATCCGCCCTGTTACCTGCAAGCATATCTTCCAATCCCTCACATCCGCCCTGGCACTTCTCTCGCATAGTCTCCACATTCCACCAATGTATATATACCGCAGTGTCTTTCGTCCCGAGTTCGTTTGCTCGTGCTTCGATGGCGGATTTATATTCTGATGGAATCGTGCCTTTGAACTCGACGTTTGCGGACCCGGGAACATGCGACGCTTTGCCGTCGATTAGGCCTGCGGATGGTAGTATCTGGTGCGCTGCAAGGGCAAGGATGTGACCGGCGGTGTGCCAGCGAGAATGAAGAGCTCGTTTTGCGGCATCAATTTCTTGTATGAGAGGGCTTGAGGGTTGGAAAGACGGTGTGGCGAGGGGGAAAGTGCCGAGGTGCAGAATGCGCGTGGGTTTCGTTACTGAGGAGCGCACAAGGGAGACGACGAATGAGGAGCGTTCGGGATCGCGGATGGTGCCGGTGTCGGCGGGCTGGCCGCCGCCTTGAGGGTAGAAGATTGTGCGATCCGTGGTGAGTATGTAGGAGTCTGCAGGAGGAGATTTGAAGAGGGCTTGGTCAAGTTCAGGGATAGATGAGAACGGGGTGAGGGATGTGAGGGTTGAGGAGAGGATGTGGATGGAGGCGTCGTGGAGGTAAACGCTGCTGGGCGAGGGTATTGTGGGAGCTTGGTCCTAAAGAAGAATCAGTCAGTACGAAAGATTTTGCTTGAGTTGAGTACTTACAGTCATTGTTCTTAGGCGCATACAGTTGTTCTGGATACAAGGTGAGAGGAAACGCGGATTCTAGCTAATGGAAGTGAGCGCCAGAGAGTTGTAAGGTACATCTAGTCTCATTCATTTGCAGGTAGGCACGTTCTGCCGAATAGCTACACCTTATATGTACACATTGTAAGGTTCCAATTGAGCATCGTTGACTCACTTATTCGACATGCTTCCTGCCGTATCATACGAATTAGATGTTTACCAAAGGGCGCGGTGTGACGTGCAATAGACGTGGACTAATCTAACACAAACTTTAGCGAGTCTGCCCACACACGAAATTCGGGTCAATCTCGGTGATCACTTGCGATTCCGCAGCTCTCCCACGATAGGACTACTCACGACTCTCACCTCGATCTGTCGACTTTGAAGCCCTTCATACTCGTCCTATCCTTCCCGCTATCCCATATAGCTAGCCTTGACCTGGTACATCCAACCAGAAGGCCCTGTTCGAGACTCCGCAAGTGACAGCCTCTCCTCGCATCACCTCACACTCCGCCATCATGGATCAGGCAAAGCTTGCTAAGATGCAAGCGTCGGTGCGCATTGGTAAGTAATTTGCTATAGAACTCCAATAGACATCTTCTTTCCAACATTTTCATGAATGCTGACATGATATAGGGTAAGCCTTCTCATTTTTATGTCGTAGCTCGGGTCGAGCTTCCGCACACGATACAACCATCCTATGATACTGTCGCACACCAGACAGCTATAAGAGTGTGAGCATTACTGACGCGATCCCGCAGCGGCAAAGGCACACCGCGTCGTAAGGTCAAGAAGGTCAGCCGGACCGGTGGAACCGACGACAAGAAGCTACAAGGAGCATTGAAGAAACTCAATGTGCAACCAATTCAAGCAATCGAGGAAGTCAACATGTTCAAGAGCGATGGAAATGTTATTCACTTTTCAGCACCAAAAGGTACGCCTGTCTCATGTCCCAAACCACCAGACAGCAGAGCTGTTCCCCAAACTCCGAAACTTTTGCTATCAAAACAACCTGTTCGTCCATACCCCAGCCCTAACATGACTTCTAGTACATGCATCTGTTCCATCAAACACCTTCGCTATTTATGGCAACGGTGAGGACAAGGAGCTGACCGAACTCGTCCCTGGAATCCTAAACCAGCTGGGTCCCGACTCGCTGGCATCACTGCGCAAACTCGCGGAGAGCTACCAAAGCATGCAGAAAGAGAAGGGTGAGGGCAAGGATGACGATGACGATGATGACATCCCAGACCTTGTAGCGGGGGAGACCTTCGAGGGCAAGAATGAAGTAGAATAAGCTTGAGCAGGTCCAAAGCCGAAAAAATTGCAGTCAAGGACTCGTGGGTATAACTATGAAAATGAAAAAGGCCGATATCGAGCTTCTCATCTCTTTGGCGATTTATGGCGGACTGGATTGGAACGGAGGTTCCGCAGATAGCACCTCTTTTGTAACCAGCAATTAAGCAATAGGACTCCTCGATGAGGTCCAATGTAAGTACCTCCTTGCTCTCTGTCCTAATGTGTCGTACTTGAGCATACCAGCAGCACACAGCTGTCGACACGTGTAGAAGAGCTCCCGAACCAGCAAAGATTACCAGAAAAATGATTTTATTCTGCCCCAAACCCGAGAATCTGAGATGCAGCACTCCCAGAAGCAATCGCTCAACCTGGCAGTGTTTCAGGTGGGGCTGAGCACACATGCGCCAAAGTTGCAATCCTGGTGCCTAAATCCTGAGGTGTGCGTTTTGGGGGGGGGCGGTGTACTTCTACTCACCTCTAGTCCTCCCCTCAAACTACTCTGGTTAATCTGGTTTGTCACTTAGTTTTGCTACCGGTAAGGTGAAAGTCGAGGAGTGCCATTTCCTTGACGTCTCATATGGACTTTTTTCCATTCATCAGAGCGTATATTGTGTCTAATTGCATTCAAAGCATTTAGTAATCACTCATAGCACGCTGTTACTAAATCACGTTCAGTATTGAGGAATTTGGAAAAATGTCGAGAGTACAGCAGCTACGGCTGCGCTTCGAGAAAGGAAATGAGTCGCAAATTACACCTAGAAATGTAATCTTTCCGTCGTCAGAGCGTTCGATATTGCGAGACGTACTCATATCTGCGCACGGTTTTCAAAAACCGAACAGACAGGAAATCCCAATCATACGTGGGCAGACCCAGCGACAGCCAGTGAGGATATCACAGCATATTGTACCATCCGACTCATACAACATTAAAGCAACTACCGCTGTATCAACACAGCAGCCATTGCCGCCATTAGCACCAAGGATACCTCTTAATCCAGTCAGAAGCAGGATACAAAACCTCGAAGGGATCCTGCAGAAAGAAACTCGTGCGCTTGTAGAGCACAAGGTTCAAAATGAGAAGCTTCTGTGCAACAAGAGTGAAGCCGTGGTGCGGCGGCAGAGTTACGCGAAGGAGCGGATGAGACGAGAGCTGGAAGAAAGGGAAGCTCGCCGGCGGTGGTGCGTCTCATGTTTCGAAGAGGCAGATATGAGTGACATGGTCGAGGCTCCATGCCGACACTGGTACTGCCCAGGTTGTCTATCAGGTAGAGAATCAACTTTTCCGTTCTGGCAGGGGTCAGCTGACTCAAGGCAGAAGCATTCACGATTTCTCTGACATGCCGCCGCGAATTCCGCTGCTGCTCTATTCCTGCCCCTATCAGTCTTTTACCATCTCCGCCGTCCAACATATTTGTGTCGCGCTACAACGATCTCGTTTTGGAGCTCAGCACGCCTAATCCATTATACTGCCATAATAGACGCTGCAGCGCTTTCTTACCACCTTATCTTCTATTCGGACCCGACATAGCTCACTGCGTAAAATGTTACGCGCAGACGTGTCGACATTGTAGAGGCAGAGCGCATACGGCGACTGTGTGCGCACATGATGTTTCCATGAATATGGCGATCCAATTAATAGACAAGGAGGGCTGGAAGAGCTGTCCTACGTGTCGAAATGTAGTGGAAAGGAGCGGAGGTTGCTTGCATATTACTTGTCGATGTATGACGGTGAGCGTCCTCGATCTGCTATGGATGCCAATAGACGTGCTGTTGACAAAGCGTATAGGAATTTTGTTATCGTTGTGGTGGGCCGTGGAAAGATTGTGAGAGTAGTTGCGGTGACAATCAGTAACTAAAGTGGTAAGCAATTCCAATCTTCCCGAGACAAGTTGGACAGGAGGTCCCCTTCCAGAGCTTAGCTATTGGGGCATCTTCCTGGTTATAAACCTATGGGTCTTTCTTGAGACATGCAACAACACTGTATGGGTGCTCATTCCAATTCATGTCTTTCAATGATTGCTACGCACACAACAAAATTACGCATGTCTTTGTCTTGAATACCAGTAGATATCTACATTTACAGTTCATGACCACGCAGCAACAGTCCTAATCTATAAGACTTTCACTACTAATACGACTAGTGTGCGACACCTGAAATATACAACTGGTGGCCTTTCCAGTTCCCGTCTCCGCCCCACTTATCATATGAGCCATAATCGCAATAGAATAAGACGTTTCCAAGCCCTTCAACACAGTTCTTCACTGTCTGCGTCTTCTCTTCTTCGGTATAACCCTTGGCTTGGTTGTAGTCCGTGACCACGCCTTGGATCTGGACGAGCTTTTTGCTCTCGTATGGGAATTTGCCGTCCAAGGGATATTGCACTTGCATACTGGCTCTGGAATCGTAGTACACGTATCCACCATCCACTATCCACTCCTTACAAAACCGTTCGATACTCGGCTGAACATCTCCTTGCTGAAATTGGAAGTTAGACTTGGTGTTGTCATAGCACGCCAAGTTCGCAGGTTTATTAGGCTCGGGATCAGACGGAGGATCTGAGGGAGTATCCGAGCCCGGATTTGAGAGTAGCTCTTGAATCGCAGCTTGTACAGCAGCCGCGTCACCATACGACGCAAACCCTGTGAATGGCTCGGCCCCATAGCAGTAGCAATCCTTCCAGAGATTGTCATGTGCTGTAAGCTATTGATAGTATTAGTCGGGCTCGACCTGAGATAGGAGGTTTGCATACCCCAGTACACTTGCCGCTGTCTCCAGATTGGGGCCCACCACATTCGTTGCATTGCAACACAGGATCCTCTTTAGTTTCCGCTGGACACTTCCTTTTGCACGGGCCTAGAGTATAACTCAGTTAGAGTCATAAGTAAAATGGAGGGACTGAACGTACATTTCTCACCAACGGTGCAAACGTCGCTATCGTCACCTTTGCAGTCCGACGCTGGGCAGTCTCGCTGTGGCTTTGCTGTACACTTCTCGAATTCCTGTAAAAAGGGGTTCGGCAGCTTCTGTGCCAAAGGTGCGTGCGCAGTCAATTCCAGACCCATCCAGAAGTTGGCTGCAATCAATGCGACCGGGATCGCCAGCAGTCCAACACCGACAACACCGGCGGCCACAGCTCCAATAGCTCCAATGCCTATGGTGATCTCAACAGAGAGAAAGTCTGGCATGGGCAAGTCTCCTGGGCCTCTTTTCTGATTGCCAGCTAATGCATCATTGAGACGCTTCTGGAGATCCGGCGATATGACTAGCGAATACTCGTCCTGATCATTCACTTTTCCAGTAAAGATAGCAACGTGTGCTGTAGCAGTCTCAGTGCCAGACGAAAGTACTGTTAAATAGTCTTGGTTCTATACAAGCGTTAATCAGGGCCAGAGCGTGTTTTCCGGCTGGTTGGCTCACTGGACCTATGAATTCTGTACTTCCACCCTCTAATTTCAAGTATTTGGGGTCCAATGGACCTTTTATTTGGTAGTCCGGGACTTGGAAGGGCTGTTGTTGACGCTTATCGATCGCAACAGTGGGGGTTTGCAAAGTAGGCGCATTGGTGACAGCAGTCGCAGCGACAACAGAGGCCCATGTAAGGTAATTAAGAAGCCTAAACAGCTTGATGGTCATTTTTGGCAAGTAAATGATGAATGAGATACTATTTGAGAGTATCATTCATGTTCGGTTCCCTCCAGGATATTTATTCAGCAAACACCGTGGTATGATTTCTACTGACCAGCCATAAGCCTTATGAGTGCTTGGGACACAGATACTGGTATTGCCACTCTAAATCTGACTGGGCGGTCCCTGAAACAATACAGTTTGGGGGCAAATGATAAGCTGACTTGATCTCGGGTCGATAATTTTGCACACCAGCCAGGATAATCACGGGAAGTGATGGTATACACATGCTTCGTAAGGACCTTGGCACATCGCATCCGTGTACGCCACAAGAAGAGCATAAATCACCATGGACCCAAATAGTTCCTTGCTGATAATTGAGTAGATCATCTAGACGCCACTGATTTGATGACATCGTGACACAAAAGAAACACAGCCTCACGTCTCAAAGGGAGTCACTTTTCATCATCACTCATGTTTCAGGATCGCTCTCAGGATCGTTCATGCACGGCTGACATGCGAGTCGGCAGAGCCCGGGCTCGACCAGAAATGGCTCTTTGTAAACATTTCAAGTATTCTCCCTAGCATTAATGGTACAACAAAGTTATTTTGAGAATGCGCCATTCCACATATACTACTCTATTTACATTCCTGATATAGAAATGTCTCCTGGTTTGTCTATATATGACCTTGTGGTAATCCCACCGAAGTATATACTTTGCCATCTCCTCCCCTTGACAGTTCATTCATTTAGTCGCATCATGCATATCACGTCCATCCACCGCAATCCACTCCTTGTGGTGGCATCCCTTGTCCTCTCTACTCATGCGGCCGACCCGACCTACTGGATCCATTCCAGCTGTGCGCCTTATGGATTTAGCGACGTCATGGCCGATTCACTTTCCATGGCGACGAGTTCAGTCACCAACAAAGATGTCTACGACCTCCAATGGGCCTTTAAGTGGATCTTCGGGTCGAAGAACACGACGCCCTCGCAAGAAATTGCAGCAAGATACAAAGTAACGAACCGTAAGCGTACTCCACTGAAGGCTCCTCACGTTTCTAATCCTAACCTACCTAGTCGTCATGGCAGAAATAGGAAATCTTAAATCCACCGACAATAGTGCCACTGCTTCTATCCGCATCTATTGCGACAACGACGCCCGCTGGACTCTGGCTCCGGACCGCCCTGATACCCCTGAAGGACAGAAGAACAAAGACAAGAAACCCAGTGATCAGTACTGGGTCGATAATGAAAACGGATTGCGCAAACGAGGTCCGCCGTCTTGCAAAGACTCCGGCATGATGGGTGTCACATACCATAGCAGGACTGACGTGCGCGACGACTACGATCCCTCCCAGCTACGACCACGCGACGTCATCACCATCTGCAACAGTATCCTGACGGGCTCAGGGGCAGAGAAGTTCCGTACCTTGAAGACATATATCAAGGGCTATCACGTCGCTGGCAGAAAGTCGAAGCAGCTAGAGCTTATAGCTAGCTTCACGTTGTTGCATGAACTGGCACATTGCAAGCCATGGGCTAGTGAGTGTTTGTGGCCTTTTTGATTCTATATTAGTGCTAATTGTGAGCAGAGGATGACATCCCGCACCCATATGGCTGGAGCAATGTTATCGAAAATCGCCATCCACAGGATAACGCGGAGAACTTTGCGTACTTGGGCCTTTTTGCTGGGCTGCTGGACAACAAGTATCGCTTGAACTTCAACCCACGAGATGCCGAGGATGGTTATATCGAGCAGCTTCCGTTGAAGAAGACAAAACGTGATGTTCCTGCCAAGTGTCGGGACGTTTTCTATCGGCGTAACAATGTAGAATGTATGGAGGTAGTTGTGGTATAAATCTTTCACAAGAGAGTATTAATGTAAATAGTAGAGTATCGTGTTAGATGAACGAACAGTATGTACTCGTTAAACCCACAATCCAAGTATGTTATGAGCGTGGCATTATTTTAAAGTCTTGACGAAGCTGCTTAGCCTTTGACTTTCCACAGGAGACTTTATACAAATGCGAAAACCGCTCTCCAATCTCTTCTATTAGCTCTTTCCAAGTCTTGGATTTCCGGTCTTTTGATCACCTCAAGACTTCAACCCACGAACCATATATACACACACACACACACCATTACTGGGCTCTCCACACTCTTCACAAGGACCGACACCCTCGCCATATGCATCGCATATTGACCCACTCTTCCCCAAAGTCCCATGCGTCTGTGTAAGATTCTCCTCATTCCCATCAGAATTTGGCATGCAGCTTTCACGTGCTTATCTCGTTAGAGCGCTTCGTCTCCACGCTATCCAGGGTTAGTCATTATGCCGGACTTTGTCGCTGCATGGAGGAACACGTGCGGCAGGCTCAGGAATGTTGAAAATGTAGATGATGGCGAGGTGTGGAAATGGTAGGAGACGGGTGCTGAGCGACATGGTGGATGTGCAGTGTATTCAAGGATTTAAGGGCGGAAAGTAAGTGAAGCAGTTGGGAATCGATGTAACACGTATCAAGATTGGACGAGTGTGACAGAGTGATGCTTCCAGAGTCGAGCATGTTAACACCAATCCCGTGATGGCATAAAGTTAAAACCTCATTCATAGCGTTCTATAGAGCAATGATAGTCTATCTTCATGATAAGCATCAGTACGCTCGCTTCCGTCAGTCTATCAGTCTTTACCATTTCTACGATAGCATGTATGCGTGCGATAGTCCAAATGGACAAGCCATAAGTCGTCCAGACTAGGCCCACATCTCCATGAACTTCGCATCAAATTCCTTCTGCAGAGCTGCAAAAGCAGCCAGTACACTCGGAAATCCACGCTCCTCTTCAGTTTCCTCCGGGTCGCCCTTTTTGCTGTTCGCACCGGAATCATCTCCATCATCATCACTGTCGGCATCCCAGCTATCAGGGGCATCGTCTTCGACGTCACTGACATCGTCGTCCCAGCTATCGGCAACCTTCTTCTTCTTTTTGGGCGCGGCACTCGCAATAATTTGAGCCATCTCCTCCTTCTTTGCAGCGATTGGGTTCAGCTTCGGTGTGTCGGTAGGATCCGGAACGTTGGCGATATTCTCTGCTTTATCGTCCACCGCTTCCTCTTTACGATCACCGACGTCGGTGATATCTAGCATATCAAGATCGGCATTGGGAGAAAGCTTTAGGTAATTTTGGAACGAAGTGACGATCGTTGCTAATATCAACGAGAAGTCTACAAGTCAAGTCAGAATGGAAAAATTATGTTGCTAGTACTTTAATAACCTTTGAGGAGAAACCAGACTTCGCTCTTGCGGACGCCGTTGGCGCGCTCGAGGTCTTCGGTACTCCCGTGCTTGAAGAAGTCATATAGGTCTATTCAGGGTAAGCCTTTTGTCATTTTACGTGATGATCATACTCACAGGCATTGAGATGGCCGTCATTCACGGTGATATATGGAATAACAGCTTGCTCAAGAAAGACGCCACTGCGAACTGTAGAGCATAAGTCCGGGATCGACTTAACATCTGTCTCTGAGAACCCAGAGAGGGCAACAAAGGGTGAGCTCGAAGATACTGGTGGTAGCGCGCTGTGGCCCGATCCGCGCTCCGAGGCCGACACATTACCACCAAATTTCATTCCCGTCAGGGGAAGCGCATTGTCGGGAGTGTTTATGAGATGTTGGTTCACGTAAGTCTGAACATATGCTTTGTAGATAGCAAGTGTTTGCTTGTTGTGGTCCTGTAGATGCTTCGCAGCAACCTCATCCAGGTTAGGCAGAATTACGATCGAAGCCGAGCTACCTTTCACAGACTCCCTAATGGATTCGACTCTAGAGGCCGGTAGATGATGTCGTCCGAAGAGATGAGACAGCACAAGCATTAGCTGTAGCATGATAGTATCACTGTTCTTTGGGAAGTCCTTGCAGACCGAATGGAAGTATCCGGCCTTTAGAAGAGCGTGGAAGGCAAAAGCGGAGTTCTCGGTGAAGTATAGATTTGAGGCTGTGCCAGCGAAGTTAATAGCTTGGCCAGATTTATCGAGCAGGAAGTTTCGTCTTAGATACTCAATAGAGAAGCGCAAGTGATGCAGTACAGTATGTCTCGCTTCGTTTCCACCTAGGTAGATTCGCGGCTGAGATAATATCGAGTTTATCGTATCCTGGGCGAATCTGGAGTCTCCCGAGTTATGAAGGAGACTGAACAGGCGGAGTACGAGTGTGGTTGTGATTGGGAAGTGGCCATTCAGATCCGGCAGACGTGAGCTTAAGAGGCGACAAACCTTAGGATATGGTACAGCCTGGAATATTACATTTCCCAGAAGGTCAAATCCTCGACGACCAGCACGACCAGCTGCTTGACGGAAGTTTAGCGCTGTTAAGTAGATCGAGTCGCCCGAGAAGACAACAGTCTTACAAGGCATATTGATACCCAAGGCTAAAGTGCCAGTCGCAATGACGACCTGAAGATACCCCGTTCGAAAAAGGACTTCACAGATCTGGCGATACTTTCGATTCATACCCGCATGATGGACGCCTATTCCCCGCTCAAGAGCGTCAATGAGCCAAGCCGGGATGTCGCGATAAGCAAGCTGCTTGCGGTACTTTAGTAATTCTTCTGGATCCACTGCCTTGACTTCTGCAAGATGGAACCCGTCAACCATGCCCTCTGGGTCGAAGAAGTCAAACTTGCTTCGCTCCGTTTCGGCCCTATCCCGTTCCATATCGGCTTTAGACAGACCTTCTTCGGTGTCACGCCCTTTCTTAGACTTGGCGGCTATTCTGGGCTGTTTCGCCTTCGCCTTCATGTGTGCCTCGAATTCGGTGAGTTTTTTCTTCCACGCTGGGCTGGTTTTCTTCCATTTATCCTCTTGTTCCTTCAATGTATCGAGAAGATGGTGAGCCACAGCCTCGCACTGGCCTCGGTCGTAATTGAAGAAGAGAGCCGGTAGTGCATCGTTTTCGCGCAAAGTGCATATGAGTGGTAAAGTGGAGGATATAACGTTGTTTGGGTCGATCTTGGTGAGAGTGCTCTGGGTATCGGGGCCCTGAGAAATTTGTACCTCGGGTGACTTAACACTCTCAACCGAGCGATCTAACTCTCGCAATACCTTGTCAAATGGCGACTCATTATCATCTATCCACTTCTTCAGTAAGCCCTTCAATTTGACTTCCCATTCAATAATGTCCGCCTTACGAACGTAAGACGGAAGGGCGTTCACAGGATCCAGTTCAGAAGATACTGGGTATTCCGAGTTTGCAAATTTGGACATAGCTTTCCAAAGAAACCAGCAATCTCTTGCCTCAAGAGTCAAATCACTTGGCATGCCGCGTGACCTGTTGACGATGCTAGAAATAGGATGCATGTATGCGAGGCCCCGAGCTCCATCAAGGCCTAGAGGAGATATCGTGACCAGCGGCTTCTCTTCAAACCCTCTAAAGTCAAACTGCTGTGGTGCATTGTAGATGTATTTTCTAAGATCGGAATAGCGGTGGCGATGTTCAATGTATGCAACTTCTCGTTTGTTGGCATCCTGTGTGGATTGTAACCAACCGTGAAATTCCTTCGGGTTTCCCACCGTGGCGGAGAGGGCAATAATGGGACAGGGAGCCATGAGCAGGAGTTGTTCCCAAACGATGCCGTCCTCTGCTTGCCCAATACAGTGCACTTCGTCGAAAATTATGCTCTTTACTCGTTGAGACCAACCTTTAGCGTTGGAAGGCGCGAGAAGCATTATCTGGAGTATATGTGGTACGGTGACCAGTACCTGACAGCCTGTTGGGTTGTTGATACGATGGTCTCGCGTATGAATAGCCCAAACTGATTTTCCACCTGCGTGCTTGAACGAAGATTTCTTGAATCTTGCAACCACTTCTGCAGCGATCTGATTCACCAGTGCTTTAGTAGGGGCAACATAAACCAGCACGCCATCGTCGTCCTCTTCGAGGACTTGCTTCATAGCATAGAATGAGATAAAGGTCTTCCCGGCACTCGTCGGGGCTACTACTAGCAGACTTTTTCTCTCATCAATGGCGTCTAGAACACGACGTTGCCACTCATCAGGCTCGAAATCCTGTACTCTGTCATCTGGTGCAGATCCCATATTACGGTCAAGGTAAGGACCTGTGTGCATCAGTTGGAATTCTGTCGCACCTAGCCCAAGCTTGGATTCCGAGTTTATGTTATGCGTGGAGAGAAACCCGGTCTTTGCTTTGTTCTGAGACTCCATTTTTAGCTTGGCCAGTCCCAGGTCGGCCAGTCCAAGAACTTGTGATATTGCGGACACAAACTCAATGATGTCTTCTGTGATGCCTTGCTTAACTTTGGACAGTAGCCCGAAGTTGTTGTATATTAACGCAGCCACTGATAGGCGGTCGTTCTCCTTACCTGCCTTGCACAGGTCCACGTAGATTTGCCAGAGGCATTGGATTTGATAGGCACGGATACTGGCTTCAACAACAGGTCGCTGATCCTTTGGGCGGGTAGCTAGATATTTTCCGGCTTTCAAGTATCGACTTGTGAGGCTCGGATCGTGGGCAAGCTCCTGGCGCTTGGTCTCCCAATTTGCGAACAGTCTCGCTTGGCTCTTTTCGATACTCTGTTGGTGTGCCGCGGCCGCATCTGCTCGTACTGTGTTCTTCGAAACCGCCCCCATTTTACCTGGTGTTTGACGAGATTCGGGTTTATTTGCTTTCTTGGGGACCTTTTCGCCTGCCTTGACGAACACTGTCTCAGGCTCCAGACGTCCACCTGCCGAATTGGTCAAGCTGGCTGCGTATGACTGAATTTCGGCCATGAACAGTTGATTCCTGCGCAGGGCACGTTGCTTTTGTCGTTCTGTCTGCTCCGCAACGAGTTTTACGTTCATGGGCACTTTGCTATTATGCCAATGGCTTAATTCCTTAAATATACGATCCGAAACACTAGGCGAAGCTTCTGACTGCGCGGTATCCGCGACAATACTGACAGGCTTCAGATGAGGGTCGAACACAGCGTTGTAGAAAGGGAGGACGCCGGCGATTGCGCCATGATCTTTTCGGGCTCTCTGAGGTGCAACGGCGCCTGTAGTCAGGTGTCAGTAGATATAAGATAAATTAGGCAAAGCATACCACTACCTTTCCCAGCTGTTGAAACTTCGAGGAGTTGAATTCTATTCAATTTCTTGCAAAAGGTTCTATAACATGTCTCGATGGTACTACCGACGTCGACTTTACTTGAAGCATTCTTGAAGAGCTCAGTCGCCTCATTGAAGATGCGACCGTCAAATAGGTCTGCAATATCTGCCTTTGGCGACGTTTCACTCACCCATGATTTCCAACCTGAAGATCCAAGCAGGGTCACGGCATGAGAACAAAAGACAGCAAGAAAGTCTTCGGCTTCTTTGGTAGGCTTTACAGACTTGGTTTGCCTATCTTGTAGCCTCAGATTCTCTAATAGGACTGTATGTAACACTGTAGCGGATATGAGGTCGGCCTGTTTCCCGACAGCATCATTCTGCACCATGTGGGAAATGATGGCTAGCGTGAGTAGGCGGCGTTGAGAAACTGGTGATTCTTCCTCAGTTGCACTCAATGGTCCAAGAAGCCGTGTGAGAGTAGTTGGATCAACTTCAGTGCCGTTATTCTTAGGCGCTGGTTCTCTATCACTGTTGTAGGCTATGTCGTTAACATTGTCATTAGCTCTACCTTCTACTACCATTGCCATGACCTTAAGATAATTAGCAAAGGCTAGGACCTTGCTTGACATATACTGACTTTCGTATCCCTGAATTCTAAGCCATTAACAAGTGCTATGTTATAGCCGTTCTGCGTTAATCGCATAATCATTGAGCGCATGATATATGCTGAGCTAGTAGGAGCATCTGCTCCATCGTGACACATAAAGAAATATGCACCTGTAGCTTCCAAGTATTGCTCGAAAGCACGGGAGCGAACAGATTCAAATCGATGTAATTCGATTTCAGAGCCGCTCGCGGGAGAGTTCCGAGCGAGATGCTGGATGATAACCTCTCGTGCAAGTTGATACTTGTGACAATCGGACGACGCACAATTGACTGGTACACACGTTGACGCTTGGTCGTTGAAAAACACAACATGGAAGTGACATTTTCTTTGAGAAAGAGATCGCAAGAACTTCTCGACAAGATGTACGGCGTGAAGAAGCTGGAAACCTGGAGAGAAGTCCAACTTATCGTTCCTGAAAGCCTCCAGTAAAAGCGAGTCGCCGTCTACAACGAAAAACTCTTCTCCGGCGTAATCACCTACCAGATCGACCGTTCGTGAATAAAGCTTGCGATACCTGCAGGGTGTAAGTAAAGAACGATACTGTGCCCAGTGCTGGGGACCGTACCATGCTGATACGGCAGCTTTCTTGTCGCCATCGGCCATGATTGCAACTCCAGGCGTGAGCTAGACAACACGTAGCTCAGAAATAGCGAGAGTTGCCAGGTGAAAGGTATGCAGGGTAGGCAGAGTGGATAAGACTCAGGATCCTACTTTTCAGGTGGGACTGCTACGTTTGATGATCCGAGCTCTTCTTGTTCTATATTGAGGCTAGATGGCAATCGTCACATTCAGATATGCAACATGCTGGAGGGGTCGACAGGGTCCAAGTGTCAAACGATGGTGCCCTAGGAACAAATAAGCAAACTATGTGTGGGAAGATTTAGTTTCTGTATGAAAGTGAAAGGATCACGGGATCGACGCGTCATAACGTCTTTTCGCAGTGTGCGGCTCTTTGCTAAACGCCCCGTAGTTACCCCGTCGAAGCGAAAGACGGGCGTCTTATGGGACACGTCAGAAATCATGGTGATGGATTGCAGAAAGTCTCTATGGATTACTTCGTGATGTCAGCGACATTATAGAAGCAGAAGAAACTCTTCATCTTCACGTTGACGTTGGCCGATGGAAACGCGTCGCGGAATGCGAATTACTGTTAAGACTAATTACGTTAATCGCGCTATCCCTAATACAGAAAGCCTCATACCCCTGGCCTTGCAAAGGATTTGCAAGTATAGTAAGTAATTACATAGTAGTGTATTAATTAGTGCGAACAAACAGAAATCTTATAGCTAATACTGCATTTACAGCGTGGACGTACAACAGACTTCCTATAACTTCATCGCTAGCCTGCTGACCTGCACGCTTTGCTCTAGGAGCTGACACCCACACAAGCCCAGTACCCAGCATCAAATCCTGAGCCATCAGCCTTGATGTACTTGTTCCATGCAAACATATCGTTAAGTGTAACGCCCGCATCCACCGAGACATCATACGCGGTCTGTCCTGCACCAATAAAGTAGAAGCGTTCGCACTCATCCACAACCTCCAACAACCATGGGACAGGGTAAGCAGTCAACGCAACCTCCGTAGTATTAACAATCGACTTGTCAGGGTATTGAGTCTCTCCCTCAAATTCGTACCAGGGGGTGTTGATGCAGTACGGCATAAATTCTTGCAATCGGGCATAGGGCCCGATTTCAGGGTTCCAGTAGCGGAGAATCGACGCGCTAAAATTGCCGAACTTCGCGGCGACCTGGGTCACAGTGTCGTCCTGCTCAGCTTTGTATGTGGTCGCGCAGTCAGATGGCCTGCAAATTGTGCGAGTACCTGTGCTGGGAGAGGTGTATTCAGTGCAATTGGATGGGAGAGCTGGGCCGGTGTCGCGGCGTTCAAAAGAGGACTTTGGGACTATCGAGGGGAAGGCGGTGGTCATGCTGGAGAAGACTGCAAGCGCAGTGAATAAATGAGAGGCAATCATCCTGATCGATGTTTTATGTCGAAACGAATGACTTTTAGGTGTCGAAAGCGAGTGACTTAGAGTGAGGAAAGCTGCTTGTTGAAAGCTGCAAGCCCGACTGAAGAGGTCACAAACTTATATAGAACATCCTTACATAGGCGGCAAAAATGCAAATCTCGCATGTCATTATCACGTACTAGGCCTCAACTCCTGGATATATTCCCACATGTTGAATCTGGTTAAAGCCAACAATTACAAGACAGGTCAGGCAGATTTCGATCAAAGTCTCGGCCCTAGTCCCACCTTAACCGAAACCTCGCCCGATTCAGGATGATGACTACACCTTAATATTGACATGTAGGATTGACTGTATTTGATGTGAATTGGCGGATCCTTCCAATCTCTAGAATGAACGTGAGAGGTGAAGGATACGGAGGATACAGTTGGACACTAGCTTATTCTTTGCCGGAGTCATAGTCGAAAGGAGTAGAATGGCCGAGTCAGCCTGACCATCGGCTGAAGTCGATGGGGGTATTTGTGTAGGCTGCATGGATTTATTATCAAAGGCACTATGTGACTCTGGTCAGCCTCACGGAAGCCTGCGGATTGTCACTGGTTTGGTAATCTAAAACGACGGTTGTAGTCGGTACGTGCAACCGAAGAGACTGTTGTATCCTCACCTAGTGTAGCTAACATAAGTCTTTGCCCCTGGAGAAGTCATGGAATACCGTACTGAACACAACCAAACTATGTACTCATAGCTACAGGAACTTTTGCAGCTAGAATCCAACATGACTGTGATTTAATGTTCACATTTGAAGATGTTGGTGCTACTGTTTAGTTCGTGGGGTTACCCAAAATGATTAACATGGCACTAAAGACACCAGAAATCAAATTAACACTGCGAATGTGCCACTGTTGCTATACCGAATCGCCCATCTCCAGAGAAAAGAATTGTTAAAAAAAAGTCATATCGCACCGTGAGCTGTCTATACCTTGACAGCCCTTGCGACCCAATCTATGACCGTACTTTTGCCATTACTATTCGACCTACACTTTCGATTGCTCTTCGCGCACTGCTCCGTGTCACGGAGTCGATCTCGTGTTTGGAGGCTATAACATTGCTCTTCGCGCACTGCTCCGTGTCACGGAGTCGATCTCGTGTTTGGAGGCTATAACATTGCTCATCGCGCATATCACAGAGCAGACAAAACTCATAAAGCGGACTGCATACGACATGCACGTTCCGGCGTAGTAAGCGTCCACTTGAACTTGACTTGTGTGTTGTAAGAAGGCGCATATCCGCAGAGTCTTGTTCTTTCTTTAAGCTTTCACAGTTGCAAAGTCTGCTCCAGGGACAAGAGGTGATATCAGCTGCTGGATTGTTGGCAATGCGGAAGGATCTACTTCTTTATGGCTGGTAATGCTGCCTAGTGTAAATCGTCCTGCATTCAATAGCTAAGAGACTGAAGACGTGACATGTCGACGTTTGATTAGGTGTAAGACAGGCATTGTGCTGATATTCGGCGGTATATATAGATTTAAAACCCTAGAAGCTATTAGTCTGCATGTCTACCACGGGACAATCCATGATACAACTTACCGGCTTCAGTATTTCCCTCTCCCATACTCTTATTCCCTGAGCTGCCGCTTTGGATGGAACCCAAGATTCCGTCGATATACTTGGCTCCGCTCCAGGCTTGATGCGTCAGAACATCACAGCCTAACTCCTTTTCTCTTCTTTGCACAAGCTTAACATATGCAAGCATACCATCGTCCTTGAAGGCCTTCGACAGCTCATTCGTTATCGTTGCAGTGCTATGCAAGCCAGCAAGGGAGATTAGCTGGAGCACAAACCTGCAATGTGTTAGCAGGCGATATTGCTTGTTCACATGAGAACCTACCCATGCTTAGCAAGATCCCAAATGAAGCTCTTCAGAGCCTCTTCTGAGAATCCTTGGCCCATCCAGTTGAAGCTTGGACTCAAATTGTAAACAAGTTTCTTGTCTGGATAGGCGGCTCGAATTTCGCCCGCAAATCCAGCGGCCTTCTCAACGCTAGGGTCAGCAGTCTCTAGCCAGCAAAGATCCGCATACGGAGCAAATTCGATTGCACGCTTAGTTGCGGCAGCGATGCCTGCACGGTAATGATAAAAGCCTTCTCGTGTTCGTGGAATATCGCACGACCATACAATCGGCGCCTTTGCATAGCCTTGGGCGATCTGTCGGCGTTTCGTCAATGACAAGTTGGGGTCTTTCTTTACGACTGCGTTGTAGGAATCGAGTGAGCTCTTGGAGGCACCTTCATTCTGGAGGTGCTGCGCGACCGCTGTAGGTATATTAGCCGCATTACTCTTGCATATATCAAGGCTGCCAACTCACCCTCGTCGAACGTTACAAGCTTGTGCTTCTTGACCCAGGCGGCCTCAAATTTGTCAATCTCAGCACCGGCCGCACCATCGAGCTCCATTGCCTGCAGCGTTTCTGCCAACGGCTCGGTGTCCTCAGTCACACCAAGAATGAATTCGTGATCACGGACATCGATGGCACTGCTTAAGAGCTTTCCACTCTCTGAATCAGTCCTAGCGATTACCAGGTTCTCACATCCCATGAGATCCCATTGAAACCGCGCTGCCACTAGGCGATTTATGTGATCCCCAACAGGCACCAGAACCTTTCCCGCAAGATGGCCGCACTTCTTTCCGCCATGCAGTTGGTCCTCGAAATGAACGGCAGCAGCTCCGTTCTCTGCGAAGAGTCTGGCGAGCTTTAGTACCGCCGAAAGACCTCCATGTCCTGTGTCTCCGTCCGCAATGATGGGTCTCAGGTAGTCAATGTAGGGCGTCTTCGCTCTTTCCTCGGGTGACAGCCTTCTCCTATTGTCCCAATTCTTCCTATCGTGCATCTGCTGCGCTTTGAACAACCTCTGCACCTGGTTAGGAACAGTGTTGTATGGATAATCGCCAAAGTCGGGCGAGACTTCGTTTGTACTGGTCAGGAGCGAGGAACAGGCCCAACCACTGATGTATAGGACCTCTTGATTCGGAGCTTGCTGGGTCATTTGTACGGGGTCAATCGCACCCACTTGAAACAAAACAGTCAGCATGCCACGTTGTGTTTTGGTATCGAAGGAAGAGACCCACTTGTATGTACTGGTTTGCCTTCAGCAGCACGTTCCTCAAACAGGTTGAACAGCTTCCTTGCCATCAAGGAGCTTGGGTATGTTTGTTGGAGTGCGCCTCTCTTACTGACCACATCTTCTGCAGAATATGGTCTCTTAATTCCCTTGTAGCGCGGAGATGCCCACCAGCTCTTGACTTGTTGCACTTGCTCCTCGAAGAGCGCATCCTCGGCAGATCCGACTTTTGAAGCTTCAGGAAGCAATTGATATGAGTCGGCGGGTAAACGATCTGACAATGGCGGCTCAGCCGACTTGAGAACGGACGGTGACATGCGCAGTAGCGAAGTTGATATAGGACGTATGGAGGGGACTCTCTGTGTAGGTGCAGGTCTTGTATTACGGCTTTGCCGTGCAGCGCAGCGGAGGCCTGTTCTCAGCATTGCGTCTGCCAGAAGGACTGGAATATACGATCTCGATGTAGTCTAGAACGTCACATTCGTAGAGAGAGCTCTTGATTATGTTGAAGGTGGCGTGGCCTGGAGATACACGCGTAGAGGACAGTAGCTCTGAAGACTGTGGGTTCGTAGAATGATGGACCTGAATAATGGCCGAAACCGCTTGATAATTGCACCTCTTAATTAGCTGCCCTGGTAGCTATCCATGTGCCACTACCACTCTGCCTATTCCCGCCGCTCAGTGGTAACAGCCGACGTGGGGTCGAAGCACGAGCTCCCGCTGGCCGGCGAATCCATCAAACCATCCATGAATCCATTTTCATCTGATCCGTTGAGTGCATACATAATTAGTTTGTAGCCGAGGAAGGCCGAGGCCAGCCGCCAGCCGGAGCCGCGCCAAACACAGGCCTTCCCTGCAGCCGACATCATAATTCATCCATTGATGTACTGCTGTAATAGTGCAGGTGCTACTCTTCCGATGGTTAAGCTACCGTAGTCCTGCTCGATTGCTGAACACTGAACATTCCTCCAACCCAGCTTCATAACAGCACCTTCATTGTGCTTGATTGATCTCTTCAACTTCGAACTTTTCTCAGATCGGACCAATTGAAGCTTCCTTCATAGCTCTGTCTGCTGCCCCGCTCCCCCACACTCGTCATGGCGTTGAACGGTCGTACAGCTTCGCGTACGCTGCGAACCTTACGGGTAAGCTGCATGCTATCCATCCACCAGCTGGGATAGCTCCAAGGAACTCAGCTGATTTACATGTAGATTTCACAATTGCGTCCCTTTGCTGCTGGTGAGCACCGCTGTACTACCTACCTCAGACAGTTGCCTGACCAGCTCTTCAGTACAAACATGCAGCTACTCATCCTCCTCCGAAGAAACCCTCAAGGACGCACTCAAGCGAGTGATTCCGGAGAAGCGTGAGCTCCTAAAGAAGGTCAAGGCACACTCCGACAAAAAGATTGGCGAAGTTAAGGTCGAAAACACCTTGGGTGGCATGAGGTAAGCTAGCCAGTGTGCAAGTGGGCGCGAAGCTGCTAAGCTAGGAAACAGGGGTCTAAAGGGAATGGTTTGGGAGGGATCTGTCCTCGACGCGAATGAGGGTATCCGGTTCCATGGCCGTACTATCAAGGACTGTCAGCAAGAATTGCCCAAGGGCACTTCGGGTACTGAGATGCTGCCTGAGTCCATGTTTTGGCTCCTCCTCACTGGAGAAGTGCCTTCCACTTCTCAGGTCCGAGCCTTCTCGAGGGAGCTTGCAGAGAAGGCACAGATCCCAGCATTTGTTTCCAAGATGCTCGATGACTTCCCGACGGATCTTCACCCCATGACACAATTCGCTTGTGCTGTCTCGGCCCTGAACTATGAGTCTAAGTTCGCCAAGGCATACGAGAAGGGTATGAACAAAGCCGACTATTGGGAGCCGACATTCGATGACAGCATCAACCTTCTGGCCAAACTGCCCACAATCGCCGCCAAGATCTATCAGAACGCATACCGTGGCGGTGGTGCCCTGCCCAACGAGGTCGATCTCGACCAAGATTGGTCTTATAACTTTGCGGCCATGCTTGGCAAACCTGGCAAGGAGAACGAAGGTTTCCAGGACCTCCTCCGCCTGTACCTTGCTCTTCATGGGGATCATGAGGGTGGCAATGTCTCCGCACATGCCACTCACTTGGTTGGTAGCGCTCTGAGTGACCCATATCTGAGCTACAGTGCTGGCCTTCAAGGTCTCGCTGGTCCTCTACACGGCCTAGCTGCACAGGAGGTCTTGCGTTTCATCCTACAAATGCAAGAGACTGTAGGAAAGAACTTCACTCATGAAAATGTCAAGGACTACCTGTGGAGTCTTCTCAAGTCTGGCCGTGTCATTCCAGGCTATGGCCACGCTGTACTCAGAAAACCCGATCCTCGTTTCCAGGCTCTTATTGACTTTGCTGATGCTCGTCCTGAGATCGCAAAGGACCCTGTATACCAGCTCGTCCGTGCTAACTCAGAAGTTGCTCCCGGCGTGCTCAAGGAACACGGCAAAACGAAGAATCCCTTCCCCAACGTTGATTCCTCCTCCGGTGTTCTGTTTTACCACTACGGCTTCACAGAAACCCTGTACTATACTGCTACTTTCGGTGTGAGTCGTGGACTGGGACCACTAGCACAACTCGTCTGGGATCGTGCGCTTGGCCTCCCTATTGAGCGTCCTAAGAGTATCAACCTCGCGGGCCTTTTGAAAGAAGTTGAGGGGAAATGATAAGATATAGATATTTAAAATGATGTGATCTGGCGTAAGTACATGGATTCTAAATCTGAATATTATTGGGCTTCTACATGTTACCGTCTCATTACTTGAAATAATTTTCATTGCTTTGCTCAAGTTTCAAGTCTAGTCGTATCCTCGGCATGACTGTACTATTACCGGGCATCGCATACGTGATGTTCCAGAAGTCGAAATCACTGTCAGGTGTTAGCAAGCTCTCCGTTTCATAGTATTGAGACACACTTAATAGGTTTTCCCGCCCCTCCATTCTCACCATTGAACGATACAGCATACTCAGTCGCTACGCTCCCCGTTACCATAATCGCCACCCCGTCCACATCGTCCCAACTTTGCACATTTTGTTCTCTGCCCGCCCCTACCAAAAAGGTAAACCGCGACGAGCTATTCCCTCTTGGATACGCCAAGTCCATATACGCCTCTCCAACGGTAACAGCCAGCTCCTCGACCTCGGCATACAAGCTCAGCCACCCTACACTCCCGTCGCGGCGCTTCCATTGCGCGACCGCTGGATTAAAAGACGCGCTATTCTTCGACGGACCTCCTATTACCTCCTCCGAGAAGGACTCGGCACCGATAGTCAAACTGGCGGACATGTACGTCGTGATGTTCCGCGGATACACGTCCCACGGCGGCGAGAACGCCGACGTATGCACCGTATGCGTGCCCGGAAACGTCGTCAACGCAGCGATCGTACTCTCATTCAAAAGACTGTTGTGATACGGCGCAAGGATCGCAATGAGCGGCGCAATCGCAAAATCCCCTTCGTGGCTCATCACAAACGGCTGCGTAGTACATCATTAGCTGCCCATTTTCCCCAAGAAATACAAAGGGAGGGGGGGCGGCAAGATAGAAATAAGATATTACATACCCTCTCCGCAATCGGCGCCCTCTCCTTGCCCACGATCGTCCAGATATGTAGCGCCAGGATGCTCAGGTATCTGTTCATATCGTACCCATACGTGCGATCCCACGGGCCCGCCACATTACGCAGCTCCGCATTATACAGACTCGCAATACTCGCCCACGTATACCGAATCATGCGTTCCGCGTTCTGGCCCATCACGCTGTCGACATCCATGTATTTGGCCCAGAGCGTGAGCGCGAACAGACTCACACCCGCGTACGTGCCGGAGTTGAATTCGCTGAGCGTATTGTCTCTGTTGAACAAGTCGACGATGGATTGTGCTTCGACTTCGCCCGCGCGCGTCATGTTTGCGTCGCCGGTTCGTCGGCCTGTCCAGCCGGACACGAAGGCGCGCATGATGGCCGGGTTACTGTATGATGGGTAAAGGTTGTCGTCGTCGACGCCTCCGACACGATAGCTATCACCCACCGTCGCGTTCGTCAAGCTCTCCATCATCAGATCCCGCGTCCGCTCTTCGATCAATTCGGAGAACTCCTCGAGCATTACGATGAAGGTGGATCCTATGAAACCGCGCCAGTTCGGGTCCCAGGAGCTGTACATCACGGCGGGATACGCATTCGATCCGACGGGCGGCTCTTCCGGGTATTTCTGATATGTGCCGAACCATTGCTTCGAGGGATCTTTATATTGGCCTGCGATAACAGCGCGAATAATTCTGTTTGCTTGCAATGCGTCCGAGGTGTTATTTCGTGCGAGAAGACCAGCGGCGTACCATGCCGAGGAGCGGGTTTCGTGGTTTAGAGCGGTGGCGTAGAGGTATGCGGCTTTCGGGTCGTAATATGAGTCCATCCAGGTCATTGATTGCGAAAGTAAAGAGACTTCATGGCCGCTTATGTCGGAGGCGAGCGTGAGAACTAGTGTGGGCACATATAACCAGAGGGATGATTTAGCAAACATAGTTGAGCAGTAGGATTTTCAGAAGATTCTTTGCGAACATGACGAACGGCATATAGCTAGTACTTAAGCAAGTCTAAGTGGATCTACCGATGTAACTCTCGTCTATCGTTGAACATAAGGCAATAAGCTCGGCTTTCTGATCTCGGGCTCGGGCCAATGATATATCGAAGCTTCATTAGTAGATGGGTTCCCCGTACTGGCTGCTACGACATATACATATGATACTTTCTGGCGGTCGAACTCGGCTCTTATACTGTCTCCTCAAGTGCTGCTATCTCTCATTAGTAGAAGACTTTATCAGTGTAGACAAACCTTGTAAATAACCTAGTCGCCTACGATGCGTGTCAAGATATGGAACGTTCGAGATCATTTGAAAGGGTTATCAGAATATAATCAAACTAGGTATACCATAGCCTTGACCTAAAACGCCGATAAACAGGGCACTAACCTATGTAACGCATACCCCTAGTCAAGGTCGAACATGCCAGACAGGCAGAAAATGCCGAAAATTCATTCAAGAGTGCATAGAAACCGCCTTACACGAAATCAAAGAAAGGTTCATACGCCGTTATCTCTTAGAGCTTAGGCTTCAGGGTAGAATGCAAGAGCTAGAAAAACTCCCACACCGCCTACAAGAGCTGTAGCAGAAAGCCTGGCAGCTGTAGCCACTGCACGTTTGACTCGCTGCATTCCTGGTCGCTTGATAGTGCGACTATGGCTTGCCAATGGGAGATCCTCCGGGTTGAATCTCACCTTCTTTGGCTGTCGTTCATCTGAGTGATCCAGCCTCCAAACGCCAGCAGACCTGGTGTATTTTTCAGCATACTTATCGAGGGGACTGCCTTGTTCTACAAGCGTCATATCGTCATCTTGAACAGGAGCTACATCATCTCTAGGATCCACAGGCTCCACAGGATCGATAGACTCGGCCTTCCGCTTTGTCGGTCGAGCGAGCTGCTGCTCATCACTTCGTTCGACGATGTCATAGATTGAGATGCCAGACTTTTTGACAGTTGGATGCTCTGATGATTCGTTGGTGGAATGAGCCATGTTGTTTCTTGACGATACGAAAGGTCCCTCGTGATAGTCGTTCAATGGGTAGTCGTACAGGGACCATTGGTTTGGGAAATTATCAGTCCCAGGTCTTGCACTCTGCTCAGCCACCAGAGCCGACGGACTGGTTTCAACCCATTTAGCCGTCATAGGTGGGTTTTCCAAGAGTATTTCTGATGCCGGAGCGTTGAGAATCTTCTCAAAAGACATTGACTGAGTTTGAACTGGCGTAGAAGTCTCCACTGAGCCTGCTATCGGTGGTAAGGGGGCATAGTCGTAGTACCCAATTGAGGATTTCGAGGTGGCCACAGCTTCTTCCATACGCCAAGGAGGTGTCTGTGGCTGTACCTGATGAACTGCGCTATTCTTGTCGAGGTCACGCATTATAGCGTCGTTCAATGCTTTGTCTGCGTTGACTTCGGCTCTCTCCTCTATATCCTGTATGGGCTCTTTCTGCTCTTCCGCAACTTCTCCTAGATTTGCGGAAGACAAATGCCTACCATGATCTGATACGGCCTCATCTTCAACAGCCGTCTGCTCGTCGGGAATATCGTGGGGCATGAAACAAGAGACGGCCTCCTCGTCCTCGCTGTCCTCTAGGTCGCTGAAGTTGGCTGATAAGCTATATCTGACGGAGCTGGCGGTATCATTATGCGTGTTCTTTCGGTCTTCCTCATCACTTGAAATATAGCCGACCTCTGGATAGGACGCCGTTAGCACAACTAATGGATAACGGGGTGAATACCGCTACCTCTAGACTTACCTGATTCAACTATTGACTCACTATCTTCATTCATAGACTCCACTTCTTCTTTCTCATCTTCTTCTTCCTCTTCGGATTCGTCCTCTGGAAATCTGAAAGTCCGGGTCTCTTGTGCGGTTGGGTGAAAGGATATGCGGAATTTGCGAGGTGGTATCAGATCTAGCATGTACTATTAGCCATAATGCGGCAAACTATCCGAGGATGAATGACTCACCACTTCCCCGACGCACTTCACCACTTAGTTGAACGATATCGCCGCTACTGAGCCTGTAGCTCTGGCTTTCTAAGATCTTCGTGTCATTGACAGCTAGCCCGTGGGTTGCAGCGACGTTGATAATAGTCAAGAATGGGGGCTGATATCTATTAGCTTCTGCAACCACATTTCGCGATATACTGACATCTTTCTCGACACTCAGAACTGCGTGACGACGCGAGACAGTTGGACATTCGATCCAGCTATTGTCGCTTGCAGCCTTGTAGAAGGTGTTGCTTGATGCCTTCGACGACCGACCTATACCAACGCCGTTGATCGAATCCTCGTCATCTTTAGCAAGGAACGCCCTTTTATGGGGTTGTACGATGAATCGTCGACTGTGGAACTCGTCTAATCCGTCAATACACTCAAGGGTGACGTCGAAAGCTGATAAGAGGGAATCAGTATTTGCCGTCACAGAAAGCTTCTAGATCCACATACTGCTTGGTCGTGCCATAATGATACTTCAAGGCCAGGAAAAGAGAGGGCAGACAAACGAACAGAAGACTGCCGTGGTTCGATGGCAGGCCTTGAAGTGAGTAGGAGGACAGCCAGTGGCTTTGTCAGGCGCGTGGATACCGTGTCGAGGCTTGGGGTGTGAAAGAACGGAGGAACACGCCGTTGACGAAGCAAGTCAGTGAAGAGATGAATACAGTGACCTCAAGGTATATAGAAGAGAGGTGTTACCAAGGTCGGGTGAAGCCCGAAGCAGTGCAACGAGGTGTTGGAGCGGGGTGTTGCCTTGAGGAGACTCGAGCACTTCATTGACGACTGCTTCCGATAAGATAAGGGCTAAGGCTCCAGCCTTCAGGGAAGCTGCCCCGCACCCGCGCTTACCCTCAATGGCTTAGTTTTCCCGGGCCAATGACTCCACTCCACCTATGCACGCTCCACTCCACCAAGGTAAAACTTCGTTGATCAATGTTGCGACTCGCAAGCTTCTAAACCGCTATCGAATTGTGAACGCACTACGAGACATAACGCGCCCGAGAACGCGCATTGGCATCGCGCGACCAAGCTCACATGAATTCTCTCCCCCGGTGACAACGAACCTTCCCCCACAATGCGCGAAGAGGGAATGAAGGGACAGGTCGTTGACCACGTTCCGAAGCGCATCACCGAGCTTCGGTTTGGTATCTTGTGAGGTCCACTGCTTATTGACATCTGGCCACTGCTGACATGTTGCCCAGGTCCAACAAAGAGATTGTCGACCAGTCTGTTGTCGAAGTGTCCGACCGAAATGTATACGACCTAGCTACCGGCGCACAAGCTCGAAAAACCACCGACCATGGGCCTCTTGACTCACGAATGGGAATATCGAGCAAGACTGCAGTATGTAGCACTTGTAATGAAGAGCTGGCGGCATGCAATGGTCATTTTGGCTACGTTCGCCTGGCTTTACCTGCATTTCACATTGGGTATTTCAGAAACACCATCGAGGTTCTTCATAGCATTTGTAAAGAGTGTTCTGCAATACTTCTCGAAGAGCATCAACGACGGACATTCCTCAAGAGTCTGCGAAGACCAAATCTTGATAACCTCCAAAAGACACAGATTTGCAAAAAAGTCTCTACAGAATGTCGGAAAGTCAAAGAATGCTACAAGTGCGGCGCGGTCAACGGTTTCGTCCGCAAGGTTCCTGGACACCCATTGAAGATTGTACACTTCAAATACGAAGCTTTCAACAAGTCCACTGCGAAATCCAAGACCAAGCCAAGGACCATGGTTGACTTCGAGGAATCTTTCAAGAACGCAAAAGAAGGCAACACTGAAATCGAGAAACATATGAGGAAAGCTGTGGATGACATGAACCCCTTGAAGGTCTTGAATCTTTTTCGACGTATTATCACCCCTGACTGTGAGCTTTTGGGATTGGACCCAAATGATGGTCGCCCTGAAATGTTCATCTGGCAGTATGTTCCAGCACCACCCGTAAGCATACGTCCGTCGGTTTCTCAGGAGGCTGCTACGACTGAGGATGATATCACAAACAAGCTAGGAGATATAATTCAGGTCAGCTCCTACATCCGTGCAGGGCTCGAGAAGGGTCAACCGGTACAAACAATCATGGAGCAGTGGGACTTTCTTCAGTTGCAGATTGCCATGTATATCAATGCCGATGTCCCTGGTCTCCAACAACATGGCTTCAGCAAATCAATGCGTGGATTCTGTCAACGCCTCAAAGGCAAAGGTGGGAGATTTCGACAGAATCTCTCGGGAAAGCGAGTCGACTTTTCAGGCCGTACTGTCATTGGTCCAGATCCGAATCTTAGTATTGAGGAAGTCGCTGTGCCAGATCGTGTGGCTAAAAATCTCACCTATCCCGAAAAATGCTCGATTTACAACAAGGAGAAACTGCAAAAATGCATTGAAAGAGGACCCTATAAACATCCTGGAGCGAACTATATCAAAAAGCTTAACGGCCGCACGGTTATGCTGAGTATTTTGGCCAAATTCAACAATCTATCAAGAGCTGCTGCGGAGCTAGAAATTGGCGACGTCGTCGAACGCCATCTCGAGGATGGCGACATTGTGTTATTCAATCGTCAGCCTTCGCTGCATAAACTCAGTATTCTTAGCCATAGAGCCAAGATCCGGCCGTGGCGGACGTTCCGTCTCAATGAGTGTGTCTGTAACCCATATAACGCTGATTTCGACGGAGATGAGATGAATCTTCATGTTCCACAGACAGAAGAAGCCCGAGCTGAAGCGATAGAGTTGATGGGAGTGAAGCACAATCTGGCCACTCCAAAGAATGGCACGCCCATCATCGCGGCCATCCAGGACTTCATTACTGGCGCGTATCTCCTTAGTCAGAAGGATAATTTATACGACCGAGGCACATTCACTCAAATCTGCGGTTATATGTTCAACGGTGACAGTGTGTTGGATCCAGATACTGGCAAACGGGTTCCTATTGATATACCTCCTCCTGCAATCTTGAAGCCCCAAAGACTTTGGACAGGAAAACAGGTCTTCAATGTGTTGATGCGTCCAAGCAGGAGCATGAACGTCCTCGTCAATTTGGAAGCTAAATGCAAACAGTACAAGCCGGACCCCGCTGCCTCGCGACCGGATCTAGTATACGACGATTCGTATCTTGTGATTCGCAACTCTGTCATTATGAGCGGGATGATGGACAAGGCGACCGTTGGAGATGGCAAGAAGGACTCTGTGTTTTCTGTCATCATGCGAGACTTTGGCCCAAACCATGCCGTGCAATCAATGAATCGACTTGCAAAACTATCTGCGAGATGGCTCACCAACCAAGGCTTTTCTATCGGAATTAGCGACGTGACACCAGGTACGGTTCTCAAATCAGGGAAACAGAAACTAGTGCTCGAAGCCTATGCAAAGTGTGACGAGCTCATCCAGATGTTCAAAAACGGAACACTGGAACGTGACGCTGGTTGCGATCAGGAGCAGACGATGGAAAACAAGATCGGTGGTATACTCAGTGGTGTCCGTCAGTCGGCTGGTGAGATTTGTTTTCAGGAGCTCAGTCGGTGGAATTCAGCACTTATCATGGCGAAGAGTGGATCGAAAGGGTCCAACATTAATGTGTCGCAGATGGTGGCCTCTGTTGGACAGCAAATGATCAACAACAAGCGCGTCGCTGACGGCTTTCAGGATCGCACATTGCCACATTTTCCCAAAGCCGCCAGACAGCCTGGTTCCAAAGGGTTCGTGAGCAACAGCTTTTTCTCGGGTCTCACTCCCACCGAATTCATATTCCACGCTATGTCTGGTCGTGAAGGTCTAGTAGATACTGCCGTAAAGACAGCCGAGACTGGGTATATGTCACGCAGATTGATGAAGTCTTTGGAGGACTTGTCTGCGCAGTACGATGGAACAGTCCGGAATGGATCTTCGTCAATCATCCAGTTCAAATATGGAGATGACAATTTGGACCCAGTGGACATGGAAGGAAATGCTAAACCGGTTAATTTCGAACGAACTTACACACACGCCATTACAACGACTTGGGATGCCGAGGAACGCAGCATACCTCCAGAACAGATCGGCTATGAGGTTGAGCGATTGCTGCGGAAGCGGCGATCGCTTTTGCAGCGAGTCCCTCTTCTTGCCAAACCTAGTTCTACAGCTCCCGCGGCGCAGGTACAAGAGCCAGAACCGCCCAAGAAGCAAGCCAAGGGGAAGCGTAAAACCAAGAAACAGCTTGCGGAAGAAGAAGAGGCTGCCCGCGTGTTGAGAAACATTCAGCAAACTTCAACACACCGATCACTTCTAGATTTGTCAGAAGAAGAGCAACGTGCGTTGTCTGCGAAGGACTTCCTTGACATGCTAGGCTACAATGACAAGAGCGATGCGGGTATTGACCACCTCGACAGTGAGCGGGATTTCCTCGATACGGTTGAGAGATTCGTGAAGGAGAAAGCAGAGGCCCTCATTCAACTCAAAAGAGCAAATCCTCGAAAGGCTAGTGCGATCGGGGGGCTTTCATACACATCTCTCAACAGATTCATGGAGCTTTGCCTCGAGAAGTTCGAGAGGTCAAAGGTACAGCCTGGTCATGCCGTTGGAGCTGTTGGAGCCCAGTCTATTGGAGAACCAGGGACACAGATGACGCTTAAGACTTTCCATTTTGCCGGTGTGGCCGGTATGAGTATCACACAGGGTGTCCCACGTATCAAGGAAATCATCAACGCCTCCAAGACGATCAGTACACCTGTTATATCTTGCGAACTTGCCAACCCCGAATCGGAGTATGCCGCTCGGATCGTGAAAGGACGTATTGAAAAGACGTTCTTGCGGGATATTGTAAGGTACATTGATGATATATGGTATGGTGAAGGGTGCTATCTCGGCATGGCAGTTGACTTTGAAACCATCGATAAGCTCCAGTTAGACGTTACTATGACGACTCTATGCGAGGCAATCGAGAACACCAAATCCTTGAAACTGCCTGCCGGCACACGGGTTAGCGGCGAAGGCAATAAGCTCAAAATCGAGTTCAACGAATCGAACAGTGGCGCCGTCAAGAGTGCAAAGCGTGGCCGCGCTCCCACCACAAAACTCAAAGAAGGCACCGACTTCTACATGGACCTTCAGCGGATTAAACGCCTCCTTCCAGACGTCATCATACAGGGCTACCCGCTGGCTACGCGGGCAATCATCAAAAAGGGCGAGGCCCCGCGGAAAGGCACAACGAACATCTACGACCACCAGCTGCTCGTGGAAGGCTACGGCTTGCGCGCGTGCATGTGCACTCCAGGTCTCAACGGCACGAAAACAAAGACCAACTCCGTCATCGAAATCAAAGAGGTCCTCGGCATCGAAGCTGCACGACAGACCATTATCGACGAAATATCAGCCGTCATGGGCAACATGGACATCGACCCGCGACACATGCAGCTGCTGGCCGACGTGATGACGTCCAAGGGCGACGTGCTCGGCATCACACGCTTCGGACTGGCCAAAATGCGCGATTCGGTGCTGCAGCTGGCCAGTTTCGAGAAGACGCCGGATCATCTGTTTGAGGCGGCATGGCGCAATAAAAAGGATAAGATTGAGGGTGTTAGTGAGTGTATTATTATGGGCCAGAGCATGCGTATTGGCACGGGCGCGTTCAAGGTCGTGAGGCCGTTTAATGACATTCCGGAGCAGATGGGCAGGGCTTGTGGGTTTGAGGAGGCGATGAGGTGGATGGGTGAGAGTGCAAAGGCGAGTGGAGTGGTGGTGTAAACGAAAAAAAAGGGGAGGATTATGAATATGCATGCATAGCGTAGGCGTTTTGTGTTATGTATATAGGGGCATGGCGAATAAGTGCGTGGGCGATACCAAGCAGGACGGGTACAATATGATTGAACAGAATAGACAACGTCCATCAATCGAGATGATAACACAGCCCTACTTTCTCGCTGGCACGTGGGTCTGTAATCCATCCTCCACAGCTGCTCCTAAATTCTAGGCAGCCTCAGCTCTCCACCCTAATGACAGCCCCCACCCACACCTCCCTCAAGGTAGGTACGCACTTTTATCAATCAAATATCATATCTACCCCTCGCAACTCACACTCACACTCAGAAGCCCCCCTGCCTGTAAATAATATATACATACGTATAAAGAATGCGCCTCCTCAACACAACCACCCTCAAAGTCCAAGAATTCCTCCCCGGCCGCTTCGGCACCGGCACTAGGAATATGACCACTAATACTATCACCGCTACCACCAATACCAATACCATCCATACTATCGCATACATGGAGCCCCACGGCCGCAGACGAGGTCAGTCTCGCTGATGTGATGGTACATTATAGCGATGATGATGATGATGGTAATGGTGGTGGTAATGATGATGAAGATGATGCTGGAGATGGGCGAAAAGGTGTGCTGAGGGCGAAGAAGAGTGGAGTTGAAAAGCTGCGGTTTTGTGCGGCGCAGGCGCGTGCGGATGGGTTGGAGTGGGTTTGGATTGATACGTGCTGGTAAGTGTGTGATTGTGTGATTGTGTGGGTGCGTGCCTGGATGTTGGGGAGGGCGGGGAAAAGGGGTGAAGGTGAGAGTATCGTGGGGTTGGAGAGATTAGTAGAGGGGCTGGGATGTTGCTTATGGTATTTCTGCAGGCTGCAGGACTGGAAGGGTGGATAATTATACTCCTCTTGTTTGATCTGTGTAGAGCCGATAAGCTCTCCAGAATTAGTATTCACAGGACTATAACATTGTTATAGCGAAAATTTAGGGTAGCATAGCATAGCAGCATAGTGGAGTTGCCGGAAAGTTGGGGAGAAACTGTACGTCGGGCTGACATCCACCACAGCATCGACAAATCAAGCAGCGCCGAGCTGGCTGAGGCCATCAATTCGATGTACGCATGGTATGCCCGCGCAGAGAAGTGCTATGTATACCTGACCGACGTCACGGATGCAGCCCACCTCTCAAGCAGTCGCTGGTTCACCCGCGGCTGGACGCTCCAAGAACTTCTCGCTCCTCGCACTGTCCAGTTCTTCACTGCGTCTGGCAGTATGATCGGCAGCAGAGAGACTATTGTCGAGCAAATACACAAAATCACAGGTATTTCTCCCAACGCACTTCGCGGAGTCCCGTTGTCGAGATTCAGCGTCGAGGAGCGCATACGCTGGGCTGATGGACGCCAAACGGGCCGGGACGAAGATTTGGCGTATTCGCTGCTAGGAATCTTCGACGTCACCATGCCCGTTGTATATGGCGAAGGAGGGAAGAAGGCAATGCTTCGCCTGCGGAGAGAAATCACGGCAACACATGGCGATGATGTCGAGGAGCATGTGCCCACGGGAATCGACCTACGTAACGCAGTGCGTGACGATCGTATAGATCTTGTCCGATCAATCATCAAACGTGGAGTGGCGGTGGATTACGTTCGGCCAGGAGAGAACGCCGAGCCAGTGTTGCGTATCGCAATTAGAAGTAATTCTGATCGTATGGTTGGGCTCATACTCGAGGCAGAGCCATTTTTAGACGCGCGCAACCACGAAGGGGTCACAGCTTTGATGCTTGCCACGCTCCAAGGGAGTCTGAAGAACGTGCGGAAACTGCTTGACGCCGGTTGTCAACCTGATACCCGGTCAACTTCGGCTCGGGAAGTGCTGAATAGTAGTATGGATCTTGAGGAGGAGACAAAAAAAATGATCGGGAACAGCACGGCGCTGTTTTTGGCTGCTTTGAACAACCGACCGAGGATCATGGAATTACTTCTCAAAGGGGGCGCCGCTGTCAATGCTCAAGCCAGCCACGGATTCACTGCGCTACATGCCGCAGTCATCAAAGGGAATGCCGAATGTGTCAGGCTTCTCCTTGACCACGGCGCTGATGTGGAGGCGAGAGCTATCGATGATAAGCGCGCTCTTCATTACTGTTGCAGTCATGGATGGATCCCTATCGGTGCAGCTCTTCTGGATGCTGGCGCATCCATCGAAGCTACGAAACTTGGTGGAATGACTCCATTACTGGAGGCTGGCTGGTGCAACCGGACAGAGATGTGTGAGTTCGTAATCAGCCGCGGAGCAAACATCAATGCGCAAACTACGTGGGAGGGCTACTACAAGGGATGGACCTGTCTGCACTTAGCTGTTGACAACGACAATCCACGAATGATCCAGATGCTTCTGCAAAAGGGAGTAGATCATACGATCGAGAACGGCGATGGATGCACGGCAGAGGAAAAGGCGATACGTGAAGGGCATAAAGAAATTGCACGTATCCTCGCTCCGATGAACTGGCAACATGTTCGGAAAGAAGAGTGTGACCCAATCGATGAAGGTTCGAAGAGTCGTCAATGGCTCGAGAGCATATCGCGAAATGAATCCAGATAGTCGTAGATGGAGACAAGATCCAGCCAAGCAATGCTGCCGAGGTATATAGATCTGCTTACGATGCATCAGAGGTATACGGCGAAGTCTTTGAATAGCAATCAACGTCACGGCTGGTCTACAGAATGCAACGGACGTCAGATCTCTGCTTCCAGACTTTGACGGCGGCATCTATTGATATCGGCCGAGGCAACATGATCTAGGTGCACAGAGTAGAATTGACCAGGTCGTCGGGCGTGGTAGGGGTGGTAGGATAGTGAGATGGTGGCGGATGAAGAAAGACAAGCTTTTCTGCCACGATGTCGTCTAATGACAAGTCAAAGTGTGGGGAAAGAAGGCTGAGCAGGATGGCCGAGGTATGTGGAATGCTGAAGCTTTGGACAGGCGTTTAAGTCGGGGTTTTTTGTCGACGACAATACTTTGTGGTCAGGGATGCGGACCGAACGGTAGGTATGCTAAGGACAGAATTGCGTTGTGTACGGGTGAGAGTCCAAGGGCTAGCATAACGATGGCTTCATTCACTGTCAGCCATGATGTATAGCATACTGTCTGTGAGGGATCGCCAGCTCCTCACAACAGTAGGAGTCTAGGCCACGAGAGTCGAGAGTTGTCTCTTGGGACGGAATTATTCACAGCCGGGCCGCAGGTAGGGCTCGCCAACGCCCGAACGGGTGGTAAATTCCGGGTTGCGGATGCTTTGCAGAATCGGGACATGCCAAGATGTAAAGCAGATCTGACGCCTCCGACTGACAATCCGGTGGCGTACGTGCGTCTTTGCTCCGCAGGCAGCTGGTGATCCTATCTTTGCCCAGGATTTCTTGCAGCAATTCAGTTGTCATGCCGAGGCACCGCCTTGCAGAGACTCCACGTGCTGCGGCACAGCATCAAAAGTACAATGAAAGCCAACATGATGAATATGTTGCGTGAGGACGATGGGTTTGGTTGGAGTTGAAGGTGCCAAAAGGCAGCGTGGTGAACTATTAGTGAAGATTTAGCAAGAGTTGAAGAGAGGTCCAGTAGTTACTTGAATTGATCGCTAGAAGATAGCGAAACAATGACGATCGTGCCGTAGGTGCGTCGAGATGAAATGAAGGGGCAAACAGGTGGGAATCTGGGGTAAAACCGGAGAAGTCTGGGGATAGTGGTGGTGGTTGTGATGGTGAATTTGGATTGTGGAGAGTGGAGGGTTCTGGTGGCGGATGAGGGCGAGTACGATTGGAGCCTTTAAGCTGGGGCTTTTGGCTAGTACTAGTTGGTACTAGCTGGCTGGCTACCTACCTAATTAGTTTAAGGTAGGCACCTCCTAATTAGAGTTCGGGTCCTGTGCAGCATTCATTTATTCATCCATCCTGAGAACCTGAGGCATCATCAATCAACTGTGTCCGCCTCGACTGTGTCACTGTGATCCATGTGATGATCCTTTTCACTGTCCTCAATATCCATGCTTGTCAGTGCACATGGCACCGACATTATATGCTTGTATCTATGCTTGTATGCCCATGTCACCCCTTATTCATGTCACGTCACTGACATTTTCAGTATCTCAGGCCACGAGATGAGCTTCGAGATGAGACACGTCGAGTCTGGGCTTGGTTGGGACTCTAGAACTCTGGACTTTTCTGCAGAAACACTATTACATGGAATTGAATGAACGTTGCAGCCGTCTGCCGCCAGCCGGCTGCGTGACTTGCTTTTCTTTTGTGGCAGCGATCCTTTGGCGTGACTGCGCAAACGGATCATGAATCATGAGGGAGTAATAAAAAACCTGTCGACCGAGGCTCTCACATCGCCATCGGAAGCTATAGCAGACTAGTCACTAGACACCAAGAACCTCACTGCGACGGGCTTAGCCACCACAAAGCCAGCCAATCCCATCCTTCGAGACCGGCGTGGTGTGGCAGTAGTAACTTGTTAGCATTCCTAGTATTCCTAGTTAGAGGCAGCGATGCCCTCGCTAGCCGGCGCAGGGACGTCCAGACTGGGGATCTTTCCCTGCCCGTTCACTTGTCCAATACTCCAATACAATTCGCGCCTTCTCATTGGTCAGTTGAGCCCCCGTTCCGTGCGCCGAGCATCAAATGCCAAATGCGGGGAACCCCTTCTCGCACCCGTTTTGTTGCGAAATCACTTGCGCTCCCTCTCATGTATAGTGGAGTGGCAGTACAGAGATGGATTGTCCTGGCTGGGCACTTCGCTTTGTAGTGTCACTCACTCTAGCACGAGACCGCTGTCCATGCCGAGTCCTAAAGGAGCCGCGGCAGCACTAATTCACTTTTGGCCCTGCTCGTAGTTCTATTATCTATATGACCTGCCCATAACCTCGTCTGGGAAATTGCCTGTTCCTCTGTTCGTCAACTGCTCCCGCGTGTGCAACAGTCGTCAACAAGCAGCAGTCCATCCCCCTCCACCAACATGGCCATCTTCAAGAGCAAGAAGACTGGCACCCAAGACCAGGTCAACTCCGACCGCTCGTCCAACGAACACGATGTCGAGAAGAAGGTCGTCCCTGGCTACGGCCACGAGCGCGGTGCCCAGGAGATTGAGAACATAGAGGCTGACAATCCCAATGTCCACCAACACGTGAGTCTTCAGATCCACCTCACGCCTCACTGCGCCTACTAACATCAATTTGCAGTTCAACTTCAAGCTGTTCATGGGACTTGTCTGCATGTCCTTCCTATGGTGTGGCTCGCAAATTCCTCTCTACCTTTTCGGTGGTGTCCTGCCACTTCTCTACTCGGATGTCGGTGGCTCCGAGCGATTCACATGGCTAGTTATCGGATACCTCATTCCCAATGCTGCTCTGTGTCCTTTCGTCGGTGCCCTGTCCGACATGTTCGGTCGTCGCATGGTCGCCATCTTTGGGCAGGTCTGCTTGGTCGTCGGTGCTATCGTCGTGTCCACTTCCCACACCATGAACACTGCCATTGGTGGCATGGTCATCTCTGGTCTGGGTGCTGGTCTCAACGAGCTCATTGCTCTTGCTGGAACCGCCGAGATGGTTCCCGTCCAGAAGCGTGGTGCTTACGTTGGTCTCGTCGTCTTCACCATTCTCCCATTCGCTCCATCCGTTCTCTGGGCACAGCTCATCGCCCAGGCGAGCTCGTGGAGGTACGTCGGTATCCTCGTAGGAAGCTGGAATTTCATCGGTCTCCTCCTTCTCCTCACTTCCTACAGGGATCCAGTCGTGGTCAAGCGCCCCGCAAAGGAGATTCTTCGCGAAGTCGACTACGTTGGTGGTTTCCTCTCTACCGTCGGTGTTGTGCTCTTCATGATGGGTATGCAGTTTGGCGCTTCACAATACGAATGGACCAGCGCTCAAGTCTTGGTCCCGTTCCTGCTCGGCGTTGTCTTCATCATCGCCTTTTTCGTGTGGGAAGTGACGTGTAAATACCCAATGGCTCCAAAACACATGTTCAGCAAGGACAAGAGGACCATGATTGCCATCTTGATCGTCACTTTCTTCTCCGGTGGCAACTTCTTCGTTGTCCTGTTGTTCTGGCCTACTCAGATTTACAACGTTTACGGTGAGTAATCTCAGCATTCCCACACCTTTCGAACACAAGCTAATCTCCTCTGCAGGTGATGACCCACTCGGCGTCGGTATTCGTTCCCTTCCAATCGGTTTCGGTATCATCGGCGGTGCCGCCATCGGTCTCGTTCTCCTATCCGTCACCAAGGGCCGCAGCACCGTAACCATGATCATCTCCTGTGCCATCATGACTGCCGGAACCGGTGCCGTCTCCATCTCCCGCCCGGACAATCTGATGACCACCTACGGCGTAGTCACACTCGCCTCTCTCGGCGTCGGCGCCGTCATTATCCCCTGCTCCATCATCGCCCAAATCGTCTGCCCGCCCGAGCTCATCGGCACCATCACCGCCATTACCCTCTCCATCCGCTACATCGGCGGCGCTATCGGTTTCTCCGCCTACTACAATGTCTTCTACTCGAAGCTCTTCAACTACGCCACCGTGGACGTTGGCCCCCAGGTCGTCATCAACCGCATCTCGTACGACTACCCTACCCTCGAGACTATGATCACCATGGCCGCCTACGCCCGATGGCGCGAGTTGCGCGAGTTCATCATGACCGCGCCCAACGTCAACATTCGCGATTACGACTTCGTCCACGGCGTCATCGTACCCCCGCTCCAGGAGTCCTTTGCTCTCGCTTACCGTTACCCGTACTGGATGTCCATAGCGTTTGGCGGCATCTGCCTCATTTCTTCGCTCTTCCTGCGCGACGTCAGCAAGTACTACAAGTTTTAGACACTTGATTTCTGTGAGTCGGAATGGGGTTTGATACCAAGATGGGAGGAGTGGGAGGAAGGCAGTGGTGGAAGTAGAACATTGGAAGACACGACGTGACGAGTCACGAGAGAGTAAAACAAACCTCAGGCATCGCGCCTTTCCCCTAACGATGGGAACGCGCATTCATTTACAAGCGCCACAGCTAGAAAGTTGCTCTTCCGTTGAAAATCCTCATCAGAGCAGATGTACATATAATCGATGCAGAAGTGAAATAATAATGCTTCTAAACCTACTTGCCTTCATGCCTTGTGCGTCGTCGTTGTCGTCGGTACTCGTGAACGAAATGCGTTCCCCCTCCACCCTCCCCCCAAACCTGTCAGTATAGTGTAGGGATCAAAGAACCAAAACGAGAATGCATGCTTGCATGCTGTTAATACGCCTGGGAGAATGTTAATAACAAGTTATCCAGACTTCAACGTGGCATATCTCGTACACGATGTATCAAAGTAGTAGTCTCTCTTTCTTACTCTTCATTATGAAAGAAACTTGTTCCCTTTTATTAGCTAGATCTTACAATTAGATCTCCTTTATTGTAGATGATATAACATATACTGGAGGATGTCAAGTCATGAGTGAATAATAAAGATAGTTTTGGTACGTTGAAATATACTTGATTCTAGTCCCGCTGATAGAATCTTCGTAAGCCCTAGTCATCGCTGGCACATTCCAAAGTCTGTTCTTATAATAAATCAGGTTTTCTGCTTGTACAGAGAGCGTCCATATCATCATATAGTAGACACGAATTTACCAGGGCATGGCATTTTTTGTGATAGACTGGTATATTCTCGCAGGATATCGTACTGATGCCTCCACAGCGTAGACGGTTCTTGAACATGCACGTGCACACAGTGTAACATTCTTCACGTTGAAGGTTTGGCTTGTCCAATAGAATCACCGAGTAGGACAAAGAGGCAGCAAACAAAGTCAGAATCGTTAAGCCTGTCCCTGCACCCCACTGTGGCGAAGAGACCCGGCGTCCTTGATTTGAGGCTTCATGCCTCGATGTAGCTTGAGAACACATATAAGTGCACCTACATCGGTCTTTCAGGAACGAGAAAACAATCTGTCATCAACAACGGCTCCAAGAAAGATACTAGAGCTGATCCCGGCTCACAGTCCTGCATACTCGACCACGCTCATACTGAAATCGCAATCTCACGCCCCGACAAGATCTCGAAGTCCACCTCCACTTGTATGTCAGACATGACAGGGTCAAATGATATGACGGACACGGACGCGAGCAAGAAAGAAACTCGGTTCATCTTGTTCATGCAAGTGCGAGACATGAAAGAAACATATAGCAAGCGTCACCTCATGATGGAACGGAGAAACCGTGAACCCATGTCAGATATAACAAATTACCACGCAGTCTATCTCCGCCCGACCTACGACTTCAGAAAGATATTCGATGAACGGGCAGACAGACAGGTGCTGGTATCAGCTGCGATCGGGTATCCGGAGATGACGGAGGGTGCCATGCAGGACGTTGATCAAGAACAACTTTATGACGTATTTCTCTTCTACAGAGACATGGAAGGCACGGAGCAGCCCTCAAGCGATACGCTTTACCATATGCATCATATTACGATGATGTATAAAAGCCTCGCCGCCTTGCGCAATCTGCACACCAAACCTGAGGAGCAGGCTAATGCTACAGTGGTGAATCAACGCAAATACACGACTACTCCAAGATACAGCGACTACGACGCGCAGTTCCCATACGAGCTATCCGGCTTTGAGCTCAGGACAACCTACGTCGATGTCGAAAAGAACGAACAAGATGTAAGATGGTGGGCTAGTGCGGATGGCTTCCCGTATAACACCCAGTTCGAAGCTGACTTAGTCGAAATGCTGCTCACCCAGGTTAGAGCTGTGTGTTTCCGAGTCACTTAAATCTACTTCGAGGGTAAGAACGATGCTACCTATAGGGTACCGGGGTGACCAGAGGTCCCAGAGGTTCCACTATCCAACAAAAAAAAACCCTCAAACGTTTAGCACAGTATAGTGATCGTCAATCTTCAATAGAAGACATAACGACGTCTATGTCATTGTTATCGATTTCTTCATCATGATCATGACTCACGGTTTAGATGGATAATGTAATGAGCTAGCTGTCTTGACGAATATCTCGAAATTTGAAGGTATATCTACACTTATGCTAATTTGTCGCAAAAACAAAGTCCATAGGATATGCGACAGGGCTGTGATATATGTCAATGCCAATGTCAAACATCAATTAATGACAAAATCTGTGCTAGAGGCACATGTGCACAAAGCCATGGAAACGAATATCGTGTCCTTTATTGACACTGTTCAATACCTCGACCCTATAAGTCGTCACCAGCTTCTTTCCGTTCCAAGAACAAGTTCCTATTCCAGTCCCTCCACCGCATCCCAAAACCAGAAACTCCTTTCCCTAAGATGTCAAGTAAGCATATTGTATCCGCAACAGTATTTCATTATATCCTTTCATATCAGCAACTTCATTGAGGCTGGCTGTATGCTGAACGTTCTTGAGATAATTGCAATTATCAGCGCTATCATTACTGGTTAGAATGAGAGGAAAGAGTGTAAGCTTGGCTTATACCCCTGGTTTTATACGTCCCACCTGCTCCACCTTCTCCCTCTGAGCATGAATAGTACATGCGTGTGTGGGTGGCAGACGTATTTCTCGAGTGGAGGGGGTAGGATAAGTGATATCAAGAGAGGATAATGGGACTAAGATGGGTGCGTGAGAGATTATATAGTGGGCTTACGTACCGAACTGGTATTCCGTACCGCAGTCAAATACTCAGAGTTCGGATCTGTAGCGTGACTGTCCTAACACTGGCCCTGATAAAGTTGAGGGGCGAAAAACATGAGGAGCATAGTGCTAATGTACTTTATTACCACATAATGCTAGAGTCATACTGCCTATCCCAGCCTACGAATCCAGCGCGAAACACCGCTCAACACTCTGCTCATTATTGCCCCACCAATTCGGCATCACAACGACCTTTCCAGAGCTGAAAATCACAAACATCGCCAGCAGAGCAAAGTTGAACCCAGCATCCAGCGCCGCCGCAATCAGAAAATTGTACCGCCTCCACGTCTCAAATCGCTTCCGCAAGAAATAACGCATCGAGATATAACCCACGATGAACCGCGAGATATAGCCCGTTGACAGATTGCCATAAAACACCGACATACCCGAGCAGAAGATTGTCACGTTCCAAAGCTGTAACTTCAGGAACTTCAGCTGCGGTACATACTTGTGAAGCGACCATATCACAAACGGTGCTCCCGCGCCAAACAGAAATGCATACGGCGACGGTGAGTACATATGTTGCGCGAACAAACGCTTCGGACCCACGAGCACGTACTGCACGCCATACGTGTAGTAATTCGCCAGCGCCTGTCCCGTCCACTGATTCAGCGAATCCGTCCGCAGGCCGAGCAGGTAGTCTCGTTTCTCTTTGATGACCCACTGAATGATACCGTAGTTGATAGGCACGCCAATGAACTCACCGAATATTTGGGAGAAGAAAATGGCACGCGGGCTCACGTGACAGTAATGTCCAATTTTTTGGTCCTGGAGCATATACTGGGCGCGGTACCAGATATCGCCTGCAAGACTGCCATAAGCAGATGCGCCGGCAGGATGGCGGTGGGTCGAACTGGCTTGAATCATGTAGCCATAGAGGAGCTCATTGAAGGAGCCGATGGGAACTTGGAAGGCGCTAAAGCTGTACAGCCAGCTGAAGGGGACAATCATGAGACCGGTGGTGAACAAGGCGACGAAGAAGGTCCATATTGGGATGAAGAAATATCCGCAACCCAGAATCGTGATGATTGTGGTGAAAGAGACGAGGAAAAGGACGAGGTACCACCACAGAGGAACCTCCTTGTATGCGCGCATGAGAACGTTCAGACGGTCATTGTACGTTTCATTGACAGTCTCTTTGCCTCGAGATTTCGTGCGTTCCCGAATCTTCCCAAGGGTTGCTTTGATCTGAGGCCAGCCGAAAAGGATCATCCAAGTAAGTGCCGATATGTATGAGGCATAGTCGAAGAAAAGGCTCCAAATTGTCTGCGTGCCCATGTAGATAGGTCCTAGTTCCTCGTATGCTGTGACGTTGAAGCGCAAGTCGGGTGTCATGAGTGAATCGACAGGATACCTAGTCCCGTTTTCGAGAAAAATGCGATTGGACATCAGACTGTGTTTCCAAGATCCCAAGTTGCCCCATTTCGCAGCTGGGATGAGAATCCAGCAATTCACTACGAATGCCACGGACAAGACAGCTGTTGTCCAGAAGGGCACGATCATAGGGTTGGTCAAAGTACCAGTCGAGATGTTAGACCAATCTGTGCAAAGTCAAAACGAGATTCTCAACGTATCAGAATGAGGCTCACCCAACGAGAGGTTCAAGAACCCCATGCCACCGATACCGCCACCAATGAAATTTGCAATCTCATTGTGAGGAGCAACCCAGCAAAGGAACGAAAGCGAGCTGAGGAAGGGAAAGACGTACTCTGGCAAGAATTGCCAGAAGAATACAGCTACAAAAGCGCCAAAGAAGACGTACTTCTGCTTCCTCGCGATCCAAGAGTCTGTGGACGACTTCCGCAGAGTTTCGAAAACAGACGTCTGCATGAGGGAGTACGGCCACACATAGATGGGATCGTACAGAAGTAATTGACGAACCAAAGCGGCCATCGCGTACCCAAGGAACACGATTGCCCACATGAAGAAGATGCAGGCAGCGGCAGGAATCTTCGTGTCAAAATAAAGCTGTGCGAGAGATATTGTTGACCATGCAGCATTCGAGGTCGCCCCAGAAGCGGCAGTCACTGTCACGAGTACATGCTCTGAATAGATTATTTAGCTCTTGTTGAAAGGTGGTATGATGATGTGGCCTACCTTTAGGACTCCAAGGGCCTGGATTCAGGTTGAAGCTCCATTTAGTACCAGGAACACGGATTTCCCATGCTGGGAGGACTTTTGCCAGCCACAAGCCACAGTAATGGGACGCTATTATAAATTGTCAATTGAGGTTCAAATTCGGTATGCGCCATCACTCACCAATTTGCACAAAGAGCACAGGGTATGCGGAGGATGTAGTACGATAGAGGCCCATCTGGTAGAGGACGGCTCCTGGGGCGACAAAGAAAAACGCAAGAACAAAATACCGGAATGTGATTGTAGGCAGTGTTGGATCATCCTCGAGAGACACAATTTTTCGAACGATGAGAGGGATCTCTTTGATATCGTCAGGCAAGTCTTCCTCGCTATCGTCCGGGTCTATCGCAGGACTGGTTTTCTTCTCGTCGGAATCACTGGCACCAGAATTCCCTCTCACACCAATCTCAGCGTCGTATTTCTCGTTCCGCTTCACGATTGACGGACTAGGATCGAGTGAGCCATCGTTCTGGCTGCTGCTTGTTACCGGTGCAGCACGCTTCCGGATAAAGCGACTGAGCACGCTGGCCATGATGTGCCACCCACTCTGGACGAATTTGAAGTATGCAAAGCAGACGGCTGAGCTCGCGACCTCTGGTCAAAGTAGATATAATATATATTATGCCACTACAAGATAAGCTAAGCTTGCTTGACAAGCCCACGACGGAGCTTAAATCGGATACACAAGGCGTGGCGTATGTTGGCGATGCTTATCAACGGCGACCGACCCACAGCAAAATGTGATAGAAATGGATCTGCAGACTACACAACTGCAGACCCTGGGAATTGCGCGACTACGTGAGCGACTCGCGTGCGTAACATGAGGAGTAGAGATTTGCTCCTCCTTCCTTTTCGGGAGTCTTGAAGAAAAGTCTGCAGCAGAGACATTCACCGTGACGGCGAGGCGTAGCAGTGGAACAAAAAGCACGCCATCGTGACTATCGCGAGTTGGGAAGAATGGATGGATCCGCAACATGTTACCTTGCTTTCGTCGCTCTATGGCCAAATCGTGGCTAGGGCAGCGATGATCACCCATCAAGAGCGGGGCTGCATCCATCACCCGGTCCAACTTCGTATCTAGCAGCAAGTGGGTAGCAACATCTGTGCAAGTACAACATCCCGCTGATGACTTGTGTCGTGTAGCTGAACCTGGGTATATTACATCTGAGCTTTATTCCGTTCAATGTGCTCAGGGTGCAAAAAACCAGGAAGATTAAGGATGACATGCAATGATGTGCTGTAGCCACCAGCTTCAAGATGAACTCGGCCGGAATTGAAAACTTCTTACGAATCGCCACAAGTGCTTACCCAACAAGATCAAACCAATGATTCAGATGATGGATCATTATACGGGTGAAGCGAAGACTATGCATTTTGTGATAGTCTTGTCCATTTCCATAACAAGCCCCAGCCTCCGCATACTGACGAGAGGCCTGTGAAGACGATTAGAGGTCCGTAGCCACTTTCGTACCCAAATCTCCCGACGGAAGCAGCGCTTCCAGCTCGGAGCAAGGGTACACCAGCGAGACCACCGGAAACGTATCCAATACCCCTGGCCCCATTAAGCAGACCATATAGCATACCACTGTCAATCGCCTCATTTCTCTGAGCAGCTTCACATTCTAGTTCGTTGATAATGCCACCCCAGGTAGAGCTGTAACCACCTGAAAAGAAACCAAACGTCATAGAAAACACCAATAACAGTACCAGGCTACCTCGAGATGTCAGTCCCCAGAACAGGAACGCAGACAATGCGGAGCAGCCGGCTGAGATAGCTGTGATTGTAGATGCCGACAGCTTACCGCGTCCACCATTACTCAAGAATCCGAAGAACGTCGAAGATATAATGCCAGGAACATTGAAGAGTGTGAGGAGAAGAGTAGACCACGTCTGAGATAGGAGTGTGACCTCTCGAGCATATTCAGGCAGGAATGTTTGCGGTATACCGTATCCAGCACTCTGCAGAATTGTGGCAAAAGAGTATACGTAGAAAGTCCGATGTCTGAGGAACGCCCAAGGCATTCTACGATCCCGATGATTCGTTCTTGCAGAGAGCGTCATTGGTGGAGTGGGTATCAACAGAATTGACACGACACTTGTTCCAACGCAGATAGCTGCCCATACCCTTAGCGATCCGCGGAACCCATATCGGTCCAGAAGTCCCCGAAAGAGGAAGGGGCATGTAGAACCAACAATGTTCTTACATGACAATGTGAAACCCAGAGCAAGAGCACGATTGTTCGTGCTATACCATTCTCCGAGGGACAGTGTGACCGGGCTGTAGATGAGCGCGCTCCCAAGTGCGGCCATGACTCCTTGTGTCGCCAGTAGGTGCCAAATATCTGTGCTGAAGGAAGATATAAGGAAGCTGGTGCTGACAAGCAGTGCCCCGAAAAGGGCCGCGGTCTGTCGTCTATGAGCCCATCTTCTCGTGAATAAAGCGAACAGTATTGGCATTGACAGGTAGATAACACCATTGGACGTCGTCCCGATGATACCGGTAAGCTCTCGGCCTCCTTTGAGAGACAAGTTGTCATTGTAATACTCCTGAAAAACACCGTAGCTCATGGCAAAGCCTGGAATTGTAAGTCGAGAACTGATTAATATGCTATCATGCTCAACTTGCCCCACATTGGCAACTGCAGCAACGAAGACCCAAGAAGAACGCCGGTCCTTGTCTTGTTGGACTCTGGTCGTAATGATACCGAAGACTCAATAGTTTCCTCATCGTCGTGGTGCATAGTCTGGCTCTGTAGGCCGGCGTCAAAGGATTCCAGTTCGTGGAGCGTGACTGTTTCTGTTTGCGGCATCTTTGTAGAGTATCTTTGATTTTCATGCAAGAATCGTAAATCTCAATTGATCTTATATATCAGACCTCCTATATGACTCAGAGGCGGTGATCTACATCGTAGGTTGCTCGCTCGCTGAGATTGGAGATGGCCGGGCGGCTCGGGCACTTGGACCAATTGTAAACCAGTACTGGAGCCTTCTTTGGTCTCCAGGCATAACTGCAAAGATGTTGGGCCTGATCATAGCCAAGGTCACTAGGACAACTATGTTTGCGCATCCAACTGAAGCTATTACTTGAGTACTGAAGTTGCCTCCGACGCTTGCTCCATGAGTCGAAGTGACGGCAGTAACAGGTCCGAGATAAGTAAGATGAGAATCACTTCAGTAGTTTTGAAGCTACACTCAATTCTTATAGTGGCCTACTTTTCTGTCCATTGTGTGGTCAGTCATGAGGAGACAGTTGTCAGACTGTACACGCGTCGCGAATGAGACCGCTGAGCGAGTCGTGTGTGACTTGACCTTGCCTAATCAGACGCACTGCGTGACTCAGGTAATAGCCCATGAAGGGCATGACGTATTTGGAGACACAGCACTGGATTTGAGAGCTGATGAGGAAGCTCTAGAACTTGCTTCTAACTCACTGCAATAAGATCCAGTGCTCTGGAAAGACTTGAAATTCCACCCTGCAGTCATGGGCTACCGTGAGAAGACAATCAGCAAGTCCATACTAGACGCCATCTTCCTAGACAAACAAGACCCGAGCCGCGGGATCCTTACGCGCATCTTCGTCTTCTTTTCATTTTTCCACCTCGCCCTCCAGCGTTTTTCCCCTTCACAATTCAAGAAACTCCGTACAGAATCATGGCAACTCGACGAGGAAGAATACAAGGAGTCCTTTCGCCGCGCGGCAAGACAAGGCCAGCTAAGTCCCATTGGTGACTTGGGATACTCTGGATCAGTAAGATTACCTCTATCGACGGGCAATTTGAAGAAAAGCAGCTATCTAACCATAACAAAAGACATTCTTCACAACCCCAAACTCCAAATATCTCATAAAATCCATCCCGCGCAAGTTTGAACACGACTTCTTCCGCAACATCCTCCTGGATCCGTACGTTGCGCACATCAGGGCGCACCCTTCCTCTCTTCTTGTTCGTATTACCGACCTTCTCTACGCGCCTACATCTACGTTAGGCGCCCTCCTCGGTTTCGCACCTTCACATCACATCATAATGGAGAATGTGTTATACGGTAAGGACGCCCACAGCGGCGAGGCATATCAATGGGAGACATATGACCTCAAGCCCGCCGACTACTTTTACCCGGAGCGTGACGTGGCGGGCGGTAACTTGGCATCCGACAGCACGAAGAGCAAGCTGATTGATATATTTGGGGATAAAGTCCGTGTGAGCAACGGCGAACGACGGGAGATGCTTGCGACGTTGGAGGCGGACACGATGTTGCTGAGGGAAGTAGGCGCGGTGGATTATTCGTTGTTTCTGATTCGATATCCGCAAGGGTTGAAGCCACCGCAGCTGCCATCAGGGACGGACGAGCCTTGGAGAAACGGATTGGAATCAACGGATGGGCAGTGGGTGTATCGAGCTGTGATTCTGGACTTCTTCTGGGCCAAGAGTGCGCTGCAGGCAAAGGCTATGGAGGCGCTAATTAGGGGGTACAATCTGCTAGACTTACAGGGACCTATGAGTATCACTACCTCACCCGCTGAGTATCAAAAGCGGTTCATGGAGATGGTAGCTGGTATAGTCATCAGTAACGAGGCTGGTGACGGCGGAGAGATCCACGGGCAAGGTTCCAGCGAACAGTGAATCGCGCATGATGGAGTGTTCTCGAGAGAGACCGCGTCCGATATCGCATCAGCTTCAAATTGCAGTGTTAAGCAAGCCCTGAGATACCCTTTCAGTAATCATTTGATAATATACATACAACCCATTGCTGCGTATATACAAAGTGATGCTTCCACATATCACTTTGCTTGTCGTACACCACAGCGCAATCTCCAATGGCCCCACGGCCGAAGTTCAGTGAGCCGTTCGATACGAAGATGACCCAAACGCCAAAAGATGCACCAGATAGCGCAATGCAAGCCCAAAGTGGTCTCGATCCAAGACCACAGGTATCAAGAAGACAAAGGACGAAGTGCAAGGAAATCTAGTACAGAGGCCGTTACCATTCCTGCCTACAGCCGGCATGCGCTACTCCTACGCGCCTAGCTCGTCATCGCTGCCTTCGTCATCCCCTTCCGTCTTTTCCGTCCTTATGCTTTCTGAACGTTGCATCTTGATCTTCTTCCGTGGCACCTCGCCATCACCATCTTCGCGCTCGCGTTTCACTCCGTTGTCGCCGCTCTTTGGTTTAGCAATCTTGAGTTTAATCTTGGGATCTGATTGGTGTGTAGAGCCCGGAGTTGTGGCGCCTGAGGCGGCCAAACGTTCTCTGTCGGCTTTCTTGATGTAGTTGGACTTCTTCTTCTTTTTCACAGGGGTTTCCTTGTCGTCATCATCGTCATCGTCCGCGCCACCTTTTTTCGTCGGAGACCGTTTTCCGTTGTTGTTCTGGCTCCCTGGCTGGGGCGTACCCATGCGGCTTCCCAGTGGCGTGTTACCGGATACAGAGCCGTTACCAGTAAGCTTCGCCATTGCGTTACGGCTACTTTGACGGCCGGATATACCGAGACATTTTTCGAGATGCTGAGCGAATCGAGTAATGAGAAGGCTGCGCTTACAGCTTGGGCACGTCTGCCATGGGATGTACGAGATTGGCTTAGAGCCTGTATTGAGTGTAAAGCTCTGTGTAGCGGGTGGGGTACCTGTGTCGTTACTACCAGGCGTGTTGTCTTTCTCAGCACGCTGCTGTTGTTTGATGAGTTCTCGCTCTTTCTTTGTCTTCGCTTGTTCAGTGGGAAATTGGTTGCCGTAAATATCATGTCCTGGTTTCGAAACAAAAGGATAGAACATGCAATATTCTTTCGACAGATCCGGCTCACGCGAGCCCTTTCCAGTGATAGGGTATTGCAGACGCGGCAACCGACACTGCGGGCAAATGACTTCTGGTGTTGTCTGCAGCGGATTGCCGCGTAGAAACGTCTTTCCATTCTCATATATCGCGCCTGTTGTCTCAACTCTGATATTTGGGGTAGGCGGGGGAGCTCCTTTGACTGGTGCAACTGGGGGCTCGGGCATTTGTGCTCTTGCCGTATCTTCAGCAATCACCACAGCGGACTGCATACGCAAAACTTTCTCTTCCCGATGTATCTCCAACACCATGTCGTGAATTATGTTGTGGAAGCAATCATCTAAAACATTGCGTGCCTATGAGAGGATCAGAATAGCACCTACAGGTTTGCGGCATAGTGTTAGCTACTCACAACGACTGACCAGGCAGCCGGGTCGAGCTGAGAGATCTTTTCTTTGTCCATAGCGCTGGAAGTCTTCGTGTATATGGTAGAACACGAGCTGATTGTGATGTCTTTGATATCAATGAAGATCGAAACTTTGATGATTGTTCAAGCACTTCGAATGAGAGTGGCGGGGATTAAGTAAAGGTAAGGACTATGACTGTGGAAGAGAGTGTTTGCTGTATCGCGGTCAGAGTTGAGAGGCAGTGGTAGTTCACTTTTTGCGCACCTACTAGCCCTTACACAATGACAATAGCTAACTAGCGATTTCGAGTTCACCTGCTCAACAACGCGTGTCCTGATCAGAGTTGCGACCCAAATTGTTCGTTATTGACAGTCGTGTGAGCCCATAACGGACATTTCAGGAGGGGGCGAGGAAGGCTAAACTGGACACCTGGTGTCCAGCTTGAGTCCTCTGTCAAGGTCGCTACGCCTACTGAGAAGAGCGACAGTAGGCAGGGAGCTCCGAGAAAAGCTCAGCACGCCTCTTTGACAGTGTAATGAAACGCGGAGATGCACTGTACTCGAAGAGAGTGCTGAGCTGTTATGAGGTTGGTAAGACAAGGACAAGGGTAAATTTAGCTTAGGCCGCGACGGGCACCTTGCATTAGTGTGATAGTGCGCATGTACATTAATTATTGACGCTACTACCTAGGCCATATCTTGTATGTATATTGGACTATCAAAATGTTATCAACAACGATGAATATTCCGGCCTATGAGTTATGCCCGATATCTTCAGTCTGTGATTGCGACCATTTGCGACTGGCGGAGGCACTCTGGCACATTCCGCGTATGGTATACCGTGTTTCACACAACCGAGGTAACTCTAGCTGTATTTGCTGAGATGCTCTTCGTATTAGGGTCTACAAGGTATATACGAGATTCATGCATAAAACCTTCCGAGGTCATTGACATAGTATTCTCCATCATTGCTATATGGCGCAGCCGATGTTTCCAATACACGGACACCATTTTCACCCATATATAACTCAGGGCGACCTCGAGTCAACGTGTTCAATATTATACAGAGAACCGCAAACCAAAGATTAGGTACCGGGTCTTGTCTCAGCGGTCACCTACAGTGTTCCTCTTTAGATATTGCGCGAAGTGCGGAAGACCGTTGAGGGGAGGGCAAAAATGCAGCACTGATAGAGGAAATGAATGAGAATAATTACAGGGGGTAGTTGAAGTAGAAGTAGAGAAGCTTGAAGTCGTCTATAGTCGCTCTGTCGTGTTTTACCTCATGACCGGCATGCCCCCGCCCATGCTTTGCAACCGGGCGGCGAGGCGGGGGTACTTTTCTTGGACTTCGAGTTGTGTCCTGGTTGCTTCGGCATATGATAGAGCATTGACAATCTCTCCTTCAGTTCTCGAAAGCTCAGCTGCGCGCTCAAAGTATTTCAGCGCTTCTGTGACTTTGCCTTGCTGGAGTAGTAGCTGTGCCATTGTAGCGACAGCGATATCACACTCAGGATCAACTGTAAACGATTAGCATATTAGCAAAAGCCACATTGTTCAGAAATACATACTGATTAGAGCCTTCTGGCACAACTTCTCTGCTTCCGTAAAATCCTGTTTCCATTGGAACAAAGCCAGAGCTTTGTTGATCAACGGTAGAACGTTCATGCCCAAGGGCTTAGTCGCCTTTTCCATTTCTACAGCTGTGTCGAACTTCTCAATAGCTTCTTGGAACTTTTGCTGGTCGAGTAGAAGCTCTCCGTAGTAGTTATAAACATCAGGGACTTTATCAAAGTTCTTCATACAGCGACGGAATGTGGCCATCGATGACGCGATCGAGCCCATCTTGTACTGTGTAACACCTAGCTGGATGTGGGAGAATATGAAATCCTTGTCCAGGTCAATCGACCTTTGGTAGTCTTTTGCGGCCTCGGAAAACTCGTTTGTGATGAAATGGAGCTGAGCGCGGTGATAGAATATATCAGGATCCTCACCATTCTGGTTCATGGCCTGAACAAAGTCCTCTGTGGCTCTATTACGTTCGCCTAAAATTGATATCAGAACCGAACAAAAAAGCTTCATAGAACCTGTGCATACCATTCTCAAGGTGCATGCTTGCCCGCTTAACATAGCTTTGAGTCAATGTTGGGTCCAGCTCAATGCTCTTACTCAATTCAGTCAAGGCCTCTTTGTTGTCTCCAGCGAGATAATGGAAAGTGCCAAGCAGGTTGTAGGCTAGACCCTCATGATGGTCGAGATCCCCTAAGTCCACTGCTTTCTGGAAAGCGTCGAAAGCCTCAGCGTAGCCATCCGCCGTCTTCTTACTCATGGCCTGGAGACCCTTCTGCAGTTGACCTTTGCCTGTGTTCTCATCGAGCTCAACATCTTCACCCAGACCTTCTGGGGCTGGCTTCGGCCGGAAACTTTGCAGGTAGTTTCCTATGAAATGCGGGCTTGGTAATTTCCGTTCTTTACTTTGTAAGATCAATTTGCCCTTCTCCTCCGCCACCTTCTTCAAAAGACGTTCAACACTCAGTGTTGAGTTCTGGTTACCAAAGGAATCGATTATACAGCTGGCCGTATAATCAAGGAGAGCATCGCTGAGACGATTCACCTGTTCGTATGCGTTCGCGCGTCGATTCAAGGCTTTGACGTATTCATTGTCCAAATTTATAGCTGCTGTGGTGTCTTCAATTACTTTTTCCCAGTCGGACATGGCATTCCAGCAAGCTGCGCGATTGGAGTAGTATACGGGGTCTTGTTTGCAGAGAATGGCCTTGCTGTACAACTCTATCGCCTTGTTGTATTCTTTGTTACCATAAGCTTTGTTACCTGCGGCCTTGAGCTTGGCGGCGTAATCTTTCTTCTCCTATCCATCAATTAGCAACGGTCAATGGTGTTCTCAGAGTAGTATATACCTGTTCTGATAGAGTGGCTGCGATGGCCTCGTCGACTTGAGGAAGCTCATCCTCAGCTTCGACAGATACGGTAGACTTTGGAGGAGCTGTTTCCATTAGTCTATCATAGTGGAAAGGAACGAAGCTTTTACCTTCAGTCGACTTTTCAGATGCTGCCTCGCCATCTGCGACTCCCTTTTTCGTCTTCTTACGATCTTTCTTGGTCTTCCTCTTGCCCGAAGTTGTGCTTTCTGGTCCCGTTGATGGCTTGCCTGAGTCCGAAAAGTAGTAGACGGCACCACCGACAGTAACTACCACCGTGATACCTGCAATTGTATAGACCACAGCCTTATGCTCAGAGGCCCAGTTTGATAACCGATCCCATAGCGATGACGAGCCCAATGTATCTGGATTCATAGGTAGAGGAGAAGGGGGTACGAGGACATCGGCGTTCTGCGACATTATGTACGGGTGCACGAGCGATTTGGGTATGATTCTCCCGTAGATGTAGTGAGGATGAGTATTAGGACCGAGGTGAAAGAGCGGGCGCGATGGCTTGAACGCGTTGAAGTTGTTTTCGCTAGTTGGGAAACTCGAAACTTTGCGTCAGAATCGGGGCTCAAGCACGGACCACATAGCTAGGTAGTTCTCGATGAACAACTGTCATCCTGTCAAGCAGCTGTCTTATACGTGTACAGCTGATGACCAAGCATATATTGCCGAAGAATCTCTGTTAAACTGCTCCAATTTTTCACAGCTTAGAAAACCCGAATTCTACGAGCCATATACCACTACTGTGCATCACCTATACCAGACACATCGGAGCATTTTTTGCAATCAGCACGTGCCGTTTATGCGCATCCATACAAAAGCCAGCCTTAGGCAAGCGTTTCTCTGGCACTTAGCATATTTGTCTCCCCTTTGCACGGAAGCATTCCATGAGGAGCTGCAATAGTAAACAAAATGAGTTCACCAGAAGGTTTCGAGCTGTTCACCTCTCTCCGATATGATTCGTTGCTTCTTCAAAGCGATGCCAACAATGCTTCCACACTTAGTTTCACCGCTCCGACTTCTTTCTACATGCTCGTCTACCACCGCGACCGGATGCTTGAAGCTGCACGTCACTTCGATTGGCTCGAGGTAGCGTTGAAATTGGAAGACGGGAAGGGTCTTGAAGCACTCCTGGGCCATGCAGTCAACGAAAACATACAGAAGACAGGAAACGAAGGTCCATTCCGAGTTCGAGTGTTATTCTCAAAGACAGCCTCGATGAAAGTCGAATGTAACTCAATACCACCTGTATCACTCAAGACCTTATATCCCCAGTCCATACCCGCACCACAGTTGTCGAAACCATTCAAGCCATCGCCATTGACAGGAGGAGTCATGACTCTCGGTTCCGACCATCAGGCTGAACTGGATCAAGCTCGCTGGAAGTTACATGTCGACAAATCGTCAACTCCCTCAACAGCTTACACGTCATTGAAGACAACTCTAAGATCACATTATGACGTAGCTCGCGAGCGCTCCATACCTTCGAATCATTCAACTGAAGAAATCCATGAAGTACTAATGTACAACGACATTGAAGAGATGACCGAAGGTAGCTTGACGTCAGTATACTTTTGGCGGGGTGGGCGTTGGGTCACGCCACCTGTTGGCAACACGCTGCTAAGTGTTGGATATAGTGGGCCGGAAGAAGGCATTGGTGCTCAACCGGAATGCGTGAAGACGGGAAGCGATGGTGACCGGTTGCCGTCGTTCAGGGGCCGATGGGGACACAGTCTACGCAATACAAGTAAGTATCCGGACAGCGGTGGGCAGCGAGGTACAACACGGCGATGGGCACTGCGAAATGGTCATTGCGTGGAGGAGGTTGTAGAGAAAAATAGTGTGCGAGCAGGCGATATAGTGTGGCTTAGCAACGGAGTAAGAGGGTTCGTAGAAGGCATAGTAATCGATTGACGCGGTAGCAACCATAGACTTGAAGGAAGGAACGAAAGGAACGAAAGGACTATGATAATAGCACCAAAGAAAACGAGTTACATACCGTAAATCATGACTTTGGCCGCTCTGTGCCCCTTTGCCTGACCTGCTCTTGCACCGATCGAAGATTCGTCTCAGGTTTGACAGTTGCAGGCGTCTGAAGATCTCTCCTTTTATCATCGCCCGGTCTCGTTCTTCTCTTTCTCTTCGCCGGTGTGTAAGTGTCGTTAAAGTTCATCACCATGGCAAGCCATCGCATATCTGCGTCAGGTTGCGCATATAGATCTCCGAGTAGTATGTTGACCTTCACCTTGAAATCCGAATTAAGAAGCTTAAGGCGCTTTCGGAGACCGTCCAGTACATCGTCCTCGCTTGCACTACCAGTCAAAGCAGTCGCGAACAGGTAAGGCGAATCGGTCTCTCTCGGTTTCTTCCTATCTTCACGTAATTTAGCGCTCGCAGTCGCTGGTGTTAAGTCTCCAAATTCGTCGCGTTCTGTAATTCCCCATTTTCCAGCTGCCGTACGGGTCTCGATTTTGGCTGAGCGCTCCTGTCGGCGCGTGAACTCGGCAACGGAGAAAGAGTATAGGCCATCTACAGCTTCCTTGTAATGTAGCATCGTTTTCAGTAGCTCGTGCAACTGAGACGTAAAGTCATAACCGCCGGACGACCCAAGCAATCCTTTGCGTGTGATACTGTTCAGATAGACATCGTGTGCTTTGATCATATCGTCCAGCGTAGCCTCCGGCTTGTGGAGTGCCATTTGAAGCTCGTTCCATGATGCTTCAATGACTTCGAAGAGAATGTAATATTGGAGCTGATTGACAAAATGGATCATTTCGGCAACGGACCCTCGAGCGATCTTCCAGTCTGCGCCCAGCTTGTCTGAAACTGCACCCAAGATGCCGCGTGCACCAGTCATACATCGTCTCCATGTAGAGCCAAGTGCAAACTCAACACGTTTGACGCGCCAAAGGAAGTTGAAAACCTTGAGATATTGCTTATTTCCGAACGGAGTTACAATGACATCCACCGGTGCATCAATCTTGTACTCCAAAGTGAAAACATCCCAACCAATTTCACCGTGACTCAACTCCAGCATACGCGCATCAAGACGACGTAGTACGTCAGCAGAGTCGTACTGAGCGTTCGAATTACGGACAGCGTGCTCTAGTTGCGCGGTTAGTGTATGTCTATATTGCGTGTTTGCCGGTCTGTCCAGATTTGCTGCAAGGGATTCCATAAGTATAGCAATGAAGTCACCTGCTCCCAGCAGCAGATACTTCTTTAGAGCTTTGAGATGCTCGAAAAGTGCAAACTTGTCCTCCATCAGATGAATAAGTCGAGCCATTGTCGTCTTGTATGCTTCTCCGATAGACCTTTCGAGATTGGCAGTATCACCGTACCGTAGTTCTTTCGATGCATCTTTGGAATAACTTTCGACCCACGCAGCATCTCCACACCCGTATCGAATGAAATTCAGCGTCTTGCCAATGAGAAAGACCTTATTTGCAAATTCTTCTGTGATGATTGAGGGAATCATGCGAGCGCCTAGTTTGTACTTGTCTTGCCAAACACTAGTCGCTCCTCCCCTTTTACTATCACCATGTATTTCACTGTCTCCATCTTCAGAATGTTCCGACACGAAGAACTCAAAGTATGGATCGGCCAATTCGCCGTCGTAGATCCATTGTCGTAGCATATCGTAGAACGGTCGTGTCACGTGAGAAAGCAATCGTTCGGCAAATGTGCCCACGAACGGGTCACCATGAGTCAGGGAAAACGAGTGAATTAGTGATATGAGCTGTCCCCCCTTTCTGTCTGCATTTGTTCAGCTTGGGGAATTGATATGGAGATGTGACAAACCTTTTGATTGCTCGACCATCAGTTTCATCAAGCGCAGCCCCAAAGTCGCTTCCCGTGTCCATATCACACACTTCTTCAATGTAACCCCGGCTTTGCCAACGGTGTTCTGTGGCTGTAGATCATCAATTGTGGCTAAAGCCTTCCGTATTTGGCCCTCGAGTGTTGCAACAAGCCCAAGGTAAGATCGAAGTTCACGTCCCAGGGCTGACCGAAAACTCTGACCGATCAAGCCTCCTTCAGATGACTCCACAAATTCAGAAAGACCACGATAGAGTAGTGAAGGCTCCGCTAGGGTGTGAAGTAGACTGATAAGTGGGACAGGAAGACGCGGAGGTAGTTTGAGAACAGTGGAGGTCTTGAAAGCCAGGTGTGTAGAAGATAATCCCTGAAGTGTGAACGGAAGATCACGCAGCAGTGCGGTCTCAGACGGCTCCAATACGCCGCTCACTCTTGTGTTAAATGCAGTCTCTTCTCTAGGCGTTTTCTCGGACTTCTTCTCCCGCTCTTTAATCTTTACTGGCCTCTCCGGACCCCGTGAGGATGTTAATCCAGTGGATGAACCTGGACGAGTAAGCTTGATTTCCTCTTCTCTTGGCAGCTTGAGCAAGCCAGTCTTCGAAAAGGCCTCATTGAATGCTGGTGCATCAACAATGAACCCCTCCTGCCGTAATTCTCTTGTGTTATCCTGACTCCGAAGCGATTTACTGTGGTCGAGACCTATAGAGCCACTTGTCGTTGGTCGTGCGTGCGCACCAGTATTCTGATGTCTGTTTGGTGACTGTGTTTCGGACAATTTGTAGAGAAAGTATAGCATGGCCCATTTTTCATTGAGTACAGGCTGATCCTTCAATCGAGAAAAAAGGTTCGAGAACTTTAAAGCAGCGTACGGCTTCTCCCCATTCTCTAGTAGCACTATGCGAAGATTAGCAAATCGTTGGAGATGCTGCTGTACAGAGCTCACGCTTCGATTTGATCAATCCAGAGACATGATCGACGTTAGTAACGATATTCGGCTTACCAGCTCTGATTTCAAAATTAGCTTTATTAGGCGATGCGCATGGTGTATGCTTGCCTCGTCAAGGTGTCCAAAGCAAAATTGTAGGCTTCGTCAAATCGTGCGTCAGCAGCAGCCTCATCTTCGTCCGGATACGATGGTATGAACTTCTCGACAAGCGGGCTTAGCGCGTGCTCTATACGCTCTTCTCGAGATTTCGACATAGCTGTAGAAACTCATCGCCGTCGGATTCCTTGCTTTGGGTTGACGCGTTATTGTCGACGCGCAGTTCACAGTGGGGGTGGGGCCGCACTAATTAGCGTCCGGTTAATCCCTGCAATCAAGAGAAACGAAAACAGAATCTTTGTTCAAGTGACGGCCCCCTGCTAAATCAGAAGATAGATGCCGAAAGGATTACGTTCTTCCGCATGAAATGAAAGACACCGATACTGAATGAGATGTAAAAGGCATAATTTGGCGATTGTTTCCGATACACATGCGGTCTAAACCTTCATTCTTGAAGCCCCTGTTCGAGCATGGCTGAGAACGAGTATGAGCCAATCGTTGCGCCCAAGGATGCCATGCCAAAAGGTTATGTATTTGTACCCAAGGGTAAGCTGATGATCCTGATGCATAATTATCGAGCTTCTGGTGGCTAATCTCATAAAGGTGATGTGTATGTTACTAGACACTGGTATGATCTTCACATCTGTTCATCAACCTTAAATGATTTCTATATGTTGACAACTCAGTCGTACACGAACACACGAAGCTCATCGTACAGTCTATGTCGTCGAAGGCAAAACTCAAAAGACCCAGGGAATACGCGTGCCAAGCTTCATCTACACACAAGTACAGGAGGATGCGGCAACTACAGCATCTGCCCGCGCAGCCGTCGTCAGCAAGGTGGATGTCTCCCGGGCGAACAAGATACGTTCTGCCTTGAAAATTCAGTTCTCACAGATGCCCGACGACGAAGTGGAAAAGGCGCTTGGGCGTACCCTTGTAAAACGCTCAAAACGTGTCGGGCGATGCGGCACACTTTCATCCGAGAGAATAGCCTTCCTGGCAGTCCAGGCACATGTACGACATGTCCATACGCAGTACGACAAACTCATATATCGTGATGGGCATAGTCAGGAGGAAGCCAGGGAATTGACACTTGACATCGTTAGAGATAAGATGAAGGAATGGGGATGGAACGCACGCAACGGATTTAAATCAAATAAGCCGGACCCGAAAGAGTCGAGGAGGACTGGATCAAGGGAAGTTCAGAAGTCTGGTCCAGAAGCATTGAAGAAGTTGAATCTGAAAGCTTTAGAGAAGTCGAGCTCGAAACGATTGAAAAGACCTGGCTCCAGGGAACCGAAGACTTTGACAACGGCACAAGTCAGAAAACCTAAAGAGAGAGCGTGGAACCAATCGAGCCTAGATGTGATGGAAAATTTGGTGGAAAGACTCCAAGCTTTGGATCCGCAGCACTGATCCATGATCCAAATTTGACCGATTGTTATCGTCTTCGTCCTGAGGAAAACGATCAACGTGCGTTCTGGGCGGTAGCAGAGGCTAGGATAGAGCATCTGCCACAAAATAAATCGATATTGTCGTATGAAGCGGTATAATTCCGGTGCGCCGCGATCGTTTTTGTCGTCATGTGGACTTCTTCGTGCGGGTCTGATATGTGGTGGACAATTACGCAAGGAGAAACGGCTTGCGATCGCGCTTTCTCGGCAGAAATATCTCTGTGGGCCGCGGTGAAGCTCTCCGTGCCATTGCGTGGCTTCAATAGACATACATGCCCTGGGTCTCGTACCGCTCCGCTCAACTCATTACCATGAAAATCACATAACAGCACATCCACCCTCGGTCTTCCCACCTTTCTGCGTTGTTGTCATAGCAGCTGTCTTCGCTATGTCTTCGAGCACTTCCCTACACAACTCCCCAGTTATAGCGCTGCACTCCGCATATCTATCTAATCTCATCTCTTGTGCGATCCGTACTGCCTCCTGAGGTATGACACTCTCCTTATTTGTTTCAGTCCACTCTTGTCTTAGGTCTCTTTTCAAGCCAAGTAGCATCACGGGTAACGCTTCATCGTAGTTGAAATGTGACTCGACGACTCTCTTCCAACGATCTTGCACAGATTCTAGAGTTTTTCTCCGAGCAATATCGTAGCACATTATGATGAAATCTGGTTTGAGGAGAGTGTAGCTTTCAGGACACGAGGTATCATAGAAGCGAAAGCGGTATGGGCGATTGTACATCGAAATATCAAATTGAAAGGGCTGATCTAGATCACGAAGCTTTGGCAGAGAATAAGGCGGAGGTGCATCGCCTTCATCTTGGTATCGAGATCTGCCCATCGACAGGCGGCTGGAAGCTCTATCAGCATAGGCGTTCAGAGCGACTTCAACTCGTGGAGGGCATACGAGAGGAAGCTAGACATGCCAACTTCAGTGTCCCCAAGCAGGAGGATCTCAACCTCAGGCGTTTCTGGTGAAATTGAACCCATCTTGACAGCTACGATGTATCACGCATCAAGACAGGCTATCGCACTAAACAGTGATATCAATGTGCCTGACCGGGAAAGTCGAGGAAGCTCTGCGCGCGTTGGCTACCTAGGTATTAGTAGGAATTATCGTTCACTTCACCTACCTGGCATCAGCCCGCCGGGCTCCCTTGGCAGCCAACCCTGTCTCCACTTACACGTGCAGGGGTAACACTCTGATAGCTCTTCCCGCAAACGCACGTGCCGCTCATTACTACGTCATCGCTACAGCTGTGTAAACAAGGCAGTCATGGATGTTGTACATAGCATCGTCACAATCGCGTTGTGCGCGCCACAAGAGAACCTGGATTCTCTGTAAGCTCAAGACGTATAAAGCTCGCGCGCAAACGGCCATCTTCAACCGCCACATCCCATCATCATCCAAGTGAGCACACCCCAGATCTAAATTCCCCACAAAATAAGAGCAACCGTTAGATCAACACGCCGACTAACGTTTACCAGTCCAGAAGAATTTCTTCACAGTAAACAAAGCCATAATTATTCCTTCTATCAACGTCTTACGTGCCGAATAGTAAGTCTAGCGCAGTGTCTTCTTCAATACTCATCGACCAACATTAGAGCACAGATCGCAATGGCTGCAATCATTTCCTCAATAAAGGACCTCATCGCTTCCATATTTGAGGTCATCGGCTCCATCTTCAAGACTGCTTTCAATGCCGTGGAAGGTATTCTCCGATTGGCCGTCAACACGGTCATGTCGGTCGTCAATATGTTCCTCGACTTGATCACAGGATCATTGAAGGCGATGGGAAGTGTCGGAGAGTTCATCCTCGGTACGTACACACGCAAATGCTAGCATTTGCCAGCTCGGTCGCGTATGATAATAATACTAATGCTTGAGTAGGCAATTTCTTCGCGATTCTCATAGTGGCTGTTGGAATTTTCGGGTTCATCGCCTACCAAAACCGCCAAGGCAATTCTATCAAAGTTGGCAACAAGAAGCTTAACTAGATGTCACAATTGTAGTGCATACAGAGATCCTCAGAGATCCTTCTCGCTGGCATCTACTTTGTATTGTACCAATGGGATGAAGTGGGTGATCGAAGGTATAGCAGGCGTTCTGGCAATTTTTATCAATAAAGACAACATGATCTCTGCGTCAAGCTTTGGTCAAGGCGACTCGAAATATATATGCGTTTATATGTCTCAACTGCCAAGGTGTCCAGCTCCAGATATACATCGAACCCGGTCCGGATCAGGACGACTCGGGGCTGCACCGGCCCTCCACCCGCTCTCTCCGCACGCTAGACGGACTGTGCAGATCAACACCAGGTTCGCAGGGAGCTCCGAACGCGGGGCTTGTTACTTCAAGAACAGGTGCCTTCACGTTACCCTGTATCCCCATACGATTGCGAGGTATCGAGAGCCACGGTTCCATTCGATTGGTAGGGGTCGAGTACGGCACAGTGGAAAGTTGGAGTTGAGTTGAGGGGCTGCTTACCGGGCTGTAAAAACGGGATCATACCATTCGGCTGCTCTACATGTTAAATACCCTTGGTCTCTCAGGCTGCTGGTTTGATTTCAAATGATTCTGTACTTCACATCGCTCCGTCCACATCATACCATATCATAATTTCCTAGAATGTCCTCCTTCATCATCAAAGACGCCCGTGTCTTCACAGGCCGCACCGTCTACGAAACCGGCTACGTCCATGTTGCGGACGGTAAGATCGTCGCAGTTGGTGAAAACGAGCCCACAGACACATCTCCAGATCTCCATGTCATCTCGAGACCAGGCCACACGCTCCTTCCCGGACTGATTGATTGTCATGTACACGCCGACAAAGGTAACGAGAATGCACTGTACCAAAGCATCAGGTTTGGCGTTACAACGGTTTGTGATATGCACAACGAGCCTTGGAACATCGAGAAGTTGAGGAAGTTAGCGGGAAGCTCCAAAGAAGTGTCTGACCTGAAGGCGGCCGGGTTGGCGGCAACAGTAGATGGAGGCTGGCCCATGCCGGTAAGATGAGACAACTTAGGATGTCTTTCCGTGCGATATCTAACGTCTAGATCAGGTTGTTACTGCCCACGACAAATCTCAGGAAACGCTCGACGAGATCAAAACCTGGCCAAAACTCAAGAATGAAGAAGACGTTGAAACATATTTGGACTCGAACGTTGGAAACGGCGCGGACTTCATCAAGCTCATGAACGAGTCAGGATCCTTCATGGGCAAGGTGTTTCCTCGGCCTTCACCAGCTCTTCAAGCCGCACTCGTCCGTGGTGCACATGCTCGCGGACTTAAAACTACCGCGCATGCACTGTCTCGCGATGATACACTCGGCATACTTCGCGCAGGAACTGATGGTCTGGCCCATACATTCGTAGACAAACCGATCAACGATGAAATCGTCGATGCTTTCAAGACAAATAACGCGTGGCTAAACCCAACACTCAGTACCATCGGCAGCATGTGCTCAGAAGGTAAGGCAATGCAGCATCAATATGCCCATGACCCACGCATTCAAAATCTATGCGCCACTGCAGAGAGAGAGAAGACATGCAAGTGTTTGAGCATGGCAACTGAGTCTTGTAAATGGGAATATGCATTTGGTGCAGTGAAGAAGCTCAAAGCCGAGGGCATTGATATCGTGTGGTAAGTCTTGCTCTCGCTGTCTCACTCGATGAAAATCCGAACTGACATACCGATAATAGTGGCTCTGACTCTGCTGGACCTGCACTGGGTACCGCATATGGACTTACAATGCACCAGGAACTAGCTCTTTTCGTGCAGAAATGTACATTCTCACCAGAAGAGGCCCTCCGAGCTGCCACGGCGACCATCGCTGATCGGTTCGGCTTCAATGACCGTGGCGTTTTAGAAACCGGTCGCAGAGCCGATCTCATGCTTGTGGAGGGCAATCCCCTCGAAGATATTGACAATACCCTGAACCTAAGAGGTGTATGGCGTGAAGGCCATTTGCATAGTATCTGGACTGAGAAGAAAGCCTAAGGCTCGATGAAGCAGAAATAGATCGGCCGTGCGAACAGGGGCTTTCCTTTACTTGTATATGTCTGTCTTCGGTACGAGTCTTCTCTCATTTCCTTCAATGAACTGGTGTCGCAGGAGTTTGTTCTCGTCCGGGTGGATTAGCCGATCGCGTCGTTCCAACACCACTTGCAAGTAGTTCCAAACGACTAGCTTGCACCCGGTGCTTCTTCATCGCATCTACCCATTCCTCTTCAGACTCGCACTCTGCAGCATTCTCCTCATCGGAATCGTCTAAGAGCGCAAGCATCATGCTGAAGTCACCACCAAGTCTACCTAGACTACCACCGCAGTACAAAACCTGCGTTAGCAAACTGTCTCTTGAGGACCGGTCTTGCACGTTTGGAAGATACTCTTTCAGAGTGTCGAACAGAAGATCGACCAGGTATGAGGGAAACGTCGCCAGCGCGGATGGTACATGATGGAGTGGGGAATTTCGTATGTGCGGCTCTCCTGGTCCGTTAGGCTCGGTCGACGTGCTTGGACCCAGTACTGCTGACGGAAAGATGCTTCTATACATAGAGATCATTGCGAAGCTTTGCTCGCGAAATATCTCAATGTACCTTTTGAGATACCGTTCCGTCTGTTGGCCGCCGGACCATTTGTCCGCTGCCTCAGTCATGCTGCCCTTTCGCTGTAGACGCTGCTGTGTTTCCTGGTCTGCGAGTTCTCGCAGAGGTTCCAAAGCTTCAAGCATAGAAAGCAAGTTCGATAGTCTGCAAATAAGGAAAACCGCACCAAGGTCTCCCTCAGCGGTCCCAAAACTGGCGTTATTGCTCTGCCCGTAACTTTCATCGAGCTCCGGGGCTACTCTCCGTAGCCAGCCTACCGTCCTCATAGCTGCTGCCAACTTAATGCCTTGTCCTTGTAAGCTTGATATGAGATTACTGGTCATGGTTTTCATCTCCTGTTCTGCTTGACCCGATATTGCTTGGACTAACTTCAGGTTCGGATATAGAGCATTGAGTCGTTTGATGTGTGCGTGCAGGTCGAGAGCAGAAGCATAATTCGACCCGGTAGCGCTGTTACTTCCTGCATTGATGGAAGCCGATGCAGAAGACGTAGAAATTGTAGACGAAAGCAAAGTAGGAAGATCCAATATATCCGAAACGCGGTCGACATTTCTTGCAAGAAGCATGGCTTTCTTTCTGTGATCCAAAATTGGGTTTTCAGATGCTTTACTATATTTCTCGGCGAATCGCGCCGCTGTGCTCTCAAGCTCAGGCAATGACTCGCCTAATGTTGTTGTGTTTATGCCTAATTCTGGTATGACTTCACATAGTCCGGCTAGATGGTCCGCCGAAGAGATGATGGACTTGTGCGATCGTTTCGAAAGTGACTGGAGTGATCGAAGGATTGATTGTGAGGTTTGGGTGAGCGATTGGGCTTCGGTCGACGTCAATGAGGAGAGCGGAAGCGTCGTAAGTCGCGACAGGTACGAAGATGTTACTGCATCTTTAGGAGGAGGGCGAGAAGCGCTCTCGTCACTCTGAATATCGAAGTGCGGAGTAAGCAGTTCATAGAGATGATCGGCCATTTCTACAGAACGTCCCAGTCTTCGTGAGCTTTCAAGTGTGAAAGAAGATATTTCACATGCAACAGCCCGAGAGATGGTTTTGATGGATGGATCCATAGCTCCACACCCCACTCTACTCCAGGCTCCGCGCGCCGTATAATAGTCTTTGACACTCGATCAGAACTCTTGATTCACCTGCAACCCCTTCTTGCGCCAGTAAAATGTTAGTTCTACGATATGGTTTGGACTGTTACTAAAAGGCTTCTAGATAGCTCATTCCGGCACACAAGAGTACGCACCTCATCAACCGATCCGCATTGCCGCACGCGGCGCTCCCTCATAAAGCCCATGAGCTCTCCACATTTTCTCTCGTAACCTACCTGGTGTTGAGCAAGACGGAAAGGGCATTGCCCATCAGACTGCTTTGGCAGATATGGCGGCGCATGCTAAGGTTATCTGCGTAGATGATGCTTGCGCCCACGCGGACGACTCTCTTCAAAGAGGTATTGTACAGCGCACACACACCGATGTTGATAGCCACGAACCCGATCCGCAAAGAGACTACCACGAAAACATTACTTGTGACGTATCAATCAGTATTTTCGATTATGCTTTGTTCCTACGGTCAGGCATCCCGCCCAAAGATTCCGTTCTCATAACATGGCAGACTCAGTTGAGAACGGAGCTGATACCGGAGTCCAAACTAATATTACTCGATCGGCCCTTTATTATCGGAGATACTGTCAAGCGACACTTGAGAGACCACATGGCCGGGATGGTGATAACCTATGCTACGTTCTGCACACTGATCCCGAGCGAAGGCATGCTCAACGGGGACTACGCCGGTAGTATCGATAAGAAGTTCATCCGACAGGTGCCGGCAAAAGAGCTAAAAAACGTACACAAATTTCGAGAAGGAGATTTAGTTGTGTATCACGACTGGCTCGGCTTAATTGAAGATTGTGAAGACACAGTTACAATACGTCTATGCAACAACAGCGTGGTAACCATCGAGACTCCGGAGGAATTGGGATCTCACGCCCTTGGTGATCGCTTTAGTACTGGTGACTCTGTCTCGGCGAAGAAAGGTTGCCTGCGGCGAGGTCGGTGGATTTTTGGCGCCTATGACCCCAACATTGAACCTAAAGGTATCATAGTCGACACATCAACAATAAGTCTTAGTATTAGTTGGCTTTGCAGAAGACTTCGATCTGCAAGTCTTGATGCCACACTTGAAACCTTTCAAGCAATCAACGAGCCTTCGGAAGTACTGAGCGGGGATGATCTCGAAGATGTAGTGAGCTATGACTGCCAGTACCCTCAGACGCCTGGCCCACATCACCACGACGGGTACCAGCATGATGATCTACACCTTGGGGAGAGGGTGCGATTCAAAGATCTTACTGGAGCAGCGGTCAAATACGACGGCACACGATCGACAACGGATGGACAGCCACAGGGCAAGCTACAACGTGTTGACCCACGGTCGATGCCTTCCCAAGGCTTTGACATCAACGTCCTACTCGTGACAGAAACGCGTACACATGTTAAAGTCCTCTGGCAAGATTATACGATCACGGAAGAACTAAGTACCGACTTAATTCCTGACTCTAATTTCGACCTTGAGAATGAAGTGTGGCCCGGTGATGTGGTTTGTACAACGGAGTCCAAGACTGAGCCCACGGAAGGCGAGCCAGACTGGGGCAACCGGCCCAAGAGAATTGGTGTAGTTCAGGCGGTACAACCCGTGGACAGAATTGCCTCAGTGAAGTGGTTCGCTGATTCTGAGGTCCGGATTCTGAATAACGATATCATGCCTGGCTATCGTCTGGGTGAGCTCTCGGCAAATGCAGAAGACGTCAGTATGTATGATATTCAAGCAACGCCTGGGTTAAATCGCAGCCGAGGAGACATTGTAATGATCCACTCGGGGTTTATACCTGCGGAAACGGGTATCGAATGGCTTGGGGAAGTTGTCGACATCCGACTAGATGGCAAATATATAGTTCGTCTTGGTCTTGCACAGCCGCCTCGAGAGGTAACTCTGGGTATTCAAGACGTAACGCTGGCATATTCACGTCTGCTGGACTCAGATGACCACGGATCTGGGTATTTATCTGACACAACATACGATTCTTACTTTACCGAAGATGAACACATGCAAGATACCTTCAGCGACGGCGAGTATTTCGACATGTGGTATGAGAATGAGGACGGTACGCGAGCTACTGTAGATGACAGTGGAGACGGCTGGACTACCGAGGACGATACAGAATCAGTCGACGAAGAAGGAGATGTTGCGATGAGATCAACTAAACCCAGGTCTGAGCGCGAACACGACATGGCTGATGTCCATCTACGATCGGACTCAGAACCAAAAGGGCATTCAAATACTTCCCATGATACCGATTTACAATCAGCTACAAGCCCAGAGCTCTCCTCGCAAGTGAATGCCCCGCCATCATTTAAGATCCTTGAAGGCTCTCCTCCATCGAATCACCACTACCTCTCCCAACCACTAGTCATGACTTCTCCCGTTCGAATGCGTCGGATTCTAAAAGAACACAAGATTTTGCGCTCTTCACTCCCAGAAGGCATCTTTGTGCGCACGTGGGACACTCGCCTCGATCTAGTCCGCGTGCTGATTGTCGGTCCCGTAGACACGCCTTACGAATACGCTCCTTTCATAGTCGACTTTCACTTCACAAACTCTTATCCCTCGGACTCTCCCCAGGCTTTCTTCAATTCTTGGACCAATGGATCTGGTCCTGTCAATCCAAACCTCTACGAAGATGGTAAGATCTGTCTATCGCTTTTAGGGACGTGGCACGGCGATGAGAAACATGAAAATTGGAGTCCTGCTCGATCAACGTTCCTGCAAGTCCTTGTGAGTCTACTAGGACTCGTGCTGGTGAAAGAACCATACTACAGTAAGTCTCCTCAGTCTCAAGCCATGTAGGTATTGGCTAAGTTGTGGATAGATGAAGCAGGCTACGAGAGCCGAGCAGGGACTGAGGAAACAACAATCGCCTCGAAGCGATACTCTGAACGTGCTTATTTCCGCTCTCAAGGGTTTATTGTCCATGCACTCACACACCCGGTCAGCGGCTTCGAAGACGTGATTCAATGGCTCTACCTCGATACCGAGCCCGGTAGTCCAAAGCTCCTAGACCACGCAATCGAGGCATGCAGAAAAGCCATCACGGAAAGCGAGGCGGCAGAATCTCCATTGGAGGTCGATGGATTGCGGAAGATAAGTGCGGGCGCCGTCATTCAGCTTCGGCGGCAGCTGGACTCTTTGGAGAAGCTCAGGGCGTAGGGAGTGCCTATATGAGGCTATCGTGCGCTGCGCACTTTATTGATTGCATCACCGGGCGTACGTGTAGATACCTTGTCGGAGACAGTTATTGTTTCTCGTTCGCTAGAAATACATTATTTGACAGCCATACCATACCGTCTCTGTCGCTGTGCCAGTGCAGACAGATCCCATGATTTACTCAGTGTATGTGTGCTGAGTGCTGTGGTGCTGCAGAGGGCTGTTTCGACACGAATCCTTACGCAAGATTCCAATACCCAAGGAAGGCTTCTATTATTGATTTAACTCAATAATCATAATGACTGTTGCTGAGTCTGCAAGCAGCGTGGCTGTGCGATAGTTTCACAATGCTGGCGCTTACTGCTGACCTCCTTGCCTTCATCTCATTCAGGCACAGTCACACGTTGGTTAGCTCTAGCCCGCTGCGGGCTGCCGGCTAGCTGCCGCTATGCAATGCATCATGCACGGCGGGAGGAGGCAGCGCAGTGCGACCGGCCTGCGCCTGACGTGAGACAAGATTGGCAATGTTTATGCGCGTGTAGGTTTGTTTGCTCAAGCGTTAGAACTGAATTCGTTGGGATGTTGGATCATGCTGTGTTGTGTTGTGACATGGCAGAATGAAGAGATGTATGACTAGGAGGCGAGCGCGCGCAGCGGGCAAAGGACGAGGACAGACTTTGAGGCATCTATGTTTCTGACTCGATAAGATGATATGGGCTGTGAGAATTGATGTGGTGCGTTCCCTGTGCCACAGTAATCCTCGTTCAAGTAATACATGCAAAGAGGTATAGATGGTAACAAACTTGCTGTTGTTCGACTAATGCTTGAGTGTAAAGCGAATACACTTGTATCCCGAAAGAAATCTAAGTATGCTGCTGGATATTGTTTGTCTATCAGAAATGTGATCATATGCACTTGATCAATCTTATCGAGTCGGCTCAAAAATAAGCGTTGGTTGGAAGGGGCGCAGAGATGGCTGTGAGTACTGCAGGATGTAGGGCATGCTAGACATTCATATTGTCGTGTGACCAGATTCAAGGCATGGCCGCCGATGAAGTTGATAAACATGGAGTTTGGACGTGAATCCGTGTTGCATGGATAATATTAATTATCTATAGCTCTGGAAAGCCTAGAAAAGCAAGCCGAATGTGGGACACGGGCACGTGGTGTGTATGCGGGATTATGGCCAGAGCCGGCCGTGGACTGGGTGAACACGGGTGAACACGTTGTCAACGATTATATCCATAGGAGACTGGTACAAGTCTGATGCGTTTCATTTTAATGAACAACCTGGAGTGATTATTGATTCGGCATGCCGGTACTGGTACTGGTACCCTCACTGGCACGCTTTCGCAATGCCGCTGGAAGCTTCTCGGATGCCGACTTGTGGATCCTGCGGCGTTATGATATGACGTGCTTGGTGGAGTTGCTCTTGGACTCTTCGGTTCGTCTCTTGATACACAGAGATAAGAAATGCACCCTGCGGTCTCGAATGACACTGACGTTTCCCAGAATATCGCCTTCCTTCGCGCAGCCAAGTGTTGTTATGATGCTAATACCAACACCAGGATCGATGGCCCCCCACTTAAAAAGAGCCTCATGCGGCTGTTTTGCGAATCACGAGGTGGTCATGGATTTTAGTTATGATGATCGTGTGGAGCACATATTAATCCCCGAATATGTTTAGCAAATGTTTGAAACATGACGACAGTGGATCGTTCCACTAACATCCGTCACCTAATAATGACGTTACTAGGATGAAAAGATGCAGCGATGCAGTTCCATATCAGCTGGTGTATATTTCTGCGCAGGACCTGTCGTCGGGTAATGGAAAATGCTATCGCGATTAAATTGCTGATAACCTGCGCGACATTGTGTGAACGGACCTTTGTGGAGAAGGATCCACGACGTGAAACAGAACCTGAGGACCCGCAACGTGGTCTGGAGAAAAACGGCGACGGCATGCGTGGTAGCAATGTTGGTACCAGACCAGGGTCCACTGGGGCCTGTCGAGAAGGCGCGAAAATGGCTTCGAGAAATCGAACTACCGAGTTTACAGTAACTGATGGACATATGTTGATCATTCTTTAGTACATCCGTGCCTATCACTAAGCCTGTGGTACTCAGCGATGCGATTAGGTAGATCATAGAAGAGCAGCAGTGGCCTCATACGTCAGATAAAGTAAGTGTGAAAAGCGCGCATTAGCGAATGGTATAACGACCTATGGGCCTTGCAATGAACGGACAAGTAGGTTATGAGCGATTTGTTATCGTCAGGCCGCGACTTCTCAGGGTATCATGATCATGTTGGACTTGCGGGGATGCACTTATCTAGAGTCTAGTAGTGGAGCAGGGCGAGCTGAAGATGAAACAAAGGATGGTCAGATACGAGGAGTAGCATGGTACGTACACGAGATGAAGAGAGCATGAAGTTGAAGTAAAGTAAAGTCGTAGTAGGCAGCCAGGCGAGAACAACGATACGCGATAGCAACAGTGAATTCAATGAGGGATCTATGGTTCTAGTCCCGTCACTGTACTATGTATGTACTGCAAATCGCCCGCTTGAGCAGAGGCCTACACACCAAGTGGATAGCGTGCATGACGCTCTAGCATTTTTTCTTTTCAATCCATTACTCTTGTAGGCGCAGAATTTCACTCTCGCCTCTGTTGTCATCGCTATCTGTACGCAACGACGGGTAGCGTACACGAGCACACAAAGCAGGGCGCCGCTTCGTCGACCCACGAGAGAGACGCCAAAAAAGAGACAAAGGGCGAGGAAAAAGATGGCAAGGTGGCTGATTATAGATTCACGTGGCGTTCCGAAGACAAACGTGGGAATGTGCTATAATTATCCCAGGAGGACATACATAGTATAACTACTCACGCACAGCCCCCACAGCGATCGCCGGCCCCTGGTCCTGGCTGGTGGTGGGCACTGATGACACAGAACAACACAAGGGTCCGAAAGACTACGCTGCATTCCAAGCTCACTGGTCGTCTTCTAATACTTGCTAGATGTGTACGCCGACTATGTATGTCCTTATGCACAAGTGTATGTACAAGAGCTTCAGGCATTAAATCCCTTGCCTGCTCTGCTTGGCCGCTCCCGTCTTTAGTCCAAACCTCTCGATCCTTGGGACGTCAGATAATGTATATTTGGTACAGCCAACATTGCTCTCTTATTCCGGACTTGTTATTTTCTTGTTGTTTCCTCTGCGCGTACTACTCTTGATCTCCACTCTGTGCTTACCGCTTACCTACCGTGGAGCATGTATCGAAATAGTTCTACAGCGCCTTGATCGTTGCCGCAAACAGTAATCAACGCCCCATCCAACTGTCATTTCTTCATCATTCCTCTGCTGTCACGGGATTGCGGCGCCCCTCAGCCTACTCATCCAAGCTTTGACCTTAGTTCATTATGGCATCTAAAATCGGATCCCACTTGGCCACTTGTTCCAATCCACTGCCTCCCAATACAGCCTCCGGAAAAGATTCTATAGCACCACCCGGGTTAAAAGTAGCAGGCCTTTCGACCGATGCATCTAAACAAAAACCGAAACGGAGGAGTCTGAACATTTTTCCACGTCGAGGTAGCTATAACGACAGCGATCACAACACAACACCAACAAGATCCCTTACAATGAACCAGTCAGGCCCCAAATTGAAAAGATGGAGGCTTGGGAGGAAGAGCACCGACGACCACTACTCAAATAACCAAAGGAGTTCAGGTTCCAAGGAGACCATCATACACGCTGTACCGACCAGTGATGTTCCATCAAGGCCTACCAGGACGCCTTACCAGTCTGTAGAAAGACTACCTCTACCGGCACCCGACACCGAACACAAACCTCTCCCTCCTGTACCAATCACCCACTCACCATCCCCTTCGCCGGGCCTCAGGACGTTCTACCAAACCGGATCAGTCAACTCATCATCGGTTTCATTGACTCACGTTGATCAGTCCAGGATGTCTATCAGTCGGAAAGCTAGAAGGAAGGAGGAGGTCATCGGCGTATACAAGAACGGGAAGGTCAAGTGGAATTCAGAGCCACATATACCTTTCGTGCAGCGGCCACAGGATGCTTTCGAGAGGAGACCCGATGGTCATCACACCTGGTCACATCCCTCATCACCGGCATCGAAGAGATCGAGCCGTCCCAAAATCCAAGTAATCATCCCAAGTGACCAGAGGCAACAACAATTCCCATGTCTGTATCATACAAAGGCACCGATTCAATCTGCGAAAGCTGAGTTCTTGCACTCTTCGGGATCTGGACGCACCATGCCAGTGCCATTCGAGTCCGAGTCGGTGCCACCTGTTCCACCCATGCCTCAGAGCAGATCTGTCAGGCCATCCACTCAAACGTCAGTGTACTTGGAGAAGATGGAACACGTATTGAAACCAAATCACCAAAGATCAGAAAGTCGACCATCGGACTGCTCGGACTCCTCGTCCAATGCGAGCCATTCCTCAGTCTATAGTAGTCAGTCTTCTATGACAAGTATTGAGGATGAGGAGACCAAGGCCGTGTGGACACCACCAAACGATATGCTGATCAGTCTTCACGAGAGACCTGATAGTATAGGAGGTTTCTCCATCCAGTCACCTGTAGGCGCAGGCATTTTCGACCAGACAAACACCGAATCGGGGTATGACGCAGTAAAGCCCAAGCGACCAGCCAGCCCAAATAGGCAAGTACAAGTGGCAGTGCCTTCACTTCGGCTTGTCTCGCAGCAGGTGCAGGGAAAGCCATCGATGAAATCGCTGCGTCAACCTTCTGGCATAATACGTCGCTCATCCTCCAGGAGCACGAACACGAATAGTAAACGATTGTCCTCGTCAGCTGTGCGTCTAGACCTTATTGGCGCCATCTTCAACCATGAAAGGCTGTGTGCTCCCAGTCCAACCTTGAGCGAGGCTGCCCATGACCTTAGGGAACACCTCTCTTCCATCACCGACTCTTCTCCATTCCAGTGGGACGAGTGGATTGCTTCGTACGAAGGACGGACCTGTATCGATGACGAGCAATCTCCTGTGCGCCTTTCGACCACCGTCGAGGAAGACGAAGACGAAGAGCCGTCCGCGTCACCAGGTCCCCCACCTGCATTGCCTAAACGCTCCTCTAAGCGACTAACTGTCGCCTCACCTCATAAGTCGACCAGTAATGCTGACCCCGAAACATCGAATTCCGCAGAACGTACAAACAGTTCTTCTCCATACTCCTCGTCATCTTCTGGATCTCCTAAATCTCGCTGTTCTCAAACGAGCAGAAAGAGTCTGGCTCTGCGTCTGCGTATTCCCTGTAACAAGTCACCCATGCCTCAAGAGATCAGACCACTACCACCTGCCACGGTCGACGCGGTTCAAGATGATGGTACGGCAGAGGAGGCCCGCTTACAGCGTGAACGTGATATTTCAGCTGAACAGGCTGAAGCTGTGATCCTACGAATTTTCGAGTCTCTTAATAGTATCAAGGACCTCTATGCAACAGCTGCCCTGAACCAGGGGTTTCGCCGGATATTCAAAGACCATGAAATGCACCTTCTACGGACCGTCCTGAAGAACTCGTCGCCGCCAGCTTGGGAGCACAGGGAGTTATGCCCACCTCCACGACTTGATTCTGATAGTGCTGTTCCAGTACCAGAGCATACTCCTCAATCTTACCTAAGGGGCCATCGCTCTGATTACCACACCGTCTCTGCTCTCAAAGCATCAATCTTAGAACGCTGCCAGTCCTTTCTGCGTCCTGCAACCGTGAGCGCATTGAAAAGCAAGGTCGCAACAGAGTCATCTGATGTTGACGATGCCCTTTGGCGTCTCTGGACATTCTGCAAGATCTTCGGTTCTGATAAAGGCCGTGAAGAAGATGTCGCTGCTCAGATGGATTGGCTTGATGGAGGTATCGTCTTCCACCAGAAGACCTGTGACGCTACCTTGACTGCGAACGCTTTTGATGTCGGTGGTGTACTTGGTAATGCCCCTGACACCTTTGCCATGGGTAATGTTGGCGGCCTATCAGCCGAGCAACTACTTGATATGACTGAAATGTGGAATTGTCTGTCAGTCCTTCTGCAAGGCATACTTGGTCACACTGAAGAGGCACATCAGCACGGTATTTATGACAGCACCGGCGTACGCGAAGGCGATGTTGATGGAGAGGAGCACATGCTCGAGGAATGGCAATATTACCTCCTGACCCTTGGGCTTGACACCATTCTAGAAGTTGGCACAACGAAGCCTGACTCCTTGTTCGCCATCGCATCTATGAAAGGATGGACAACTTGGTCCCCACCTGCGAACGGTGGAAGTAGAGCAACATTCATAAAAGAGGCACTCGCCCGCACATACGAGAAGCGGATCACCACCGTTGTCCCTGCCGTCCAACAAGAAGCTAAAGAGCAAAAAAAAGAAGCCCACAAAGCGCACATCGCAAACCTACAGAGCGAGATTCGACATCGCAAGCAATTAGGCGACACGCGCCAGGTCACAATGAGCATGGAGCGCCCCATGTCCGAATGGGAGAGCATGGTTGACCACCTCATAGCACAGAGTCCCTCCATCATGGACTCACCAACACTGGGTCGAAACATCCCCCCGGTTCCCTCTCTTCCATTCAAATTCGACAAAGCAGCCAAGCGGGCCTCCAAAGCCGCTGCCCATCCTCTCAAGCAAGTTAACAAGCCATCATATCCAGCTCTGTCCTCGGTTACACCCCAACCACCCAAAGACAACCTCTTCCACCAACAGCTGCCTTTTCGTCAATCTAATTCAACACCGGTGACCCAAACATCCCGCGGGCAAATCCATAGCCACCCCGTTATGACCAATGGCGCCGCAAGATCCTCGACAAGCTTCTCCCGCCCGTTGAGTACTCGCCCGGATCTTCCCGTCCTTCAAATCCATACCGACCACAACCCCCTTCGTCGACCAACGATGCAAAAACGCGTTTCCAACCAACATCCTCTGCAGCGCGATATTGCAAGCAGAGACCCAGCCACGAACACAGCCGATAAGGCAATTTATCGGATCGTGGAGATGGGATTCACAGCAGAGCAGGCAAAACATGCGTTGAAGGTGACGGATATGGGAGATGGGTTGCGGATCGATCGCGCGGTAGAGTTGTTGCTAAGAGAGAGTAAGTGACGATGCCGACTTAAGAATGAGGGTGTGCCCAGGAGAGGGCGAGATGTAATATTGTGTGCCCAGTTGTCTTCTCAGCGGTTTGGTTTCGGCGTCCAGGGCTTGACCACGATATATCCCTTCTTTTGACTTGATATTGTGCCATCTCCTATGTTCGAGAGCGGAGATACCCGTGCTACCAGTCGTAGTCTTTCATAATTTTTTGATTTGTTTTAGGAATGAACAGAAATGTGAATACACAACGCATCGATGCTACAAACACTCTGCTTAAGATGCCCATGAGATTATAACCAGATATAGTTTGTTGGTCGAAGTTTAAAGAGTTGGGTATCTATCGCATTCGCTATGCAACCAAACCACTCTATCAACTGTGACACATATGCATATATATATACAAGCCTAGGTCGCCTCTTTTCCTTTTATACATGCATCGCACGGTGTGCTATCTATCTTACAGAAATGCCGAATCGACAAAAACTCCAGCGCTATGCAATGTCAAAGAAATTGACGACGGACCGTCTGTCTTTCCTCTTCGCCACAACATCTGCGACGGCAACAGGACGCGTCTCCTGAAGGCTCACTCAGGCTTCTTGACTCCCTTATGCCCGGCTCCCGCACTGCCAGGCCACTTTCCAAACATATCATCATGGCCCTGTCCGAGGCCGGCCGCCGGCGCCGCCCCCTTGCGCGCCCGCTCCGTCTCTCTCAACCGTCTCTCCCAGCCCCTGACATTGCGCTCCTTCTCCTTTGCAATCTCGATACTGCGCGGCGTTGTACCGGCGCCAAGCTCGGTCCGGCTGAGCGCAATGCGCCGCCCGTGCTCGCCGTACATGCTGACGCGCTGCACCTTGCGCAGTTTCTGGATGCCCCACACGCACACGACGATGCCGCAGACGGTGCACCAGAGACTGACGCCGGGGAAGCCGAGGTCTGATTCCTCGATGAAGTTTTTCAGATTCATGCCGTACAGCGCGGCGACGAACGTGCCGGCGGTGATGCCGAGGGTGAAGACGGAGAAGCGGAGGTCGAGCAGCATGAGCGAGTTGCGGTTTGCGTCGAGGATGGCCTTGACGATCTCTTCGGTGTTGCGGATGTTGGAGACCAGGTTCTCGGCTGCTTGGACGATTTCGTCGGCGACTTTGTGGTACGATTCGAGCAGCATCTCGATGTCGGTATGGTCGTCGTCTTCCTCGCGCTGCACACCCTGCGATTTCTCGGTGAGGTACATGGAGGACAGGTCATCGTCGGCTTCGAGGATCTCGGTCAAGGCGTCGCGGACCAGGCGGGCTCTTTGCTCGAAGGTGCCGAGCTTCTTGGAGTACATGAGCAGATAGCGTAGTTTATCGCGGTCGATGTCTTCTTCCAGATCGCGCAGCACTCGCACGACAGGTTGGCTGACGCCTTCGAATTCGCTCTCGAGGCTGTTTGTAACAGAGAGAAGGCAGGCTTCGAGGGCGCGGAACTCATAGGCTAACGTCCCATTTTGAGGTGATTCCTTTTGTCGCAGCTTTTGGTCTATGTCGTACATGAAAGAGGATTGGTTGTAGGAGTCAGTTGTGCCGTATGCATCGAATACTAGGACGCGGTCATGTTTTATAAGAACGCGGAGGTGGAGCAGGTTTAAGAGGATGGCAGACGGTCGAATGAGGACGTGAGGGAGAAGGGAGGAATCGATTTTTCGCAGATCGCGTGGTAACAATCCGTACTATAGTTTTCGTGAGCTTCAAATTGCTGGGGCCTTTGGTCGTAGTCTTACCTTTGCGATCAAATCGGTCTTTTTGAACTCTCCGTTGACCAATGTAACATTCCCATGTTCGTCAAATTCTGTGCATCGCAGTCTCTGGTCATTCGTCGCCCGTAACCTTCGTCTGAGCGCATCGTTGCTGTCGTCGAGGAAAGCCGGGAGCGGCGAGTGTCCAGCGGTATGAGGGTCGTGGGAGCAGTCATTATCCTTTACCCAGAAAAGCCGACGTAGTTTTGAGAGTCGTAGATTGAAGAAGTGGCGGCGTTGACAAGATAGCAGTATACCCGGCTTTCTACATCCTGTAATGCGCTGTCGCAGAGTATATTGGCTCTCTTTATGGTGAACTGCTGGATCTGAAACCGGTCCTAGGGAAGGCCTGCATGTAGCATGAACGGAGATGTTACGACATCCGTTGATTCTCAGGGTCCGCTGCTGGAAAGCAGCATTGTAGAACCGGCCGCTTGCTAATGTAGTCGACTCGAAATGGGCTTCGGTCTGCGCCCGTAGAAAGTGTAAAAGGGAAGGGGAAGGCGAAGCTCGAGGTACCGATGTTGGCTTCATTTCTCTGCTCGAAAAATACTGTAGCTGGAATACCAAGCCATGAATTACGAGCACAGATGGACGCAACGCAACGCGGATGGAAATACTTGAGACGCGGTGTTGCGACGAATCCATTGCTCCAAATTATTTTCTCAAACGCCGACGTCACATGACGGTTTAGCACGGCCGTATTTCGAGATTCTTCAATTGCCGGTTCTACATGATTAACACCCGTATAAGATAGTTCGAGAAGTACAGATGACAGCGCCGCTTGCGCTACTCACAGTCAACCTAGATGAGTCTTACCAGTCGACCGCCAACCCTGCGCATTCATGCACCAACGCCTACAACGGTCTCGTACACAGTCTCCACTCGACCGTACCCAGATACTTTCCCCCTGCTCCTCCTGCACCACACCAAGCTTCTCATACGCATTATCTGTGGGCTCCTAATCTCGGTCCTCCTCTTTGCGAAATGGCGCCTCACCTTTCCGCTCCCAGAGGCGCAACAAAGTGATATCGAGAGCTTGGTACTCAGCGGAGCTATAGGCACTTTTGCATTCAAGATAGCGCAAGCAATAGATTGGCGAGTGTTAGGACCAGCTTGCTTAGCTGTGGGAATGGGTGTCCTGACGCGGGGTTATACTGGTATGATGGAACGTGAAAGAGCAAGGCGCTCAATGTTGATATCCGTACAGAAGAATCATTACTGGTTTTGCGTGGATTGGGTATTCAGACCTCCAGCTCGTCCGCGACTTACCTGTCATCCTCAGTGACCCGTTTTATACCCACTACAAGTATCCAAGACATCTTCATACATGAGGCATTCAAGGGATTCCAGGTCAGGTTCTATCTTGCCGTAGTTGTAAGTGGGGAGGAGGACGTGGTCGTCGTATTTCCGGTATGCGCACGAGAAGTGTACATAGCGTTTCTATGCTGACTGGTTATAGAAATTACTCCCCCGAAGACAAATTCTAGAGGAAGTATGGAGAGGCACACGAAAATGCTTACACGAGCCACCCGCCGACAAGTAGCTTAGAACATATCATGACTTTCGAGCATGCCACTGGACTGTTGCTATGCCCGTCTCCTACGATGTCATCTTCTAACTCGGCTCTGGAGGGTAGAACCGAGTTATTCTTCGGCTGTATCCTCGGCTGGTTTACCATAGATCCTCTTCCCAGTCAGAATTCTCCTCTCTCGGTACTTTGCATTTTGGACCTCTACGCTTTCCTGCCTGACCTTATCCATCACAGGCGTATATGTACCGATCTTCTTTGCAAAATCGCCACCATCAAAGATCAAGGTAGTCCTGCGACGTTGAGTGTCATTGCCACCGGTCGCGGTATCGTATGGAGCATTTGCAACTACAGTTGCCCCTTTATCTAGCAATTGCGCCGCTAATATCTCGTCCATTTTCGATCTACGCCAAACCTTCCAAAGATCTTCGACTATACCTCCAGATCCCCATTTGCCTCTAGAGTCAGTTGCATTCACGGCTGACTGGTTGTTCATATGTATCCACTCTAGTGAATCTTCATGGGCTTGCTCGGAATGTTCTCTATTACCACTTTCCTGCTCACTTTCTAGTGGCGCAGGGAAGATACAGTCCCATAGTACAAGCGGAGCATCAGGTGCCATTTCGTAACTTGGTTTGCGTGGATTAACCGTGATGTCCAGCAGTTGTGGTACCAGATCTGGCGTCTCTATACCCTGTCCGATGAGGAACAAAATGGAAGCGATATGTCTAATCTGATGCCAAAGAAAGGCGGAGCCATGCACAACAATTGCGTATAGCTTAGGCGTGTCCGCATGCGCAGAAGGGCCTTGAACATAGCTAGGATCGGGTAACGAACCTATCTCCTCAATGTCTGCGTGGAAAATCCGGCGCTTCCAGTTTGTTATTTGCTTGGAAGCATCAATCTTACATAGATTGCGGAAGTCATGACACCCGACCAGATGGTGTGCGGCTTCACGCATCGCAGAAATAGACAGATGTCCATGCATAGGACGAGAGGAATCAGCAGTTCCACCTGGGATTGGGTTATACGCAGGCTGTGTGAAGAAGTACTTGTAACGTCTTTCGCGGCAGTGGAATCGGGCAGAGAAGTTAAGAGGTGGGTTTGGGCACCACGCAAGTATGCGAACGTCGGGAGGAAGCACCCGGTTCAACATCTGAACGTAAGGGATCTCGTCCCCGACGGGGTCGAAGGGTATTTCGGGTTCTACGTTGTCGTTTGTCTGCAAGTCCTGCTGTTGTAGATTTGTTTGAGAAGAAGATTCGGTAATACCGGTGTTGACACCCTTATCTTTTTCCATAGGTCTGTTGCTCCTCACTCTGATACCGATCACCTGCCCAAAGGCGCTTACTCCTTTGTCTGTTCTTCCACACTTCGAATACTCGCAGCCGTCCCAATTCACATCTACTTCGTACCGTCCAGGCGTGGACTGCGGCGTAGATGCCCCATCTCGTTTTTGCGGGCATATTAGCTTCGTTTTAATAAGTGCTTGCCATAGCACCTCCTCGATTGTGGGTAGGGGCGTATCATTGCCCGTATGATGCTCGTACCCATTATACCGCTGCCCCAGGTAAGCAAACTTCAATGCAATGAGCCTTGTGTTGTAGCGTGATGGGTCGAAAGTGTTTGGTTTAGATTTAATCTTCTTATATTGTCGCTCAATTTTTGAGGGTTTCTTTGAATCTCTTGCACGCCTGGGATTGTAGCTGCTGGTGTCATTAATGTATCGTGTGGTGAAGAATGACTGCTTACGCTTCAGCCTGTGCCTTAAGTTTCTGCTCTAGTTCAACGACTCGGTCAACTAGCTGCGTATGTGACCACGATTGGTAGTCGTTATCGACGTTCGGTGTGGAGTTTTGCGGAGATGTTTCAGTCATTGTAGATGCCCACCGGTAACCAAAAACTTTCGGGCCGTCAGAGAATATACCAGCTGTCTTGCAGGTCTTGATGCTCCAGAGACCTAGGCGAACGAGCTCCAATCGTTGTCGCATGCGCCCTCACGTACCATGACGCGATGGCACGAATCTGAAAATTTGGTACTTAGCTGCCTAAAATAGAAGTTAAGTCAGGGATCCACTATGGTTAAGCGGGGACCAGGAACACCCGCCCCGCCGTAGGACGAGCGAAGCGTCATTTCGATATACCTTCATAAGCCTTCGAAACCCTCAATTGGTCGTTGTTCCGGTCCTTCCGGGTCTCATAAGTCTAGTATACGACCTGAAGAAGCTTCCAACCATTCCTTTGAAACCAGCTTTCTCTCAGCGTTTCACGCCGCACGAGTGCCAATCGCTTCCGCTTCGTCAAACTTCACACGCAGCCTCATAAGCTCAAACCTATCTCTCTCATTCACCAATATGCCTCTCATGTCCGAAAATACGCCCCTCTTCTCAGCCGACCTCGTTTCACAGTCCGTTGTCTCTCAGCTACCTGAAAACTACACCTGCCGCCCGCTCCAAGCATCAGACTATGAATCCGGGTTTCTCGATGTTCTCCGTGTACTGACAACTGTCGGTGACATCTCCGAAGACAAGTTCTTGGAACAATTTGATTGGATGCAAAAGAGAGGCGACTATTATATCCTGGTCATTTGCGATGGGGACAAGAAGGTAGTGGGCACCGGAGCGTTGATGGTGGAAAGGAAGTTCATCCATACTCTCGGTAGTGTGGGTCATATTGAAGATATTGCTGTCGCCAAAGATCAACAAGGGAAGAAGCTGGGACTCCGTATCATTCAGGCATTGGACTACGTGGCGGAGAAAGTGGGATGCTATAAGGTATGCTACTTTGAGGCTTTGGAGCCGAGTAACACTGCTAATTTGTCTTGTTTCAGTGCATTCTTGACTGCTCGGAAGCCAATGAAGGCTTTTACGTCAAATGTGGCTTCAAACGTGCGGGCTTACAGATGGCGCATTACTATGAACCACCAAAGCCACATGCATGAATCTGTGAGAACAAGAAAATTAGACCAAATATGGAGCATATATGGATATACAAATACTATAGATTTTGGGAAATATCTAGTTAGGCTGCGGAGACTAGGTAAGGCGTCGTACAATCCGAGTCCAAACCACCAATTCGATTCTCATTTCCTGTCCTACATATGCCGTTACCGTCATTCGAAATCACAGGCAACACACGTCAACAATTCAAGTGATCCATAAGAAGACTTTACCGGAAAGGACCAATTTTGACCACTACAACTACATGAGGACATTGCCGACGCCTACTAGCTCTCGTGTAAGGATTGGTGAAAACACTGTAACGTGGGCTCGCTTCTGACGTCACCGCAAGTTCAAGGGACCTCAATCGGGTTCCGTTCGAGAACGTACACACTCCCATGTTTATAAGCTATCAGTTCTTGATGCCTGCGTTCTTCGCTGCCTTCTCCGGGTGCTCAACAACCTCTTTCACTGTGGCCCCAAGGTCCTTAGCGCCGTCTTTCACAGCTTCAAGAGCATTCTCATTCTTCTTCGATTGTTGATACATTATCACGCGGGTCACTTGGGTCGCACCGGTCAAGAATAGGAAGAAGTTAACGGTCGCAAGGCTAAGATGAGTATCAGTGATCTAGTTCTTCGCACGAAGCTTTCCATGGGATGTGAAAGGATCCCCGTATGAATGGGCGTCTTACAAGTAGTTTTGAGGTCGGATCACAAAGCACCACCTCGTCCAGATCAGACCAGTGGCCACAAGGGACGCATTCTGAGACAAAGAAAGGTTCTCTGCTGGACGGGCAAGGTCAGAAATGCCGGCAATAACTACGCCCCACTATGCTGCCATTAGCTTGCGTATTCCTCGGAGCAAATTGTTGTGTGCTTCATGTGTAATGGATTGATCGTGGGTGGATTTGCTGCCGGGGGTAAGAGAGTATGCTTGATATACCTTCATGATAGGAGCCCTGTAGAATAATCATTATTAGCTTCCGGACTCTAATTTAAAAAAAAGTGCCCGTCTTGCATACCAGAAATGTACTGTCTTTGGTCCAACAGGACTGTTCCATAGCTTTGCGAATCCACTCAGCTCCTCCTTGGGTGCTGTATCAGCCGCCGTGGATGCATTTCGGCGGGCGAACGGTTGGCGGAATTGGGTACGGAAGATTCCACGACCGGCTTGGAATAGGCGAGCGCCTGGTTTGAACGACATTATGGATAGCGCAATGTCAAAAGAGTGACAGGGCTAGGAAGGAAGTAGAGTGGAGAGTGGAGTAGATAGTTACGTTAGAAGCTGTTGAAGCTATATCAATTAGTTGTTGGCCCGGAGTGAAGATCCGACTCCGGACTTCGGGCCGGCGAAATGTCGGGTGCGTCTAGACGACTTCATTGAAGTGGCTTCACAACAAGTTGAACGTAGACCTGTAGTGTCCCGCGATACCACATCATGGCAACGAAATACGCATTTGGAAACACACTCAAGGAGCTGAGGTTTCTCCTCTGCCAGACATCGGATCACAGTGCAGCTGCGAGGTAGGTAGGGACGGTAGATGTCTTTCCCGTCCCGTGTACACACTGCAGAGCTAACGGACCAATTGATAGATCATTTCTCACACGCACATACCCTACCATGAAGAAGCACAATCCAAACACCCCAATCATGATAAGAGAAGCTTCGGGCGTAGAGCCGAAAGTCTATGCGCGCTACGGTAGTCAATATCTGTCCACGATGGCGCCTCGTTTGAGCTAATTCATTGTTGCCGTAGAGTTTGGAAGAGAGAAGATGCTGCCACTTACAGGTACGCACAATGACTATGCCGCAGTTTGAATGCCGACTGACCATGCTCAGGCCTAGACGATAAGACCATCGAGCAAAAGGTTACGGAGCTGGTCCGGTCGAACGCCTAGACGGGGTTGACCATATGTCACTGTACTCACACCGACGCATAGGCTTTGAGACGGCTTAGCTGTATATATACCCCAAAATACGATCGAATATCCTGGCATCAACACGTTTCTCAAGGGTCCTAACGGTGGTGCTCTCGCCCATTCTATGCCCTCATTGATCGCTCTGCTAAGCTTGTTCTGTGGATTGCCACTCCCTAATATACAGTTATCCATGAGCTGTTTTGTGAGCCAGAATGGAAGAGATGCGCGACCGCATGAATGCCTCCTTGCAGATACTGCAAATCAGACAATGCACATGCACCGGACTCTGGCGCCCGCGCGTTGTGATAACTTTCCGACACACACAGCACCTTGAAGCTTTAATTTCTACCAGCCGTGGTCTCAACCCTCTTTAAGAGTTATTCGAAGAATGTAGCATTGGTCAAGGGAGCAAATTCGGCTAGGAAGACACTGCGCTTTTGTCCTCTTGTCATTCCCACACGAAGAGTAATCAACACAGGACCTACAACTTATCGACTCCACGCGCTCTTGTAGCTTTGCAAACGTCCAAGAATAAGGTTGCAACGGCATGGCTAAAGTGGCCACTGCGGCATCATATCTCTCAGACGTTCACTCGAAAATACGTGAAATCCAGCAACTTAAAAGAGCGTCACGGCAGAACCAGGTGTATTGGACTACGTGGCGTGTAATTATTTAATTGAGGTAAAAATTTCTAATTCTATATGGAACCATTTCCTTTTTCATACGTGACTGCCAACACCTCAGAAGAACTTGAAACCGCCTTGTCGAAACATGAAGCCGTTTGGATCGTACTTCTTCTGGATGCTCTTCAAGCGTGCCTCGTTCTCAGAGCCATAGCTTGCATACACGTTCTGATAGTCTGCAGCATCGTTCATGAAGAGTGGGTTGTACCTGTTGAAAGTGTCAGCCACATGGTCGGATAAACTTCCCCAAACTGTAAACTCACGATGCAAAATTCTTGTCCCCCGACTGAAAGTTGGTTGGCCCAGCTCCGGGGAACGTCTTCGCCTGGTATGCTACCATAGTGTCCGCGGCGTCCTTCAGATAGGTCGGACATGCGTTGTCACACAAAGGGTTCAGCCATATCACATCATTCTCAATCCAGATCCGGTCGCCATACTTGGGGTCCAGGCCAAGTGTGTTGCCACCAGCATCCTGCGACGCCTGCGCAACGACGCGGCTCAACGGCTGTGGTGTGAATGTCAACACTTGCAGATCAAGATCGCGCACTGTGTTGTTCAACGAGCGTTTTGCGTAAACCTGGAAATGTTCCTCGTAGAATGCATTCATCTGCTCCGGCGGCATGTTCGGGAAAGTCGTCACACGCGCCGCGGTACTGAAGCCCTGGACGCTAGCTCCGCCGGCCTCATCCGTCATCTCTCTGTATGTCTTCGCTTCGGTGCTTGACGATATCGAGGGGATCTTGTCGAAGTCAGCGAAGACATTGCCAGGGTCAGGCCCGTCGTAAAACATGAAGACGATCAGAACGTCGAGTACACCGAGCGTGAAGTCGTGGGTTGGGATTAATGCGGCCTTCTTGTCGGGATAGTTGGCAACAAACTTCGACAGGCTGTCGAAGATCTGTGCTCGGTTTTCGGCCGCGTACGTACGTGTGCCGCCCCAGACTTGACCGTTGACACCTGCTGGGTGCGCCTTCAGGGTGAAGCGCGTGACGATGGCGAAGCGATTGCCACCGCCCTTAAGCGCCCAGAAGAGGTCCGAGTATTCCGTGCTTTGGGCATTGATGTTGGCGATAGTGCCGTCCGGCAAGACAGCTTCGTAATTGAGCACATTGTCGCAGGCCAGCCCGTACTGGGCAGAGTAGTATGATAGACCCCCACCAAGAGTGAATCCTCCTACACCAATATGACTGAGACGGCCGCCAACGACGACTTGATTCGTCTTACCAGCCTCTGTGTAAACATCCCCCCAGCGGGCGCCAGAGCCGACGACGAAGCTGTTGCCGTCAGAGGAGCGAACGGCGGAGGATAGATTCTCATTGAAAGAGATGAGCACGCCCTTGTCAACACTGGAAAAACCTTTGTTGAATTGATGGCCACCGGACTTGATGGCGAACGGCGCGTTCGTATACTTGTTGAGTTGCTTGACAGCATCTGACACCATCTCCGCATTCGACGGGAAGAAGGCGCATGTCGCGCGATTGTACTGGTTCCTCCTGTCCCAATAGGCAGTGTGTGCATTGGCCCACTTGGAAGCGTTCGCAGCAGTCTTGTAGCCATTGATGTTCAGGGGATCCCAGGCCACGTATCTGGGGTACTTGTCAACAAGATAGGAACAGACGGCATCGGCATCGCTGGTGGGAGCAGCCCATGCCGTCGCGGCGAGGAAGACGAGAGATGTCAGCAGCATTTTACAGCCGAGAATGTCGAAGGATCAACTCGATGACCTCCAGTTCTATTCATTAAGATTAAGATGTTGAAGGTCTTTCTATCTATACATACTGTTTTGGCTCAGACGAGACGATGTGCCCTTCCCACAATAGGCGATCATAATATCTTGGTCCCCTAAGGCTCTCCTGGAGATATAGCCAATGGGGGCGGGCCTGCCAGCGGCCCCAGCAGGAAACCTCGGCAGCTGGCCAGGGTGGCGTCGCACATGGGAGATCTATAAAAGACTATGGAATGCATAATGGAAGAATTGTGATGCTAAGATACCTTTCTTTTCCATTGTGGTCTCATTCCACGGAGTGGCTGTTACCGAGAGGCTAAAAGCGCCATTGAGATGTTGAGTAAATCGTCCGATCTCGTTTTCGTATGGGTTCTGGGCGCCATCCATGCCCACTTTGGGGATGATCGACGCACCCACAGGCAAAAAGGGTCCGTTTAGCCTCAGCCAAACGTGGCGAGGCTTGTTAGTAGCTTCGGCATTCACATTCCAACCCCTCTTCATCAGCGACGACGTTATCTCGTAGATACCTCGACGAACAAAACGGTATAGAACAAAGTGGCTCTGATCTATGACGATGGTGCTTGCTTGGCTGTCTTTCCCCGGCGTGACAACTCGCCAAAATACGAGACAACCTGCAACAAGTCCACGACATGATTATATCATCAATGCGCTCTTGTGATTCAAGGAATTATACCCTGAAAACGTGGTATAACCACAACTCGATGGTCTCAGCACTATCATGCTGAACTTACCACAGGTCTTGCACTATCAACACTATCAGCAATGCATGAAAGCATAATCCATAATGTAAGCTACGCAGCGACTCACATATGGCTTAATCTTCATTCGATTGCCGCCATGTCGTGAAGATAATAATTTAGAACAAATTGTAACGAGCAGTGCCCTTTCTCCTCATATTCGAAATTCAGTAGCATGGTCGAACGAATCTGGCACTAGGTCTTCAAAACGGGAGACAGGATGAGTGAAATTACAAGTCATGAGCTCCAGAGCATTCTGCTCAGTGTATGCCATATTTAGATATTACCGGGTGGACAAAGATGCGATACTGTGGAGCTAAGAAGTAGCATGTCTCTCAATGATAGAATTACTGACTGACATTGTATATCATCTATCAGACCCTTTAGTTCGGACTCAGTTGGGTGTACTAATCGGACTGGTAGTATTCATTTTGTCCGCCGTGACATTATACGCACGCTGAAAGAGATATTTGAAGGCAAGGCAGTTCGTGGAAGGAGTTTTGATTGGTTATTGATCATCCATAGCTGGATCTCGGAGTGATTGATGCGTGTCAGCTCGAATGTAAGCCTTCCTCTATGCGGCAACAACGCCAAGATTGAGGCTACACCATGAATCTGTTGACGGTCATTCCTGTTTTAAGCTTAGTTGGTAGGTCGAGCTGTTCCTCTTCCATACACTTATAGTTTGGTAGACATTCTGCCATGATTATGCCTTCATTGCAGCGAGAACCAACAGCATGGGTCCTCTAGTCTATTTCGAATTATCATCTCTGTTCGTGAGAGGCTGCTGCATATTGGTCAACAGTCTTTTCACGATGCTCCTGCATCCGCGATGCTAACATAAATACGGACGCCAATCTCGCATGTCTGCTGCAGTGGTACAGTGGCGTGTACGGCCATCGATTGCGCGACCGTCAGCTTGGGTAGCAATGCATGAAGCAGCTCATAGTTGTGTCTGTCACCTCCATATATCTTCGAGTCCCTCGACGTACATTTGACGAAACATGTATCAGCACAGTTTCAGACAAATCGACACGCTTAACAAAAGGTTCCCGTGGCTTCTTTCTACTGGTATATCCGAGTTGTCTTATACTCTCATGAAAAATGTCCAGAGTTAGCCTTGACGATCGTCTCAACACCTTGGCTCCTACTGAATACATCTCGCCAATATGGTTTAAGATTGTGGACTTTGTCAGCAGTGAGAAAACCTTACGAGACCGTTACAAGAGTACTGTCTGGCTTTTTGATCTGCTCGAGATTATTCCCCCAAAACAAAGAACAAGTGAGACTCTGGGTGGCATACGAGCTCAATTTAACCAGGATCCAAACTTGGTCATGAAACGGATCGTAGCCTTTGCCGAGGACTTACACCTCCAAGAGGTCTCTCGCAGGACTTTGAAGTCTATTGAGGGAGCTGATATCAAGTTTTGGGAAGACCTTGGAACTCGTCTAGCAGGGTATTCGACAGATCTTGTGGATAACACAAGGGAAGCTCGCTGGAAGACCATCATGACTGAGTCGTGGACTACGCACACTTCATCGGACTCTTCCTCGATGGGCTTCAAGGTCTCCCAAAATGCTATCAGATTCATGGAAAGTCACGCTCAAGAGTACGGTCGGCTGACCTATTTCGGTTAGTAATCGAACTCACTCTTTGGTATCACTCGTTGTTTGTAATCTCCCGCTGATAGTGCTTAGCATCTGATATACATTGGAAAACATACCTACATAAACAATTCGCGGAACTGAAAGACAGAGGATATGATTCGCTAATCGAACGACTCTCAGAAATATTTTGGAGGTCTGATCTCAAGGAATCACCAGCTACGAAGCTAGAGATCCAATTCCGAACCAATCTTTGTAGACTGGCTGAGGCTATCACAGGACAGAGAGATGTCAACAGCCATCTCGAGGCAATCAAGATCTTATGGGACTCATGTGAAGCTCGTTCACGATACACAGACCTGTATAAAAGGATCTCAGACCAGGACACAACAATAGCAGAACAGAGGCGAATCATCACCTGTCTGAACTACCGGCACGCTTTGGAAAAACTAGGGACATGGAAAAAGCTCTGGACAGCAGCAGTACAGGCAGAAGCTGATCAGCTGTGGACTGAACGATCGGCGAACTCACAGACCGAGCGCCATCTCACCCCGGTCCTCAAATATCAATTCGAGACTTGGTACAAGTACACCAAGCCAAAGCCAACACGGAGCCCACAGCTAAATGATTACATGGCATGGCCTGGTTATGTCCGAGGTCTGGGCTTCTTTGGTGACCTCAGTAACGACATCCACAGACATGGGAGCGAGTATGAGTTCAGCAAGACTCAGTGGTTAAAGACAGATCAAGTGATCCTTGAGCTGATCAAGCCGAAGCAGGCCCCGGGACAGGACGTCGACTGGGCCAATGAAGTGGCGCGCATATCAAAGGGAACTCCTAATACTTAGATGTCAGTGCCGACTAACCTTGCTGGATCGATAGTCTGTTAGTACTACCAAGCCATGTCGAAACGAAGAATCCAAATGACGTTTCCACGCTGTCTAGTCCTGTCACGTACCTAGATCAATCTTCTTGATACTCGACGCTGATGATGTGCAGATTTGCATTAACGCTGTCCCTCACCGGGTGCTTATCAGACAGACCTGTCGATCACAGCTAGACATTCATTACATAGTCCATCATACATCTTCAGGCACACGAAGATGGAATCTCGATGTCAACCACAATACGCTACCAGTTTAGTTAGCGTGCCTGCAGGAATCCGGATCTCATGCGATAGGAATAGTTTTAGGTCGAGCTTACGGACGATTGGCCGACAAAGGAGGTAGTATACGCCGACATCCGGCGTGATGTACAAAGACAACGTGACAGGCACGACAAGCAGTCTAAGTCACAATCGTGAAAGCAGCGAACTTTAGTTACTCGACAACAATACACCTCTACATATTTAGACGAAAACGGGCAGGTACACAAAGCACAAAGTTGCTCCGAGACACAATCCACATCGATCTTCTCACAACTAACACATTCATCCCGCACGATAAAGCTCTCAACACCCCACATCAAAGCACCCAGTAGTACCAGCAAACGAAGCAAGCAAAGCCACCACAACCACATCCCAACCGTCCCAATAGCATCCAGACACCGCATCTCCGCTTCGAAGAAAACCCAACCATCAAACCTCTCCTTCCGAATCCGTCTTGGCAAAAAATCCTATAGAGGCAGGTGCGTTGTGTACAGAGAAGTCTAGGCCCGTTGGTACGAACCTCGCGCAACGGATTTGAAGAGGTCATGATGCAGGTAATCGGCAATCCTTATGCAGGAACAGGGTCCGTAGCGCGCAAGCGAGCAGGACCAGACAGGGCCCCGGGAGTTATGCATGGAGCCGTCAGCGAGGTCGGATCGGTCAGATGGGAGGGATTGAATATTGGCGCCGAGATGAGCGGGTGGTGAAGAGGCTTGAGTTATGGTAGGGACTGAGGGGGTTTGCGTGGTATGTTGAGGTCTTGCATTCACTATAGGGATGAGTTCGATAACAGCATCTCTGAGTTCACCATCACGACATCCTCTTACTCACAAAGATACAGGAAAGTCTGATCTCCAGATCATCAACCTCCACATGTATGCCGGGGTCGGCTCAGGGATCAGGGGCCCGTAGCGAGCTGACGCAGCATAATGGGATTCTCGCGAACCTGGCAACACAGCTAACGGTGCTCTCGGCAGACAAATCCCGCTCCGACGTTATCGGATATCATATTTTCTGATTCTGGTGTGCTTATCTCTTCACATGCTCTGGTTCTAAGCGGTGCTGTTTCCTCCTGCGCCACTGGGTCGATATCGGATTGTCTTGTTGTATGTTGTGGCTAGATTTAATGCTTAGAAAAGCTAGGCTGGGTCTGTTTTATTCCAGTCATGACACTGGATAGTCTCGAAGGAGTCGTCGTGAGTATGCGTGGAGATTTTTCGCTGTACCCTTGTCGCGGGTCATGATGCTCATTATCATCGTCCTCATCTACGGGCAGATGTTCCGCGATTCCCAGCATATCTATTTAGGCACATCGAGGAATCGATATCCGCCAGGACAGATATTCTAGTCCCGCGACCGGCCGTCTGTGCACACTGCAGCTTATGCATTGTGGCTGATCACGATGCTCACCGTCCGAGCGAGGGTCAAATATTGAAAAAGCCCCAAGTATAAGAATGATTGTCGTTGACCATATAGTCCCAGCAATCGATAACTCTCTGTTATTCGTACAGAATACTGTCAGATCTCCTACACAGATACAGAGCTCCCATTAAACATGGCCGGTCAAGCTCTACAATTGGTACGTTGGGTCTCGGGCTCTATTTTACTATTCCAGCATCTCGCTAAAACCCTGATGATCAGGTCGCATTTGCGGGCCTTGCAGCTCGTGTGCTAGGCGCTGGGTTCCGAACCGTTGGCTCGTCAGGCTGCACGCCACAGATGGTCTTTCTTCAGCCCTACACAGACAACGCCATCTTCATAGACAAGTAAGGACGAGCCCTCCTCCCCTTGACCTGACCTTACCTGGGGTTGCTCTGCTTTCCTCTAACCAGCCTGTGACAGTTTCCACGCCAACTATGGCGGACCTGGCGTCAACCTCCAGACCGGTGCCCATTCGACGACCGCATACGTGTATGATGGGACCAACGTGCCAGTCTTTGGCACGTCGTATAATTGGCGGACGAATGCGCTGCGTAAGCTTCACCCCGTGACCAACACGTTTTGCTCTGCCGGTGCCTTTTTTCCGGACGGGACGTTGGTGAACCCGGCGGGAGCAGAGCCAGACGCGGCGAACGGGGTGGGCGATGGGTTCAATGCCCTCAGGTTTTTCGCTCCTGGGCCTTGCTCGACGCAGTGTACGAATGACTGGGTCGAGAACAGCCGGAAGCTGCAGGTCAGACGGTGGTATCCGACGACGGTCAACCTCGTGAATGGGGACATTGCTGTCGTTGGGGGCTCGAATGTGGGCGGGCTTGTGCTGAATGAGGCCAATATCAATGTTCCGACGTATGAACTCGTCTTGCAGAGCGGCACGCCCAAGGCGCCTGTGACACTGCCCATTCTGCAGTTCACGACTGCGGAAAACATGCAGCCCAACAAATCGTACAATCTCTATCCGATCCGTAAGTCTCTCCCCGCAGTGTCCTCCCGAGACTGTGAACCTCAGGCTAACAAGAACACTCACCAAGTCCACCTCCTCCCCAACACCCGCAACGCAAACGAAGTCTTCAGCCTGGCCGGCAACCAAGCCGTGATCTGGGACTACTCCCTCGACCGCCTCGTCAAGACCCTCCCCAACACGCCCCTCCAACCCCGCGCATTCCCCTCCTCAGCAACCAGCGTCATACTCCCCATCACCAACAACGCCCTCTCCCCCACAATCCTCCTCTGCGGCGGCTCCAGCGCCGACATTCCAGACCCAGTAGCCCTAGACGACTGCTACACCATATCCCCCTACGCCACAACCCCAACCTGGACCCCAACCGACCGCCTCCCAAACGGACCCCAAACAATGACCGACGCAATCCTCCTCCCAGACGGCACAACCCTCCTCATCAACGGCGCCCACCGCGGCTCCGGCGGCGGCTTCCAGGCCGACGACCCAGTCCTCGTCCCCCTAATCTACAACCACTCCGCCCCGCTCGGCTCCCGCTTCACCTCCCAGCCCGCAACCTCCATCCCACGCCTCTACCACTCCACAGCCACCCTCCTGCCCTCAGGCGAGGTCCTAGTCGCAGGCTCCAACCCAGCAGTCGGATACACCGCCGTTGGCGCCGTGCCCGGCGGCTGGCCGCTCTTCTCAAACAACGGCCACCAAGCCTTCCTGCACCAGCAGCAGCGCCAGAATTCACGCTACCCAACCGAGTACCGCGTCGAGATCTTCGCGCCGCCGTACATGAGTGCTTCGTCGCGGCCTGTGCTGACGACCGTGCCGGCGAGTATCGGGTATAACAGCGGGTTTGCGGTCGTGGCGTCGGGCACGACGGCAGCGGGGGCGGATGTGCGGTTTGTGCTTGTGCGTACGGGGTTCCATACGCATGCTGTGGGCATGGTGCAGAATATGGTTTATTTGAGTGCGGTGAGGGGCACTGCGAGTGGGGCGTTTACGGTGACGTCGGTGCTGAATGGGAGTGTGATGCCGCCGGGGGTGTATTTGTTGTTTGTGGTGGTGAATGGGGTGCCGAGTGAGGGGAAGTGGGTGAAGCTTGCGTAGTTGGGATGGGAGAGGGGTGGGAGGTCGTGATGTGTACCTTTGTATCTGATCGTCTCAGGATAATGTCATTATCTCTTTCCGCTATTGGAATAATGGGTGCTATTATGCTAAACTTCCTTGTGCATTCATGTCGTCCAGACCCCTGAAGTGTGAGTAACCTTGGTGTATATGTGCAGGACAGGAGAGGAGAGGGCAGGGCAGGGCAAGGCAGATCGGGTCAGGGCACAATGGGCAACAATGGACAAGCTGAGCATGGAGAGAATGGGAGGAATGGTGACTTTTCTTCGATGCTTGGTGTGATGTGGTGTCTGTGATCAAGAAGTGCTATGTACGCTGCAGAACGGTTCACATTCGGGATTTTTCGGAGCGAGGGAGTAGGGAGGTCGTACGTGGCTGTAATCGAAAAAGGAGCAGTTTCTTTCATGGTAGTCTAGGCTCAATTGATCGATCAGTGTGTTCTTGTTCAGTACTTCTTGCAAGGCAGCTTGGCTCAATGGAGGTCAGTTGTTCATTGCGCGTGGTGTGGCTGAACGAGTCACGTGGATCGAGGGAGCATGGCCCTCATCAGTATAATGTAAACGCCACACGACACGAACGGCCGATGTTTCAATGCTCTATGGTGAATGTATCCATCCCATTGGTGCAGTAGCAAGTCAGGACTACGTGCTAGAGGTATCTTCTCTATGGCCATGATGGCAGTAACGAAGACCGGAACGCCGGATGAGTCCAGAGTCCCGAGAACGGGGAGCTCAATATCAATTTCGTAGCATGTTCATAAGTGCATCAGCTGTTGCCGAGATCGCTCTCTAGCGACCAAAAGCAAAGTTCTGCGGCGCCTCTGAGGCCGGTCCCTCAGCAGTGACGTACGCCTTGGTCATGCCGCCATCGATCGCAAAGTCTGTTCCGTTGACAAAGCTCGCCTCATCGCTGGCAAGGAAGAGCACGCCGTATGCTTGCTCGATGGCCTCGCCAAACCGGCCTCCGGGCAGATGGACCTCGCGGCGATATCGCTTTGCCTTGTCGTCGCCCAGCCAGTCCTGCAGAAGAGGCGTATTGAGAGGTGCTGGACAGAGCGAATTGAATCTGTATCCCTCACGTGCGTGCACAATGGCTAGCTCACGTGTCATGGCCAGGACTGCGCCCTTGCTGGCGGTGTATGCTAGCTGTGGTGTCGCGCTGCCGACCAACGCGACCACGGATGCGGTGTTGATGACAGAGGCCTTCTTCTTGCCGTGCTTGCGGAAGCTCTGAACAGCTGCTTTGCAGCCATACCACACACCCTTGACGTTGATGTTGTGTGTGAGGTCCCAGATTTTCTCCGGGGTGTCGACAGCGTCGGCATCGTCGGCGTGCATGATACCAGCGTTGTTGAAAATCACGTCCAGTCCACCCCAGGCGTCAGTGTGGGCGACCATTGCTTGCACATCAGACTCCTTTGACACGTCACAAATGATGGTGTCGATGTTTTGGTGCTCAGGGATCAATTCCTTGAGCTTGTTGGCTGCTTTTTCGAGGGCAGGGCCGGAAATATCGGCCATCAGGACATTGGCACCTTCACGAGCGAAGAGAATGGATGTCTCGAGTCCAATACCACTGAATTTGGTCAGTTGTTGATCACAACGGTGGTTATTGAGCGTCAGAATGGTAAATCGCGTGAGCATGGGAAAAGACTCGCGATAAAGATGGAGCACAGTGAAAAAACGCAGATCTGGTGCAGAGTGAACGAAAATAATTGTGCCGTGACTCCATGGCGGCAGTTCAGGTGTTTCTAAAACTCACCCAGCAGCACCAGTGACGATGCAGTTCTTGCCAGCAAGGCGGCCCTTGGGAGGCGATACGCTACCCATGTTGAATGGCAGAGATTGTGATGACGGTTCCTGACTGATAGTAGAGTAATTATAAAGAAGTTTGTATCTGGGATGTAGTTAGTTCTGTTTGCGAGTTTCAGACTGTCATGTATATTTTGAGGATGCCTGTGTGACGTGTTCGGTGATGTCGCACGGCTATCTCCGGAGTAGATCGGATGCACTTACGCGATAAATAGCACAACCGGGCTAGTTTGTTTCAACACCACAGTAGTATAGGCTGATCAGGCAAAGCAGGAGATGAGACGCAAGATCAACGCCGGCGGGAGTTAATGAAGGAAAAGAAGATATCGAAAAAGCAAGCTCACTAAGCCGGAGAGGAGTCAGCGGACCAAGCTTGGTAGCGGTTTAGGGCCCGATAATCGGATTGCAGTTAGCTGATAAGAAGGCGTCGGGCCCTAATCGCAAAGCTTCCGATGCATGTGGAGTCAAGTCTATCTGGTCGATCAACTCAAAGGTTCCGCCAGCTAACTATCCATGAGCTGCGTGGTGACATTCTCATTTCACGTGTTCGTTCCACACGTGTGTCGAGGGCAGAGATGGTGTCCTCTGCGGAACAGTTCGTGGACTCGTGGAGTTGCAAATGCATGACCGAGCTTTCATAAACCTACATGGCCAGAGATGGATGCATCTTGGACTGGCGAGGAATGCAGAAGTCGGACGAACTGCTGGAGACACGAGGCGACGTCGAAGTTATATAGCTTCAGCCTCCTAGGTATCCATGCCTTGTATATCCCTCAAACAAGAGTCGGGTAGGAGTAAGCAATAAGCATGATTACGCCTCAGGCCTAACTTTACAAGGCTGTAAGGTGGGTAACCTTGAAGCGCCGAATGACTGTGCTGTACATACTTACCGTACTGTATGTACTATTTTCCTGTATCGTATTAATTAGTGCACAGAAAAAACTACGTCGCTCGATTACCCCACCACGTGCGCATCAGCCACACTTACCCCGCTTTAACCCAATCGAATCCAGCTAGCTATCCATCAGCCACAGTAGCTATCTTTCCACCCTAGCTCGGTTAGTATCGCAAGGGCGAGACCTGAGAGAGACGCTTGACCGGAGCAAGGGCAGAGGTGAACGGTCGTCCACGGCAGAGGCCTGCTGAGGCTGAGGCTTGCCTCCTGTACAGCCCTTTCTGCGACACTACTTCTACTACTAATATTCTTATCCTTGCCCTCCTCGATTTCTCAATCTATATCTCATCATGGCGTCCGATACAAAAGTCTCCCTCCAGAACCTCCCTCGGATCCTCGCCGATGACGATGCAGTCAAGGTTGCCGGCATTGACGTCGACGGTCAGCTTCGTGGCAAGCTGATGGCAAAGAGCAAGTTCCTCAAGATTGCCGAAGACGGCTTTGGCTTCTGCTCCGTCATCTTTGGCTGGGATATGCACGACCGAACATACTTTCGCGAACTCGCCATTAGCAACGCAGAGAACGGCTATCGCGACCTGATCGCTGTGCCGGACTTGAACTCATTTAGAAGGATACCGTGGGAGAACAATGTTCCCTTCTTCCTCGTTACCTTTTACGATTCCGCAACCCACGAGACACTGAGTGCTTGCCCGAGATCGTTGCTCAAACGCATGGTCGAGAAGCTTCACAAGGATGGCAAAGGAGCAATGGCAGGAGGTTAGTGGTGGAGAGTTCTGATGAGTCTATTGTTGGGTGTAAAGCCACTGGGCTAATCAATTGCTTGACTACAGCCGAGTACGAGTTCTTTCAGTTTCGCGCGCCCGAAGGCAAATCTGCTGCGACCTTCCTGCAGGAGAATCCCGTCAACTCTCTCCCTTCTTTGACTGAGGGCATGTTCGGATACAGTATCACAAGACCCGTCGTCAATCAAGACTACTACTATGGCATATTCGACAATTGCAAGAAGTTCAATTGTGGTATCGAGGGCTGGCATACGGAATCTGGTCCGGGTGTCTTCGAGGCGGTAAGAGAGTGACACGAGTGCGACGACAATCTGGACGCCACTGACACGAAACAACACAGGCTCTCGAGTTCGGCGAAATCACTCAGATGGCCGACAAGGCGTCCCTCTTCAAGCTTGTGGTCAAGTCGCTCGGAACCAAGTACGGCATAACGCCTTGCTTCATGGCAAAGCCCCGAGAAGGTCTGCCTGGAAACTCCGGACACATGCATGTCTCGGTGATTGATAAGCGCAACGGAGACAATCTCTTCATACGATCCGAGCCTGATCCAAATCCTCCCTATCCCGACCTAAAACACCTTTCAGATCTAGGCCGACACTTTCTTGCGGGTCTCCTCGAAGGCCTCCCCGACATCATGCCTCTTCTTGCACCTACTGTTAATAGCTACAAGCGTCTCGTCGAGAACTTCTGGGCCCCAGTAACAGTATCCTGGGGACTTGAGCATCGTGCCGCATCAATCCGACTGATTGCGCCACCTACAGCCTCGCCGAAAGCGACGCGCTTTGAAGTCCGTGTGCCTGGAGCAGATACAAACCCTCACTTTGTCCTGGCAGCCATACTTGCTCTCGGCTGGAGAGGTGTTGAGAAGAAGCTCGAGATAGCAGTGCCACCGTTGGGCAAGGGCGAGGACGTAGGCGGCTCCAGCGACAAAGGGCAGCGGCTGGCCAAGAGCCTCAAGGAGGCAACAGAAGTATTCAAACGGAAAGACAGCATTGCGCGGGAGGTGTTTGGCGATGAGTTTGTGGAGCACTACGCCGGGACCAGAGAGCATGAGATACGGCTCTGGGACGAAGCAGTGACAGACTGGGAGGTCAGGAGGTATATCGAGACTGTGTGAGGGAGCCAGTTAGGTTGACCTGGTGGCGAGCATGTCGACGCAAGGTTGGACGAAGCGAAGAGTGGCGCAAAACAGTAGAGAGGATGTGTTACACCATCGTCGATGCGTCTCATCTCCTATCGTTTCCTATCGTCATCTGTGTGCCATGTGTCGGCGTAAACTTGGAAGGGGGGAGAAACAAGCATGTGGCGCAACAGTCTCGCTAACCGTATGCGGACAAGCGAGATTGGCTGGTGGCCGGGCAAACGTGCGTTAGTCCCCGCTAAAGTGCAAGGAACTCCCCTAGCATTTTTAGCAAAATGACGTCATTGTCCTGTGTCGCTAACCTTTCGAGGGCGGTGAAAGCAAGTTTACTGGTTTACTGCACCGCATCGTTGATCTCGCATTGATATTGATGTTATGCTTTCGGACGTGGGCGATGCAATATCTGAAAGGGACGTGTGTATGTCTCGCGTCGAGGTCCCGAGTCACTGCACCTGTCTCTATTGAAAGAGTGCGATGACGTAGATGAGGCGTCATTTGAAGATATTCGCAGAGGCAGGTGCTACTGCACAGGAAGAGCATTCACATACCGGTTTGTCCATCTTCCTGTAACATTCACTGCTAGCGCCCCGTCTAGTCCTGTGTCACACGCGCTCTTCCGTCCTTCAAGTTAGGCAGGCACTGCGCGCTCGGACCCGCCTCAGCTTTTCCTCTTCCGTTTGTTTATAACCTGCCCGATTTCTCTGTTCCTCAAATCACTTAACTCTCTCCAAATCCGCATTCCACACTTTTTTCTACTTCTTCTTGCATCTTCAGCAAAATCCCATTACAACGATTCGCTCGTCGTTAAGACTACAGACTACACCTCAACTACTACTACTACCACTACTACTACTCTCTAAACACACTTAAACAACCTCCTCTCAAACTCAGTCATCATGGGTGCCGTCGTTTCTTGCGTATGTTCCTCTTCTTCCTGATTCTAGATACCAGATCTGAGCTGGATTGCCACTGTTCCTTCTTACTAACTCCCATCACAGATCAAGTCGGTCTTCCAGTCCATCGGCTCCTGCCTGATGGCCATTGTCCACGCCATCGGCTCCATCTTCATGGCAATCATCAACGGCATCGTCTCGCTCTTTGACATCATCATCGGCTGCCTGACCTGTCGCCGCGGTGGAGGTAGACGCCGCAAGACCACCAGCCACGTCTGAGAATCTGTCGCACACTCGCTAAACATTTGTGTCTCTATTTTCGTTCGTTTTTAGCCCGCCGCCACGTCGATCTCGGTCTGTCCGAGCCCCTCGGTGACGCTCGACTCGATTATCGTGCCAGGAGGGTTAGACACCAAGGGAGGAAGCTGTGGTATGGAAGGAGCCATCCCAAGCATTATGTTTGATACCTTTATTTGATGTTGCTGGGACCGCATGATTGGCGGTGGCCGGTGGTGGTTTACGATACCCTCTACTCTGCGTTGCTTGTTGTTCCTCGGCATCTGGTGACGGTCATGGTTACTCTGGCATTATTGCATTGAGTATGCCTTATCAATACATGACTTTATAATCGTCTGACATGTGTTGTCTTTGTGCAGTGTCTTTGTACTTGGTATGCTCTAGACAGTGGTCTTTTGCTTGTTTGACGAGAGTAGAGAAAGACACGGGTCTAATAAAGGAGTGAAGGAGAGAATGAAGAGGAGAAGGGAGCGTGATATATCAACGTTTAGGAAGATTTGGATGGTTGGAATTAAGGTTAGAGTATAATTATATGTAGAGTAAGCTATACTATACTATACTATACTAAGCTCTAGCCTCGTTTCCTTTGCTAAGACTTTATATGTTTACTATTAATATCACAGCAGTAGTAGTAGCTCATAGCCACCCACATTAGTTCAGGGGCAACCTTATGTATGAATATGTATAGATATATATTTATTTCGTTTGCTATCATAGCCCTTGCATGTAAATACTGTATAATGTACCCTTGGGACAACCTACCAAGTCTATTATTCTCTCTCTCTTTGTATGTATGCATGTATGTATATCCCATCTACCCTGCCTTCCATTCCTACTTCATTCTTACTCCTCGTCCCTTCCTCCTCACTGGGGACCATCTATTATTGCCTATTGATCACAATGATATACACCATCTCGTCGTGTGTGGCTTTGTGCAAGCAGGACCGCTAGTACCTGCCCATCACACCCTACCAGTTTACCCATCTCATGTCGGGCTTCGTGTCTATGAAGGTCCCCCATCTCTCCCCTCTATGGGTACCACTTTCATCTATGACCTCTCGTGTGCTCACTTCACGTCTATAGTAGAGAAGGAGGACGAGGACGAGGAAGAGCAGAAGACCACACATCAATCTACTGTTCTCAAGTCCTGACATCATCAGTGAGGGCGGCGAGTGTATACGTACCTACCATTTTCACAGTCAGGACTATAAATGTCCATACTATATACACCGTGTATATTTATATTTGTATAGGAAGGATGATTTCTTTCGGGGGAAGCAGTGACGGGAGAGGGAGAGGAATGGGACGGCGCCGGATTGGTAAGGCTTTCGATGTGGGCAGGAGTGAGGAAGGGAGGTTGTGGGTGGTTCGTCAACGGAACGGAAGTGGGCAGGCGCGAGTATGGACAGGCTCGATGTTGAGGACACAATATCCCAAGAGCGTATGCACCGATGGGGAATCGAGTTTCTGCGGTGCCATTCATGGACGCTGACGGCTGTGATGGCGAGTGATAAAGGTCGAATACGGGGATCGGAGGGCGTTGTACGAGTATGTGTCGAGTTCGTGCGATTGACAGGCGTGTAGCTGCAGATACGAAGGACTGTATATTGAGGAGACATGCCTAAGAGGGCATGCACCGACTGAATTGAGGGTCGTACTCGTGCCGCCCGAAGCTTGCAACGGGGCGTAGATGGGGTATGCTAGCCAAGGACGAGGTCGATCATGACAATCAGATAGCTTGTACAAGCATATGTTGCAGGTCCTTTATGGAAAGGGTGTAGTTGCAGATACGGGTGGAGTGCATGTCGACAATCGCATCCCAGAAAAGAAAACGACAATCAGTTCACATTCCTGATTGAGGAATTCGGGGCTCCAGAAACGTATGAAGGCCCTGGTAGAGGCGTACAGATGCGACCGATCAGTTGCATGGTCGAGAACGGATGCAGAAGTCTGAATGCAGAATGGAGCGCCGGTGCAGATACAGGTGCAGATACGTGTGCAGATACGTGTGCAGATACAGGTGCAGATACAGGCGTGCAGATACAGGCGTGCAGATACAGGCGTGCAGATACAGGCGTGCAGATACAGCTGCGCAGATTCAGGTGCGTCTGACAAGTGTGTTGTCTCTACGAGGCATGCATCAAGCATGCAGAGATTCCGCGTTGAGCTCCAGTGTCGTTCCAGGAAGTATGGGTGCCCTAGAAGAGGCTTGCAGACGTATGGACCAACATGTATGTATGGGGGATGTGGGCTTCACATAATCAGCCTCAGGCATGTCTAGCTCTGCAGACAAACATGTTGAAGTCTAGGATCCTCCGATCGCAGCCGTTCGACCACAAGGTTGCTTCGACCCTTCTTCGCACCTGCTTGCAGTGCTGTCGAGAGAACATCTTCCGAGTACGATCAATGACATCGACTTGTAGAACTCCCGTCTCGCGTGAGTCCATCTGCCACTGCTGCTCCGCTTTGTAACACACCCCGCGCTGATCCAGCCATGCATGATATCAATGCAAGCACTTATTCGGTCGGATGGCGAACGAGTGTGTCTTGAAGATGCTCGGCCGGCCCTTACGCTTGGAGTCGAACGCAATGAGTGTGTACGCTCGTATAGAAGGGATACGTACGAATCGTGCTTTCGCTGTGTCTCGTGACGGAGGATGAGTTCATCATATTTTCATCATGAGTTCATCGGCCGAGACAGTCCACAACGACGCGAAGCGCTCGATCTTTCGGTGCGGATAGACGAGACGAAACCGCGACTTTGGTAATAGCCTGAGTCGGCCTCCAAAGGGTGATTTGCCGGATGCAGCAATCACACATCGTCTAATAGACGAGAGACGTGACTCGCGAGCGCTTTTGGACTTGCCGTCCGCATTCGTGGTGTGTGATCGGGAGGACAGCTGGGACATGCCCTGTAACAGCATTTGCGCGGGAACAACGCATAGATTGGTGGTCACCCGCCCGGCACAGGCACTGATCGACGAACAACGAGGACGTACTGTATTCAAGGATTAAAAGCCCAAGGAAGGGAGCAGGGCCCCCTAGGCAGTTATGATGTGAGATTCCGTCGCTCCAGGTATGGCCCACCGGTAAGGTCCGCAGGTCGCGCAGATACACCTGGTTGCGGATTTGTGAGCGATGTTACCGTACACCAGGATTGTATGGCAGGACAGCAGGGCCAGATAATCCCGTCAATTCGGTTCCGTAATTGCTATGGCACGTCTAGAGTGAATCGAGCCCGTGTCGACGGGAGCGCTGAAATGAGGCGCTTTGGTTGAGGGTGAAGTCGAAGGTTATGATCATCCGAACGAGTGTCGTGTCATGTAGCATCGTTCTGGTGTGTAGAATGAGGATGAGGTGATACACAGGCTGTGTAAGGTGTAGGTCACGGACAGCAGTAATTTCGGAAATTCCTTAGGCCGGACTGCAGTAAAGACCCAATAACGGCCATCTTTCAACGCATCCTGCTGTCGAGGAAGAGAAAGAACGGTGATTATCCGCACTTCTGCCACCCACTGCCATGCATCACACACTGTGGATCTGCGTTGAGAATCAGACGGGGTCTGTTGGAACAAGAGCTTGGCTGACTCGATTTGTTCGCAAGGGTCACACGCATGTGGGAAAGAAGGGAGAGAGGGGGGGGGGGAGGAAGGGGGTAAAAGATGGAGAAGAAATGCATGAGTGTAGCCTATAGGACGAGTCAGAAAATACCAACAAGATAATAGGCCGTTCTGACGACTAGGTTCCCATGGCCTTTCATCCCGCGCCCGACTTGAGTAACAAGTTGCAGCAGATCATATCTCCCGAAAAGAGCGAATGAAAACGTTAGCTCAACGGCTATAATAGCAAGCTGAGGGTGTGATCTCCCACGCTTTGTGTGTCTACGTGTCTCCACCGCCAGGCCAGGAGGCAGCGGTGAACGATCCCAGGACATGGCCAGCGACCCTCGTGGATTATCTGTGATAAGACGGACAGTTGACCGTTTATAGACCCCCTGTGTGTCACACAGAACCTCACGGGCTCAACGTTCCCTGTCCTTCTCTGTCCTTTGACCCGACACCATCGCTATATTGCTCCCGGAACGATCCTGTGCAATCTTAGATGGGAGACGGCGGCCCAAGCAGTCTAGTGTGATTTGTAGAGGGTGCGGAATCACCGGTCAGCTCTGGCACGCTCCTTGCCTGGCAAAATATGCAAGCATTATATACTTTTTGTTGATAATGCTGGCTTGGATGTGTAGTGCGAGCATGAACGACAAGACTCAAAGTAGGATACGACGTCTCATTGGAAACGGAGTGGCTGGACAAACAGGTGGAAAGCATGGTATGGCGAACGAGCACGACCAGGTGAAGCAAGACCTGGCTGCCCCTGTTACCGCGTTTACGGCCACCACGGATGAACGGCGCATGCCGTTCGATTAGCGCAGCGTCAGACGGCAGTAGGCTTGAGATCAGTGGAAGAGTAGGTGGCAGGTCCGATCGATCAGGGAACTCGTTGGATTCTCCTGTATCGGAGCCAGGTCGCCATTGCGTACATGGAGCGGTCGGTATACCCTCCTCTCCTTGCACAGGGAAGAAATAGCAAAGTACGTAGGCAGAGTGGAACAAACAGAGGGGACGGGGTCGAAAGGGTGTTGGACGGCTGACACGCTGGCAGACTCTAGGCAAAATGATGACGCATATAGCAAGGAGCTATGCACCCATGGCATGTAAATTGATGGGCCCGGCAGAGTCTCACTCATGGGTTGGTAGGGCCGTTCGGTGGAATTATTTTGGAGGTCTAGGAATCCCGGGGATGATCAGCTCACAAGACGATTCAGCCTTTCGTGCGCTAGAACTTCGGTGGGATGTTGTCCCGTAGTGCAGACTTGAGGAGCCAAAGAAGCGCCGGGTTGAAGATTGACCATCTCACCACCAACTCGGCCGCAGAGGGCTAAGAGGTGAAGGGCAAGGGATGTGTGAGGAGAATATGGATGGGTTGGCGATCAAAATTCTTCCGCGTCTCGCAACTTTGCAACAACAGGCAAACGGACGGATATCCAACACGAGGCGTTCGAGTCTTCGGACCTATGTGTTGAATGAAGCGACTTATCCGGAATATGAAAGTTGTGGGGATGTCAGGAGTGTTGCACAACGTGCATCGTGAAGATCGACCAGGCACCCTTGTTGTGAGTACGCCTGATAATTATTCGCTTTCAACAATGATCAGCGCAGACCCCAAAGGTCCCTCGCCTGACTCAGCTCGCGTGCATGGAACGGAGCGAAGGCCTAGTTCGGGGGCAGTTCGTCGCTGCAATGGGAGAGGTGAGAATTGGGTTCGTGATTGGAAAACGGGACCAGTTTGCAGTGCGAGGATAGGCCTTGAAGGTTGCGATGCAGTCGATCAGTTTAGGACATTGGATTATTGATCGCTGCAGCCAGATTAGGATGAGCCAGGGTGCAAGAGAGTGCAAGAGTGGTGGTGGCACCATTGCTCTCAGTCTTTGACTCTCCAGTTAGGGCGTGAGGTTTGTGGGGAGTAAGGCAGGCGTGGGGCTCGAGGGATCATGGATGGACAGTTGAAGAGCTGAGATAATACAGGCTGAAGAAGAGAATATTAAAAATGATGTGGGATTAGACGATTTGTGTTTGACGGTTGTGTAGGACCGATTGGTGGCGATAGAGGAGCAGTGCGCATATTACAGTATGTTGAAAAGGCTCACTCGATATGAGATGATTGTAGAGTTGGCACAAGCACCTGATGCAGCGAGCGGTCGGGAGGCACAGTCTACTGTTGATGGAGTGATGCTGTTCTTGAAGGCAGGTAGTATAGGTAGGAGATGAAGGATGACTGCGAACAAGATTAGTCTTTGTGGTGTCAGGATTGAAATGAGGCAGTAAAGGTGTTATGGTATTATGAGAAGCTTTCGTTAATGGCTCTCGCCGCGACCTTGCATAGGCAGCACCTTCAGCCCTACCTAAAAGGTAGATAGGGCTCAAAGCTTCGTCCCCACCAGATAGGTAGCGGTGATTGTGAGGCAGGAAACAAAGGCATTGTATGCACGTCAGGCCATCAGCCATTCCGGTCTGTCTATACAGGTATTAGGTTCAGTAGATCCCTACCTGTTCCCCATTGTGGGTGTTGTTGTGGAGAGCGATATGGTAGGGTAGGTTTGGTTGAGCAGTGGACTCGGATTGAGGCAGCGAGCTGACAGCGGTGACAAGAAAGGAGCAATCTCCGGTCGGGACAGCTCGAGACGAGCAGCAGTGACAGGCATAATGAATAGCGAAGTGGAAGCAGCCGCGTAAGGTTTGAAGAGAATCCTTGACAGTGATTGTTCTTGCGGCGAAATTCACCAGGATCGGACCTAGGAGGCACAGGGCGTGGGTGAGGAGATGGGCGAGCTGGACGGGTGGAAGTATAGCATGGAGCAGTGCAGTAGCAGTGAGTGGAAGAAGAAGTAAAGTGATTAGCTGTCGATATTTTGATGTATGGAGCTTGGAAGTGAATGTGATAGTGGATATGGATATGGGAAATAGTGTTCTGTGCGGAATACGTAAGAAATTAAGGCAATCACGGGAATTAAGGCAGACACGATGACGGGCAGGCACAGGGAGATGGACAGCCAATGAGAGAAGAGGCAGTCAGCAAGGCAGCCAGGCAGTAGCACGTGACTGTCCCAGTGGTGGGTGTGTGTCTACAGGTGATAGGAAGAAGGATGATGGTAATCAGATAATGGCGATGGATGATGACAAGCACAATGACAACAGATAATAGGCAATAGACAATGACATCGGATGATCGACGCGCCCAATGCAGCATCTCTGCGCCCCTCTGTCTCCTCACGTCGTTCAACAGTTCTTCTCTCACATCCACTTGTCTTTCGCCCTGTGTAATCGCGTGTGTATGTGAGTGTAGTGTGAGTGTGTGAGTGTGTGTGTTATTGTTCGGCCGAGTCATGGCGATCGCAGTGCAGGCGAGACCGAGACTGTACCTACCAAGATTAGCGGTGGCTCCTTCTGCTCTTAGCCGTCTTCTCTGGCCTTTCTAGCCGGCATTCTAGCCAGCACCCAGGCTGATCAGTGGACCCTACTACAATAATACACTACACTATCCCCTCCCCCTAATCATCATCACAACACACACACACACACGCACACTCATCTCTCTAAACCTAAACACCCGCTCACCACCAGTACTGTCCCCCCCCTCCCCCTTCTCCCTCTCACCTCACCCGACGCCGCCGTCGATCCTCGTCACGCTCTTCTATCCGTGCCTACGTACACTTAGTAGTAGCTAGTATACAGAGTACATTCCAGTCTGACTTTCTGCCAACACCCAATCATCACCACTCAGTCGACACATTCCCAACTTTACAACCCACACCCAACAAACAATGCCCAACCAACGCCAGCACGGTTCGCACATCATCACCATGTACTGCTGTCCGTGATCTCTTCTGTGTCTGACATGATGATATGATGTTCGATGGATGGATCGATGAAGCATCATGCAGTGCACTGGACCATTCTAATTTACCTTGATACGTGTGTACACATAGTAGGATGTGTGCTATAGCTTTCAACTTGATTACAAGGCCTGTGGTGGATTCTGAATGGAGAGAAGAAGTGTGTAATTGTCGATTCCAGAGCATTCACTACATAGAGTAATAATCCACTCCCCCCCCCCCCCCCCCCCAACATAGAGTAAAAATCCCCCCCCCCCCCCCCCTCCCCCTAAACTACCCTACCATACCTGACCTAACCTACCCTGGCACGGCAATTCCATCACCACCACGAGACACCAACGTGGCGGCGAGCAGGGCCGAGGCTGTATACTCGCCTATGAATGGACGCATCGGGGCGACAATGCAACGATGTGGTTTTCGCCTTTGTGCAGTTGTTGTGTAGTGGTCGTGGCATGGGCATGGTACTTACCGTCGAGGCGCTGTCCACCGACTGCTACCTACAGTACTCTACTGTAGGTGAGCTGCTGGGCTGCTGGGCTGCTGGGCAACTGGCTAACTGGGCGTGCACGTATGTAATTATTAGCCGCCAGACGTCAGCGACAAATACAAAAGTTACAACTGCCTAGATGGTCCAACGCCCGCTTCTTCCGATCGCATGTCGCATGTCGCATGTCGCATCTTGAGTATCATCCTCACCGTCTACCCACCCCTACCTACATCCTGTTCCTATCTCCCTTCGAGGAGCCTGCATCTTCCTCCCCCAAATCATCCAAGAACGAGACTCGTCCATCGGCAAGCCACATTGCGGTACACGGCAATTCGATCTGCTCACAATTCCACCCGTAGACGAACGTATCGCTGGCTTTTTCTTGGACCTGGTCGACTGCCGAGCGTCGTCAGCCCGCCCAATGCAGTAGTTGAGCCGGAATGAACTTTTGGAGGGGGGGAGAAATAAAAATGCTACGAGCTTTTCCCTCTTGCACTGGCTGGCCGAGGATCCCTTGCGCCCCCCATGGTATAATGGTAATGGTCACTCGGATCTCCGCCGCTAACTGACATCCAAATCCCAACAGGCTGGGTCCTACTTGATCATCGGACTACTTGCTGGAACATCAATCATGGCCCGTGTCTTTTATTCTACCCAAACCAAACCTACGCAGTGCTCACATTCTTGTTCGTGGCGATGACAGTCTTGGTCCTGCTCATCCAACCAACGCTTCTGTTTGACTGGCAGGATGCCTCCGACTCGGTCATGATAAGGGCCGTAGGATGCGCTCCGCCGCAGGGCTCGGGTATTATGGCGAACAGCCGTGGCCAAGGATCTCTCATCGTGAATCTGACTCTTATAATGGCAATTGGAACGGATCTATCCAAACTTGAGCAATCAGCGCTCGCAGGATTGTGTGATAGCGAGATGACGCCTTTGCTAGTCTATCTGCTCTATAATGAGTGGCGTGGAGAGAGAAGCCAATCCAACGTGGCGGCGCATATGGAACCGTTGCAGCTGGTGTCATGATCGTCCCGTCATGGCCAAACTTCGCATTCTGCACCCATGACGAGCAAATCGCATCGTGCTCATCCTCTTTTGCACCGAGCAGCCAGCTAATAATGCTAAGGCTTTTTTTATTCTAAAGAACAGCCTCGTTTCTGCGCATATATGTACAAGACTAAGTCACTGTTTGGTTTGCGGTACCTCGGCAGAACACTGCGTGGAAACAGTCGGATCTGTTGGTCTTGAGACGTAGGTAGTGGACCATCGCCTACCTCTCTGTTTCAAGTGGAATGACGCTGCGCGGGCAGATGATGGGTTCACGTAGTATGAGTCCAGAACTCCGGAGCCATCGATCTAGTCTTGGCGCGCGGCCGAGGTATCTACCTACCTACCATCCACCCATTCTTAGCTCCTTGAAGCAAGCTCGCTAGTAGGAAGAGACGACGACTGGCGGACCCCACGACTTGAGATGTTGGAAGATGTTGCAAGTCGAGTTAGTTGGTGTATGTGTGTATATATGCAGAGTAAGTGTGAGATCTCTGTGGGTTGAGTGCGTCACGGTTGCAGTGGGAGGCAATATTAGGTATGTAAGCCTTGTCGTGTGCGCCTTCCTCTTCGTTTACATCTTCTGCCTTCCCGAAAACGACAACCCAGAATTACGAGCGTTCCATGCATGCACATTACATTACCGGTGGGGCAAGGACAATTCCGTGGGGAAAAAGGCTGGTGCAGATTTGAGGGTTTAGGGGGGGGGGAGGGGGGTAGTGGTGGTGCGGATGAGGGATAAGGGATGAGGGTAGAGTATCACAATGAGGTAGTGACAAGACAAAGTGGGTAGATCGGCACTGGCAGAACAGACAGGCGGGTAGGGGCATTTAGTGTAGAGAGGGGGGATCTGATCTCGCTTGCACGTCCAATCAGCGTTCCCGCTTTGGAGCTTCCCGGGGCTAGGCAACACTAGTCTCGGGGCATTAACGCTATTTAGAAGATTTGCAGCGCCTTCCCGCCTTTCGCCCATTGTTGTTTGTTGTCCATCGCTCACACTTCTACTCTTCTGTCCTTGTATCCGTCCAGCCTATTGCCTCTAACATGGAGTTTGCCGAATACGTTGACGAGCTCCGCGGCCTGAGTATGGAGAATTACAACAACACCCGTCTATGTCTTGTTTGTTATACACCATCATGCTCTATCATGCTCTCTACACTGACAATCGTCCTAGCTCTGCAAGATGGATGGGCGGCAGCAGTATATAGTACATTGCTGTCAGGCAGAACCGTTTAGACGTGGTACCGTGGTCAAACGGTTCAAGTGAACGAGTGATGGCAAACAAACAGCAACGACCGATTACTAGAAAGAGCTATAGTGCACTGCACTCTATGTAGTAGTTAGTGTGTGTAGTAGTGCTAACATCTTTAGCTTGCCTCCTCCCCCCTCCCCCCTCCCCCCCTCATCGACCCTCTAGTGAGTTTCTGCAGATATCATCCATCGCATCGCATCACATCTTATCATCCTTTCCACGTGGACCTGCATTTCATTCACTCTTCTCACTCCACGACCTCCAATCTCCTCAACACCATACGTCTATCACGGCTTTGCTGGACACAGCATTCCAAAAGAACGCTTGACGATTTCTGCCACAAGACCACAGTCTCTGGACGTCCTACCGTGCCTCATCGCTGGTCCTAGCTCCTCCTTACAGTGCTGCCTCATTTCGTCAACGCGTGGTCTGGGATCTCTATTCTTCTCGTCAAACGCAAAGACTGCTGCGAGGTCTTCGTGGCCCAAACGCCAAGACCCAGGGTCCTGTCATTGATCGCGTTGACATTATAAGCTTGAGGCTCGAGCTCACCCTGTCTGTGTCGGTGTCTGTGTCAGCATCACCATCGCCATCGGCTGTTTATCACGACTCCAGTCCATATTGTGAAACCCTCTTATCCGGCCGGAGCTTTTTTGGTCTGACTGAGACTGCCAACCTACCCTGTTCACTCGCCCGTCCGTACATACATATTCTTCCGTTTGCTCTGTCCTTCACTCGTCAGGCTTGGGCGATCTGCGGTGCAGTATTGCCTGTCCTTGCCCCTGTCGCCAAACCCCTGTCTGTCCTGAACAACGGTCCTCCCTGGCCTCGCACTCGTTCAGAAAAGGGCGATAACCGCCGCCAGTATAGATTGACAGCCCGGGATACGAAGACAGAGAGCAAGGCTCGGAGACGCCTCCACTCCAGAAGCCAGACCCCCTGGCCCTCCCCCGAAGCATCGCAGAAACCTCGCGCTTCATCTCAGACTCAGCATCCCCGTCTCCATCTAAGCCTAACCGACTGTTGCCCCGTCTGCATTACCGTTCGTGCCGTTGTCATGAGAGTGTCATCCCTGCTCGCTACCCATTAACGGTCCGCAACTTCGACCTTGGCTCATCCCCAACTATCTCGACTGGGGTTCCCACTGTCTGACCCACCCCGCCGGCGACTCTGTGCCTTCGTCACTCCCTGTTAGTGAGAGAGACAGACACACAGAGAGAGAGAGCCTGCGCTTCTTGTCTGCCTACTATTACTTACCTGAGCTCGCTCCTCGTCAGCCCAGCCTCTTTACACCTCGATTTGTCTGCAACCTTTGTTTTCATATCCTGCTTTGCTGCGACTGGTTAGCCTTTGCTATCCCATTCCATCTCTGCTCCCTCATTGTGGCCATTTGCCACTCTCGCCTTGCACTACCACTGTATATTTTCTTTCTTGGGATTTTGATCACATACCGAGAATGCAGTTGTCGACAATGCTCCACGGCACCGCCGAAAGGGACGGACATCGTCACTTTGTTGACTGTTGTTCACAGCGCACATCCTCTCCGCACACACAGTCACGAACTCATCATCACTTACCACCACAACATGGACCAGCCTATCCACCACATTCCCATCCATACTCGCAGCATGGCAACCACATTTACCAAAGAAGACCACAGTCTCCCCCGTCACCGCCTGTCGAGGATAACTCGAACAAGCCACTGCTCCCATCAATATCTAGTCTCCTCGGAATGGCTGATGGCGAGAGATCGGCTCCGCCAATGCCTGTGCATCGCTTTCCGGTACGCAGTTCACCAGAATCTTCTCCAACCAGCATGTACCAGAGTCCACAGCCGCATTTTCCACAACGATACCAGCCAGCTCCAGCTCCCGCTTCAGCGGAGATGCGAAGGGATCTTATCTCCATAGCCGTGAGCAGCCAGCAGAAGATGGACCATAGGATGAGGCTACCGCCTACCCCTCCCATGTACCCTGAGAAATTCACTGATGGTAACCACTCTCCTTCTACCGCCTCAACACATTCTTCCCTATCTTCACAGCCATATCACCTGAGTTCATTGAACAACATGGACCCTGAGCACCAACGGCAAGCCGACCAACGGACTCAACCGGCGAAAGAACCATCAGCACCATCAGTCTCGAGCGTCTCGCCTTATACTCAGGACCAAGCTTCCTCCTCTCCTGGCACAACATCCCCGGCCTCCTACTACTCCCCAGACTCTTCTTTCACACCCGCGAACGGCCTGTACTCGCAACGACCGTTGCCAACAGACTTTCCTCCTCCACCAGTAACAAGTACTGCCATCCCCTCATCCCCCGGAACTTCAAACCCATGGCAACACCATCACTACATCAGCACCAGCAGCGCCTCGGCCTTCCCACAGTCCCAGGACCGCTATATCTGCTCGACCTGCAACAAGGCGTTCTCGCGGCCCAGCAGTCTCCGCATTCACAGCCATAGCCATACCGGGGAGAAGCCGTACAAGTGCCCGCAGCCCGGATGCGGGAAGGCATTTAGTGTTCGGAGCAATATGAAGCGACATGAGCGCGGTTGCCATGCTGCGGCTAATGCTATTGCTGTATCATGAGAATCGAAGCAGTCAAACACATTGTCTTTATTACAATATGCTCTGGCGTTTACCGGGGAACAGTTGAGAGACAGCGCCATATTCGCGCATCAGGGCTGCGTGCGGCCTTCTTTCTGAATTTTTTTTTTCGCTTTATACCAATCTTCTTTGCACGGAGACGGCGTTTGGTCAGTGGACTGGACTAGAGGATTTTGGGGCAGCAGTTGACTGTGTGTGTGTATGTGGCATATCACAGGCGTTTCATTGTTCCTAAAGGGAATGATCAGGTTGTTCTTGACCATGTCATAGAGGGAGAATGATGCTTCTACTACTACTAGGGTTACATGGTATTGTCTTGGTTTGGTTTAGAGGGCCGGCAGGCAGGCAGGCACCATACGCCGACGAACGAACGGACAGCGACGAGGAAGACAACAAAAAACAACCTGTACATTAGCTACCCATCATGGAAGCAAGGAATTGGTGGACATGGGCGGTAGGGGGTTGGAATTTGGGGGGAGGGGAAAGACTCGTCTGTCTTGACCTTTCCTGATATCAATGACTATGACATGTAATAGATGACATTGACAATGACATAAGACATGTAAAGAGGATGATGGTGATGTGCATAATATGTACAATTGTAACTCTTTAATTTCTGATTCTCGAGTCTGTGTTATGTGTTACAGTGATGTCGATATGAGAGTTTTTCTCGGCCCGGACGCTTTTTGTTCTTCCATTTCATAGTACTGCACTACTGTACTATGTGCTATCACTGTACTATGCTGCCCTGGCAGAACAACCTACTCCTCAGACATAAGACTGACCAGACAAAAGCAATCTTTCCCCGCCACGCACGCATCTGCGAACCCGCTAGCCTTTCCTTTACTCTCTCCTACTGTATGTTGGTAGATGCAGACCACCGTCTTCGGCCCTGCCTCCCTCCCAAAGCCTCCTTCCCGTAGATCGTTCACGAGTTGTCAGACTGAGCTTCTGATCCTCACTTGGTGGGTTGGAATGGATGGGTACAAAACGACGATGAACACCTCGGAGCCATGTCCGATGAGCGCGTGTCCCTGGCATAACGACTAGACTTGAATGGCTGTGGTTGACTGCGATACCCCCGCGGCGAAAGATGGATGGCCCTCTGTCATGGAATGTTTAGACTTTGGGTCCGGATACGCTTTTCAGATGTGTTTATGTGTGTATGCTAAGATTATAGCGTAGGGAATGTGGAATCGTTGGGTTTTGTGTAGGGTATGGGAATGTATGGTGTTTGAGGGGTGTGTTTGTTTGTTGTTTGGTCTGCTTGCTTCATTGCTTCATTGCTTCACTGCTTGTCTGCACTGCTTGTTTGTATGCCGCTCTATCCATCCTTTCTCATCATGTCTCACGCGAGCAGCTGAATGCATGATAACTGCATATACACATTGCCCAACTCACTCCATACACACATACACACGCATACAACATCCCATACACACAACCCACCTCGCCCACCACCCCTCCAGGCCCACCTCAGACGAGCCCACCCGTCAACACGGGAAATCCGAACATCATTCGACATATACACACAGGCACACATAACAATTAATTATCCAATTCACTCCGCGGTTGTTGAAACCCACCCTCCCCACAAATGCACACACGCACACACACGCACTATGTTTGACGATTGATGCTGGCGTGTGTGTGTGTGCGTGCGTTGTACCGTGCTGTTGGGAGGTTTATCATCATTACGTCCGAAGTTTTGCCCTGAGGAGGGAGGGAGGATGGATGGATGGATGGACAGTTACTGCATTTGGCGTGCTTCTGTGTCGTAGAGCAGTACTGGCCTGTGTTCGTATCCATATCCGCACTCACACTCGTAGCCAGATCCACGCTCACATCCACACCCACACTCATATCCACACTCATACTCGCGTCCATATCCACACTCACATCCACAACCACATCCACAACTCCACCCCTCAACAACACCACCCCTCAACAACACCACCCACCAAGACCAACAAATGCCAACCCCCCTTCTCCTCAGCCTCTGCCCAACACCCAATCCATGCCTGCCATCATTCTAAACCCTAGCCCTCACACTCACCAATACATCCCCACGAACCAACACCCACACATCCAACCCAACAAACTATCCAACAACCATCCAACCCACCATACCGTTCCATCTCGTTTTCGCTAACTCAACCCCTGCCCATACACTTCCTGGACACGGCCTGGATGAGATCATGTTGCTGTTCTATCACTTTGCCATCACAGTATACTACATTGCCATTGCCATTCCATTGCAGCCTCGACGCGCGGACATCGAGTCCCGTCGCTTCGAGTCGATGCACACATACATACATACATATATATACATACTCCCGAACTATACCCAGCGCACCAATCGCACATTTCCCATTCCCCAATTTACATCCCCCTCGCGGTTCCGTAAGTATGGACGACGCACAACCTACCTTCTGCACCTACGCTACCGCATGCGAACGCTTGGCGAGGTTGCATGAATAGGAAGAGTCGGTAGCCAAGACGCTGGGCGAGGTTATGAGGTGGTGGTGTCTTGTCACTCTGTGTGTGTGTGTGTGATGGCTCCGAGTCCTTGGGCACGGGTATGGCTATGTGTATGTGTACATGTGTGTGTGTGTGTGTACGCAGGTACATGTATACCGTATATGTGCGCACAAAACTCTACAGTCACCTCGCCTCGCCTCATCTCCCACCCAACCCAAGCCCCAAAGCGGAGTTTCCCCTTTTCACTAAGAAGAACTAGGTCTACTAGGGGATGCCGGACTCTTGGGGAAGGGGCGTTCCGAGGGATTGGTGCTGGCTGGGCTGGATTGGATTGATGGACAGAATGGATAGGCTTGATTGAGAGGGAGAGAGTATTAAAATGATCAGACCATGACCGACACCGATTGCTCGTGTAAAACTCGGGCATCATCCCAGCCCTAATTAACTACAGTACAGTGACCCCGACATACCATAATAGCTCCTGCAATCGGGCACATCACACATCACACATCACATCACATCACATCACAAGGCGGGCAGGCGGGCGATCGACGCACCTCCTCCGTAGTTCCCGACCGACGGGAAAGTAATCAACTAAACCAGCCCAAAAAGAACCACGATGAAACAACGAACCTTTTTCCGACAATAGATAATTAGACCCCCAAAGAAGCGGGGGACATTTTCGTCGGCTCACGAAATCCTTTCACACACACAAGACTCGTATCCATCTATTTCCTTGACGGGACGATCAGGGAAAAAAAAGGGCTTACTCAACGCCTCAATTTCAAGCCACATACACACACATACACACACAAACACACACACCTAGCCCCCTCCTCCCCCTTTCGTATTTTCGTATCTGTGTATTCCGAACACGAGCTACGGATGGATGTGAGACAACAGCTACACATCATCCACTCTAGCTAGCCTCCGGCGGGCGAAGATTAGCGAGACGAGGCGGGGCGAGGCGAGGCGATGGGATGGGATGTGTGTGATCTGATGTGATCTGATGTGATTAGTGACGGATGATGTGAGACTCTGTGCCTCAGGCATACATACATACACACACTACTGTAATTATATCGATTTAATTGATTACAGCCTTGCAGCCTTGCAGCCTTGCAAGGTCGCTCGCTCGCTCGGTACGTACCTACCCAGTTCGGTCCCCGGCGCTAGCTCTGCGCGGACCGACGCGCTTTCCCTGCGTCGCATCGGGTATCGCGTCTCCGTCCACTGTCGTCGTTTCATCGTCTTTCTGTAGCTATACACACACACACACACGCACGCACGCATACACACTTCACACGCACATATCCCCATGGACGTACTCACCGCACTCGCGTCCCGTGTCAACGACACCGACGTCTCGACGCTTCTACACCTCGCCGCGCCGGCGCTAGTCACGGGCTTCGCGCTACTCGTTGTCGTCGTGGTGGTGCGTCGATGGTCGCAGGCCGCAGCTGAGGCGGGAGTGCGGTACAGCGTGCCGGTGCCGGAGCAGGCGAGGGAAGGGTGGAAAGGGGACGTGCTAGAGAAGCCTGGGATCAAGGTATGTATGTTTCTGTCTGTCCTCTTGTTGTGCGGGTGGGATGATGTATAATTAAGATGTGGTGAGGGCGGATAAAGGGGGTGAAAAGGGGCGCTCACGTGATTGGCAGGTTGAAGGCAGCGAGGCCATACAGTGTTATTGTCCTGCGAATGGGCGGTTGCTGGGACGGATCGAGCCTGATACGCGGGCGGATATCGATAGGGCGGTGGAGAGGGCGGAGGCGGCGCAGAGGGAGTGGAGGACGACGACGTTTGCGCAGCGGAGGCGGGTGTTGAGGAGTATGCTGAGGTATGGTGGAGGAAGTCATGATCTTCAGAGGTGGAGGATTTTAGACAGGTGCTGACGTGTTATGAACAGGTTTCTGCTGGATAATCAGGATACGCTGGCCACAGTTGCGTGCCTTGATTCTGGGAAGACCCGGATCGACGCGCTGTTTGGGGAGATTCTCGTTACGGCGGAGAAGCTCAAGTGGGTGATTGATCATGGCGAGAGGGCGCTCAGGCCGGAGCGTCGACCGACGAACTTCCTCATGTTTTACAAGAAGAACGAGGTCCGATGGGAGCCGTTGGGTGTTGTGGCTGCTTGTGTCAGCTGGAAGTGAGTCTCTTCTCTACACTTGTCATGCTCTTCTGAATGTTAATGTACGACGCCAGCTATCCCGTGAGCAACCTCACTCCGCCACTCTACTACCCCTATTCCACCCACTGACTCTACCCCAGTTCCACAACCTCATCAGTCCCGTCATATCGTCACTCTTCGCTGGCAATGCCATTGTCGTCAAGGGCTCCGAGCAGACCGCCTGGTCCTCTGCCTACTTCGCCTCCGTTGCAAAACACGCCCTGATCGCCTGCGGTCATTCCCCCGAGCTCGTCCAGTCCGTCACCTGCTGGCCCGACGTCGCACCACACCTCACCTCCCACCCAGGCATCGCACACATCACCTTCATCGGCTCCCGACCCGTCGCCTTCCACGTCGCCGCCTCCGCCGCATCAGCCCTCATCCCCACCGTCATCGAGCTCGGCGGCAAAGACCCTGCCATCGTCCTCGACGACGCCGCCCCAGACCTCTCCCGCATCATCCCCATCCTCATGCGCGGCACCTTCCAATCCGCAGGCCAAAACTGCATCGGCATCGAACGCATCATCGCCCAGCCCGCCATCCACGACAAAATCCTCTCCGCCGTCCTCCCGCTCATCAAATCCCTCAACCAAGGCTCCGCCCTCGACAACCCGCCCTCCGCCCCCGCAATCGACCTCGGCGCCTCCATCTCCCCATCCTCCTTCCCAGCCCTCCAAGCCCTCATCGCCGAAGCCATCGCCGACGGCGCAACCCTCCACACCGGCGGCAACCCCTACTCCCACCCATCCCACCCAAAAGGCCACTACTTCGCCCCAACCCTACTCTCAAACGTCACTCCCTCCATGCGCATCGCCCGCACCGAACTCTTCGCCCCAGTAATGCTCCTCCTCCGCGCCCCGACCCCCGCCGCCGCCCTCGCCGCCGCAAACGCAACCCCCTACGCCCTCGGCGCCAGCATCTTCGGCCGCTGCCCCCGCGTCCTCGCCGACTTGACCGACGGTATATCCGCCGGCATGGTCAGCGTCAACGACTTCGCCGCCTACTACGCCGTGCAGCTGCCCTTTGGCGGCGTGCGCGGCAGTGGCTACGGCCGTTTCGCCGGTGCGGAGGGCCTGCGCGGCGTGTGTAATGTTAAGAGTGTTTGTGTTGATCGTTGGCCGTCGGTGCTGCGGACGGCGATTCCGTCGGTGCTGGGCATGCCGGGAGGTGCGGGTGCGGCGCGCATGTGGGAGTTTGGCAAGGGGGTTGTGGAGGTTGGGTATGGGGAGAGCTTGGGGCGGAGGGTGAGGGGTGTGAGGCGGTTTTTGGGCGTTTGAGTGTGGGGTGGTGGGTGCTGTGAGGGGGATGTGGTGGGGAGGAGAAGAGGGGGTTGGGGAATTGGAGGTGTGGGAGAGAAGGAGAGGGATATGGGAGAAAAGGAGAGGGATGTGGGAGAAAAGGAGAAGGTCATGGCGGTGGTATATTGTATATCATTGCCACCAAGACGGACACGAGGATATAGCCACGACTATACACGCAGTCCTTTGATCTCGAGTAGAAAAGGGGGGGGGGAACATGAACAACCAAACGATTTTAGAGGTATATGTATGTATAGAGGATATGGTAGACAGATACCAAGCCAGCGATGGAAGAGGCCATGGACATATACTGCCGACAGTGGTGTCCTACCGTGCACAGCTACAACACAACGCGTCGGCCAGACCGACCCAGTCCCTCACCATCATCCAGCCCCTGAACACAATCATCAAGCCAAGCAATAATTCTTTTTCGCCCCTGCCGCGGACGCCAAAACAAGTGCCTCGTGAACAGTAGCGTCTTTCTACAAGTCCGCCGACATGACCGCGTTCTACACATCCATTAGCCAGAATCGCTTACTGATTCATGCAATCAAGCACTTACCCGCGCGACCTCGTACACCGGCGTGATGCCCGTCCAGTTCCGGAACTGATACACGCCCTGGGCAACAAGCACCTCCAGCCCATTCACCGTCTTCCACCCGGCGTCTGTCGCCAGCTGCATCAATGCCGTCACAGGCGGCTTGTACGTCATTTCCAACAACCACTTTTCGCCCGCCCTCGCCGCACCAACACTTTCATCGCCATCACCATCATCAGCCCTCTTGAACACCGCACTCAGTACCTCTCTCAGCCCCTGATCAATCGGCTGGTCTGCTGGGATGGTCCCAATCGCCACCCTCGGCACACGCTCCAGTTCGTCCACAGCGTCTACATCAGCCACCACGCGCACATCGTACTCTGTCGGGAACACGGACACTAGTTCTCGCAGCTTGGCCTGCGTGCGGCCGACTAGGTACACCGGTGCGAAACCCATATCATGCAGTGCGTATACAGCTGCGCGGGCCGTGCCACCGCCCCCGATCACCAGCGCGCTGTCACCCTTGCTGCCTCGTGCACTGCCTGTGCTGCCGCTGCTGTCCATACGGCGGCGCGCACGCACGCCTGCGCTGCGCAGGACGTGCGTCATGCCCTGCCAGTCTGTATTGCGGCCCACGAGGCGCGTTGAGGACTTCCCAGCAGCGTCGCGAGTTGTGACGGGCACAATGGTGTTCAAAGCACCGATGACGGCGACTTCAGGGCCCAAGTCGTCGACGTGGGGGATCAGGAGCTGCTTCATGGGCATGGTGATGCTGGCACCGCCAAAGGAGGGGCTGCGCAGGTAGTCGAGAATCTCCGCGACGTCGGTGGACTCAATAAAGGTGTATGAGTGAGGCAGGCCTGCTTCGCGGAAGAGTTTGTTGTGCATGGGCGGCGAGCGCGATGTAGCGACAGGCGAACCGATGACAGCGAAGGACTTCGGCGCGATCTCGCCCATCAGGGAGAGTGCGGAGCGAATCTCAGTCGCCGACATCTGGCCCGGCGCTGTTTGTGAGGGGAGGAGAGGATGGGAAACCGGAGTCATAAAGGCATTTATGATGCGGGAGAATTTGCCGTGGAGACCCATGTTGATCGCAATCAGGGGGATGGGGTGGGCTGTGGCGGCCCATTTCTTGAAGGAAGCGAGGGCGTAATTATCTTCGATACTGGAGGCGACACCTACCAGCTTGATGACGTCGGCATATTGCAGCGCTTTGTTGTAGACGGGAATCCAAGAGCCGTTCGACCATGATAGTTGCTTGACAGGATCGTGGTGAGATGCGATAATGCGTGAGTAGCCCTTTTGTTCAGCGACCTGTTGAAGGATCTCGTCGGGCCACGTCATTTCCAGGTCTATAAACTCAAGACCAAGACGAATTGCGGTTGTATAAAGTTCAAGCGCTCGTCCGTGAGCTGTGTCGGGGAACTTGCCGCCCTGAGAAACTGTCCGGATCGTGAAGATGATTGGAATAGCCACGGAGGATCGTAAAAGTGCAACCTGGTCAATCACGAACTCGATAGATGGAATACCATCGGAGCTATTAGGGTCCTCCAGCAGATCAACACGAAGTTCCACAGCATCGGAGCCGACTACAATGTCTGGCAGTCGAGCTGTCCACGATCGCACTTCAGGAACGGACAAACAAACGAAGAAGGAGTGGTCCTTTTGCTTGATGTCTTCCAGAGCCGAATGTTGTCCACTGATAGAAGACATGAAACGTGCAAAATCTTCCAAGGTACTCCCAAGATCATCAGCGTGTGCGGTATTACTGTGGTAGTGATAGTTGCTGCATTCGTAAAACCACGGCTTCCTCCGCAGCCATACTTCCATAATGTCCTCCACGTATGCAGGTCGAGTTTTGTCGACATTCAGATATTCAACCACCTTTTGAATGTTTCGTGTGATGAGCAACACGATACCTCCATCTTTGTGATACTGTGCGAGGACTTTACGTGCCTCCGGAGTCTCAACTATGCCACCTCCGCAAGCGAAAATGTGCCCAGTCGGTTTTTCTTTCATGACCTTCTTTAGTATGTCGAACTCGTCTGCACGGAAGCCCTCCCACCCCTTATCCTTGATCAGTTCAGGTATCGTCATACCCACATGCCTCTCAAGGGCGGTATCCAGATCAACAAAAGGCCACCCAAGCGCCTGAGAAGCCCACATACCCGTGGTCGATTTGCCCGCACCTCGCATACCGATGATGAAGATGGACTTCTTCGGTGAGGTCACACCGTTCGTCAACCCATTCAGATGTGATATCGAACGCTCTACGCCTTCAAGCTGGGCCCCGAATGTTCCAGACAACACATCCCAGTAGCCAGGCCACGTTTTGCCAGTACATTCCCTCTCCAAGATCAAAGCAGACGATGGTGTTACTAGGGAAAGTACGGCGAAACTCATGGCGACTCTGTGATCGTCATAACAGTGCACACCATTTGCTGGCTCTTTGAGAGCCTGAATGTCTTGGCCGTCTATCTCAATACCGTCGTCAAATTCTCGACAGGTGACGCCAAACTTGGCTAGCTCATCTTTTATGGCAGCTATCCGATTACATTCCTTGACTCGCTGGTTGGCAATGCCGTAGATCCTCGTTGTCCGATTTGTGCCGTTCGAAGAAGCAACGGCGCCCAACACAGAAGCCGTCAGGAATGCGTCAGTCATTGGTTCCATGTCAACCTCCTTCAGGGCCTTCAGATGGCCGGGCTTGGGACCTGTCACCGTCGTAGATGTAGCGGTCTGTTCAACAGTGCACCCCATCGGCCGCAGCACATCCACCGCGAATCGAGCATCGCCTTGTAAAGAGCTGGACCCTATATTTGGTACAGTGCATGTTGTCCCTGTGATCGCAGCAATAGCCAATGGATATGTGGCGGAGCTAGCATCACTCTCGACTTCATACGTGGGAGGATTCGTGTATGTCTGCTTCGGGATATGATACGTATTTTCTTCAGATGCAGATTTCTCAACGACAACGCCGAAAGAGGCCATCATGGCGATGGTCATGTCAATATAAAGCTGTGATATGGGTTTACCTCCAACGAGGCGAAGTGTGACGGGCTGCTTTGCGTAAGGGGCACACATGAGCAGAGATGAGACGTATTGCGAGGACACAGTCGCCGCCAGATCAATGTCTCCACCGGCGAAGCCACCAGCAGCGGTAATATTAAGCGGTAGACTGCCCTTTTTCTCGACGTACTCAACATGTACGCCATTGGCTTGCAGAGAGTCCACGAGAGGTCCAATGGGGCGCTCTTTCATCCTAGCATTTCCGGTGAGTATAGTGGCCTCAACCGAAGATGGCTCGGCAAGAGTCGCTACGGTTGTCAAGAAACGAGAAGCTGTACCAGCATTTCCCAAGTATAACTCTTCTGGACTGGCCTTGAGCTTTCCACCATTGCCGTGAACGACTAGGACCTTGCCGTCGTCTTCCCATCGGTAAGTTGCACCTCCCAATTTGACAACAGCATTCAACATGACCTGAGTATCATCTGAGTGAAGAAGATTTGTGATGCGGCATTCTCCCACACCAAGCGCAGCCATGACTAGAACTCGGTTGGAGACACTTTTCGATCCCGGTGGCGTGCAAGAAACCTTGAGGGTGGATTTGATGCCAGGGTGCACGCGGATACTTGGTGATAACACGATCCGGATATCTTTGTCTGCAACCACACTCGCCTTCTTTTCATATGTATTCCCAATGGTGGAAAGTAGAACAATTTTCTTATTTTTACCCTCGTTCTTCTTGTCGACTGCCATTATTCGGATGAGCTCATCGACAGCACAGTGCTTATTCGCAGACCGTTTGCGGACAACCTTGTCCTGAAGGGATGTAGGCAGTCCATAGCTCGCGATGCATTTGGTCAGTCTTGCAACAGCTCCGGGGGACAGAACTCCAAGGTATCGTGCCAGCTCAGCCTCTTTGACCATACCAATGGCAACACATTCTCCGTGCAGGATCTGGGGGGTCAAGATAGCTTCCATAGCATGGCCTATGGAGTGTCCAAAGTTGAGAAGATTGCGCAAGCCACCTTCGCGCTCATCCGCCGAGACGACGTCGGCTTTGACTTTGGCCGAGCCTACCACGTGTGTCTTGAGTATATCTGCAATGCTTTCCAGCCTGCCCTTCCCCTTGGCTTGCTTATTGCTGATGGCCTTCATGATGATATCAGCGCTATCTTCCAAGGCCGCAAAAGCCTCTTCATCCCAGATTGCTGCAGTCTTTACTACCTCAGCCATGCCATTTATGAACTCTCTCTTCGGTAGCGTCTCCAGGAATTGAAGGTCGATGTATATCCGCTCCGGCTGCCAGAAAGCTCCAATCAGATTCTTCCCAGCTGGTGTATCAATTGCAGTCTTTCCTCCTATTGACGAGTCTACCATAGACAGTAGCGTCGTAGGTACTTGTACGAAGCGGACTCCTCGCATATATGTGGCAGCGACATACCCAATCATGTCGCCAATGACACCACCGCCCAGCGCTATTATGACCGTATCGCGAACACATCCCTGCGCAAGAAGCCAGTCCTCGACAGCAGCTTTTGTCGACCGTGATTTTGAGCTCTCACCGGGAGCTATGGTGTATGTGAGGAGGCGTGGGTTCGAGGGAAGCTTTGCAGCCTGTTGCTGAAAGCTTTGCTGAAAGGAGGGTACATACTGAGGAGCAATGTTGGTGTCTGTGATCAGGACGTAGGTCGAGGAAGATATGTTGGTCAGGAGATCGTTTGCAACATAATTTTGCCAGAGTCCATATTCGACAATGATGGCCTCTTTCCCTAGAATTGATACGGTCGTAGGATTTTGAGGCGCCATAAGGGACTACGTAAAGAACCCTAAAGGCTCGAAATCAATTGTTGAACAATTGAGGGTATGCGAGCGACGCCGTCAAATTATAGAAAGTGACTCAGACGTAATTAGAGGCCTGTTTAAATTTAACCTGATCTGAATTTCAGGTCGGCTGCCGATCCCGCCTCGCCGCCCCACCCAAGACGCCGAAGTAAGGGCTACTTTACCTGCATGCGCCGAGCATTCCACCAGGGTTATATAAATCCGACTGTAATCCAATCAGAATCGTTTTCACCAAGGTATATATAGCAGACTTGAATACTTTCAGTGGTAAGAGTTGGGAATATGTACTGTTTACAAATATTTGAAGACTAGGCGAGCGGTTGTTACCGTCAGCAGGACCCAAGTTTGAGAGTGCCCTGTACATATTGCTATTGAAGTCGACTCGAGAGCAATCTCAAGGCAGAAAGTTCGCTTTCTCTAGAGGAGCAGCTCGCATCTATAATTGTTACATGGGTTTAAAGACTATGTAAAGTGTACCGTTGTGAAGGCTGTGATCGCTCGTGAGAATCTTCATTGCATTCATTGCACTAACCTCGCGGCGCGAACATGTGACGCATGTTGTAGATCGGAGGGGTATAGTCAAGACTGCGGATGCGTTGACAGATTGCGTGATATTTCTTTATGGCCATGGCAGAGCATAACTTGAGAGCCTTGGCCACTGTGCAACTCTCCAATGTCGACATGTGCATGCTAGACTCAAATATTGCTACGAGATCATGAACATAGAACATAATGTCGGATGACACAGTCTAGCATCTATAGACAGCTTTTACACGGCCAAGTCGCGCCCCTTCGACTCCCGTGTTCACTTTCCTCCATCGGTCGTGTGATACACGGCCAGTTTGATTGTCCGTCCTGGGCTTCATCGGATGATCCTCTCGCAGGCATAATGTGCATGATATGGTGGCAATACGAGCTTCTCGTTAAGTATACTTTGAGTAATAGCTTCTCCAATCGACTGTGCGACTGTGAGCAATGCATGTCCACCAGGTTGTCTGTTCAACTTGAGAAGGATACCGAAAGTCGTAGTATTAGCGGCCGAGACCTCCGAAGCTGACATTACAAAGGTGATATCACTCTGTGAGAGCTCGGCCCCACTAGCGGGGAACGTTGAAAGTCCAGACATTTCAGTACTCGAATGTCTACCAGCATTCACTCCTTGCCCTAATTGTGCAGTATTTAGATTCTTGCCTGACCTTCAATCATGACGACTCCACGTGTTTTCATTATTCGCCATGGTGAGACTGAATGGTCGCTCAATGGCCGGCATACAGGTACAACGGAATTACCTTTAACCTCGAATGGAGAGGCTAGGATACGCGCAACAGGACAAGCATTGATCGGAGAGGACAGACTGATTGCTCCTCACAATCTCGCGCATATGTAGGCTTGCCACGTATACCACACATCCTGCAAACGTTTGACTGGCAAAATCAGCTACGTATCTCCTCGACAGCGAGCACAACGGACTCTCGAGCTTCTTTCCATCGGCTCTTCTTGCGAGATTCCATGGAAGGCGAATTACGACCACACATCCTCCACGAAACCTCGAACCGACGCTAACATCGAGGTGACCGAGGACATTCGCGAATGGGACTACGGCGACTATGAGGGTCTGACAAGCAAAACGATCCGGGAAGAGCGTCAGAAACGAGGTGAAGGTGGCTGGGATATCTGGCGAGATGGCTGCCCAGGCGGAGAATCGCCGCACGATGTGACCAAACGGCTAGATCGACTGATTCGAGACATCAGGAATCGATTCCACGAAGCCGCCGCCGGGAAACCCAAAGGAGAAGCTCCAGCGTGCGACGTGCTTCTCGTGGCGCATGGTCATATTTTGCGTGCTTTTGCTGCGAGATGGATTGGTAGAGAGATCCACGATAACCCGAACTTGATCCTGGAGGCCGGGGGTGTTGGCACTTTGAGGTAAATCAGCACCGACACGTTTCTGTGTGATGTAATACAAAGCTGACTCTTGATGATGTAGCTACGAACATCACAGTATCGATGAGCCTGCAATTTTGCTTGGTGGGGCGTTCATGTCCGACGTTGTGGAAAACGCAAAGGATGATGTGATGAAGCGTTAAGACATCTGCCACGGAGATTCCACATAGATCATTGTTTGCTGTGCGCATATCAAGTTCTGTCCATGACTTGGTCCTCTCCATGATGCTCGTCTTGTGCGGCCTCCTTGGCTTGCTCGCGCTCTCGTTTCTTCGACTGTGGTTCAATGCCGCATGGCATCCGCTTCTCCGCGGTACATGCCCGACAACGAACGACGAGGACATCTGCTTTGGACTTTCGACCCCCTCTGCTTTTGTTTTCGATGTGAGAACTCGAGGTGATCCCAGGAATAAGTAGCGTGTCGCACCGCTTACATATGGAGCGCTTCAAATCCTTTGATAGACGCACGAGAGTCTTTTGCGATACAGCTTTCAGATCCATCATAAGCCTTTGAGACAGTCTGGTACTATACGTTGAGACTGAACTCTCGGCGGACTTATTAATATTGCATGACTCCGATTCTTCTTTGCTTTCGGATTTAAGTTGAGCGCTTCGCACAGCCAAGTGGCACCCAGCTTGCTGAAGGAAAGATATCCTAGAATGAACGTGTCTATTTGGTACCTTGGTACCTTTGGTTTTCCTTGCCATAGAAACGTGCGCGGCGTTTGCAGCTTAGAACGGTGTTGAAAATGGCGCGTTGCAATAATTAGCAGAGCTCAGTGAGCACGGACCTCGCGATATCCCTTCACGTGACCCCTTAGCGTACTGCTCCTGCTTTTCAGCCCATCTGTTGCGCCCACCAACGCTTTCTTCCTCGCTGCCTCCCTCCCACCTCTCAGCGTCATTTGCTCCACCTCTACTTTCTTCCAACCCTCCTCATCTCACCGATATTTCGGCGGTGGTGAGACTTTCGTACTTCGCACACTCAACAAAAAGCCTTCTCTACTCGGGAGACGGCCTTGCAGGTTTTCTGCGCGCCCTCGCTTCGAACGTCGCCTTTACGGTAAACAACAGTTGCAGGACCTTCAAATCACGCAACTTCATCGTAACCGACGCCAAGATGTCTCACGAAGAGGACCTCATCGACTACGATGATGAGGAGTTCCAGAATGAGGCCCCTGCCAACGCAGCGACCGGAGCAGCCAACGGCGAGCAGAAAAAAGGCGACTTGATCGTCAGTGGAGGTGATGCTAAGGGCAGCTACGTCGGTATCCACTCAACGGGTTTCCGAGACTTTCTCTTGAAGCCGGAGCTTCTACGCGCCATTACAGATTGCGGTTTCGAACATCCTTCGGAGGGTTAGTCACTCATTCCCATCAAGCATTTTGCCCTCTTCCTAGGCGCCCGTCCACATCTGCGACCTAGTCCACGAGCAAAAAAAAAGAGTCAATATCGAGGCGATACAAGTCTATCCAGAGTAGCTGGATGTTTGGCGGTTGAGCATGTCGAGATCATGTAAACCTTTTTGTCGTTTACCGCCCGAAACCTATATTCATATCTCGCTCCTCAGCGCTTTGTATGGGTTGAACCCTAAAGACATGCGGCGTGGAAAAAAAGCTGGTCGGTGTCAATAAGACGATCTGAGCAGCTTGTTGACCTTGGGTCTCTCGTTGTGGTGAAGAATCGCATGCAAGGCAAGATGGATAGACTCGTGGACTTGCAGATTGGACTGGGCGCCGCGCCCGAATGCTTCTATCGCTTCTCTTGCTACGATCGTATCTAACATCCGCCTCTCGAACAGTCCAGCAAGTGTGCATTCCTCAGGCTATCCTCGGTACCGATGTGGTCTGCCAGGCCAAGTCCGGTCTTGGTAAGACTGCAGTCTTCGTTCTGGCCACCCTGCAGCAGCTCGAGCCAGTCGCCGGCGAAACCTCAGTGTTGGTTATGTGCCATACTCGCGAACTTGCATACCAGATCAAGAACGAATATGCTCGCTTCACCAAGTACCTTCCCGAGGTCAAGATTGCCGTCTTCTACGGAGGTGTCAACATGCAGAAGGACATCGACATCATCAAGAACAAGGATACCCATCCTCACATTGTCGTTGCCACGCCTGGAAGACTCAACGCTCTCGTGCGCGACAAGCACCTTCGCTTGGGAAACATCAAGCAATTTGTCCTCGACGAGTGTGACAAGATGCTTGATCAGATTGGTGAGTTTGTTGCAGTGATTTGAATTGTTCGGGATGGTTTGCTAACCCGGGCACTAGATATGCGTCGCGACGTTCAGGAGATATTCCGTGCGACGCCAACTCAGAAGCAGGTCATGATGTTCAGCGCCACCCTGTCCCAGGAGACTAGGCCCGTCTGCAAGAAGTTCATGCAGAACCCTCTCGAGATCTATGTCGACGATGACACGAAGCTGACCCTTCACGGCTTGCAGCAATACTATGTCAAGCTGTCGGAGAGTGAGAAGAACCGTAAGCTCAACGAACTTCTTGACACTCTCGAGTTCAACCAGGTCATCATCTTTGTCAAGAGCACGATTCGTGCCACTGAGCTGGACAAGCTCCTGAGAGAGTGCAACTTCCCCAGCATTGCTGTCCACTCGGGCGTACCCCAGGAGGAGCGGTAAGTCGGACCAAGTCGTGGAGTCGTGCAATTGCTAATTGAAAGTAGGATCAAGCGATACAAGGAATTCAAGGAGTTCAACAAGCGTATCTGTGTTTCTACCGATGTGTTTGGACGAGGTATCGACATTGAGCGTATCAACCTGGCGATCAACTACGACTTGCCAGACAACGCTGACTCATACCTCCACCGGGTCGGACGTGCAGGACGATTCGGTACCAAGGGTCTATCAATCTCGTTCGTCAGCAGCGCAGAGGACCAAGAGGTGTTGAAGTCTGTTGAGAAGCGGTTTGAGGTTGCACTTCCCGAGTTTCCCGAGGCCGGTATTGATGCCAGCACGTACATGGCCTCATAAACGCGGCAAGATGACGCGACGACAGAGGCGTGAGCAAGATACAAAAAGGCGTTTGAAACAATTCTTCACATGCGCGAATGCGTTGCAATTTGTCGTTTATTGGCTTGACATGTACTCTACACTCATATACTTATCTTTTGTGGATGGGATGAACGGATCGTGCCGGTCCACTGGGGCGCACCAGGACTCTCGTCCCGATGCTTTATGTACTAGAGTAGAGCGCGCCGGATAATTCAAATGATTTGCAATGTAACGAGGGTCTGCGAAGGACATGTGTGACTTGGTATACACGTGAATGACATGACTGACCGGCTGGCTGACTGACTGACTACAGGTCACCAGAGCCCTGACTTTGGAAGTATGGTGGTATCTGGTCATGTCTAATGTAGTGTGTAATTAATTGGTCGAGCTGGGATTTTAGACGATAGGATAACTATATCAAAAAGACTTATCAATACTACTAATTACTGTAGATAGCGGAGATGACGGCGGTGATGACCAAAAACAAAACCATGCCGAATCTGGAGTCGTCTGTCTGGCTGTCTGTCTGTCTGTCTGTCTGTCTGTCTGCCCGGACAGCCAGCGAACCGCGAGTCAGGCACATCCATGCACCAAAACCCGACCTGCCCACGGTAGGCCAACCAACCACTACCATCCCTTTATTCACAGTGGGCATGAAGACAGACATGTCTGGTCTCCCAGGCAAATTAGTGATTGTGGTCGTCGCCTAGGATCGATGCTTTGTGACTGACTGCACTCTGTGCCATGACTAATTATGGCTCGTGTTGTTGTTGTCGTCGTCGTCGTCGTAGTAATGGATCAAATGTCCACTGCCGCTGAACTGTTGTTTGGCCTGGCATGCGCGCAGTCAGGGGAGGGGGGAGGGGAGGGCATTCATGTATCCAAATATCTATCTGCACATTCGAATATCCATGGAAGTCTTTGCAGTCTGACGACTTGTTACAAAATGATGCGCTGGCACATGCGCAGCTATATACTGCCTGGTCTTCGATGGGCGTGAGAGAGAGAGAAAAGGTGGAAAAAGAGAGGCAGTTAGCAGCTAGACCCAGCTGCGGCTTAGCTACTACGTAGGTACTGTCGGGTGGGTGCAGCGGGGCAGATTGAGGCGGCTAGACAGGCTAGAGTAAGCTGTCTTGCCTGTCAAAGCTGGCAGCCCACACTACTGCCAAGTACTAGGTATCAACCCACGCGTAGAGCGGTCTGCATAGGTAGGTAGGTAGGTAGGTAGGTAACGTAGGAGGCTCCAGCACTCCAGTACCTATAAAGAGAAAGCTTAGGTACAGTGACAAGCCACCACCACCACCACCACCTACCACCAGCGGACATGCGCACAGCCCAGGAAAAGCCATCGCTTATGGCTAGTTTCTAGCATGCGTGTGTGCGTGTGTGTGTGCGTGTGTGCAGTATACGATCAAGACGCAAAAACCGGATTTTTATTCTCTATATTTTGTTTTTTTTGGAGGGGGTTTTTAGGTTTTTGAGGCTTCTTCCAAACCAACGCACTAGGGTAGTTGCCAGCCAACGAAGGTCGATCCTTTGTGAAAGAGTCGTTGTTGGAAGAGCGGTCAGTAGGGGGCTGGATTGGAGTAGATTGGAGGATTGTGGGATTGGGTTTTGGGGGTGAGGGAGAGGGAGAGGGAGTAGGACAGTTGGAGGTAGCACTATAGTATATACAATCGCAAGCAAGTACTTATAAGACACAAAACAGACAATTAGCACGACGTAGAATATTCATGATCCAGTGTACTATATGCAGTCTAGCGAAAAGCTCTGCAATAGCAGTAATAAAAGAAAGTGAGAGACGAGACGAGACCACGATGTATAATGTGGTATGATGTGGTAAAGTGGAGTCGAAACTTGTACAGTACATGTAATTATCTACGCCGGCCCGCCCGCCGCCGCCATGGACGAAAAACCGGCTTGCACCAATTAATTAAAAAAACGAAGAAGAAAAAGCCAAAAAAAAGGATGAAATTTCAGGAACAGGCACAGGATCACGAACAGGGAGGGAGGGCTGATACAGATTTTGGCTCCGTTTCCCGCATTTTCACGGGACATGGGAAAGTTCGCTCGTATACGGACGGCACAGCAAGCTATAGCCTTTTTCCTAGTCACTATTCATCGATAATTATCATCCTTATTATCGTTGTTATTCTTATTATTATTATGATTATTATAATGAACGGGCCCGTGTCGCGTCACGTCACGTCGCGTCGAGAGTGTTGGCGGGTTACTGTAGTTGGCAATAAATAGCAAGGAATTTGATTATCCATTGCAGATCTAATTAGTCTTGGCTCTGCGCACATACCCTACCTGCCTACCTACCTACATGCAGATGCAGCCAGTTGAGCGGGAATCAAGGTTTATGGCATTCCGCGATGCACGATAGGACAGGTCGGGATAGGGGGGCAGTCATCAGTCAGTCAGTCGGTGAGGTGGGTGGAGCCCAAGCTTGCTGTGCTGCGGGAGGATGATCATCGACGTGTTTTTGGCATTGGCGTGGCTGCTGGGTGCTGGGTGCTGGGTGCCTGGCTGTGAATGGATCGTGTGTCGTCTTATGGTTGTTGTTGTGGAATCGGAGAGCGAGGTGGGTGTTGATGGATGATGGGTATATGGATGGATGACGATGTGACGCGCGCTTGTAGACGGACGGACGCCCGTGTATACTACTGAGGTTCGTTGGGTCCCACGCCTCTTTTGTCTGCTGCTATATTGACACCACACACTACACACCACATAATACAAAAGCACATCATACAGAAATCCTGAAACCACAATTACCGTGAGCAGGTATTTATTGGTGGTGGTGGTGTGCATGTAAGGCTTCCCTTCCTTGCCTGGCTGGTCTGGTCTGGTCGTCTATGTTATCGATAACAGGCAGCTCCACTACTTATCCATCCCGCTCGCAGTGGGTGGAGAAAAACCATCGACATGGGGGATTTGCGTAGTGTATGTATGTCAAGGCAAGATGCACATTATTATCAAGTACTGTAATTATCGATAGTCTTCGGATGGATGGATTAGGTTTCGGAGGTTGAAACGGTTGTTACTACGGTGTCGTGCTCCACGCGTCCCGCAATGACTTATGTACTGTACTGTACCAATAAAGCACACACACACATACAACATATCAGACTGTTGGACGTCGTACTGTACCATTCCTCAGTACGACGTAAGCACGCTGCCTGCCCGTCGGTCGGTCGGTGGCGCGCAGAAGGCGAGTCGAACACACGCAAATCGCAGTGCTCCAATTGAGCAAGCACTAAGATTGCAACGGACGCTCCGCAGGGATGGGCAGGGGGGCCCACCGCCCGTCCATGACCATGACATGACGGCAAAAGCTTGTACAGACAGTGAGACGTTTTTTTTCCCAACAAAGAGGAAGAAGAAGAAGACCAGGCTTTTCGTGCATTGCGTGTCGGGTGCGTGTATGCGTGTGTTGGGACGCGTCGTGTCGTGTTGTGTCGTGTCGTGTGTTTTCTAGTAGGACGTGAAAATATTGACAGGCCTAACCAAGACTCGCGGGCAGGCATACATACAGACAGACGCGAACGCGGCATATCTGCACCACGCACCAAGTAACAAAACCAATGCTCCACACCGGGAGCTCGGAATATTCGGATGTACAAGGATTACAAGCACATCAAGCACAGCAAGCATGAAGCACATCAAGGCACATCCACATCGTAAGCTGTATGTCATGTATGTAGCGAGGCGAGGTTTCCCATGCGCCAATCCGTCTTGCGAATGCTTCGCCAAACGGTCGAGTGGGTGTGTGTGTCTCAATGATGTATGCAGACGCGGCTGTAAGCCCGATCACCGTTGGGGCCACCCACCAGGCGGCCGCCCCAGCAGCCGCCTGAAGTGTTCGTCCGAGGACAAGACCGCCCGTTTTTTTGGCTTCTTCTTTTCTTTTTTTGACATTAGATTTTTGACACTCCTTCTGTGGCTAGTGTTGTTGCAGATTGAGGCGAAAACGGGATTGGCGTGCTGCACGTAGCCGCGACTACCAGTCAGATCCAACGGCAATAGTGTAGTCGGAGTGGAGACTGACAAAGGAGGCAAGGACACGCATTAGGACAACACACCATAATAGTATAACTGTATTACTCTACAGAAGGGGAGTGAGTTCTCGCGGGATGGTTGACTGACTGACTGACTAGAGCTGTAATTGTGCGTGTCGCAGATGGGTGTACCGCATACAGCAGTGGAGAAAGTGTCAAGAAGGATGATCCCTGCAGGCGTTAGAGGGGATGATGATTTGCAGAGCTCTGGCCAGAGTTTTGAAGGGGTTTGAAGCGCGCCATGATTGTGGATTGATTATACAGTTAATTACTTGTATTTTCGCATATTACATCTTGGTACTTATCGCATGCGCCGCCCACGACACGTTTGGGTGAAGGGGAGACACTAGCGGAGGCTAGCACGAGGAGGCGACGTCAACTTTTTTTCAGCATGGATCACGCCAATGCTATCAAGGAGATAGGCGGCGTCGACAGCAACAGAAAGGTAGATTGATGAGAGTTGTAGAGGAAGATTGTGGTGATGTTGAGAGTGCGCATGAGTGTCCGCCATCTCACCATCATCTTATACATGAACACGCTGGACTCCTATAACGTCACTCCAACCGTCCAACCGGGCAAATTACAGCTGTTCGACTCTCAACAGAACAACACGACTGTGCTGTATGTACTGTACTGGCTGGTAATAGCTGCAAGCTGCCATTTCAATATTGCCAACATGCCATTCCCGTCTCCTTGTCGACGCTAATCCATCCCCAATCCGCATCGTTATCGTCCTAATAGCAGACCGGATTAATGTAATAATTAATGGCTGGGCTAAGAACTAATTACCACGTACACTCTTTGCTCGCTCGCTCACTCTCTCTCTCTCTGCCTGGGCTGCTGCTGGCTGCGGTGAGAGGTGATAGCGCAGTGTGAGAGAGATGAAGTGGCTTGGGCGATGACAAGGGGACGGCCAAGCTGCCAACCTCCTCTCACAGTGTGAATTAGTGGAGGGAGCTGGCAACTGGTTACTGCCCACACTGCTAATACGCCAACACTCACTCACTCACTCACTCCCCTACTCTACTACTACTACTATTACTGCTCTACCACTCTACTACCACTACCTACCCACCCGTAACGTAGCTAATTACTGACCCCCATCCATCCATCCATCCATCCATCCGTCGTGCATCCGTCTCTCCGCCTCGTCCAATTCACACAATCTTTCTCTCCTCTTTCTCTTTTTCTCCTGCGCCTACTACTCACCCACCTACACCACCACTATCCCACATTCGTTTGCATTCACCACCCAATACTTGCACTCTCCGTTGCCGTCCTCCTCTTTTCTCAACGGCGGTGCTTTCCATATCCTTTGCCCGTTTGTCCGTCCCTCCCAGCGACCATCCACCCTTCTTTCCTCGCCAAACAGGACCGCCCTGCTCCCGCGTCGTCCACCACCACCACCACGACCACCACCACTACCACTGCCACCACCCTTCATCTGCTAGAACACCGTCCTTCGTTTATTGTCGTTACTCGACGAACGCACATGTCGGCGACTCTTCTCCTTCGTCGCCCGGCTCGTTCATTCTGATTATCTTAATCACCTAATTAACAATCATCGCCCATCCGCCCAATCCCGCCACGACCTCCCTGTCCGTCCTCCCTTCGATCTCGGATTCCCCTTCGATCTTGAATTGCCTGTCTATCCCACTCACAGACCCTCCATACTGCCACTGGCAAATTTGAAGCGACCGTTGTCATGGCGCCTAATGCACCACGCCTAAAGATCCTGTCGGGTGAGTCCTCTCTCGACTAATTTCCTGCATCTCCTATGCGACCCACTAATTCGCCCTCGCCACTGCTCTTCACACGCTACAACTGATGCTGTTGCCAATGCAATGCTTGCAATGCTTCCTCTGCTTCACCTCATCAACCGTCCATTGACTCCAGAACCATGCTGACATACTGTGTAGTCGGCGGAAACGCTGTATCAGCCTTCTTGTCCTGGCGATTACAAGCAACAAACGCGTGCGATGTTACATTGGTGTGGAAGTCGGGCTTTGAGAGCGTCGCACAATACGGAATCACTTTCAAGTGAGCTACACGTCATATTGCCAGCCAGTCATCAGAGACTGACAAGTATTCCAGATCAAAACTCTTCGGCAACGAGAGATTCAAACCGTATTCAGGTGCATACACCAGCCACCCATCTACACACGATGTCGCTAACCATAACCAGTTGTACGAACACCTGAAGACGCTTCTCATAAGCGCAGCCAGCCTTTCGATTATGTCCTCCTCTGCGTCAAGGCGCTTCCCGATGTCTACGACTTGGCCGCTGTCATTGAGTCTGTCGTGCAGCCCCAGCACACATGTATCCTCATCAACACAACATACACACTGGGCGTGGAGTCGTATCTGGAACAGAGATTTCCGACGAATGTCGTCCTCTCTCTAGTGTCTGGTGCAGAAATTCAGCAGCTGGGTCCGAGCGAGTTCGAGCACATGGGTGCTACAGATATCTGGGTTGGCTCAGCCAACAAGAATCCCGCCATACCTGCCTCAATACAATCTGACATGGCGGATGCGTTGGCCATGACATTGAGCTCGGGTCAAGTCGATTGCAAAGTATCACCCAACATTCGACAACAACAATACGAGAAGATGATTGGGTAAGCTTTCCGGTTTCTGGAAGAGTTCTCCAGTACGCTTACACTTTCTAGAAACATTGCTTTTCATCCTGCCAGCGTCTTGTTCGAAACGCCAAACCACAACGAGCTCTTGGAGAAAGTTGGTGTCAGACCATTGGTCACTGGCATAATTGACGAGTTACTCAAAGTCGCCACTGCTCAAGGCTGCGTATTTCCCACGGATTTCGCACACAAAACAATGGAGTCGATGTGTATGCCACAGGAGACCAACAGCATCATGTACCAGGATTTTACAGCAAGACGACCCATGGAAGTGGAAACTTACCTTGGCTCCCCCATGAAGCTTGCCCAAGAGGTTGACATTGTGGTGCCTCGCATCGAAACGATGTATGCAATGCTTCACCACATCAATCTCGCCAACCAGAACAGAGCCACGGCGCCTCCGTCCCCGACGACGTCTGTAGCACCACCTCGTATGTCATCCATGCCTCCGCCGCGTGGGCCTTCAAACGGTGGTGGACCCATGAATGGCGGCTCTATAAATGGTGGGCCTATGAATGGCGGACCAATGGGTCCACCACGAAACGGGCCCAGACCAGGCAGTCGAGCGCCGTCAATGACTGGTAGCATGGGCCCACCCATGAGACGTGGTCCCCCGCCAATGAACGGCTACGGACGTCACCCAAACGGTCACGCCTATCCCGGTCCACCCATGCAACGGAGGCCATCATTTGAAGGAAACGATCTCGAAGAGTTCAGCCATCTTGTCCTATATGATGACATGCCGGAAGGTGAGATGGCCGGTGGTGGTGGTGGCTACGGTGCTGGGAACGCCGATATCGCGCTCCGAGAACGTGAATTGGCTATTCGTCAACGCGAATTGGCTCTCAAAGAACGCGAGATGCACATGCGACGTGGTGGCGGCGGCGGCGGCGGCCGAGGGAGAGGCATGGCACCGTCGGCAGGGTTTGATGATGACGACGACGAGGATGACTATTTTGACGCAATGGGTCCTTCTCGTCCGACTGTCGACACCGACAACTTTGATATGATGAGTGTTACCTCTCGTCGTGCAAGGAACGGTCCTTCTGCCAGTCAAATACGGAAAAATCCCGAATTGATGTCCCAAGGACGAGCAAGCAGGAATATATTTGGCCGCCCGAAAGCCAACAAGAGAACAAGTGCGTCACTTATGGCCGACGTGCCAGGGCTGCATGATTCTTTGATGAATAATCCATTGATGGGCTACTCTTCGAATCGGTACGGTAACGTTGATCGGCAAGCAATGGGCCAAGAATCGCGAACCAACTCTCTTACCGCTTCTCGCCTTGATGAACTTGGCGGTGTTGGCGGCGGCTCATACCCGTCCATGTCACGACGGACAAGTCAGTCGCCTGGCAATCCGTTTGGTCCAGCACCGGGGCAAAGAAATGGCGGACGCCCTTCACCGCCCAACGGCTACTTCCCACCTGGCGGCATGAACGGACGACCATCTCCACCGGGCATGAGGCAGCCAGTACCTCGATACCCACCAGGTCAAGGAAATGCGGTAGCGCCTCAGCAAGTAGAACAACACGCAGGGGTGAGCAATCTCTATCCGCCCAAAGCTGGTCAAGTTCGCAGTCTGACTGGAAGTGCGAGTGCTAGCGCGGGGAGTGGTGATAGTGCACGAATCGACTCGGAGAACTCTGCTCACAGCAGTCAAAGTAGCCTCGGGCCTCGTCCCCCGATTGGCGTTCGATGAATCTACAGGGAATCATAGCGACAGTATATGGCATCGTACTTGGAGTAATTGGAATCTGGCCGTCGACTCGCCTTTCTCACAACCTTACATTAATGACCATCCTCATACGCCTGCTGCGACTTCTTTTGCGCCCGCCCCACCTTCGGCTACTTCCGCCTTGATACAGCTGCAGCCGTATGTCATGCATCATCATCAACGTTGTCGAATTTCGAACCATTCCGCAAAGCACTATGGCGATTTGCCAGGTTTCTGGGCACTACATTTCAGCGCGAACAACAGCAAGCATGATGACACTACCACGAAGCGGTGGCTTTCTTTGAGTTTATTCCTTTATAGTAACGACATAGACCAATTTTGGGGTGTGAGAGAGTGAGTGAGTGAGTGAGAGAGGGTGGGCAGACAATGTCTGCGTGCGTACTCTCGAGGCTGAAATTTCCTATGTACCCTTTTTTGCCTTCGATCGTACACATTTTCACGATTGGCGACATTCGGCAATTCTCCAGTGGGCTAGTAGAACCACTTAATTATTCAGCATGGAGGGAGGAGGAGGAGGAGGTCAAGGCCAAGTGGAATCAAAAAAGCAAAGGCGCCGGATTTGTAGAGGTGGCAAGCTGGTCAACAAAGAAGCCTCTTGGCTTCCAAGGCATTTGAACGGCTGACGGCAGGCCAGAGATGGCGGCAGCATGTCGGTGTACTATCTATATCCTCTTTAAGCTGTCGGGGAACAAGGACCAGGGATGGGCAAAGAGGGTTTGACGAATCCGGATGCATATGGCGATAGGGGTGACAGGCAGGTGGATGAGAGCGCTTATAAGCAGAGCATACATATTGGATCAGCGAAATGAAAGTCGGAGCAGTCTGACAGCATTTACATTTTTAAGGATATTGTAGAGAGACAGAGAGAGAGAGTGTGTGAGAGTAGCGAGGGTGGAGAAGTGCACAGAAAGGCCAAACATTAGCGATATGTATATTCCGTTGGTTCAGCACCACCAGGATGGGCGTGACAGGCGAAATGCATGGCGACTGTCAAGACGATGATGGATTACTGTTATTATGATAATGATGTTGATGATGATGATGATGATGATGTCGAGAAATGCTTTGCCGAGCGGGGTCCTCACTCACAAATGTTTCTAGGCGTCTTCTAGAACGTAAGATGATAGAATGATAAGCGTGGGATTCTGCAACTCACCACACACACACACCTCAACACTTTCCTGCATCACCGTTTTGACACGACGCCTCAATTGGCTCTCCTGCAAGCAATCTCTCGCTCGTCCTGCACGTAACAGCTACCAACCTTGTCTTGTCCTGTTTATGGATCCTATCTTGCATGCCCATCCAGTGATCTCATCACCGACTGGCTTGTCTGTTGAAATTCTCGCTCATATACCCATTGCTGTGCATACTTGTTCTGTATCCACGGGACCCGCCAGAGAGAGACCAGAGACGACCCCAGCAATTAACGGCGACTCAGACGCGCCCAATTGAAAGACGCCCCCCCCTCCCTTGACTCGTTCAAACACATTTCCGCGTTGTCTTCAAACGTTGTTGCAGGGCGGGCTCGAAAGAAGCCCAGCCCGAGGGCCGCAGATGTAAGTCTGCCGTCCGCCGCTCTGTTCAACCGGATTTCCATCTCTCTCTCCTCCAGCCAGGCCTGTTCGATCGCTGTCGTGCTCTGCCTTGTGCTTGTTCAATTCCTTCTGCCGAGTCTGGACCACCTGTCTTTGCATCCGCTTTCGCGGCTTGACTATTCACTTGGCTTGGACTGGCTCCGAGCTCCATCTGCCCCGCAGTGTTCTTCCGCGTCTACTACTACTACTACCCCTCCGTTGAGTTCTACTACGATTACGACTACACCACGAGCTCCCTTTGCCGCACACGACAGGACTTGCTCTGCTCCATACTCGAACGAGGAAGAGAGATACGACAAGTCTTTCTACAATTCGGGCACCCAGCGCAGCATGACTTTGGCAGACGAGGCAAGGCGGGTCGCCGCAGAGTTTGAGTACTCCAAGGACGATGTTAACAAAGCTGTCAAGGAGTTTATACGTGAGATGGGTGAGTGCGTGCCGATCCTTTTTGATGTTTCGCTCAAGGCCAGTGGTGTTACCTTCCTAGCACGTTTGCTAACAGACACAATCTGCACAGACGAAGGCTTGACGAAGGATGGTACAGAGCTCAGTCAGATCCCTACATATGTCACTGCCGTACCCAATGGCACTGAGAAGGTCACTTGAGCCCGCTCTATAGCTTTCCTCGTAGGGAGAATTATTAGCTAACATGCTTACATAGGGGCTGTATATGGCCGTCGACCTGGGCGGTACCAACTTCCGCGTCTGCTCGATTCAGCTGCATGGGAACACGACCTTCTCCCTGACGCAGTCAAAGGTTGCCATACCCAAGGAATTGATGGTAGCCAAGACAGCAAAAGAGCTCTTCGCCTTCCTCGCCAAGCAGATTGAAAAGTTCCTCCAGACTCATCATGCCGAACACTACCAAGGCTTCGTCCGGCGTCGGAAGACCATATCCAACGACGAGGGGTTCAGAGAAGAAGAGGTCTTCAATCTAGGCTTCACCTTCTCCTTTCCTGTCAATCAGATTGGCATCAACAAGGGCCTGCTTATGCGCTGGACAAAGGGCTTCGACATTAACGACGCAATCGGCAAAGACGTCTGCGCCCTCCTCCAAGACGAAATCGACGCCCTGCACCTCCCCGTCCGCGTAGCTGCTCTCGTCAACGACACCGTCGGCACCCTCATGGCCCGCTCCTACACCTCCCCCGGCAAAAAGGGCACCCTCCTCGGCGCCATCTTCGGCACCGGCACCAACGGCGCCTACGTCGAGAAGCTCTCCAAAGTCACCAAGCTGGCCGCCTCCTCCTCCGCCGCCGACGCCTCCACAACCAACACCACCGGCAACATGATCGTCAACACCGAATGGGGCTCCTTCGACAACACCCTCAAAGTCCTCCCCAACACCCCCTACGACGCCGCCCTCGACGCCGACTCCAACAACCCAGGCATCCAAATGTTCGAAAAGCGCGTCTCAGGCATGTTCCTCGGCGAAATCCTGCGCCGCGCCCTCGTCGCCCTGCTCAACAACCCGGCCGTCCCCCTCTTCGCAGACGACACCAGCGCCGCAAACGAACTCCACTCCACCACAAACGTCGACGAGTCCTCCCCGCTGTTTACGCGCTGGGGCCTGGACTCGAGCTTTCTGAGCACGGCCCATGGCGACGCGAGTCTGGGGCTGCGGATGACGCGCCAGGCGCTCGATCGGGATCTCGCTGTTAGTGCCGCCAGCGAGGAGGATGCTGCGGCCGTTAAGCTGATTGCCGCGGCGATTGGCAGGCGTGCCGCCCGGCTTGCTGCCGTTGCGATTGCGGCTGTGGTGCTTAATACCGGTGCGCTGGATGCTGCTGCTGCTGCTGCTGCTACTGGCCCTCCTACTACTACTACAACTACTACTACCACAACAACTACTACTAGCCAGGAAGAGGAAGCAGGCGACGAAATCGACGTGGGTGTCGACGGCAGCCTAGTCGAGTTCTACCCAGGCTTCGAGGAGTATATCCGCGAGGCGTTCCGCGAGATTGACGGGATTGGCGCGGCGGGCGAGCGGAGGATTCGCATTGGGATTGCCAAGGATGGGAGTGGGGTGGGCGCGGCGTTGATTGCGCTTGTTGCTGGGCAGGTGGCTGGTGGAGAAGAAGGCGAATGATGATGATGATGATGGGGATGATTGAGTTGATTGATTGATTGATTCAGTGATTGATTGATTGATTGATTCATTGATTGATTGATTGAGAGAAGGAGGGAGAGAGGGTTTGAGAGAGGAGGACCGTGTGGGAAGGGTTTGGGGGGGAGGGGGGATAAGGGGCAAAATCTGATGGTTTGTGTGTGTGTTTACACGTGTGCATTTATGGTGGCAATGTGGTGATGATGATGATGAGTTGAGTTGGGGAGGAGCGCGCCTGTACTGCTCGTGTTTGTAAAGAGTTTTTACTTCTTGCATCTATGAAACGAGCGATGCCACGCTTCTGCTTCTGCTTCTGCTTCCTTTCCCAAGACGATTCAAGTCGAGTCGAGCCCGACTTCCTCTTCCAGTCCACGGGGGTATATCCACCATCCATCCATGCCCTAAATCCCTTCCTCCCCCTTCCACCCATACCCTCACACCACCCTCACACACCCTCCCCATCCCCCCTCGCCCCCGCCCACTCCCCCACCCGCACCCTCCTCCTAACAAGCACCGCCCCACTCGGCCTCAACCTCCGATAATACCCCTCCACAAAGCCCACCTCCTCAAACCCACGCGCGCTATACCACGCACGACCCTCGGCATTCGCCTCCCAGACATGCGCCGTGACGGCGGAGACGCCATGTGCGCGGATCGCCCGGGCGAGGACGCAGTGCAGGAGGTGTGTTGCGATGCCGTAGGCGCGGTAGCTGGGGAGGAGGACGAGGGTGGAGATGTAGAGGGTTGGGCGGGTGGAGGAGGGAGGGTCTGGTTGGGGTTCGGTGGTGGTGGTGGATGTGGATGTGGATATGGAGATGGTGTTGCTGGTGGGGTCCGGGGTGGTTTCTGAGGGGTGTGGGTAGATGCGGCAGCGTAGGCCGGCGATGAGGGTGCTTCCTTGTGGGGGCGTGTCGCGGAGGAGGACGGGTGGTTGTGGTGGTTGCGGGAGGGACTGTTGGGTTGTGGATGTGGGTGTGGATGTGACGCTGGGGTCCCAGAAGGCGAGCAGGGTGATGTTTGCGGTGACGGGGTCGGAGAGGACTTCGTCGTAGAAGGATTGTGGGTAGGGGATTGGGAGGAGGAGGGCGTTGAGGCGGCGGAAGGCGGGGACGGAGGAGCTGGTCATGGGGCTGAAGGATACGGGGGGTGGGAGAGCGGGGAGGGGCGGTGTGAGGGCGGCGAGGAAGGGTGATGTTGATGTTGATGTGGATGTTGGCGTGAGAGGTCGTGTGGAGGAGGAGGCTGTTGGTGTAGGAGCAGATTCGGTGTTGTTTCGGTCATGGTTCGTTGGCTGTGTGGTGTGGATTGTGGGTTCGGTGATACTGTCGTTTGTCGGGTTGGGAGGTTGGCGTGGAGCTTTCGTGGACTCGATATGCTTGCCAGGCTGTGTTGCTAGGGCTTGAGGTGTAGGTGTCGCGACTGGCTTGCGAAGCCATGAGGACAAAGAGCTCTGTGGCATCGTGATATTCAAGGGAAGGCTTGTAGTGATAACGTCTGGCGGAAATCACTTTCTTGATGAAGCTATATTTTCGTATAGAATGTTGTAAGCATCCTGAGTAGGAGGAGCAGTGTAGCTGCGGCGTTGTCTCTTCAACAAAAAATCATTGTTGTTTTGGAAAGCTCATGACGCAGATCACTGCTATCCGGATTGAAGAAAGTCGCGCGGCCCAGAAACGCCAAGCCTTCTGACAGCAACCTTAGTCCTTCTTTTCGCCGTTCCGCAGTCCTCCAAACTGTCCATCACAACCGCAAACATGGGTCAAACGGGGTCGAAAGAGTCTCCTGCAGCGAATCAGCATGTCTTCAAAGCGTAAGTCTCGACGCTGGGCTCAATTGGATTGCGCGTGGGCCTTGAGAGTGATGCCGACGGCTAACCCCCGAGCAGTGAAGGACCGGTGAGCTTCAGTAACGAGCTTATGCAGTCGTTGCAAAGCAGCTCCCAAGTATGTCGCCGTGCTCAGCTATCGTACCATATGCTGTAGACTAACCAGCTGTGACAGTCCGACACGACCCGCGCGAAACAGATCGAACTCCACATCCAGAACCGCGTAGCCGCCGAACTAGAAAAGCTCCAATCGCAAGCATCGTCCGCCCTCAAGTCTGCACAAGAATCCATCTCGAAAGAAGAGCCCTCGGCCGACTCGTCCTCATCCCTCACCGAGAAGTTGTCCGATGCCGTGACGAGCAAATCCACACTCGACGAGAAGGAGCGCCAAAAGAACATGAGCAGCAACACAGTCTCGAAGGAGATCGACCAGTTACGGAAAACGCTTGATGCCCGAAAGAAGCTGGAGAAGCCCGATGAAGCAGTGGAGAAGACAAAGGAGTCTTTGGTGCATTGCTTAAGGGTCAACGACCGGAGGCCACTGGACTGCTGGCAGGAGGTCGAGGCCTTCAAGAAAGAGGTGGGAAGACTGGAACGGGATTTTGTCGAGAGGACAGTTCGGTAGGCACTCGAAGCGTGATTTTTGCTTCCAGGTGTAGTAATAAATGTCACTGTGATTTACGTGTCCACTTCAATTTCCTTTCGCATTCTATATAAGAAATTCAGTGCATGAAATACACAAATCAAGCCGTAGGTAGACGGAGAAAGTCCAAACTGGGAGAAGCAGCTCTTGGCCGCACATTGGTTTTCTGTGTAGTGCATCTTCGTCATTGTACTAATGCGTCTACAGAGGTCCTCAGCTACATATCCCGAATGCAGTCTTTTGAAATGCAACACGATAAAGCAGTGGCACATTAATGCACAATTGTGTGTCTGCGTTGTCTGGTTCATGATAATTATTACCTCAGGCAACCGTCATTGCACAAAGTGAGGTCGTGGTGCGGACGGCGGACGAAGCCCATTGTATTGATTTAAAGCCCTTTATATTTTGTTTAAAAGCTGGGTAATCGTCGGTCAGAGGAACAAGAGATACTTTTCTTCGGCCAGGCGGTCGTAGGGGATCGATGAGTGACGAACGTCCAGGTTGGGATCTGCCCTTCGGTATGTTGTTTCTCAATTAAATTATTTGGACATTTTTGCAAATGTGACTTTTTGCATCCCCGGCCGTCCGCCATTTGTTAACCATGATGGTGAAACATACCATGCCACCTACACCCTTGTCTGTTTAGTGAAGTGTTTGAACACTGTCTGTTAACAATGTGGTCATGAGCCATCCCAGTCGACAAGAGGAAGGGTTGCTTATGAAGCCCACGGGCTCAACTACCTCATCAGAAGCTACTTGACGCTTATAGTTCAATCGACTCAAATACCGCACGTTACGATGGCTTCACAGCTATGGGCGAAGCTAATACCGGCAAATGCGGCCTTCGAGATTCGAGAATCACCAGGCAAAGGATTCGGCGCATTTGCTACAAAGAAGATCGCCGCTCGATCGTGTATCTTGCGAGAAAGACCACTCTTTGTCATCGTTATGCCTTGGGAAGTCGTTGGCAATGACAATGTTGTGGACGCATATCGCAGCCTTGGCCCGCAGGAGCAACAGATCTTTCAGGCTATGATAGCTTACGAAACAGAGAAAAATGGTAGCGAGTTCCGGTTTCCAGAATACGCTACTATGTTGCGCAACAAGTTTTCTCAGCCGCCTTGCTACGAGGCAATGTGCGTGATCAGCAGCCGCTTGAACCACGCCTGCCTACCGAACGCTGCCTGTCCTATAGACGAAGAGGCAGATTCTGGTGAAAACATCTCCGTAGCAATGTTTGCTTTACGGGACATTGCTGAGGGTGAGGAAATCACATTCAACTATAATGAAGACTGGGCCTATATGTCAACGCATATTCGTCGGGCAGCAATGCGATGGGCCTTTGAGTGTAGTTGCCCTGTCTGTCATCCGAACAACCCTCTCCAGCCCATCAGCAATATGCGACGGGCTTTACTACGTGGCCTTCGTTGCCTAGCTTACGGCGAGGATCTACCACCTTGTGCATACTTGGAGTGCCCCGTCACCCTGAGAGCAATGGGTCCGAGTCCAGGCGGTCGAAATCCGAGAAACTGGGGAATGTGGTACTCCCTGGCTGGTTACATTGCCGAAGCGGAGGGATTGCCCGAACTCTCGCTAAAGATGTTTGAACGGGGGTTCTTCCATATGCAAACAGCTGTCGGGGCAAACCTCCTGGAAGCTCACGAGTGGAGGACTGTAGCTCAATGGGGAGAGAAAAGTCTAGAGATCGGAAGGACTCTACCTCCTGAATGCCGTTCGCAAGCGAGCTTGGTGGCAACTCAGCTATCAATCATGGAGACGCTATTTTATGATCCGCCTGTCGACAACATTGAACGCTTCGCTGGTATGATCCAGGGTGCAAAGCTTGTGGAGGAGACACAAAACGCTATCCGAGACTTTCTCTTTCGCTAGGAGCAAGCAAATATTACTATCCATGTCGACCACATAAGCCATACCGCTAAAGGAAAGTATTGGGACCGGACTCAGCATCCGGAAATCAGACTGGTAGCACTTGGCTATCGTGATCGCAGGCCTCAACTCAGGATATAGACAAGGGTTCTCAATTTGTGTACACACTATTCCTTTCCAGTCTTCAAGTCCTACCGGATCGAAATGCAACGTGACGTATGTTTTGACCGGTCGAATCTCGGACTTTGAAGAGTGTTGACTTTACCACAGCCTTGTGTGTTAACTAGGTAACTGATTGTGCTTGTTCTCCTCTGCAGAATTTTTACACGCCATGACATCCACAGTGAGCTGCTCAAATCTCGGCCCTCCGTCCATCATCCCATCTCGAAGTTATGGAGTCGTCAAACATGTTCACGGCACTTTTGCCCCCAGGTACGCCATTTGAGATACGAGCCTCGCCGGGCAGAAGACTGGGCGTGTTCGCTACGAAAGATATACCTGCAAAGTCATGTATCTTCCGCGAAGAGGCCTTGTTTGTGATCAAAAGGCCTTTTAACATGATTGGACCAGAAGATGTCGACGCCGCATATCGACAGCTTGACTCTCGTAAACAGGCCCTATTCAAATCCCTGGTTGAATACGAACGCCATCAAGAGGGGCAGAAACATTTCTTCCCGCAGGTGGAAGCTTTCAAACGCAACCAGTTCGACGTGTCCGGGCAGATGCATGATTACGACCAACCTATTCCACATGCTCAAGGGCTCTTCCTGATTTCATCTCGTCTGAATCACTCTTGTATACCGAATGCTGTATTTCCTCGCATCCAGCCCAAGACAGGACACGGCTATAGGCCGGCAGTGTTGCTAGCTCTCCGGCCCATAGCCATAGGAGAAGAGATCCTTTTCGACTACGATCCTGCACACGCGTACCTGACTGCCAAGCAACGTCGAGCAGTACCGTACTGGAAATTCACCTGTACATGCGCTGCATGCGATGACAATTATCCGCAAAGAGTTGAGAGCGACATGAGACGTGCCTTGTTACGCGGTCTGCACTATCTCATCCACCGAAGAGATGTCCCAGAATGTTCGCGCCTGAAGCCACCAGTCCTTCAGAATGCCACCAGCGGACGCCCGGATCCGAATACAATTGCCATGTGGCAGGCCATATCTGGATACATTGCTGAAGCAGAGGGACTAGCTATGCTGGCAATCTATTTCTTCTACGAAGCTCTAAAGATAATGATCAGCGTTTCCGGGAGCACAGCTGCTAGTAACCGAGGTCTCAAGCTCGCGGTTGTATGGGGTGAAAAGTTTCTGGCGATATCTGAAACGCTTCACCCTGACGCAGTCGAAGGAGTCGGAGCGGTTGAGCAGCTCATGGCTGTGTTCAAATCGATGATCGATGGGAAGACCTAGAAAAACTCTGAGAGATTACTAGTTGACAGCCGGATACAAATGTTCTACGCAACCGAGAAGTAGGATAGCGCACAAACTATAGCATATGAAGTAGCAGAGTTAGTGTATGTATGTAGATGCCAGCTTATTGATCTGTTCATACGCACATGTCTTCCAATGTATCGTGTAAAGCGAAAGAACGCCTTGCATACCCCACGAGAAAGGTAGTCATGCTACAGATTGGTGTGCCCCTGACCTGTAAAAGATGCAGTGTCTGCTCTCAGGATAGTGCCGCCACTCGCGCCTGACGCTTATAAGAACGTCTTTGCCTCGTGCTTCTCCCACATTAAGCTACCTCGTCGCTTCTTACTAAAATGGCAAGTCTCGATACATGCGACTTTCTATGTGGCGCAGTCGTGGATAGTGCCAGTCCAGCTTCAGGCTTAAATGTAGCAAGGACCTTGAGGCATTCGTGAGCCGTGCTATTCTTGCTATCTTGATCGTCGCGGCTACGAGTAGACAAGCTTGTAATGCATACTCGAGATGTGACTAGACAGCTCAGGAACACTGTGATGCGCTGTTTGGTAACCTAGGAGAAAAGGGGAACCTTGAAGGGTCTAGAAGGCTTTGGTTCATACCTTACAACTATAGTTTGTCTGGCCATGTATGCTGCTCAGCTTCTCTAGATAGCCTTCTATGACCTTGCGTGATTTGCACGACGGAGAATCACGAGGGAATATTTTCGAGCCAGGGGAAGAGATGTCGTTTGAGCCTGGAAAAGCTCCGTTGCTTGGGAATGTTCAGGCTAGCGAGTCATATAAAGTCACTAATTATATAGCCGTAGTCGTACTTTCAACGCGCAGAGGACCACATGGCATATTTCTCCACGCCATGTCCCTCGCCCCTATCCAGTGCTCCATCAACACACGAACTAGCTCAACAGCCACGCCTAGACCCCACAAAACCAGCCACAACCACGCTTCCCACCTAGTCCCGTACCACAAACGCCCTTTCTCGCTAATCTTGCGTGAATGGGGCGAAGGGCTTAACCTCACTGCCCGTTTGTTCACATACCAGCTGGTGCATTCGAACGCGTCTGGAAAAGCCTAGCTGCTGCGGCACAGTATTCATGTAGGCCCTTACAACATGGCATGGCGAAGCAAGCCACGTGCGCACCTGAAGGGACAGTAGTGGTATTCTCGAATGCGAAAGTCGATTGTAAGGTGTGATTCCCATACGAAGCCTCGGGCAATAGAGGGGGCTTGGGCTTAAGAGTGGTATTCTGCCCGCTGGAGTGGGTGGGTAGCGCTTGAGAGCATCCCGTCCCTTCAAGCACCACATAGCAGGATTCCTCCCTCTGGATAGTCATCAGTCGCACAAAATATAATCATGGGCTTCTTTTCGAAAACGTCGTCGCAGACCGCCTCGCTGGATGTCAAGCGCCCGACTCAAGCGCGTAATGACAGCCATCAAGACAGCACGGCGCCACCTGGCTGGTCCGCTCGCAGTGCGGATGGTCGGGTCTACTTCGTCGAGGAGAAGACAGGCCGTATACAGTTTGACAAAGCGCCAGATTCAAATGGCCAGGTGCATGGCTTACAGGCCGGACAAGCAGAGGGCAATCCACCACAGATGAGATTTGGCGGTTATCCTGGCGCGAGGGGGAGTGCTGCTGAGTACTACGATACCGGTATCGAGTTTGGTGATGCAAAGCCTAGTGCCAGTAACTTGGGCACCATCGCCATGACAGGGAAGGAAGGCAAGAAGGAGAAGAAATCGTCGGGATTGATGAGCAAGGTTCTTCTTGCTGGTGCTGCAGGAGCGGCGGGACTTGCTGTTGGCAAGGCTTTGGCTGGGAAGAAGGATAAGAAGGATAAGAAGGACAAAAAGAACAAGGGTAGGTGTGAGATTTATTTGGCCAGACTGATATGCGCTAATAACTCGATTACAGGAAAGAAGGACAAGAAGTATGAAACTGTGGTGGAAGATGACAGTGAGGACGGACTAGACGACGGCGATGAGAATTCGGAAGTCGAAGAGGAAGACTCGGAGGAAGAGAACGAGGATGAGGAAGTAGATGATACTGAGGATGACGAGGAAGAGGAGGTAGAGGAGGATGATGAGGAAGAAGAAATAGAGGATGAAGAAGGAGAGGAAGAAGAAGTAGAGGAAGCTGACGCTGACGCTGACGTTGATGTCGACGAAGCAGAGGAAGAAGACGATGGAGATAATGACGAAGAAGAAGACGAAGAAGAGGACGAAGAAGAGGACGAAGAAGAGGAAGGGGAGGTCGATGTTGAAGATGAAGACAGCTCAGATAGTGATTGATGTAGTATTCACTCGGAACGTTTCCTGTGTCCATGACTCAATATAAGAATCCCTACCTGCGCTCATGACAAGAACACCCTTCATCTCCACTATATTAGATGATAGTGATCTCTCATTATAGCCACAACCCGACCATGATGCGCCAAGCCCTTTGTTGCATAATATCACATCGAAGAAAAATACAAAGGTTCTCAGAATAACGTCATTCGGCAAGCCTATCAACAGATTAGATTTATACTTCATATTGTTAATTAGCCTTAGGTCAACCCACCTATAGCTAACGATCGTTTCCACTTTGTGATTACTTGTGCTGAAAGGTCTCAGCTTCACCTTTTCCCCGTTCTTGATTTCTCTCGCGTCACTGTCACCCCACTCGGCCGGAACCTCCGAATCTGCATCGGCGTATACCAGTACGTTGAATGTACAATCTGCGTCAAGCATAGGAAGAAAGCTCACAGAGGCAGTGATCTGGCGGAAGAGAGCTTGGATTTCCTGCTGTATCTCCTGGTCTGTCTTTTCGGGCTCGGCCTCTGCAGTCGCGCTACACAGATATTAACAACGAGATCATATCTTGATGTCTGAAAAGCTTACTCCCCACTGGAATTCTCTTTGTCCGTACTCTTCTTGGACGATTTCGATTTGGATGATTTCCCGTATATATTTACGTCGAATTGCCATCGCTCAACGTTCTCGCCTGTCTCTTTGCTTGTTATGACCACCACTAAACTCGAAATTTTGCTCCCGTACATCCAATCTTTCAATTGAGTCATGATCTTCTTGATATATGCCTTGACCTGATCATCTGCCGACACCATCATTGTCAAGCCGTATTTCTTGACCGCTGAGAAGTCCTCCGCGGGGTATACGCCTCGCTGGAACAGTATGGTATTGATTGAATATTCGAAGAACTCGGAAACGATTTTCGAGGACCCTCGCAGGGCTAATTTGTGAGTCTTGGCTTGTTCTTTTTTCGACGACATTGCTGTGATTGTCTCGGTCTGCTGAATGCGTGATGGAAGCTTCTTGAGCGTCACTATTACTGCTGTGTTTACACCCCTCTTGTTTGAAAATAGCCAGCGCCACCGGTTGATACTCGCGCAATGTGATGTTTCAGGGAATCGATGACAGCCTAGAGTTTCTAATTGCTGCAGTCTGTTATAGAAAGAGGCGAAGGAGGGTGTAAGTCCTTCTCATGATCATGTCCTGGCCTGACAGTATTCACCTCGGCGACGCCCGCTCCCAAGACAAACGCTCCGTGATAAGGAGCTTATCCCGAAATTTCATAGTTCTCATTTGCAGACCGTGCTTCCAACGTTGAGAGAGCATTTGCCAATGTCAACCCCATGCCATCATGTTCGGTGCCTGCGTATGGCTTTCTGCGTAGCTCAAGGCTCTTTACGACCGCGGTGAGGACCGCGACACTCCTCGAACGAGTCACACACCGGCGAACCTCCATACCTTTCCGATACTTTCGCGACGCGACTCGTCAGTATGCCACGTCGCATAAGGTTCAATCAGAACTCGAAAAGCGCATTGCAGCGATCCCGATCGAAAGATATCGCAACTTCTGCATTGTAGCACATGTAGACCATGGCAAGAGCACGCTTAGTGACCGTCTCCTCGAGCTCACTGGTACCATCAAACCGGGAGAAAACAAGCAGATTCTAGACAAACTGGATGTCGAAAGAGAACGTGGAATTACTGTGAAGGCTCAAACATGTTCGATGATCTACAATCATGATGGAGAGGATTACCTGTTGCACCTTGTGGACACCCCCGGCCATGTCGACTTCCGTGCTGAAGTATCGAGGAGTTATGCTAGCTGTGGAGGGGCTCTTCTACTCGTTGATGCAAGTCAAGGAATCCAAGCACAAACCGTTGCGAACTTCTATCTTGCTTTCGCGGAGGGTTTAACCTTGGTACCGGTTGTCAACAAGATAGACTTGCCATCAGCTGAACCGGAGAGAGCACTGGCACAAATGAAGGACACATTCGAACTAGACCCAGAGAGGGCAGTACTGGTATCTGCCAAGACTGGAATCAATGTTGAGGCCCTGTTACCTGCTGTCGTGAACCAGATTCCGGCACCCGTAGGCAAGACTGAGAACCATTTGAAATTCCTCCTGGTAGACTCTTGGTACGACAACTACAGGGGCGTCATTTTGCTTATAAGAGTGTTCGAAGGGGAAGTCAAGCCAGGTGATCACGTGCGATCCTTCGCGACAGGTATCAAATACATTGTTGGAGAGGTCGGAATCATGTACCCAGGACAGACTCCTCAGACAGTTTTGCGAGCTGGCCAAGTCGGCTACATATTCTTCAATCCTGGCATGAAGATATCAAAGGAGGCTAAAGTTGGCGACACATTCACACATGTTGGTTGCGAGAAATTGGTGGAGCCACTGCCTGGCTTCGTTGAGCCTCAATCTATGGTTTTTGTCGCAGCGTTCCCTGTCGACCAAGACAAACATGAGCATTTGGAAGATAGCATCAACCAAATCATGCTTAATGATCGCAGTGTGACAATCCAGAAGGAATCTTCCGAAGCTCTCGGAGCCGGTTGGAGATTAGGCTTCCTTGGAACATTACATTGCTCTGTGTTCGAAGATCGATTGCGCCAGGAACATGGAGCCTCTATCATCATCACCCCGCCCAGTGTTCCGTTCCAGGTTGTGTGGAAGGATGGGACAACCTCAACGATATCAAATCCCAATAATTTCCCGGATGATGAAACAAAGAAACGCCAGGTTGTTGAGCTTCTGGAGCCGTACGTCGCAGCTACCATCACACTGCCAGCAGAATATATTGGCACTTGCATTGAGCTTTGCGAATCAAACCGCGGCACCCAAGTAGATGTCAGCTTCTTCACAGCAACCCAAGTCATCTTGAAGTACGACCTTCCTCTGGCATCACTCGTTGACGATTTCTTCGGAAAGCTCAAGTCTGCCACAAAAGGATATGCATCACTCGACTACGAAGACGCTGGATACCGCACATCCAACATCACCAAGTTACAGCTACTCATCAATGGAGACCCGGTAGATGCGGTGTCTCGCGTCCTGCACCACAGTCAGACTGAACGCGTGGGCAGACGCTGGGTGGAAAAGTTCAAGCAGCACGTTGATCGGCAGATGTTTGAGGTCGTTATCCAGGCGTGCATTGGCAGAAAGGTCGTAGCGCGATCGAGCGTCAAACCCTTCAGAAAAGACGTACTGGCGAAACTGCACGCAAGTGACATATCCCGGCGAAAAAAACTCCTTGAGAGGCAGAAAGAAGGACGCAAGAAGCTACGCACGGTTGGAAACGTGGTCATCGAGCAGAAAGCATTTCAGGGTTTCCTTGCCAAGGACGCATAACACCTTGATGGTTATACATGTATATGGTCTTGATTTAATACTGTACACAAATTTTAGCGGAGTGTTGCTGTATAGATCTGTATATGTCAATGTTGCACTAGTCGATTGTGATGTCCTCGTGTGATCATTACGCTTCCTCAGATATTCTTCGGTTTCGACTCCGGGTATCCACGGTATTTGCCGTCCTCAACCTCATCGACGCCCTTCGCAGCGATGCCGGCATTCTTCGTCACGCCCTCCTGCTCGTTGAACGCGCCATCGACAGCCTGGTTAAAGTTGCCACGGATCGCTTCGCCGAGACCCTATACCCGTAAGCTGATGTGCTCACTATATCTACTTGCGTGATTTCTACGTACATGAATCTTGGTGGCGCCTTCCTTGATAGCTTGGCCGATGTTACCTCCTGTTTGACTTGCGCCGGTGGAGTGTGTGCCAGGGGCCGAGGCACCCGCGGTTGTGTTGATGTTGTTGGTGTTCGTTGACATCTTGGTATCACAGATAACTTGCTTGGATATGAGATAATATCGGTGAAGTTTTGGGCCGTGATATGGATGCGGGATACGTAGGCTCGTACTTGATAACCTCTTTTAGCTCGCATTCTTAAGGTTCTGGAACCCATCGTGTCTGGTGACGGGCACTGACGGCATCAATCATGATGACGTCGTTGGTCCTTGCTAACGCCAGCTCCATGCTGCACAGTATTTTGTCGTGCTATGAGTTTAGTGCACATAGTGGAGAACTTGCTCGAAAATATATCGCAGAGAATTGCATGAATGCATGTGATACGAGTTATCGTGTGCAACGGCTTTCCGTCGCATCCACCAGATGTGTTGGAGAGAACGATGGTCCGTGCGCCTGCATGCTTTAGATATCTATCGATGACTTATTAGGGTTATCAACAAGACCTCATTGGTCCTACACTTCACGTCCGAAAGATTTACCTCGCGAGGAGTTTCCCAGTTGCTATGATGGGTTTCAAGAATGCGATATTGAAGCGGATAGACAACTGAGGCCCACCAAGACATTCAGCACCTCAGAGGTAGAGCGACAAAGCGTGGAAGCACCTTTCTGCAGCACATTTCAGAGATTACAAGGATTGTCCTTGTAACCGTGAATTCTATGATCATCAGCCAGTCAGGACGCTCTTGTATGCCTTCAGAACCATCTGAGCTACGCAACGGCCTGGCGAGCCACAATATGGCATTAACACACATCGTTGTAGAGGAAGTGTTATGGAAACCAATATACTTAATAATATATACTTTATACACCTGATTCTATAAGCACAGAAAATATGGTAAATATGTCGAGTATGAACATGGTACCGACACTGTATCAATACTCTCATTGGCAAGATAGATCACATGGACGAGAAAGATAACTTTTAGCTTGTCTTTCTGCCCAAATCTAACCTCCAGAATTGCCCTCCACCATTTGTGCCCAACAAATGACACAATAATATTGGACATACACCTCAGTTGCCGTCAAGGTCGCCATCAATGATTGGGACGAACTACTTGAAGGCGGAGCATATTTGGGCGATCGGCGCTCGTCCGACTGGACAAGCGACGTTCATACTTGCTTTCAACATACTAATACTGGACATCGAGTCATGGGCGACCTGCACGGACATGGATGTGAATAACGAATCTGGAGTGGCATTTTAGCGGGGACAGGGATCTGTATGCAATTGATGATGATTTGGGCTATCCATGATTGTGATATCCGCATACAGCGTCGCATGGTGGACTGATGCTTGCGAAGAATGATCGCGCGATATGTGCGTTGAATCTTAATGTTCAACAGGTGTATTCAGGCTGCTTTTTGGTGAAACGGAGAGGACTTTGGCGCAGAGAGGCGCGCAATACGGCTTTAGAAACTCTTGTAATAACTGAACTCACAGCCTTCCAAAAAACGAATGTTTGAAGGGTTGTCGACTAAATCATCGTACGCTTTTGGACTGCTCTGGCAGCTTGAGTTCCGTAGAGTGAGCATCCTGGCTAATCCGTCCGGGTTCATGTGCCGGATCTCTATTCCGGACCTCGGTTGATCTCGGAGGTGACCCGAAGCCATCGAGTCGTCGTGTCCTCAAGCCAGCATCCATCCCAGTCACACAAGAGTTTGCAGAGACGAAGGATTCTCATTTTGCGACCATGCCCATCCCGTCGCGGCTGCCAAGCTGAGGTCGAGAGGGGTGCCGTTGAACTAGTGTCCCCTGACGGCAGAATTCACAGCAACACAGGATCTCCAAGCATGTACGATGCTCCGTCAGGTCTGGACCGAAAGATGCGTTTCACTCCATCATTGATCGATATACTCGGCTAACGGTGCCCTATCCGTCATACTTCCATTCAGCCTGTGGAGGTCTTTCTTCGACTGGGGCGCTATCCGATAGCGACCACGCCGCGCCGTCAATACCCCGCCTTCATGGTCTTCGTGACCTGAAGACGAAAGTTATATAGACTGATGAGGGCTCTGGTAATGTAAATGATGGTGTTCTTCATCTTTGACGAGAGCAATTGATACGCTCATCTTTCGGCAATATCACAATACCACAATATGACGGCCAAACCAACCATTATCTTTGTTCCTGGGGCATGGCACTTGGCAAGTGGGTATGACGCAGTTATTGCAGAGCTCAAAGATGCGGAATACGATGCGGTGAAGGTAGAGCTCCCGTCTATCGGGGTCGAGCCAGGTCTTCAAACATGGGAGAAGGACGTCGAAAGCGTGCGTTCAGCAATCAGCAAAACCGTTGAAGCCGGCAAAGATGCAGTACTAGTCGCTCATTCGTATGGTAGTATGCCAGCGAACGAAGCCGTGAAAGGCTTCGAGAAGACGGCTAGACAGGAGCAAGGAAAGAGTGGCGGAATAATCAGTTATGTATATTGTACTGCCTTTGTGCTACCGGAGGGCCTGTCGCTCATTGATGCACTTGGAGGAAACGATCTCCCCTGGTGGAAGAAGTCGCAAAATGATACGATTGTCGAACCAATCGATCCGGCTACAATATTTTACAACGACCTAAATGCGGAAGCCCAGAAGAACTGGATTAGCAAGCTAAAGACTTTCAGCTATCGGATGTTCTATCATAAGTCAACATACGCAGCATGGCGTCACCTACCATCTTGGTATATATACTGTACGCTCGATAATGCGATCCCTCATCCAGTACAGCAGAGCATGGTTCAAGGAACAGGTGTCAACTTCCGGAGCGTTACTCTCGAGGCCAGTCACAGTCCCTTTTTAAGCAAGCCAAAGGAGACAGCGTATGCTATTCGCAATGCTGCTGGTGAGAATGTTTGACGATGGTGCGGTTGTGAGAGATGAGATACCCTGGAGGTTGTAAACAGAAATCCTTATCTTAGTTTTTACTTTACGGATCCCTAATGGTTGAGCTGAATGTGTTAGACATCTGTTCGTCACTGCAATGAAAATGTCTATACGGGTTCTTACGCAGTCCGCACCCATAAGTGATTCAACTTTTACACAACCTGGAAAACCATAAATGAAGAGATGTGGGACTAGGTCGATGCTGCGATTGCGGGGATTTCGAAGAGTTGACCTTTACAAGTCTAACTCAGAGCAGTTTAGCTTGAGTTAATATCTATAGCACTTAGCGTTGCTCGTTACTTACAAAGAGTGATACTCGATATAATAATTTCAATCAGACTTGAGCTTGCAGTAAAAATATTCCACAACTCTCTGATCTTTTGGACATACGCTGGTGAAAGCTGCGTCTTCTCGTCTAGAAGAATATAATATGCTCAAGTGCTATTCGTGACGCAGAAAACTGACCAACCTGTCGCTGCAGAGTTCTTGCCCAGGCTAGTTTCTTGTATGCGAAGTCTCGAAAGCCAGACTCATGGTCTAGTCTACAGTCGCCGGGCAACTGCTCTATATGCTAGTCAAGAGAGTCTAATACTTGCTCTCAGCGGTATCGATATTGATGAAACCATCGGCTATCACCCAAAGGCAGCATCATTTTTCGTCATCCACGTTTTCCACCTCCAGGCGTTTCAGAAAGCCCTTCGTGAAACGAACCATCTGTTCGTATGCAATCGTGAAGCCATCCTTCCCACCATAATAAGGATCGGCGACTTCTTCGCCCTTCCGCCCACCGAAGTCACCGAATAGCCTAAGCTTTGCGAGCTCCCCATCCGGATTTCCATCTTTTACTAGCTTGTTGCGCATGCGTTGTAAGAAGTCCAGATTATCGTCGTCCATTGCCATGACGTAATCAAAGGTCTTGAAATCACTGGGCTGGAACTTGCGAGCGTGGTGTCTGTACCCAGTGATACCGTTGTCTGCGAGTGTGCTCATGGTTCTCGAGTCTGGATCGTCCCCAACATGGTAGGCACCTGTTCCGGCGGAGTCGATGTGACTGATAAGGGGATGCTGCGGTCGGGTAGTTTTTGTGAGGTGTTGGAATACACCTTCAGCCATGGGCGAACGACCTGGTACACTCTGGAATTAGCTTTTCGTATGGTCTCAAGGAGTTTCAAAGAGCAGAAAGATATGTGGTGGATCATACAGATGTTTCCTAGACAAACAAAGACCACTGATACCGGCCTCCGGCCTACGCTGTCTGATCCCCTGGGTGCCATTTCGAGATGACCGGAAAAGTGGACCCTCTGTGTAGAAGAGAACAGTGAAGTTAAAGGTTGCGTTTATCGAAGTAGGCGGGGTGGTGCGTGCAGCGAAGCTGCGGTACATGGATGGTATTAGTGCTAATGCCATCACCCGCTTTGAGTGCTGATCTTCCGGACAAACATTGCGTGTCTATTGGGGCTCAGCTTGCACTATAGTGGGGATTCCAGCTGTATGTATCATTAGAGAGGAACCTGGGAGCCTTATTTGTGTCCCGAGACGCTTCATGCCTCAGGCCGTAATAGAGTCCCAGCGGACGACGCTAGCCAATCCTCAACCTGGAGCACTGTTATGCGCCACTTTACTCTACTAGAGCATGCGCTCGTCTTTAATACTGGTCATGAATGCTCAGGTCCGTCAGCTTTAAAGCCACGCATCCTCAGACCAAAGCAATGCAGATCTAGAAGTACGCCACGGCGCAATTCCCACAGTCCAATCTAAGAATTGTACACTCTGCTTGATCGTCTTGAGCCCACCGTACCGTACCATCGCGGACCATGGGGGAGAAGTGTGCCGTCAAAGTTTGGAGAACGTTTCGAGTCTCTGAATAGAGAACAGGGCTGCAGAGCCTTGTCGACGAGCAAAGCCATCGTCTGAACGACTGTGCCGGTAGTGATTAGGCATTGTTACCGTCATGATAGACTAGACATCCCGTAATTGGGCGGTGAGGCGACATAAAGAGCTGGTGTCGCGTCGATTGAGGCTGTGGAGGACCATTTAAAGATGCACGGCGCGCAGTGGATCTTCTGGACCCCTGCTGAATCCCTGTCGTTGCTTGGCTAACAGTTGAGCGCGCTGCTACTCCATGCGGGCGCGCACGCACGTACAACTGCACGACTCCAACTCTTACTTATCACCAAACTCTCCGCAGCCTTTCTCTTGACCATCTTACTCGCTAGCATTATTTTCGCTACCTTCTGCTAAGAACCATCCGAATTGCGACCATCGTTCTAACGTCTGCTAAGCATACACTTACGGGAATGGTTCGCAGCGCAGCGCTTCACTAATCCTGAAACAGACCAGCTTGGTGGTTCATTTTATCTTACGTCTCCTTCAACGAGCCCCTGCTCCTTCACGGCCAAAAAACACGCTGCACGATCTGCACGCGGTGATTATCGCTAGGAAGTGCCCAAGATATAGATTGTCCGTAGCCTTCCTTACTCCTCATCATGTCTTACAATCGCGTCGGTACGTGCCTCACTCTCTTTGTTTTCTCTCCCCGTATGACGGCACAGCCTCCAAGAAAACATTTCGCACACGAGACCCTTGTGCATTCTTGTGCATGGAGCTACACTCTAGCCGGCAATAGCATCGAGCTATACACTCACTCCCTTTTGCGATCCCTTCATCCATTCATTTGTTTTGCTAACCATATCTTTCTCCCTAGGCTCTGCGGAGGACTATCACCCAACAATGGATCCACGCCAACACGATGGCCGCTCGCCTTCTCCAGGTCGCCCCTTGCAAAGCTACCAGCTTGAAGACCGTCCTTATATGCCTCAAGAACCTCCACTAGAGATCCCCATGGGTCCTGGGACGCCTGGGGATAGGTTACAGGTACAGCCAACAGTGAGTAGCATGGCGCAGCGACAAAGTGAGGTCGACAAATCTTAACAACATTTCTGTAGTATTCAGTCGAGAATGTCAGCAACACATACGGTCATAACGAGCAATATAATGACGACCACCACTACTCACCTCACCAATACCGCCCGAATAACGACTACGCCCTCTCACCCGAAGAGCACCACGATGCTTATTACAATCAGTCTTACAATCCCGCGCCGCATGGGGGCGATCCTTATTGGCAGGACGATGATCACCGTCCTATGTTGCAACCAGACAACGCATACGGGCCTGATCCTCATTCAGGACTGAGTCCTCATGATCACCCAGAAAATCCATTTCAGGATGAGCCACGTCCTACACCAAGTCCGGCGCCGATCAAGAGATGGAAGACGGTCAAAGAGGTGCAACTGTTCAAGGGCAACCTTGTGCTCGACTGTCCGATTCCACCAAGACTGCTCAATCAAGTTGAACATGCGCAACCTCCCGAGCGTGACGAGTTTACTCACATGAGATACTCTGCTGCGACGTGTGACCCAGCCGACTTCTACAACGAACGTTTTACTTTACGCCAGAAACTGTTTGCCAAACCCCGCCACACCGAGCTATTCATCGTTATAACCATGTACAACGAAGAGGACGAACTCTTCGCACGGACTATGATGGGTGTGATAAAGAACGTGGAGCATATGAATTCGCGCAATCAGAGTAAGACTTGGGGTAAAGATTCTTGGAAGAAGATTGTGGTATGTGTCGTAAGCGACGGTCGTGCGAAGATAAACCCTCGCACTCGTGCTCTTTTGGCTGCTATGGGTGTATACCAAGACGGTATTGCCAAGGAGGCTGTGAACGGCAAGGCAGTGACAGCGCATATCTACGAATACACGACGCAGATGAACCTGGAGATCAAGAAGGGCATAGTTAACGTCAAGAAGGGGAACACACCCGTGCAGATGCTATTCTGCTTGAAAGAGATAAACCAGAAGAAAATCAATTCGCATCGCTGGTTCTTCCAGGCATTTGGTAGTGTTCTGGACCCGAATATCTGTGTCCTGATCGATGCTGGTACCAAGCCAGGAAAGGACTCAATTTACCACCTCTGGAAGGCTTTCGATTTAGAGCCAATGTGCGCGGGCGCCTGCGGTGAGATCAAGGCTATGCTAGAGCACGGCAAAAAGCTACTCAATCCTCTTGTCGCGACACAGAATTTCGAATACAAGATGAGCAATATTCTTGACAAGCCTTTGGAGTCAGCTTTTGGGTTCATCTCCGTTCTTCCGGGAGCTTTCTCAGCATATCGCTATGTGGCTCTGCAAAATGACAAAAGTGGAAATGGCCCACTCGAGAAGTATTTTGCGGGCGAGAAGATGCACGGTGCGAATGCTGGTGTATTCACAGCCAATATGTATCTGGCAGAAGATAGAATTCTGTGTTTTGAGCTGGTATCGAAGCGCAATTGCCACTGGATCCTACAGTATGTCAAATCGGCTACGGGTGAAACGGACGTCCCGACAGAGATGGCCGACTTCATCCTTCAGCGTCGACGATGGTTGAATGGTAGTTTCTTTGCTGCAGTATACGCTCTTGCCCATGCCCTTCAAATATTCAGGAGTGGCCACTCCTTCCTCAGGAAGATGATGTTCTTGGTAGAATTTTTCTATCAAACCGTTAGCATGATCTTTGCTTGGTTTGCAATTGTAAGAAAGCTCTTGATTTGCGAAAACTGCCTCATACTGATATGCTTTAGGGTAATTTTTTCTTGGTATTCCACATCCTAACCAACTCTCTCGGTGACGATGCGTTTTTGGGCACTGCCGGCCGCATATTGGCTGTTATCTTTGAATGGACTTACATCGCTGTCCTCATAACTTGCTTCATACTGGCCCTCGGTAACAGACCTCAAGGGTCTAACAAGCTTTATATGAGCATGGTGTACTTCTGGGTCATCATCATGGCGTAAGTCGACGTTGTGCGCAACTCCTATAGGCTTTAATTACTGACACTGATAGCTATCTCATGTTCGCGTCGATCTTCATAACCGTAAGATCCATTCAAGAGGAAACCAAGGATGGCAGTTTCAAGTTCGGTGACATCTTCACGAACCCTTTATTCTACACTCTAATCGTCTCCCTTCTGTCGACCTACGTCCTCTACCTGCTCGTATCCTTTATATTCTTCGACCCGTGGCATATGTTCACATCATTCTTCCAGTACCTGCTCCTGACGCCAACTTATATAAACATCCTGAACGTCTACGCATTCTGTAACACCCACGATATCTCATGGGGTACTAAAGGCGATGATAAAGCGGAAAAACTACCGTCAGTCACGGTCAAGGCGGATGGTAAAGCAGATATCTCTGCACCTACAGATGATGCTGATCTCAACTCTCAATACGAGAAGGAATTAAGACAATTTGCAACAAAGTATGAGGCCCCCAAGAAGATCCCGACGCCCCAAGATAAGCAAGAGGATTACTACAAGGGTTTCCGTTCAGTTGTTGTTTTGTTGTGGATGTTCTGCAACTTAGCTCTCTGTGCTGTTGTCCTTCAAACAGGGGGCTTAGAGATTACTGTGTCAACCGGGGAAGACGCAGATGCAGCTCAACAGAGGAAGGCCACGCTCTATCTTGCCGTTATTCTTTGGAGTGTAGCAGGCCTCAGCGCCTTCAGATTCATCGGTGCCATGTGGTTTTTAATCGTTAGGATGGTAAGCTACACAATCGGAACACTCGGGAATTTTTCACTAACCTAGGATTAGTTCCGCGGTGTATAGTTCATGATGTATGAGTCAATGCATTTGGAGGTGATATCGGTTTGTTCTTAGATACCAATGGTTTGCGTATCATTTCCTTAGTCTTTACGTTCCAGACAGCACGAAATGATATATCATCATGTTCCCAATGAATGTGTCAGTTTCCATCTTAGGCCGGACCCTTGCTTATCTCCTCGCAATTTCAAGTGAATTCGTGCGCGGGTAGTTGCTTAATCCGGTTGTTGACGTCGCGAACGCGTTTACCGAAGTAGGGCCTGACAGGAGTTCCGTTTCATTAAATTCAATTTCACCTTACGCTCACTAGGCCCTTACCTTCACATCTCCCTCAATAAATCTTCCTTTGAAAGTCCTTCAACTTCTGATGCACCGCTTTAAAACTGTCATTACATCGCTGCAATTTTAGGTAAGAGCCTTTCTTCGTCCTCTCTCTGCTTTGGAGGGTCAAATCGCTCTCTTTGTGCAGAGTGCACATTAATCAGGGCTGACAGTGCCTTCCAGGCGCGCACTGGCAGATCTGAAATCAACCTGACCTTCTTCCTCGCCCTCGTCCGCCAATTTTCACTCTTGCAACACGTTCTTCCTTTCATTATGTCCTGGCAACACGACACCGGTATGTTGCTCACTCTCCTCAGTGGCAGATGAATACCACTAATCCGACATGTAGGTGATTCCTGGACTGCTGATGTTGGCGCTGGAGGTGACACCTGGACTGCCGATGCCGGCGGTGGCGGCACTAATGGCTTCGACAGCGGCAATACCAATGGCTTCGAAAGTGTCAATAACAATGGCTTTAGCGTCGGTGGCACTGACGTGACTTGTCGCAAGTACGCTTCATAGCTCTCACGCTCATGTGGCCCGAAGCTAACATAGAATTCCAGCTGCAACATGGAAGGCCACTTCAGTCGTGACTGTCCTGAACCAAAACAAATGACTGGAGAATGCTTCAACTGCGGTGAGGTCGGGTAAGTACGGGAAGCTCCACCCCCAAAGTAATTGTGCTAAACTCAAAACCTAGTCATACCAAGCAGGACTGTACTAATCCTAGGGTTGAACGTGAGTTCACTGGTACATGCAACACTTGTCAAGAGGTCGGTCACCGCGCCGGGGACTGTCCTACCAAGCCGAAGTTCTGCAAGAATTGCCACTCGGACCAGCACAAGACTGGTGATTGTACCGACAAGCGTAAGCTCGTATGGTATGATGTCCCTGATGTTGAGCCCGAGGTAGCTTGGCAGTTGATGATGAAAGCGGACAAAGAAAGAGATCTTGATGACTTTAAAGGCGTATGTTCATTCAGATCTCTGAAACAGCAAAGCGCAAACCTAACATACAGTTCTAGGCACTCAAGGCCTACGGTATGAAGGTTGAAGATTTCAGCTTTGCTGACATCGAGATGGCCCTTCGCGATGCCGCTCAACACAAAGAGGGCGGTAACATATTCTTGATTGGCCTGGAGCGCGAGATCCCGAACACTTTCACTCTTGTTGACCTCAAGGGCAACACTGGAAAGAAATACTCTCTTGGCTTCTACTTCAGTGAAAAGCCACGTCGTCGAAACGCTGGAGAGGGCTGGCCAAAGACACCCGAAGACAACTTGGAACGTCTCAAGGATGCCGGTTTCCCGATGGATGCCCTGGTCATCAAGTGTGGTCGCTGTGCAGGTATGCGATTTCTCATATCAATCACAGCCTTCCACTGACTATCGTCTACAGAGCTCGGACACATAGCCAAGAATTGCAAGGAAGAGAAAGCCTCGACCGCTGTTGAGATCAGCTGCGCCCTGTGCTCTGAAGTCGGTCACCGCGCCCGCGACTGCACCCAGCCGCGCGTTGACCCTAATCTTTGCAGGAACTGTAAGCAGCCTGGGCATAGATCGACCGACTGCACTGAGCCGCGATCTGCGGAGAACGTACAGTGCCGCAAGTGCGAAGAGTGTACGTACTCATCTTGCGCTTCGTTGAACACTTATTAACGACACCAGATGGCCATTTCTCGAAGGACTGTCCAAACGCCCCTGCTCGCGACAATAATTGTAGGAACTGTGGTGAGGAGGGACATATGGCTAAAGAATGTGATAAACCGAAGAATCCCGACAACGTAACTTGCAGGAACTGCGATACAATGGGCCATTTCTCGCGTGACTGTCCTCTGCCTCGGGACTACTCCAAGGTACAGTGCTCCAACTGCCAAGAATGTAAGTGTCGATGGGACTTTTGACGAGTGTGTTCCTTACTAAATGTGGGCAGATGGTCACACCAAGGTTCGCTGTAAGAAGCCCGAAGCCGGCGGCAGCTTTGGTGGTGGGTATGACAATCTTGTTGAAGGAGCCAATGCGCCTACTGCTCCCATCACAGGTGAATGGAACGATGGTGGTGCTACTGCTGACAACTTTGCGCCTGCTGGTATCGCTACCGGTGGGTGGTAGATTGGTTATTCCATCCCTGTATGACGCACATCACACCAAAGCATAGCTATCGGCAGTCAAATTGGCCACATGTGGACAAGATGTGGTGGACAGATAGATATATGGAGTTTCGGGTATCACAGGCAAAACACAAGCTTCACAGGATCACAAAGGCAAGGCTTTGGGGTCAGAAACTGGATGCAAAAAAGAACTGCGAAAGCGCAATGTAATCAATGCTAGAGCTAGTTTCAGTAAGCCTAGATATTGAAGCATAAGAATGAAGGTCTCAAACTATGATGATGGTCTCGAAGCGATTCTGTTCACCACAACTGTCACCTCCCATATCTCTTGGCAGAAAAGGCCCCGAGTGCGTTCCTCCGGAAGTCAATCAGTGATCCATTCCTATCGTTTCAACTGAAGAAGAACTTGCTATCGTGTCCAACACTCAACGTCCGTCATTAATATAAAGACTGAAGTCTGCTCAGTAAGTAATCCATGCTTCCAGCTTTGCTGGACAATAGCTTCTTAGTGCATGGAGACAAGTCGATCGACATAACAGGTTGCCTCGAGAAAATTTCACTATCCAAGCATGTCAGTAAGTAAAGATTACCTTGTCATTTGACGTTATAGTTCGTGGTACTTATGGTTTTCTGGTAATGATAAGCCCATATGTCTCTAGGCTTAGTAAAACTTAAAGAGTCCGGGTTCCACTTTGCACTGCAACTTGGTTCTGATCAGAACTGTGAGGCAAAGCGAACCTTGAGTGGTCGTATGATTAATATATGCGCCAAAACTAGAGATCGTAACATATCGAAAGGCTTTCTTGTTCATTTTTTACATTGAGTCACCCAGAAGAGTCAAGGGCGCGTATTAATCTTGATCGCACGACCTGCTCATGAATTTGAACGTTCGGACATTGGGGCTAGTAGAGGCCTAGGTGGGGCGGAATTGCCTTTTTGGGAAAGCCGTGACTCGAGTTTGGACAAACCGTACTTCGTATCTTACACATTGTGTCAGGTTGCTGTAGGCTGCTGTATGCGAGTAAATCCAAGTTTCTGATCAGTGGATTGAGAGCTTTCGCATGTCAGATTCGTTCCACCCACAATGAAGCAGAATTCCTAATTTGGCTGTGCGAGGTGAGGCTTGAATCCTTAGTAGCACTTTTCCTTCCCGATAGCTGTGTTCGAGTTCTAGCGATCGTAAGTAGGATTTCTGTTCAAGTCTCTGGGCACAGAGGATGTGTATAAATCTTGTAATCTTGTCTAGGACCGAAGCCCACGATACCCCTGCTACGATATAGTCCGTGCTCGTCGACTACGAGGCTGAATCCCACGTTCTGCGGTGGCCCTATGTCTTCTTTACACAACATACGATACGTGCAGCAGTCAGTGTAAGGAGTGCGTCGTCTCTTGTCTTATGATGGAAGAACAACGGAACATCGTACGGCTAGACACCGGGTATTTCCACATCCCCATGGGTTCTAATTGCATTGCCGGGGAAATAATGGAGAGGGTCAACTGCCTCCCCACAGCGACCAGCAAGGAAGCCCACGACTCGAACCGGACAGGCTGCGGCTCGCAGAGTAGTTCGGCCTTGGTGGTATAACAACATCTCAGCGCAATGAAGAGATATATCGCATCGAGTCAAGACTCATGGCGTTGAGTGCGCCATTCTGGTTCTTCTCATGGGCATGTTGATCTGTTCTTCGTGCTTTCCATGCTTGAGTGCCAAGCTCTCAGCTGCCGACTTTCTGCTGCCTTGAAGAGGTTAGAAGCTGGCTAATAGAGGCTTATAGGAAACAAATTAGAAGCGCTCGAGGGGCCAAAGTGCGCCAGGAGGCTGGGAAATAGGGCCGGATTACCGAATGAGGAAATGCGAGTAAGCAAAAGTCCTGCGTCATTGGCAGGTCGGCCGATTTCGAGAGAGATCGGCGGGACTCCACTCTCTCCACGCATTAAACATCTGCTTTTCCTCCACTTAATACCGTGAAATTCGAGATGACCAATGAGAAACCGTTGGAGAAGTTCCCGGCGCTGGCCGTTGCACCAATTCATGTTCGACTACCGTTAGTTTGTTATAAAGTCTTCTCGGCTGCCTGTCTAATCTTGACAATATAACACGAACTTTGTACTTTGTGTCGTCGGGATACGTGTTTCCCTGGGCGAGATATTCGAATTTGTGCGCGCCTGACCACCGATAACACCACTATCGAGTCCACCTCGAGTGCAGACACAAGACCCACAGCATGGGCTTGTTTCCCAAGTACCTCGGCCTTCGTGGTAACCGACTCAATGTGGCCATTGGTGTCATTGCCGGTTTGGACTTTTTGTGAGTGTGATCTTCGAACACGAAAGTATCTCAAGTTCTATACTGACGCTAGACAGCCTCTTTGGATATGATCAGGGTGTAACGGGTGGCTTACTTACACTGGGGTCCTTCCTACGCCAATTCCCCGAGCTCAACGTAAACGCTGTTCCAGAAGGCCCTGAGCGTGATCATGCTACGAACATCCAAGGTATCTCGGTCGCGTCCTACAACGTCGGTTGCCTCTTCGGTGCTATCGCGTGTATCTGGATTGGAGATATGCTTGGTCGCCGAAAGACCATCTTCCTCGGTTCCACAATCATGGTCATCGGTGCTGCATTACAATGCTCTGCATTCGCACTGCCACATTTGATTATTGGCCGCATCATTACAGGTCTTGGGAATGGTCTAAACACATCCACCGTCCCAACTTGGCAATCTGAGACGTCCAAGAGCCACAAACGAGGGCAGATGGTGATGATCGAAGGCGCTCTCATTACAGGAGGTATCTGCTTGAGTTACTGGATAGACTACGGCTTCTCTTACCTCGAGCCTAGTTCAATCTCGTGGCGATTTCCGCTTGGGTTCCAGATCGTTTTTGCTCTCTTAATCCTCGTCTTCATTCTCGAGCTTCCTGAATCTCCTCGATGGCTGATTCTGAAGGGTCACGAAGAGGAAGCTCAAAATGTGCTGGCAGCCCTTAGCGATCTTCCAGCTGACGACCCGTACATCCAGACTGAGTTCGTTGCGATCAAGGATACTGTCCTTGAGATGGCTAGCGCTGGTTTCAAGGATGTGTTTACCATGGACCGCGATCGCCATTTCCATCGCGCGGCTTTGGGCTACGTTAACCAGATGTTCCAGCAAATATCAGGAATAAATCTAATATCTTACTTCGCTAGTTACATTTACGAAAATCAGATTGGGCTTTCGCCATCACTCGCTCGTTTGTTGGCTGCTTGCAATGGCACTGAATACTTTGCGGCGTCCTGGATCCCAGTCTTCACGGTGGAGAAGTTTGGCCGTCGACAGCTCATGCTGTTCGGTTCCGTTGGCATGGCTGGCACTATGGCGATCCTTGCTGGAACTGCGAGTCTGCCAGGGAGTGGTCCAGGTATTGTGACTGTCGTTCTTGTAAGTTTTCATAAAATGGATCTATGTGGGAATCATTCTAATCCCCCTCCAGCTATTCGTCTTCAATACCTTCTTCGCCATCGGCTGGCTTGGGATGACATGGCTGTACCCTGCCGAAATCGTGCCTCTTCGCATCAGAGCCCCCTCAAATGCATTAAGTACTTCAGCGAACTGGGCCTTCAACTTCATGGTTGTCATGATAACACCGATCTCCTTCAACTCCATAGGCTACCAGACCTATATTATCTTTGCTGCCATGTAAGTCCCTACTAATTCTCCTTCCAGTAAAGGCGGACTAACACATTCTCTAGAAATGCTGCTATTATCCCTTGTGTCTACTTCTTCTATCCCGAAACCATGGGCCGCTCCCTCGAAGAAATGGACGCCATCTTCCACAAGTCTAAATCTGTCTTTGACGTTGTTGCCATTGCACGCAATGAACCGCGCCGCTATGGTAAGAAAGGCGAGTTGCTTATCAACTACGAGGAGACAGAGGAGTTCCAGGCACAACAGCGCAGGCGCAGTAGTGTTATTGGTGGTAGCGGTGCGGATCGTGAGAAGCAGCACGTGTAACAGAAGGAGGGGTCTGATAATTCTGTATGAAGATGCAATGACCAGGCGTTTTTGAATGGGCTGTCATGTTCTGCGTTGCCGGCTTGAGCCCTCTTGCGATGTTTTGAAGTTCAGGGCGCACTATGTTTTGTTGATAGTAGCTACGAGATGTAGCATGCCGAATATACCCCAGATTTACCTTTTCGATTACGTCTAAATAAGTTTCATATATCTCGTTTCGATGGCGTAGAGATCGTCAATTCATACACTATGTGTTGAGTGCCTATATTGTATTGTTAGAATCGGTATCTCCTTTTCACTAACAGAAGCAGTGCAGCCACGAAAGTGACGGTACAGATAATCTGGTCCTTCAGTATAAGCGGACGGAGCTTCAAGCTAGAGTCTCGTGTTTCTCATCTGTCCTTCTTTCCTACCCTTAATCCCAAGATTCTCACAGTATCAGCTTGAAGTGAACTTCCCCTTCAATGGTTTTTCGACTGATGGAATGAGCTTAGGTGCAACATACGCTCTTTTTACAGTAGTCCCCAGTCTCCTACGGTACACAGTTCGTACGAGATTTGCTAATCGACTAAGTCTCAATTCCAATTTTTAATAACTTGTTACGTGGATTCCGGGTTGGACGTTCAGGGACCAACAATTCTACCAATTGGTCTTAGTAATAGAAAAACTTAACTGATTAACGACCACTAGCTTCGTCGATCATATATACCTAATACCACTACAGAGACGTCGTCCCTGCCATTTCCAAACGATGTATTAGCAGGCCTGAGTCTCCATAGGCGATAAGCCGATGTATAGCTAGCTTATTGCCGTCCCATATGGAGGGTATCTCCTTCTAAAACCTCTAATATCATTGGAAATGACCATCGAAGAACGAAGAAGGCTCCCATAAATACATAGCCAGGAGCAATATTAGAGGGTTCCCTATACGGCGGTTGTAGTCGATAGCAATGGGACCCTCAGACACTAATGCACAGTCATGGGTTTGATTTCTGATCGCTGCAGAAAGCTTGCGACAGTCCTCCCGTGGCTCGCGTCTGCGTCTAAATGGGAGGCCTCTATGCTATGTCAAATGGATCTATATCATGACATGTCTAAGTAAGTATCACTTCAAGTGGCCGAGGAGCAAAGAAGAAATTTTAATTAATACCACCTAGCTAAAGAAGAAGGAATGTACACTATCATTGGAAGTCGGATGCAGGTGGGGCCCGGATAGGAATCCATGGAATTAAGAAGGCACCGGCTGTCTAGCGCCTAGAACTCATCCTATATTCCAGTACTGTTGATTGGGGTGGTTGCAAGGAGTGAATAAATACCCTCTGCCAAAAATTCCTTCATCCTTGGAAATTTCTTTTCACACAACCAGGATATATTTTTCTTTGCCATTGCCTTTACGATCTCTTTTTCTATGCCCCCTATCTTGGTTAAAGCTCATCAATACATTGTGCTGGATTCTGTTTCATGAGCTGAGCGTTTCTCCATTCGTTTTCTCAACACAACCGAAACAAAGCTTTTCCTCGCGCGCGCTGTGAAACGCGTTTCCTGACAGACGAGAAAGCATGCCCAGCGAGCTGAGGGAGAAGTCGGGTCTGCATTTCTTGCAGCTGCCGGCCGAGATCCGTAACAATATTTACGAACATGCACTCGTGTCTTCCGAGCCTGTTCGTGGCGACGTGAAGCCACACCGAAACAATCTCGCACTCAAGATTCTCCGTCTGAACTGCCAGATCTGGTGTGAAGCAAATGTCATGCTGTACGCCCGGAACGTCATCGATATCTCGCATATAACCAGCTGTGTCGAGTTTGGGAACCTGTTGACAGGCATGGGCGCTTTTAATGTCTGTCTCCTCCGCCATATCAGGATCCCGTTTCCAAGGATCCACCACTATTCTCGTGCCGCTTTCCAGGATGATTATCGCTGTGCGCTCTCCGGAAGTCCGTTCATCCACTTCGACCTCTCCATTCTTGCCAATCTGGAGACAATCACATTCGCTATCGAGTCGTCAACCCTTGCGAATAACGAAGTCGACACATACGATCTCGTCGAGGTCATGCGTCCTGAGATCATCGAGATGAATGAATCATTCCGGAGATCTCCTCGCCTCAGGGAAATCGTCATGGAAACCCACCCTGATCATGTGAGCGAGGAGTGGCGGCAGGTCTTGGAAGGTTGCGGATGGGTGATTAAGGAGGTCTTGTTTCCATTCGAAGATTCTCACTCTGAGCTGTCTTCAGACGACTCTTGTACTGATGGGGAATCGTCTGATGAGGGTGATTCCGCCGACGAAAACGATCTCCAGCATGCTAGGTACGAAGACGACAGCGATCCCCAGCATGCCAGGAACGACGATAACGACTGGGTACCTTACGACGCCCTATGAAAACACTCCCTGTCATGCGAGAACTGCATTACACGTTATAGACAAATCCTGTTTAGTCGTGTTTAATTCATGTAATCGCTGATAGCTACGGCAACCTCGCAGATGCTCATGGACACACCCCTGAGGCCATAGTTGTACACCGCCAAACACTCCCACACTGGCGTCCTCTCAGATCCTGGTTTTCTCGGTACCCATATGACGGAAACAAGACTTCTACAAGCAGGAACTAAATGAATAGAGCAAACCTCTTTCACGATCTATTGGCGTTGAGTACGGCAGTCAACTCCGGCATTTTGACACTGAGCGCATCTCACCCCTTCTTGGAGTAGTTCTCAAGAATGAGCCCGATGATTTCATGGGACAATTCGCCGCCTCCTTCCAGTAAACGCTGAAGCTATATAACACAGGCAGCTTCGCGAACTCTACCGAACACCGTAAATATATGCATAGCGTGTCAAAGAAGGAACTAGGACAGACAGCTATACGTCGGGGTTCTCGGTTTTTCCGATGCCTACTTTGGAAGCATCCGAGTTTTTGGAGTTGGCTACTTTTAATGCAAAACCGTCCGAGAAACATGCTCAGATTGCGTTCGGAACACTGCGGTTCCTCCAACATATTCTTCAGCACTGCCTTGTCTTGAAAAAGACCAGTGGATCTCTGGATATCAGATCATTTTCAGATGCTTCTTGGCATATCTTCTTCCGCTGAATGGAAAGCACAATTGCCTGGTCAAGCAAGAGTCAATTACTGCCTGTATAATAGTACCATAGAACATCTCAATTCCAACACGTCCTGATACCTGTTTCTCAGCTCCGCTACCACACAGATTTCCCCTTTGCTCCATTCTAGTCTATCCTCATATGTAGCCTCCAGAAATCTGTTTTTTTATGTTAGACTTGTACTTATTGTTCGGAGGGCACGCAGGCTCACATGTACTGATCTCCCCCTGTATGGATGCATAGTGCAGGTCGGGTATATACCATGGTGAATAACACATATACAGACACTCACTAGAGCCAGATTCTGCAAACTTCTCCAGATATCTATCATCTACTACTACTACTACTACTACTACAGAATAACATCCCGGTAGAAAAGATTATACCGTTCTCATTTCGATATGAACAATCGACCAATTGACTAATTGTTCCAAGCGACCCAAGCAATCCAAGCAATTCAAGTGATAAGATCAACGTGCTCTCGTCCTCTCACCGCTCAGCCTCCTTACGGGAGTAGTAAGCAAGCGGCAAAGCAGCAAGCAGTGCTCTCGAAACAGTCCCATTTGCCCTTTGCATCTGCCTCTGCCTCTTGCCTTTTGCCTCTGCCTTTTGCCTCTGCCTTTTGCCTCTGCCTTTTGCCTCTGCCTTTTGCCTCTGCCTCTTGCCATTACCTCTTACCCTAGCCTTCCTTGGCCGTGAAAGAGAGAAAGAGAGAAAGAGAGAGAGAGAGAAAGAGAGAAAGAGAGAGAGAAAAAGAACGAACGCAAAAAAAGCCCAAAAATAAAGAAAGACCAAAATCCCAAAAAAAAACGAAGAAAGAATCAGAGGCCAAAAAAAGGGATCAAATAAATATATATAGATAGATATATAGCTAAATACACACAACAAACCAAAACAAGACAAGACGGATATTTCCTCCCCCCTCCTAGCCCTCCTTCCTGTCCCCTTTGCCCCTCCTATTCTCTCTCCCTCTGCTTTCCTACAATATCCATATCCAAATCCAAATCCAAATCCAAATCCAAATCCAAATCCAAAACCAAATCCAACCCCCCCTTATCATCCACTTTCTTCCCCTCTCTCTCCCCCAAACTCTTTCTCTCTTCTACATCCATCCTATTTCCATCCTAAATCGAGCAGTAAAAAGAAAGGTGAAAAAAAAAGGACAAGGAAACCGTCTTCAGCTTTAAAGCTCAGAGATACATGCGCATATGCCCACACATACATACACACACACACACACACACACACACACACGGACAAGGCTCCAAAAAAAGCCCCCTCGTCTTCCCTCTTCCCTTCTCCCTCCTCCTTCCCCCAATACCCCTCTCGCCACCTCTCCTCCCCTTCCATCTAGGACGGAGAAGCAAGCGCGCGAAAAAGAGAAAAGAGAGAAACCAGGAAAAAAAAAAAGAAAAACAGAAGAGGAAAACAGAACAAGAACATGTAAATGCCGCTACGTTTCCATCGTAAGAGTCGTTGTTGTTGAAAAAAAAAGATTTTTTCGCTTTTTAAAAATTACCAACTCTGCCAACCCACCCCCAAAATCCCGATCGGCCTCCACCATCCACCCAACCACCCCCTTTTTTACCACACGGAAAAACAATAAGATGTTCCGGATTCACCATGCTGCTAACCCACGTCGCTGAATGCTGCTGTTGGTTGTTATATTTTATTTGTTCGGCCGCCGCCGCCGCCGCCGCTTATGCATCGCAGGGTTTCGCGTAAAAAACTTCTCGCTTAAAATGTCTCGCTTTCGAAGCTATCGCGGTAACTCGGGATACTCTCTGCAAGAAAAGGCCAAGAATCAGCAAACACGCCCAGACCAAAACTATAAACAACAATAATCCCCTAGCGCAAGAACCTTCTCATAAAGGACTTACCAGCATCTGCTTCCCTTGCGCTTACTGGCTTCCTCCGTACCGTGCCAATGTTGGCAGCAGGTGTGTTGCCGCTTCCACTCGTGGCGCCTTGGCCGCTTGTCGTCCTCATCGGGCGTGGCCCCGTGATTTTGCGCGATGGCGAGCTCATGCCTTGGCTCTTGTGTAGACTGGGGCTGGGCGTGAGGACTTGTCTGTCCGTTTCCAGGCTGTACCTGACCTCCTGGATGGGCTCAAGCGGTGCGAGATGGCCCTGTGAGTACGGTGATGAGTAGCCTTCGTAACTGCTGCCATACGAACGGCTCGGTGCCGATTGCTCGACTGACACCTTTGGTGCGATTGCTGATTGCTGCTGCTGCTTTGAAGGTGCCTGAGCTTGTTCGCTTGCCGAATGTCCGCTGTATCCGCCTTCGGAATCGATCGGGCTTAGACTGCGGCCATGGGTGTATCTTTCTGAGCCGCCGCTCAAGCGATTGTTACGCCCTAGCACAAGGCTAGGATTTGACCCCCACTGATCAAACTTGTTGTCAAATTCGTCATCTTGTCCGTGTTCGGACCTGGGAGACAGCGGCATGTTGCCAAAAGAGACAGCTTGGTTCTCCAGATGTCCAGTACGACGATGCGTCGGACCAGGACGAGGCTGCGGATGTTCGAGATTGAGTGAATTGCGATGAGCTTTGTACTTGGGATCATCATAATCCTCTTCAGGTATCAACGGTGAAGGAGATCTGCCTTGGCTGCCGCCAAGACTTCGCGCTTGACCTTCACCGAGAGTAGACTTTGAACGTAGGCGGTCATCGGGGTTCATTCGATAGTCATCATCATCATCATAAAAGTTCAGATCAGCCTGAGATCCAGACCGAGAATGATCAGAGTATATTTGACTCTTGCGATCTATACTGTTCCGCTCTGGGGCAGTAGACGTCGTCGTCTTGGACCATCGTGAGATCTTGGGTATACCAAAGATTGATGATGAGCCGGATTTGTGTTTCCGTTTCGGTGTGTTCTCTTGGCTTTGCGCTGCAAACTGACCTGATGCTTGTGTTGGCGGACTGTTCTCGTGGATCTGCGCACGCCGGACTTCTTGAGTTGGGGTAAGAAGTCGTTCGTTGTTCTCGAACCCGACATCCAAGGCACGAGCCTCGTGCTCGTCAAGAGTGTCCTCATCGCCCTCGAGTACAGTGCTAATGCGGTGCTCGGACCCGCGGCGCCCATCATAGCCAGAATGCATGGCACCGCCGGATTGTCGCAACGATGAAGGATTTGACAAGTATCCTGAATGATTTGGCGTTGACGACGTACCGGCCTGTCCGTCAGGCTCATATCCTGCGTCGCCACTAGCTCTAAGGTTCTCGTAGGACGTGAGACTGTGAGATTGACTCCTGATTTGAGTAAGCTGAGGCTGAGAGGCCGTCTGCATCTCCTTTAATCCTTCAACTTCGCCCAACAATTGCACTAGCATATTCTCGATGTTAGCCATGTCGTTGGTGCTCTTCGCGCTGAGACCTTTCAGGGCCCGCCTGAAAACATTGCGCCTCTTGGTCGGAAGATCCTCTGATCCATCATCTGTAGAAGCCTGTCGAGGTATGCGAGGAGATCCAAGCGGTTGTGGGCGAGGACCTTGCAGGATTTTCTGCTCGATACCCACTGCTTTTTGATTGGTGTTTTGCATGAGGGCAGCATCTTGTACCGCAATAAAACGTTTCATATCCTCGAATTGGTTGCGCATCTCGGCTGCACTGCGCACAAGCGTGACAAGGATCTCAGTATCGCGAGCATTACGTTGAGCATCTCGCACTGTGAGATGATCCATGAGGGCGACCACGTCCTTAGATTGGATTCTGTCCATGCCCCGACCCGTGGCACTGTCGTAAAGTGGGGACTCCATTCCGTGAGAATTCATACTCACATGTCTACCGTGCTTGCCAGTCGTGGCGGGACCGAAAGGATCGTCGGCAGCGATGTCAGGAGTGTATTGGCCTCCTTGTCTCGCGTCTGCATAGTAGTCCCGGACCTGAGAATCGGGCGTGATGGCACCAGCGTGAGCGGCAGAAATATAGCCTTCATCAAGTCGTAGACTTTGCGGACTGAAAGGATTCTTTGGGTGTGCTGTGGGTTCATCATCATAATCGTCCTCCACGCGAGCATTGTACTCATCCTCCAGAGAAGGTTCATAGTTTTGCTGATCTGGAGAATGTTGGTCCTGGTCTCTTTGGATCCGAGCAGCGGCGGCCGCGGCAATACCTGCAGCAGTCGCAGCACCGGCACCAGCAAGAAGCGTTTTCCCTTGCCCATCGAACTGGTCGATATCCTTTCCTTGGGAAGCGTTGCCTTTCAACGGCGTCACCTCGAGAGGCCAATGAGCCCTATCGCCTCCATAGTGCTCGCCGCCTAGTGGCCCTTGTATGATTGACGGATTAGTAGTAACCTCGGACTGCTCGTCACTATCGAAACCGTGGCCTATCTCAGGCATAGGGTCATGAGCCAGTGGGAGCGCATTTGCAGAAAAATCGATAGGTTCTTCCTGCTCCTCGTGGGCGGAGTGATTGACACTCTGTTGCGGAGAGTTGTGGGAATTATGCTGCGAGTTCGACTTTGATGAAGACAAAGATCGCGCTGCTTGCTCCTTCAAGGTGCTCCATCTCTCCTTTGTAGGACTCAGTCGACTGGACGGATCTGCTTCTCTCGTAGTTTGGGGAGATGGCAATTCTTTGGCGAGCTGATCCTCATAGGTAGAATACGCAGAAAAATGACTCTTCTTCTGAGGGCTCATTTCTGACGACTGCCCGCTGACATTCGATGGCTCGTGTAGGGACGCGACAGCAGATTCAACGGCAACTGGAGTGCGCACGTACTCTGGAATCGCACCCACTCCTCGAATGTCCTGGCCAGCAGTCATCCTATCCATGAAAGGACCGTCGACACTGTCGTCAGTGTATCCGGTATTTCGTTTATAGCTCGTAGGTGATTCGCCTGCCTCTTCAAGCTCTCGCCGATATCGTTCATTTTCCTCATGGTTTACTTGAAAGAATTCATCGGCCTCCTTTCCAGGTGTTCCATGGTCGCCGCGATCCCCTAGGATCATACTTGGAGTCTCCAGGGTGACTGCCTTGGGTCGTTCTTTAGCACGTGGCATCTTATAGCTCGGAGTTGAGGTCGCAGAATTCATAGACATATTTGAGTGTTTCCTGTCATAGCCTCTCCCGAGGGACGATACAGATAAAGGACTGCGAGGCGAGTCAACATACTCGCGTCGACCGCCTTGAACGTGTTCCTCTCTATAGCTGGCATCGCTTTGTACAGGACTGACTTCCCTCGTTGGAGTATACTGAGTGTAGTCGCGATTGATATCCTGCTTTTCTGTAGCATGAGATAGTGTTACAGCCCCAGTAACTCCTGCAGCAGTAATTGCGGCAGTCTTTGATCCGGACAAGCTCCGATCGCTTTTGGCACTCCTTGGTAGACTTCCCAGGGAACGATTGCTGTGCTGGCTATATAAACCCCTCGAGAGAGCGGCAGGAGTTCTTGTTGGTGTCTGAGGATCTGGAGATGTGACAGCGCCGGCTGAGCCACGAGAGACTTCGCGGACAGGCGTGTGCTCCCCTTGCGAAGACACTGAACGACGACGACGCTCGGTGCCTGACGACATAATCGAATCCCGGGTAACCTCAGAACCGTGCAGAGTGCTTTGCATGGGCATTGGAGGTATGTGTTCATCTCGTTCGGTCCGGCCAACACTCTCAGAGATGCTCGCGCTTCTGCTTCGACTACTGCTACGATGCTTTCTGTGGTGCTTGCGGTCGACACTTTCTTTGGAGTCATGATGTTTCAGCGCGGCAGCTGTCAGACCAGCACCTATCAGACCAGCTGCTGCGACCTCACCCTTGGATCGGTGCCGGCTGCCACTGCTCTTCCTACTCTCTGACCGTGATTCTGGTCGCGAATCGCTGGAATCACGACTTGATCTTCTGTGCTTCCTGCCTTTGATAGAATCGCTAGAGAGCACTACGCCAGGATCATCACCATCTCGGTTGAGCACAACCTTAGGCCTCGATTTAGACATGTCCGGAGCGCTGGCATGCTTTGACACGCGGCGTTTGAGCTCATCTCGGGAGCTGTACGATCCAACCGAATCTCGTGCAGCCGCCTTCTCGAACTTATCTCTGTTCTTCTGCGTCTTTTGTTCCTCCTTCAGGGCGTTCAGCTCGGGCAAGATCAATCTTCGTATAGCGTCTTCGACGGTTTGTAAAAGCTTTGGATTGTTGATCGAGGACGCTGCCGATACGCCAGATCGCATTGATATGGATTCTCCAGATTTGCGATTCGCATTCGAAGACACAAGGCTCGACTCGGCACTGCCACTTAAGTCGTCGCCTTTGTGAGACCTACCAGTTCTTCGTGGCGAACTGACGCCTCCGGCTGCGACATCATCTCTGCTTGACTTTCGTCTGCTGGAAGCCTTGACGTCTTTTGTCACATTCATAGACTCTGCAGGTTTCGCAGTCAACTTCTCCATGACCTTCTGTGTGATGCGCTCGCGACTCAGACTCCTACTACGCTTACGATCTGGCGCTTTCAATGAGTCCTTGATGATGACCTCTTCCTTCTCTAGGTCACGCTCCAAGCTCTGGCTCCGCCTGCGAGTGATTATGGGAACGAGTGGTCCGTCCAGAGTGCTGTCCGGTGGCATGGATGATATGGCTGAATCTGTAGGTAGTCGGTGACTCGCAGAAATATCCGACTGCGAGAGATCGCTTGCGTTCTGCAAGACTTCCACCTCTACCGGCGGCCGATCCGAAATAGCAGATTCGCCCGAATAAGAAAGTTCAGTCGCCTCCCCAGCCTTCTCGTCGGCAGCCTTGTTGCCTAAGGATATGCGCCTCGTATACGAAGGCTTCCTGTCTTTCCCAAGCTCTGTGACGCGTAGCTGATCACTTGCGGTTCTTGATCTCTTGTGCGAAGAAGGAGTCACCCGGACCCGGACGCTCGGTCGTGAATGAACCTTGTCCCCTGTTTTTGCGGCTTCGAAATATTCGATTAGAAGGGATGTCTGGGAGTGATTTGTATGTTTTGTGAGCGCTCCGTCCTTGTGTCGTTTTGTTGCGATTGTTACCGGACTGCCGTCCTCGGGTATGGAATATGAAGTCTTGTCTGTGGCACGAGATAGATCTGTAGCTAGGTCGTCGGTAGTGTTGTTTCCGTTATCGACGGAACTGAGGTCTGTGGGAGCTGGTAAGGGAGGTTTGCGCGTGTCTACGCCCATCGTGAGGTTTGGCGCAAGATGTCAGAGGAGAGTGGCGCTCGAGCACATGGATGGCAGGTAGTGAAGTGGTATGAGAGGTTCTATGGCGGCGGCAATGCGGAAAGTCGCGGGATCGAGAGTGGTAGATTCAGAGCAGGCTGTCAGAGATATGAAGCTATGTTGCTGTAGCTGAAGTGGTATCGTTCTCGAGATTTGCAATTCTCCACTGTGGAGGGATGTGCACGGATGGCGGAGACAATCGCCTTTAAGCCGCAGACTCAACGACAACACACAGCTCCCGCCTCAACACCAGCAGAACAGAGAGCAATGTTGGTGAAGAAGACTAGAGCATTTTCGTGTGATTTATGAGCAGAGCTAGCTTGCGACCTTCACAGAGGGATGTTCGCAGGGAGCAGATGTCGAGGTAATAGTGGGTTGTTGATATGGTGCTCGGTCGGTGCAGGCTGCGGTCACGATGCCGGGTTGCGAACAAAGGCCCTATCGTCGGAGAATTGGATGAAAACGGCTAACGGCGATAGCTGAGCACGCTTTTGTGTGGGATGCTGGGACCGGTGGATATAGGGATAAGAGAATGCAGGATCGCAGCAGAAGTATTTGGGCGAAAATGATGCAAAAAGTAAAAGGTCGAGCGACAAACAACAAAAGTCGGGGGACAGTAGAGGGCAGACGGGGAGGAAGGGCACTAATTCCTGGGCAACAGGGCACTTGTTGCTTGAGAGAGCGAGCAGTGTAGGGACTTGCAGGACTTGCTGAGTGATGGATGGAGCTGTGTGGGTCGACAACAATGCGCGCTTGGACCTGGCTCGGTGGGCAGCGGGCTGGGGCACAGCGATCAAAGAGCGATCAAGCGATCAGACTTCGGATTCAGTAGTTAATTAGTTCATGGCTATTATGTCAAAGTAAGCGCAGCACAGCAGTATAATCGGTAATATAGAAAGTGATATAGAAGTCCGTAACCAATGGAATGAATCAACAGCTGTAGTACGAGAATATACACTCAGATGTCTGCTTCCCAGCCTCAGCCCCAGCCACCCTACCCGCACCGCCACAGATGGAGCTGCGGTTGCTCGGGCGGCCGTACCACAGTTTTTTGCTATATCATACTATTATAGTGTCTACAAAATATCACCAATCTATAGCCATGTCCACACATCTGTCTGAGCCATGGATCGTCGACATTCTCTCACCGGCAGCATCAAAGGCTCATACATGCTTGCACTTTTATGTCTTGAGATCTTGATTCCGCCGTTCTGTTGCCTTACGAGAGAGACCCTTGCTCCGAGAGCAATGCATGCCAGCAATGCACCTCTTCTTGACGCCATACTCGACGCCTATTGGATCGTGATGCTTGGTCTATCCATGTCTTGAAATGGAGGTGCTGCTTGATCAAGATTTCCCTTTGCTGACTTCGCTTGACCGCTCCTATTATGTACCATCAACCACACGCTGCCCAAGGTGGTGTGCTATGGATATCAGTAGCAGATGTCTAGAGCAATTTGCATTTCGCATCGCATCATCTCACCTCTCCATACTTAATGGGTGCAGCAGCATACATGAATCACAGTAGTAGACTCGTACTTCCCCAAACATCTCCGTTTCTAGGCCAACCTTTCATCTAGCCTCGCGCCTTAAGCCTTGAGGGAAAGGGCCGTATCGCCGGCCGCTGGGCTGAGTGCTGAACATGCTTAAGCGCGACTTTTTGGGGGTGCGTGGCCTGTCATTGGCCAGCCTGCCCATCCACCACAACTTGACAACTCATCAAAAGACAATCTCGAGCTTTGCACTGTGCGCGGAAAACCTATGGTGCACCGCCTACGCGCGCCCGTCACACCGTTGAACAACATCTAACTATCGGAAGAAGCCCAGAAGGACAAAAGTCCACCTGAACCAATCACAGATACAATGTCCGGTGGCCATGAAGAAAACAAAATCTTTTTTTGTGCCGACTTGCGCCAACGCTACTGAATTGTTCCTCCGTCTCCGGCCAGAACGAATCTATCCCACGTCCTATTAGTCCCTCTCTCCCTCAAACCGTTTCTTTCCAAATTTCTTCACCTGTTTAGGCTGACTGCCATATGCTCTCCTGCCCTCTTGCTTGTTTCGGCTCATGCTTGCTCCGAGCTGGATATCTACCCGTGGCGGTGTCGAGAAACCAAAGGACTTTGCCACTTTCACCAAATCAAGCTTTGATATGTCGAACACTGACCGCAGGCTGTGTGATGCGTACGCGTGCAAATATGACCGATATCCGTCTTTGGCAGACTATCCCTCACGTTAGTTCAAGCCAAGGTGTGGCAAGCATGCGATATTCCATACCTGGTTCAAATAGTAATTCTTGCTAATCAGATCCTCAAGTCCTTTCTGGATGTTGATGATTTTTTTCGGCGGCAGCTCGAACTCAACGAGTGGAACACGCTCGTCCTTCAATATCTTCAAGAAGCCCACCTCCGAGGGCAAAAGGAACATAAGGCTTCGTCCCTTGCCGTTTGCGCCTCTGGCTGTGCGGCCAACACGGTGAATGTAGTCGCGGGGATCGTCTGGAGGATCGAATTGAATGATCCAGTCGACGGCTGGAATGTCGAGGCCTCGAGCAGCCACGTCTGTGCATATCAGTGTCCCGTGATCAGTGTTGCAGAACTCAAAGAAGGTATTTGTCCGCTTTTGTTGCTTGAGCTTCCCGTGTAGGTCCAATACCGGCAGATCAATGTAATTGAGAAGTTCGGCGTAAAACTTGACCGAATTACAACTGCTGAAGAAGACAATGATCTTCTTTTTCTGATGCTTCTTCAAGAACGAAAACAGCAAGCGGAAGCGGTTGTCCGAGTCGCAAAGAATGTAGCCTTGCTCTAGACCTTCGACTGTGCTGTGCTCTTTCCGATGATCCACATTGATGTATAATGGGCCAGGTCGAAGTGATATGCGCGCGAGATCCTCGACTTTCGTCGTTTGCGTTGCTGAGAACAACATGGTCTGCCGTTCCTCCTTTGGTAGAATTTTGACAATCTGCCGCATTTCGTCTTCGAAACCAACGTCCAAGATGCGGTCTGCCTCATCTATGACCAATGCGCGGATATTCTTGAAGACAAAGCCAGGTGTGTTTTGCAGGTGATCCAAAAGTCGTCCGGGCGTGGCGATGAGAAGGTTGATACCTTTACCGAGCTTCTCAACTTCCGCTCTGCGATTTGCGCCGCCCATAACTATGCCGAATGTTTGTGAGTGCTTCTCCATCAACTCGCGGGCTACACCAAAAATCTGAAGCGCCAACTCTCGAGTAGGCGAGACAACAATCACACCGGTACCTGTACCAGATTAGTATTTCCTCTGAGGTAGAAAAGGTACAGAAGCTTACCATTGCGTGGCTTGAACCTGAGAGAACTCAGCATTTCCACTGCAGGAATCAAAAAAGCCAGAGTCTTTCCCGAGCCTGTTTTCGCGGCACCCAGCACATCTTTGCCCGCTAACAGGGGCGGGATACCTCGCTGCTGTATCTCTGTCAACTTCTCAAACCCCATCTCTTGAATGGCTTCCATGGTCTTTGCTGACAGACCAAGCTCGTCAAATTTCTGAGGTTCGGCACTTATTGCAGGCAAGGACGCAACGGAAGGCAATTCTGGTATTGGGATTGTCTCAGCCTCCTCCTCGCCGGCGTCGTTGAAATGCACCGGAGCATTCTCAGCTCCAGTGTCAGAACCACCCATATCTGCTTCACTTGTTCTCGCCTTCTTTCGTGGAAGAATGGGCACGTCTGCCACTGCGGTCGGCGCAGTCTCTTGCGAGTCGCCATTGTGAGACTTGGATTGATGCTTTCGCTTCCTCTTTTTCGACTCGGTTTCTATGGGAGGCATTTTCAGATGTGAAGTGGGGATTCTTGAGACTGTTATTAGGTCCCGTCACGAACCTATGTAGACGGAAATGTGCAAGGAAAAAGTTGGCGCACGGGCTAATATGTAATCTAATCTAATCTGAATCTGATCTGGATAAACCACGTCACGTGTCTACATCCATCTCTCTGCGGACGGCCAACCCGGGCGAAAATGAACCCAAATAATAGAGAGAGCACCTACTTACCTACCCAGGTCCCTGGCCAGACACCTGCTTTAAGTTAAACAAGTGGGCAGTATTCGCTCCATTTCTAGAATCAAAAGCACTTCCGCTCCTTCCTTATGTCGTCCAGTCTCACAGTGATGGACGAAGTGCAAATGGAAGAAGTGTTACATAAATCATAATTAATTATTACTTTTCTCGGTTCATTATGCCAGCTCTGTGGCCGCATTGCCACGTTGGTAGTTGGTATATAGTACATTATGACCGTACAAACAAAGATAATCCCAAGACGAACAATTCCTCTTCTATCCAGAAGCAGTCCAAGGCAGCCGATTGATCGGTAATAGACGGAGGCAGACAGCCATGAATCACTGGAGCACTTCTTTGTTCTGTGCTCTGCGCTACTACCTTTGCTCTCAGTGCTTTGATCGACCCCGAGCCGCACTGCAGTTACCGTCGCCACAAGAGGAAGACCGACCCTATCAGGTTGCCCTGAGGAAAAGTCGCCTATCTTGTGATGACAGCAAAATTGGTATGACCCAGGGTGAAACCGAAGCAAATAAAACAAGGGTAGTAATGTAGAGCACAAAGCAAACAAGCGCCACAGCGAAACAGAGAACCGCCTTGCCCACCGAAATTCCCAACCGCACAGCCACCGTGGACCGCTAACTCCTACCCAAGACTCCATCGACTTCCCCACCTCCCCCACCTCCCCCAACCCGTTGGCTTAGAAAGCCAACATCTTGGAGACCGCTCCCTCCCCTCCCTCGTCTATACTTAGACGTCGAGAAGGAGGAGAGGAGAACTTTGGCGTGGCGACCGCCACCCTATCCTCCGCCAGCTCACCGTGTAGAGTGGCCCCTCCCACTACCCACGTGAGGCGCTCCTCAGCGAGGGTAGTGGGAGTTACTGGGCTCACTCTATCCTCCTCCGGCGACGTGCCCGGAGAAGAGATAGCTTGGGTGAGCTTTGGGAGGGTAGGTGCGGTCGCCACCCTGAGGTCTTTCTCCTGGGTTGGGGAGGCGATGAGGGGAGGCCCAGCAAGATTGCTGGTGTTCTTGGGCTTCGTGGCCATCGACGAAGCGAGGCCGATGACCTTGGGGTGAGCCCTAGCCACCCCAGGTGCTGCTGCAATGATCGAGGCAGCAGCATCCTGGGGTGTAGAGCTCACCGAGGGCCGGGAAGTCGATGGAATACCTGTAGAGGTACGTTTTTTGTCGACACCTTCAGCAGCGAAGATGTTTGGCCTGGGAGATGTTGCCGGTGCGGAAACTCCTGGGAGGGTGGCATGAGCAGGCGTTGGACGAGGAGGTGGTTTCGAAGGTGTGTCAAGAATCAATGTGCTCTCGTCATCGTCATCGCTGTCTTCTGGTACGGTAAAGGTGGATCCACCTTTGGCATGACCACTCTTGCGTTGCTCAATCTTGACTTGCTCGCTGTTCATGTCGATGCTGGGCGTGTATATGCTGCTATCATCATCGTCGGTGTCGGGGACAACGAACTTGCCAGAGGTCCTCGATCGGGACGTGGATTTGGAGCGATTGCGATTCTTGGGTGTCTCATCCATATACGTAGTAGAGTCGAAAGGTAACTGTGGGAGGTATGTCTGACTCGTGTTGAATCTGCGGTGAAAGATGAGGTTTTCTACGTCGACCAGCTCACTCTCACAATATGCTTTGGTGAGCGCTATGCGATTGGCGGATGTGAAGTCGGAGAAGGAGCTGAAGCCCGGTAGCCAGCGCTTCCATTTTTCTTCGTCGCTACAATACCACTGCATGTAGCTCGACATATCCAATTGCTGTTTATCAGAGTTATTGCCGAACATCATGAGGAACCACTTGAGTCGCAGGTGAGGAGGTGCGCCAAGGACTTGATACATAGCGCGACAGAGCATGTGACGCCATGAGAAGATGACCGGGTCCGTGGTGCCATTCGCGTTCGTGAATATCTGCTCAGCCTGAATGTACGCTCTTCGAGGTAGTGCTGGCAATTTCTCTCCAGGTCTGCGCAGGTCTGGGACGCCAATTGGCCAGGCCTCAGTTTCGGAAATGTACGTATCGTCCATCTGGCTATCATCGAAAGCACCAGGCATTGAGTACCGCTTCCGTTTTGATTTTCCGTCCAATTCAGAAAGACCTCTCTTCTGAAGGGTCTCTTGCTCGTCAACCGTCTCGGCCTCAAAAGATCTCTTTGCAAGAACTCTGCTGCGGGCTCTTTCTTTCTTTCGCATGCTCTCCGCTTGCATGGATCTTTCTTCGAGAGATTCCGTTCGGCTTTCGCGAGCAGTCTGTGGTGCAGTATTGTCGTTGCGTTGTTGCATTGCTGAAGCACGTTCAGGACTGGCTTGAGAAGGGCCATGGCTCGCCACTCGCGACGTGCGAGATCTAGGCCGTTGTACGGACTGCGACCATCTTGGCGACGTACCTCGTGATCTGTTAGCGACTTGTTGGGTGCCGCTTTGAGATGTGTTCATTAGTGGCCTGGATGTACTTGGGTACGTTCCAGACCGAGTTGCGCCGTCACGCCACCAGTCTGCTCCGACTCCTGGTTCGTCTCTATCTGTAGAGGCTTCTGATTCTGCGATATCGGTGGCGGGTTCAATGGTGGGCTCAGTGGCGGATTCAGTGGTGGCTTCAGTGGCGGGTTCGGTGGTAGATTGAGTCGGGGCTTGCTGTGCAAGGATCCTCTGTCGTTCTTGAGGATTGCGTCGAGCACGGCGGAATGGTGACAGAGCAGCGAGGGTATTGCCTGTGATGGTTCCCACTCTTCTAAATAGAGAAGACCGCTCGGCTACAGCCCGGCCAGGTCGAGGCTCGGTTTGGGCACGATACTGCTGTTGCTGAGCTTGCTGTGGTGTGTCTGGAGCTTCCTGTTGCTATTATGGTGTTAGCTGACTGTAAGAGTCTTCATGTCCGATCACTTGAGGGATGAGAACTACCTGCAATGGGAGCTGATGCTCATGTTGGAAATCAACCTCATTTGGGCCGCGGGACGTGGAGGATCCGGCTTGAAAGGTTGACTGTACGTCTTCGCGGGTCGAATGCACGTTTCGAGGGGTTGACTGATCGTTCTGTCGGCTGCTGGAGTCTTGCTCGGCGTTGATACGAACGACAGCTTGCTGAAGCACTTCATGGAGAGCTTCGTCAGTGGCTACTGCACCAGTTCCGCCGCGGTGGGAGACTGAGACGTCATCAGTATCTTCGTCGGTTTCCGGTTCTGCTCGCTGCGTCGAAGTAAGATCTGAGGGATGAGTGCGACGGTGCATATTCGCTGCTCCAGGATCTGGTGAATCTACACTCTGGGTCGACGCCATCATTTTCTTCTTACGGAGTCTTGTGAACGTCGATGGAGATCCGCTTCGTTCGGCTAAATGACGCAACAATGTGGCGTCGGACATTCGGACGGACGTGATAGCTTTGTTGGAACCGGTAAGAGTAGCCTCGATGATGTGCTCGGAATTGATGTTGTCGTTTGTCTCGAGAGCTATGAATTCCTTTAGTATGGCGTTCTCACGTACTGCTTTCTTCCATTCGGCATTCTGAAAAAGAACTTTTTGACTGAAAGTGAAAACCTGTCCTGGAAACATGTGACCGAAGTCGTCCGCTAATAGCTCTTGTGCATCTGAAATGAGAGGGTCGACTGAAGTTTGAAATCGCCTACGTTTTTTACCCTCGCGCCTACTTTGACTGCGCCTGATCTTCTGCTCGAAATCATCTAGCTCTTTCTGTGTCTTTGGTAAGGAGCGACGAGAGAAAGGTTCAAGCTGTTTACCACGGGGCGCCTCGCGCTTCTTACCACGACGACTTGCAGTGCGAACAGCGTAGAAGCCGTCATCTTCAGACTCGTCGGAATTGTCACCGCTGTTGCTGAGTAGATGTGGCTGTGGATCAAACAAGCGCGACCGACTTTTTTCTGCAGGAGTGTCTCCTGAAACTTCCTTGCCGCCATCAACAGGATTGTTCTGTGCATCAGTGAGGGGTGGATAGCGCGACCGACTTTTTGCTGCA